AGTCAGGGTCGAGCCAGGGTCGGAGCCGATACAGAGACCCTTCAGATAGGTTCCGGGCGACCTGAGATGGAACGATTTATGAGAATTGTTACAATTAGCAGTGTAACATACAACTAGCAATTAGCTAATCCTTAACTTAATACTCTTCTAGTAGTTCTAGTTAATAGAAGCTCGCAGAGCCTATATTACTAGCAACCTGCTTCTTAAGAAAGCACGCAAGATTTAGCCGCAGATTAACAAGTATCAACATCTACCTCCTCTAAAGTTTAGCTAGGGCTAGCTATATTAGTTCTAGCAGCGCTTTAATATTAAGTTTTAACAGCGCCACAGCAAGGCTAGATCTGTAGACAATACTATAGCAGAGGAGGCAATAAAATTAGTTTAAACAATCTATAGCAAGTATGCTAAAGAGGATATATATAATATAAATAAGATAAAGTTATTTTAGAGAAATACACTAGCAGAAGAGCTATTAACTTAGCCTCTACCTAGAGTTAAAAAGTTAAAGTTAAGAATTACTATAGTATGCTGTACTAACACAACTAGCTCTTATTAGCTATCTCTATAGCTTATTAGCTATGCTAAGCAGCCTTAACCTCTCTATAGTATTAATCTCTAAGCGCTTAATATATATTAGCGTGTAAATAAGAAGGCATAGATAAACTTAACACTTATAGCTAAGTAGTTAATATATTTTTATAGCAGTGTTATAGCTTAGCTAATTCTCCTTCTTATAGATAACTTTAAGGCTTACATTTAAGGCTTGCAGCAGGCTTCTTTACTATCCTATATCTGCGTTGCCTTTCTTTTACTAAATACAACAAGCCTATATTAACTTCTTAATTAAGGGATTATCTAGAATTTAAAGACCTACTATAGAAAATACTAGCTTTAATTTATAGTAAAGAAGTATAAGGCTAGCTATAACCTCTTATTAATAATTACACTTTAAAACACGCTTTAATAGCTACACATTGCTTAGATAGATAATATATTAAGCTTAACAATATATAATTGCTTCTGCTGCAGTACAGTTATCCTACTACAGGTACTGCAGCTACCCCTCTAGCCAGAACTAGACCTCTTAGGCCTATACAATTATACGCAGGAGGCTAGCTAGATACAGGATATAATAAGCCTTAGTAACTTCCTTAATCTAATTAATAAGGACACTAATATTAGAGAGGAAGATTAAATGCTTAAGGATATAGTTGTAGAGCATAACAATAGCGTTAATACTAAGGAGGCTTAAGCTAAAGATAAGGGCAAGATTATACCTCTACCTATAACTTATTAAGTAATTTAGGCTATCTAGTTACTCCTATAATACTAACAACACTAAGAGACAGTAATTAATACAGACATCTGCTAACTTAAGCGCCTAGAGAGGTAATATTAAGCCTACAAGGCTCAACATTAGCGCCAACAAACACTAGATAGTTAGCTTATATAATTAAATTATCGCCAAGACACATCTTGGCAACCCTAGTAAGCCAATACCCTCAGTAAGGCGATTGAATTGACGTGGCTGGATTCCTATCAGCTTGGCGGGGTTTGACTGTAACGCCTGCCAAGCCTTTCCGAAACCGCTAGTCCGCAGAGTTCGAGCCAACCCAGGACTCTCAAAGCTTGACAGCAGGTGGTTGGTTAGGTCATATCAGGAGGTCCTAGCATGCCAAAAGCTTAAAAGAATCTTTGTGTGCTCAAGAGGTGAAGCCAGCTTTGCACGCGACTGTAGACTTCTTACTCAAATCACAGAGAGCGTTAAGGGGATGCAGGCTTCCGTCAGTGTGCCAACATGCAAGTACATGTGAGCTGTCGGCAGTCCTTAAGAGTGGAGAGAGACTCGTGAGGTGCACATTTTGATCACGTCTTGGTTGCCTGTTCAATTTATCAGCTCTTAGAAGCGAAGATAGGAGACAGAAGCTTGTCCTACTTAGAAACCCATTGCAGTGTCAAATGCCGCTAGCCAAAGGCGAGGCGTGCTTGGAGAAATTGATTTGGCCCGACTAACGAGCGAGCCGTAAGTTCCACCCACATAAGGACTTCTCCCGCATATCACAGACTTGTGGCCTCGATCAGCTCTAAATTACAGATGCTCATATCTCCTGACAGTGTCATGAGCCGAAAGAACGCGATATCAAGCCATGTTCTTGGCATGGAGAAATGGGTCGATGTGGCAGTTGTAACTCGGCCAGTAAGGTGGTTCGGCGAGATCAATTCCATCCGCCAAATGGGCACCATCGATATAAGGAGCGAGAATCACCAAATTGTGTATCCTGTGGAGAGATAAGAATGCGGATTTTGATGCATTTCTAGAAGCGATGATGCTTTAGACGTGAGCGTTCAGTTGAGGCCCGCCGTGATATCATGAGCCCTGGTTTCTTGGGACAGGCTTGTGGAATCCGGGGAAGGGAAGTCCGTTGTGATCGCCATCCGACGGACTAGTGTGACTGCAAATGGTGCTGGTGAACGTGCTGGTCGGGGATGCGAGATAAGAAATAAGGGCTTGGCATTAGATTCGGCGGGAGCCATCAATGACGAGGTCACAAGACCGTCACACTTGGCAGATAAGGGCAACCTTTTGCCACTTGACAAGCTGCTGAGCGAAACGGTGCCTTTGCTTATGCAAGAGAAGCCGATACTTGTGGTGACGACGAAAGCTTGGCAGACTATGTTTGGGGAGCTCCTGCTTCACTGAACAGGGGAGAATCACGGATGGGATTTAAATGATTTTTGAATTGCTCAGTACCAGCGAGGCTGTAGCAATTTTATATGTACAATACAGGATGAAAATAGAGGATTAGGAAGTGGCAAATGCCTGTTGTTGCTACAAATCCACCAACGTCTAGGCCGACAAGACATTCTGTGCCGGTCACCAACCCTCTACTGGAAAAGACAGACACAGTTAGTGGTATATTTAACTCCTAAAATGCTCACTCTAGACTCCATGTCAGAAACAGACGAGAAGTCAATTCAGACTGTTTACGCCTGAAGTTCAGGTTTCTCTGCGGCAATGGCGTGGCGGTCACCGCTAATACCAGTGTGAGCGTCTCCGCTGCTCTCACTTGGCTCCTTGCCCTCTAGCATCTGGCTGTGCTGCGCAATGCCGTGGCGTTCTCCTTGAGGAATCGAGTGCTCGGTGGAGATAGGGTCGTTCTTGGCGGGTGTCCAGGCAAGGTAATCACGGCGAACCTCGACGTAGTCGTAGGCAAATTCTCCGAGCTGGTCGTCATCCATTCCAAGAAGTTCAGCCTCTTCGGACGCACGGAGGTGCAGGCCGGGAATCTTGTCGATGATGAAAGCGAGCAGAGCGCTGACAACGAAGGCATATGCAGTAGCGGCCACAACATAGGAGAACTGGATGTAGAGTTGCTTATAGTTGTGCTCAATCCAGCCACCGGGAAAGAGGCCAGTATTGACACCATCAAGACCAATGATGTAAGCAGCACCAAAGATACCGTTGAACAGGAGACCAATCATGCCAGCGACACCGTGCTCAGCGAACACGTCGAGGGCATCATCAATCTTGATCCAGAATTTCACTAGTTGGAGGTCAGTCTCATACTACATTTGCAAAGGACTGGAGGTAATCGAACCTTTGGTGGCAAAATTGCACACGATACCTGTGACGATACCTAGAACAACACTAGCCCAAGGTGGGATGTAGCCAGAGGCGGGCGTAGCAGCAACGAGGCCAGAAATGCAACCTGAGCACCAGCCGACCATAGACCATTTGCGAGCAAGGCGCCAATCGAGAAGAACCCAAGCCGTAGCGGCGAACATAGCAGTCAAGTTCGAGTTCCAGCACGCCATGGTGGCACGAAGGTTAGCACCGAAAGCAGAGCCTCCATTGAAACCCAACCAACCGAACCAGAGCAAAATCGTGCCGAGGGTGATCAAAGAAACGTTGTGTGGGCGGAAGTTGAGCATCATCTTCTCCTGGCGTCTTCCTAAGACCATGGAGTAGGCCAAGGCAGACATACCAGAGCCAATTTCGACGGGGCCTCCACCAGCGTAGTCGAGTCCGCCCCATTTGAAAAACCATCCATTAACGTTCCAGGCCCAGCAAGCAATTGGGCAGTATACAAGTGTAGCCCAGCAGAAGATGAATACCATCATGGGGATCAAGCGGCCTCGTTCGGCAACTGCTCCGACAACAATGGCGGCTGTGACGGCGCAGAATTGCATCTGAGGAGTTACGTTAGTCTGGGTACTGAAGAAAGGCAGGAGCACGCAAGAAATACCTGATAGAAAGCATAGAGAAGATCTGGGATCAAGGGGCTGCCAGGGCTGGGAGCTCCCAGAGTCTTCATGAGCCCGAATTTAGAGAGATCACCTATGAAACCGCTCTTGCCATACTGGCTGAAGGCCAGCGAATATCCCCAGAAGTACCATTGGAAAGTGATGACGGAGCAGGAAGCCATACATGCCCAAATTAAGGACAGAGCAGATTTCCTTCGGGCAAGACCGGAGTAGAGGAAACCAAGACCTGGTACCATGACTAACACCATGGCCGAAGCCACGATGATGTAGGCCTGGTCACCGGATTGGAACCATTGATTTATGTTTTCAACGTCTATTAGAGTGTCATTGTTAACGAGGGCCTTCGTGAAGCTAAATGGAAACTTTTTTGGGGTGGATCGGACGAAAACGGTGGAGTAGGGTTCACATGGGTCGGTGCTACGGAGGTGACTTACTGGAATCTCCACCCTCAAAGGCATTGGTGCCATTGAAGACCGTAGGTGGGCCAACCCACGAGTAAGACATGGTGGACTATTGTGCTCAGACAAGCGTGTCGTGGGAAAATAATTAAAAGTATAAAGGATCGTGGTGTGAAGCTGTGAAAAGCTACCAAAGGGAGGAAAGAAGGCTGGATCGGCTCCAGTGATATAGAAATAAGCAGGTCGCCGGGTAGCACCACCGGGGGATGCTTTATGGAGATTCAACTTCAATGAGACCTTATCTACCCTTGTCCAAGTCGGTGGTTTGAGGCAAAATAAACGAGGCGCATCTCCCACAGTCGTGGGGTTCGCATTAAGATCTGGAGCTCTGTTTTTTTTTTTCTGCCCGGTCTGATCGGCCTGGCGTCACCTTGCAGGGCGAGACCATTGTTCCTCGCGTGCTCGTTATCTCTGTACCCATCACATTGATAATTGACGGTCGCAGCCACGCCTTCTAGCCGGCCACGTTGCAGGCTATTCCGTAGGGAAGCCCTCGTTGGATCAAGGTCTGCGTCGGTGCACCCACTGCCCTCATTTGCAACTCTCGTGCTTCGATGATGGTGGATGCAGTTTCAAGTGAAGGAAGTATCCCGTGCCAAGCCGTTCCGTCTCATGAATCGTCCTGGGCTTTGTCAAGCGCATTTCTAAACCGGACACCCACTGATAAGGGCTTGCGCCTGATGATTGGCTGGATGCCGAGGAGAACACTAGTCCGTATTCGGGGACGAGGCCAAGCCTTGTCCACGGTCCACTTGATGCTCCCAAGCTTCTCTTTGGTCGGGGGGGTCGACAAACGTTTGCTCCAGCCCTCTTCCGTGTGCTGGCCAAGGACAAAGGCGTGAGGGCTTTGTTCGACGCGACGAACTATTATGCGAATCCTCGACGCAGAGATAAGCTCAACATCGATTTCGTTTGGCCATGAAGTCATCTCATCTCCCGAGACATCCACAACCAACGCGATCACCCAAGCAACACTGGACGCCTGGTTGGTGTTTGACAAGCTTACCCTTCGCGTCTTCTGCGCTGAAGCTGCTGCAAGTAATCTCAAATTGGGTTTCACGTGCCTTGCATGACCTTGACCTTGACCGTGACCGTGACCGTGACCGTGACCGTGGGATGCTGGAGAAACCCTTGTGCACTCTACCCACCACTCCAACTCGGGTAGCACGTCAACACCAAAACTTCCATTCTGACCGTACTCGGCGAGGACCCGGATAGATCTGGAAAATCTTCGCCGGAGCAGATGACGCCCACCTCATGTTATGTCTCGTTCCCGAGGTCCATTTGATGCCTGTCGAACCACACTCAACTTTGCCAAGTCTCTTCCGCGGTCGCATGAACCATGATACCCGCCGTCTCCACCCAATCTCTCTATGCTGCGGGTCTGCCAGCACTCATGCAAAACCCAGAAACTGAGCATGCTGACTCAGGGGGCCTCCAGAGTTCCAGAAGCAAACCTCGATTCTTCCTCTAAGGCTGAGGGCTGGGTGCCTGCAGGTCAGAATTGTGTCCCGTTCTTCATGCGCCCTGCATGAAGGCGGGGCGGGATGAATGGAGAGCAGTAGAGGGTCACGAGAGTGGGAAAGTCCAGGCCGAATTTTCTGTGAGGTACTGGGTGAGCCGAAGCGGAGTGGGATGCGGTCGAGCTGGTCTTGAGGTGGTGTCAAATTGCCTTGCAAGGAGCGTGGGGCGCGGCCGCAAGTAGCCTGGAGATGTCAAATTTGCACGTCACGACCCTTCCACCAATCAGCTGGAGCCGACAGTTACCTATTTTCGATCGGTTTTCCACCCAAACGTCTTTGAAGTGGGATGCTTGCTTCTTGTCTATCTCGGGGCTACGAAACTTTGTGCAATCGTGAAACGTTACTTGAACGCCTTCCAGCCGTCGGGCGATCCATCTCCACGCGAATTAACCAACGGCTGCGCGTCCGGCTTCGGAATCGGAAGAGCTCGCGTCTTCAACACCACTTACATACTTGCAATGATAGAACCCGGCCTATGGACGCGTTTTCAATTACGTCTCTCGTGTGCGGCTGTCTTAGTCTCTCGTGTCTCTCGTGTCTCGTTTGCGGCTGTGCTCTCCTCCTTTGCCTGCGAGAACTCGTTGGTGCAACACCCTGACGCAAGCCACAGGAAACACATTTGTTTGAATCTTTGTTCCGTGAAGGATTATTGTTTAGTAAGTATCTCTGAGTCCTCTATAGATTAGCGACTCCTCAATCCACTGTCACCTCGCCAAGGTCGTTTCTCATCTCGCCTTTTGCCCTGACGCCACTCTCTTCACTCTTCTACCTTCTCCATTCCATTTTGACATTGAGGTTAGGATGTAGGTACAGCCAATTCTTCCACATACCAGGGTCGCCAACACGTTTGCGTATGTTCAAACCATGAGAAGTGGAACACAACGTTCATCTGGTATTCCCAAGGGCAAGACCTTTATGGCATGTCTTATATTTCATCCTCTAGCGACGATCCATCCGATTACAAAATACCCAAAGTCGCCAGGTTTCGGATGATCCGTTCTTTCAGGGGAAAAGTGCGGGCTGTACCCTGACCAATTGCAATGGAGCCATCTACTGGAAATCGGAACTCATGTGATCATATATCATCCTTACAAATGTTGCGATCCCTGACAAGACTTCGCCTCCTTGAAATCTCTCTGGAATCACTAGCAGCCTTTGGACAAATAGAGGTTAGCTTTAATAGGCACCATTCGTCGACATTCCCGATATCAATATCTCAAGCCGTTCTTACGATCCTCTCACCGTACCCATTAGGGCTAAGATACACGGCTTCATTCTCCCAGCTGCAAGGGTAGTATGGTGAACTCTGAACGGGTGCGATTACTGGCACTCTTGACTCACAGCATATGGTGTTCTTTGGTGGTTGCGTCGGCGATGGCGTGGTACTCTGGAATTTTGAAGCTTGTTAGATTGTCAGGCTGTTGTGACAGGTGGGTCCGACTGGATTTTTCGAAGCACATTTTGAGTAACAGGGAGTTCACCAAGCAACTCTACTAGATTACTCTTGCGTAGCAAAGCGTTACGCAAGCGACCCAGGGGGTGTTGGCAGGCTCTGCTTATCAATCTTCCTAATGCTTACCGCACTCTCTTCACACTCTACGTCGGTCTCGTTCCTGGCCATGGTTCATGTGTGTGGCTCGCCTGCTTGACGGAGTTGCTATCTCTTCCCCACCATTGGCATGGCCTCTTGGTATCGTTTGCATTCGGCGCCGTGAACGACGCGCACGGAGCGAGCCGATTCAAGATTAGGGGAAATCGTCAAATTAAGCAAGTGGGGAAACTGACATTGGACCAACCCTTTCAACATCCTGCGACGATGGCTGCAGTATGCAATCTTCTTCATAAAGAGCTAGGGATCGCTATTGGCAAGGGTCTCTATAGAATCACACAGCCTGACCCCTTCCCTCGCTACCATTCATTGAATGCTTTGTGTCACAGACCATTGCAACTTTGACCAACTCTTCTTTTGACATACATGCAAGAGACACACAATGTCGCAACCTTTGAGACTTCACACTTTTTAACTAGAGGTCGTATTGGGATTTGTCCTAGAGCGATTGTAGCTTTCGCATTCTCTTCACTATTGCCGACAGCCTTTCTGCCATTGGGAACCATTGGAGCGCGCTGGTTAATCGTTCCAACAGGTTGGGTAAATTCGCAGCTCAAACGCACAGGTTTCTCCAGATCTTGGCTGCATCAGCTGCATCAACCCATACTCTGACATGCGATGACTAGACTTTCGGATCACGGCGCATTCGGGTTAAAACGATGTGCATGCCCTTCACCGCCTACTTCAAATTACCTTTTCCATACGAGTCTTTTCAATTGGCGGAGTTATCCACAATTCTCCTCTGAATGGCCATTAACAGTTCACGGATCATTCCTCCTTCCCAATCATTGGCTAATGCAAACCTCCTGCACATTGCTGGTCAGTTTCCTTGAAAGTCTTCGAAAGGGCGATATCCCGAACATCTGGTCGACCAAAACCACGGATTGTAGAGCATCCGAGCTTCATTTCCGCTGTTGGCAGGCAATGACCCCAAGTAAGGATCACGCGCACAAAGAGAGGTTTTCAGGAGGAGCTTGTGGCCCTATTCTACTTGCCCTAAGGGATCCTTAGTCGTAGAGCGAGTATACTTACCCTCATACAGGTTATTCCACTGTTCGAAATGTGGAAGTTCCTGACGAAATCTTCTTTTAGGTTTTGGCCTTTAGAACAGCTCTCTTAGGACCTCAACTTTTCCTCAATTCTGAACAAATCTCTCTGTGTTTTTACGCTTATTTTCCAGCAAATATTACAATATAATCCAAATTTATCTTCAAGACATTCGCTTCCATGCACAGCGTCAAACTTGGTAGCTAGCACACCACCATTGTGTAGACAAGGCCCTTGTTGTACTGGGTGAGCCTTGCCACCTGACACGCAAACTCCAAGGAACCAAAACGATAACGGTCTGTACCCTGCATATCCGAAAATATGCCTGAGAGTGGTCGAATCCTGCAAAGTTCGCATCCAGGTGCAGGATTACCACACTTGGCGGCTATAGTGGAGCATTTTATCCAGCACAAAATCATGGAGAGGCGCCTGCACTTCAGATTTCGGGCCTGCCATCTACTGGAGAAAAGCGATCCTGGTAATCTTCGTGGCGTACGAATCCCTTCCCCACACTAAACGCGGATCTACCATCTAGGCCATGCTTGATCCCTGGTGCCCGCATTTAAGAGACCACGTTCGACAGGTCCGTGTGTGAACAGGTAATAACGTTACTGCCGCTATACCCTTACCTCCTCTAGATGCACCCGCATTACTTAGGTCTGGATCCTCGATCATCAATTCAGCTTGAATCTTCAAGACACCCTCCACTTCTTTCTAAGCCTTCTACGTGGTGCTCTCTGGATCCTGACGGTTCCCTCTAGTCGCACTTGTGATGGCGGGAGATTTCTCGAGTCTCACTTCAGACGTGATATCGCATTGGCCAGTAACGAGCAATCCCAACACTACTAGACGAAATTGGTATCCAGCATTTAGCATTACCCTTGTGAGCAGTTCGTTCATCATACTGGCCGCTCGGATTTCTGCACATAGGAAGAAGCGCGATGGTCGCTTTGGTCTTGACGACGTCCTCGTATGCGCCGCCTGGGTAGGTTTCCCTTGTCTTAAAGAAGCTATGTGCTGATACTATTTCAGATATTTGCCGCATTATTCACTGCATCCAGCGTGACAGGTGATTTTACTTCACCGCCAGCATGAACACTTGCTGATACGCCTACTAAAGGGACATTGAAGTACGGGTTTGATAGACACATGTGGGATCTCGAGCCTCAGCTTTATAGCTGCGCAGCTCTGGTGCTTGCTCCTTTTCTCTTGGCTAGATCCATTGGCTGACGATTGCACAGATAGAATGGCTATGTGAAGGAGCATTTCTTTTGAGTGCTTGTTTGACGAAAATTTCAGTACTCTGTTTTTATCGCAGGCTAGATCCCCCTTGCACAAGAGCTCTGAAACGGATCATTTACGGCTTCATAATACTAACCTCGCTTTACACCTTAGCATTTCTGTTGTATCAGACTCTGCTTTGCCATCCCGTCTCCGCATATTGGAAAATACCTTATCGAAACCACCAAATTCGGCGATCTTGTGCTAGCCAACATGTCTCTTATCCTTTACAAGGGACTCTCAACTCAATATCTCTGCTCTACTCCATCACCACCCCTTTCTTGGTGCTTCGAAATATTCCAATGTCCATGGCCCAGAGGTGGGGGCTACGGGCGGTATCTGTTACAGGCATTACGTAGGATCTCTAATCTAGCTCTTTTGGCAGAGAGCTGATACATTGCAGCGTGATGGGGCTCTCAATAACGCGGACATGGTTTCTCGCACGTCTGGCTAGTAGTGCTAATGGAGATGCTACGTGTAAGAGACACTTCATACCATCTTATTTTCTTTTCGTCGAGGTCTGACCAAGTCAAAAGGGAATGGGTTCAATGTTTTCATCTGGTCACAGCTGGAGTTGAACCTTGCAATCATTTGCGCCTCAATACCCTTCCTACAAGTTTATCTCTTTGCGCACCCGCACGTTCCCATTGCCTGCATCTACCCAAATGGAAAGCAGCGAAACGACTCTGTCGTTACACGAGTCAGCAGTTCCCTTTCTGGCCAGATCAAACGCTCTTTGCATATTAGAGGGAGCAACAGCCCGCGACAAGTGAATAATATCTCAATGCCACAGGCAGTGGAGATACCGGAATGGGAATTTGAAACGCTCAGGGGTTCGCCGCGGGCAGCCACCTCACCAGTGGACCTCAGCATATACGAGAGATACATGGCTGGTCACTTCGGACCAATTCCCCCGCCGAAAGATAGTAGAGACCTCTTTGACCAATACCGGCGCGAGCATGGAGAGTTGGTTTGAGGCACTGGGGCCTGGCCGTGAGAGTAGAATCTGGGTTGTGTGTTCCAATGCAAGGCAGTGGATCTTCTGTGAATGTTCTCCTGATAGATGCATTTTTGGAGTTGAAGATAATCTTTCTGAGGCTAGTTGATCGCCGTTCAGTTTCGAATAAAGGTGGCTTGTGATTCCGTGCAGGTTGCCATGTGCGCATCTCATGAAGACAGTTGCACGACAGTAGGTACAACATCAGGGGGCGGGCCGCCTGCTTTTGGGCCGTTGCGGCGAAGGACCATGAATGCATTCACCCTACAGGTCGGCTAAATCGGGTCACCATCAATGTCATGCAGCTCATTGAGCTCGGACCAACAGCTTGCGCCAAAAGAAGCCTAGTTCCGTGGCCCATGCCGGGGGGGGGGGAAGGGAAGGGACAGGACTCGAAGCAGGCGCACTAAAGAGCGACCGTAAATGCAGTGACCTTCCGCCATCACTCACAGAGACAATCTTCGGTGCGGCCGCAGCCACAGGTATATGCGAAGATGGTTCTCTCCTTTATCCTCATTCAGAATCGCCAGTACGTTCCCTGCTGCTGTCAGCCGTGTCGCATCACACCTACCTCAACCTTGGGACTGACATTATACTCGATATAGAGGGAAGACTCGGCTGGCGAAATGGTATGCGCCGTATAGTGTAAGTCCCAGCCTTTCTCAACATATGCATGCTCTCTCGGAGTCACATACTAATCCATGCCGCTAGGACGAAGAGAAGGTGAAGCTCAAGGGTGAGGTACGCTGACCCGATTACCCTCATGAGCCCAACACCCGCTCGCGCGGAGTCCCCACTCTTCCTTCTGTACCACGAGCCCAGAAAACAACGCTATGTTGAACTGGACTTTCACATGGTCTGCTTGCCATAATTGAAGATCCTATTTAACCAAACGATCTGCAGGTCCACCGCCTCATTGCCCCCCGCGACCAGAAGCACCAATCCAACTTTGTCGAGTTTCGAAACACATCCAAGATCGTATACCGCCGCTATGCAGGGCTCTTCTTTTGCGCCTGCGTCGATACGAATGACAACGAGTTGGCGTATCTCGAGGCAATCCACTTCTTTGTTGAGGTGCTGGATGCCTTTTTTGGGAATGTGTGCGAGCTAGATCTGGTCTTCAACTTTTACAAGGTGGGTGAATGAGTAGTGGCCACCTTCTCTTCTTACGAGACTGCAACCGGGTTTGATGAACCCAAGGGCTGACTCGAAGGTCGTAGGTGTATGCTATTCTCGACGAGGTCTTCCTTGCGGGGGAGATTGAAGAGACAAGCAAACAAGTCGTCTTAACCCGGCTTGAGCATCTCGACAAATTAGAGTAAGGAATATCAGACACGCGCTGAAGGAGGAACTCGCATCTGGTCATTGCTGCAAGCCTAGCCGAACCGGCTTCCTGAAGCTTTGCTGCAAGCTACTAACAAGGTATGTCAGGAGGCTGGAGTCAGGGCATTCGATAAAGGGAGTGGAATGAAATCTCATGGGGATGTGATGCGTCAGAGTCGATGAAGGATTGAGATGGACAAAACTCCCCACATCCCGTTCTACTTCGAGCGGCATGTGGAATCAAGACCGTGGAGCACAATTGTCCAATGGCAGACATTGCGAGACAGGCACGTTGATCCGTTAGATATGTCGGTCATAGAGTGCTGCCTCATAGCTGAGAGACATATATGAACAAGTCACATAATACAGCATCCCATTCCAACATTCGTGTGAAATTTTTCGGGCCATCCGAAGCTTGCCGTAGTACGCTGCACGCAGTTGTGCATTATTACCAAGAGCCTCGGAACCCTTTACGGGATTACATGTCCTTCAAAGCCTCCTCTGCACATGACAGAAAAGGAGCTCAACCCCTGTTTTGAGCACAGGCATAGATACAGGTGTGTACCAAAGAACCGCATCAACATAATCTCCATAGTTTGAGAAACTCGAACCTTGATGCTAAGCATTAACAAAAGGACGCCGGCTGTGAAGCGAAGGTAAAGTTGGCGCCCAATTGCACGTGGTGATCGGCTTAGGTGGTCTCTTGTCGGACGGATGCTGGGGTAGATCGCGGCGGAGGGCACGGGCCACTATACCTTCATGTTCTCACAAAATATGCCAGATTACCCAGATCAAGACTTCGACTTTCTTTTCCCCAGTCTGACGCCATCTCGCTCCCGCTGTGATATGGTGCCTCCCGCAATTCGCACGCGCCGTTATAGCCCCTCAATACGTGCGTGAAGGCGCGTGCACCACAGTTGTCCTCGACCACGCCCACCATCCCCCCTCTCTCAATCATGTCGGACTTCTCAATGTACCATGCCTTGGGGCAAGGCTCGCCGAACCCGAACGGACCCCAGCGAAAGAATGAACCGAACAAGTTCCGGCCTCCTGTCGCAGCTAGCCCTGGGGGTTATCAACAGGCCGGCAGTGCAGCAGTTGGCCATACACCCAACCAATACATAGGAACGCCAAACCCAAACACTCCTCCAATCCAAGAACAAGGCTATTTTCCTCCACAGCCGCCGCCTGCAAAGCAGAATGAATCTGGCATGAATAATATAACATCTCAAATGGGAGCGGTGGGGTTGGGAGTGGATCCAGCGGGGCAGCAGAGGCCACACAAGAAGAAGGACCGGCATGCGTATCACAATATCGAGGGCCCAGGTGGAAGCTCACAGGCATTCAATGGGATGCCTCAGAGCGGCACAGCGACCCAATTCCTGAACCAGAATACCCCCCAACTGGGTTCAGGGCAATGGGCGAGTCCACAGGTCACTCCCGCTATGTCACAATTCCCGGCTGCAGCGCCAATGTATAGCCCCGCGAACCCAGCCTCAAATATGCAGCATGCTGCTCGGCAAGGAACGCCTTTGGGTGGATCTCCTGCCTCAACAAGCCAGGGCCGTGTCGACCCAGAGCATATACCCAGCATTCCAAAGTCTCGAGACGCACCGGCAAAATACTATCTAGAGCACGTATATCCGACTATGGAGCACCATTTGCCGCCTCCTGCTCTTGTCCCTTTCGTAGCATACGACCAGGGCAATTCCTCTCCAAAATTCGCTAGACTAACCCTGAACAACATCCCCGCTTCTGCCGATGCGCTCGCATCCACGTGTTTGCCTCTAGGTCTGGTTCTTCAGCCTTTGGCCCCGCTGCAAGAGGGAGAACAACCCATACCGGTTTTAGACTTCGGCGAGACAGGGCCTCCAAGGTGTCGACGATGCCGGGCCTACATCAATCCCTTCATGACCTTCCGCTCCGGAGGGAATAAGTTCGTTTGTAACATGTGCACATTCCCGAACGACGTCCCTCCCGAGTACTTCGCTCCAACAGATCCATCGGGTGTCAGAGTGGACCGGATGCAGAGGCCGGAACTGACATTGGGGACTGTCGATTTTATGGTCCCGAAAGAGTACTGGTCTAAGGAGCCTGTCGGTCTAAGGTGGCTATTCGTTATAGACGTTACTGCTGAAGGCATCAACCGTGGATTTCTGGACGGGTTTTGTGAAGGTATCATAAACGCACTGTACGGTGACGAAAAAGATAAATCGCAAGACGAGGGAGCTTCCCAACGTAAACTTCCTCCAGGTTCAAAGGTTGGCGTCATCACATACGACAAGGAGATCCACTTCTACAACATTAGTCCAGGATTAGATCAAGCCCAGATGATGGTGATGCCGGACATTGAGGATCCTTTCGTGCCGCTCAGCGAGGGTCTCTTCGTGGATCCTGAGGAGTCCAAAGCAGTGATTACCTCCTTACTCACACAACTTCCGCACATGTTCTCAGAGGTGAAGAACCCTGAACCTTCCCTACTCCCAGTACTAAGCTCTGCTGTCTCCGCTCTTACGGCTACTGGAGGCAAGGTCATATGCTCACTAGCAGCCCTTCCCACCTGGGGTCCTGGCCGTCTATTCCTTCGAGATGACGGCAACTTGCACAACACGGATGCGGAGAAGAAGCTTCTCACTACGGAGCATCCAGGCTACAGAAAGGTTGCAACGAAGATGGTAGAGAGTGGAATTGGCATAGATTTCTTTATGGCAGCACCAAGTGGAGGCTATCTAGATATTGCCACAATCGGTACGTTCACGCCTTCCCTAGTGTTGCCGAGCGATTGGTTGCTTACAGCTCATTAGGCCATGTCTCTGCTATGACAGGTGGCGAAGTATATTACTATCCGAATTTCCACTCTCCACGGGATACGCTAAAGCTTTCAAATGAGATCAAACATACGGTATCTCGAGAAACTGGCTATCAGGCGCTCATGAAAGTTCGATGCTCAAATGGCCTTCAAGTATCCGCATACCATGGCAACTTCTACCACCACACATTTGGCGCAGATCTAGAATTTGGCGTTGTTGATGCTGATAAGGCAATTGGTGTCATGTTCAGTTATGATGGTAAACTGGACCCAAAGCTGGATGCCCACTTCCAGAGTGCACTCCTCTACACTACTGCGAGTGGCCAGCGACGCGTAAGATGCAGCAACATCGTTGCCAGTGTCAGCGAAGGTGCGGCTGAGGCGATGAAATTCGTCGATCAGGACGCTGTCGTGAGCATCATCGCTAAGGAAGCCGCCGCCAGAGTGACCGAGAAACCCATTAAAGAAATTAGAGGCGCATTAACCGAGAAGACTGTTGATATCCTCGCGGGATACCGGAAGAACTTCACCGGGAACAATCCTCCCGGCCAGCTTGTTCTCCCAGAGAACCTCAAGGAGTTCAGTATGTACATTTTGGGCCTGCTCAAGTCAAGAGCATTCAAAGGTGGCAAAGAGCCCACTGACAGGAGAGTCCATGATGTGAGAATGATCAAGTCCATGGGACCTCTGGAAATGTCCTTATACCTTTACCCCCGAATCATCTCAATACACAACCTCGACGAAAAAGATGGGTTCCCCAACGAGAACGGCCACTTGAATATGCCAGACGGCGTTCGTGCATCGTTTTCGAAAGTCGAGGAAGGCGGTGCATACCTCGTAGATAACGGCCAAGTCTGCATACTTTGGCTGCATTCGCAAGTATCTCCAAATCTACTGGAGGACCTCTTCGGCGAAGGGCATACGAGTCTGAAACAGCTTGACGCTTTCGTATCATCTCTTCCAGTTCTTGAAACCCACTTGAACGCACAAGTTCGGAACATCATACAATACATGCAAACCAATAGAGGCTCAAAGTCTCTGACTCTGCAGCTTGCTCGACAAGGCCTTGATGGAGCCGAGTATGAGTTTGCAAGGCTATTGTATGAGGACCGTAACAATGAAGCGCAGAGTTATGTAGACTGGCTTGTCCATGTTCATCGGCACATCCAACTGGAGGTCAGTTCTCACAAAGTCCCCAACATATATATAATTCTTAACATATAACAGCTTGCGGGCCAGAGGAAGAAAGAAGACTCTGATAGCCTCAGTTCGACGGCGTCGACATTTGTGGGGTTGAGAACGCCGTACTGGGGCTGAGGATCGAGTGAGAAGGTATTCCATAGCGAACCTATTCTGGAGCCGTAGAGCGCTTAGAGTGAAAAATTATTAAATTTTCCAAATCAACCAGTGAATTTGAAGACTGGAGCTTTGAATCGGGTTGTGTCCGACAGTCAAGGCTCGTTAGCGCTAAAGATTGCAATGTCGTGAATGAAACAGACGCAATTTGAGGGACGCATGTGACATGTGATGTGCGGAAGAACCATCGGTCCGCGTTTAGCGAGCTCACCACGAAAGTGGGAACTTCAACTTCTTAAAGTTAACGTCCACACGAATTCAACACGAACCTAGACAGTCATCCAAAATGCCTACCAGGTTGACCAAGGTATGTTGCGCCGGTATGTGGGAATGTTGGTTAGGCTGACAATTCATTTTATAGACCCGCAAGCAGTACGTTCACCCACCGCTCGGGTCCTAACATAATTTCGCGCTGAGCCCTCTCATCCGAATTTGACTTACTGACAGCTTCATTACAGCCGCGGACACGTCTCCGCCGGTCATGGACGTGTAGGAAAGCACCGAAAGCATCCCGGTGGTCGAGGTATGGCTGGAGGTCAGGTACGCTCAAATACGGAATCAAAATCCATGCGAGCGACGGCTAACGTGGACATTAGCATCACCACCGAACGAACATCGACGTATGTTCACACACATATACCCAACCACTCCGTATCTCTCCATCTAATTGTATCTAGAAATACCATCCCGGTTACTTCGGTAAAGTTGGTATGCGCTACTTCCATAAGCTCCAGAACCAGTTCTGGAAACCGACTATCAACCTCGACAAGCTGTGGTCCCTAGTCCCCGCCGAGAAACGCGATGAGTATCTCAGCAAGAAGACCGACAAAGCGCCTGTTCTCGACCTCCTTTCCCTTGGCTATGCAAAGGTACTCGGCAAGGGCAGACTTCCTCCCAACATCCCCATCGTCGTCCGCGCACGATATGTCTCTAAAGAGGCTGAAAAGAAGATCGTGGAGAACGGTGGCGTCGTACAGTTAGTCGCATAAACACCCGAGGACTGACGGAACGAGCATTCGAGGTGTTTGGTCGGCATACGGAAAATTTGACTTCACTTCTGGGCTTTAGGGCGGTTGTGTGCTTGATGGCGCACAATTTGGCTCTTTCAGCGTGGTGGCTGGGGAATGGTGTACAGTTCATAGCCAATTGAACATCCATTCCTGAACAAACCATATCCTTGCCCGGGTCTCTTCCCGTGGCCCAGACGCTCCTCTAAGGGCGCGTTGCGGCCTCATTGCTGCTGGGAGGCCGGTGTTTGTGCTGTGACATGGATGAGTGATATTTGCGTGCTGTGATGCCCATTCATTCTAAGCGGATTGCATGCTCCTACCACGGCTAGCGTTTAGGCACATAGTTCCACCATCGCGTACTACAGATTTCATCCTGACGTCTTCAAGTGTTAGCATTCGCGTAAAGCGTTCTGCCTCGCTGAGAAGTCGTGACCAGGCTCGACTTGTACGTCGGATATACGGTGATCAACCCGCAAACGGGAACATTCACATTGAATGAACTTATAGAACCAAACCGTTGTAAGGGAGCCTCATTTCCTACTTACTTTTCGGATCAAACGTGAGACGTTTAGAAACCATACAGACACAGTGTTGTTAGGGTGGATGTAAATATTTCATTGGAGTCGTTTTCGTACTCATATAAATGTGAACATCAAAGCTTCGACTCTAATATGACCTCCGATAAATCAGTACCAACGTGCCCTAACAGAACCTCTTCTTAACACAAACAAAGAAGGGTTAAAATTGTGCATGGATCTGGGCTCTCGGTATTTTTCTCTGCTCCTGGGGCTTCCCCCGCGCTGGCTCCTTCGCCATTGCTGTTACCATTGCTGTTACCATTGCCGTTACTACCATTGCATCACGTCTAGTAGTATCTCGACACGGCCTACTCTCGCGCCACCACTTCTCCGAAGTGTATTCGCGTTTTGTGGGATCCACAGCTCAGTCCCGTCTCCCATGGCTAGGACCAGAGCCAAACCCCATCCCCATATCATGATTCCTACTCCACTCCATTCCACTCCTAACCTCCGGACTTGGACGAGATTTCTTCCTTAATTTCCTGGGATTCCCGCTTTGTTCCACCAATGCATCTCCACTCTCGTGTCCACAACCTGACCCTACCTCAACTCTAGCTCCATCCTCGGTCTCTGCATAGCCGTCATTCCCCTTCTCTATCTCTGCTTCTCTTTCCTCGTTTCGCCGTTTGATCTCCGCGTGCGCCATTGCGGCAGCTTCTTTGTCGATTTCGATGAACCGCGCGTGTGCTAGTTGGCGCAATTCCTCTGCGCTTGCGGATTTGGGGTCGTAGGGGAGGGGCGTGATGGTGGCGATTTGGTGCCAGAAGGCTTCGTGTGGGGTTCGTTGTTGTGGTTGTTGGTGTGTTCGGGGGGGTGGGTTTGAGGGGATACGGTGGGGTATGAGGCTGAGGGATTGTATTCGTTGAGGATTGGTGGTGTTGATTAGGTTTGCCCATGTGGACGGTAGTGGACCTGGCGGCGGAGGTGGTCCCAATCCTGGAGGTGGTGCTAGTCCTGGTGGTGGGCTAATTCTTGGTGGTGGACCTAGTCCTGGTGATGGTGCTAGCCCTGGACGTTGCCCTGGCTTCGAGGGTAGGTATGCTTTGAGTACTCCGCCTCTCTGGGTATACAACTTTGCTGGATCGATGGCAGTGCCTCCTCTGTAATACGCGCGTGGGGCCCATTCTGGGCCGAGAACGCGACGGGAAGATGTAGCAGGAGGGTTCTTCTTGATAGTTCGACTCCCCCCTCTAGAAGAAGGTGCCTTCTTGTGCAGTTTATTACGCTTTGGAGGAGGCGGCATCGAAGTTGCTTTGGTTCCGTCTCTTGAAGACTGCGACAACGAAGAGGAACGATGGGGAGAGATAGGCACAGGTATCCTACTGGGGTGTGTCTGTGCTATCGAATTTGTTCCTTTAAACATACTCCGGATCCTTTGTGACAAGGTCCCTTCGTTCTTCGTTTCCTCTCCCTCGCCGAGAACGTCCGGTGGCTCACCTGCTCTAGGTACAACTGGCACAAGTCTCGAATCAATAACATCTTCTGGATTCCCCGCCGGCGGCAAACTAGACTGTCCCACTCCAGGATCACTCCTGTTCCCTTGCATAACCCGGATTTGTATGGTATTATCCCCCATATCAGAATCAGAATCAGTTCCAGTCTCAATAGCCACCAATTCCTGGAGGTCCGTCAGGTATTGCGTAACACAGTACTGCTGATATCCTGGCGGCCGAACCTCCATCGGAATGGGGTTAAGCATTGGATGGAACCCTCTCCCTAGTTGTATCTCATCCGACGTACCTCGAGACCGATCACCAATCTTTCCGTACTTCTCCTCCTTTTCTCGTAGCCACGATTTCCGGGCTAGGCTGGAGGATGCAGCGAATTTCCTCCAGGGGACAGAGGATGACAGTTTAGTAGACAACGAGGACTCTGCGTCAAGGTGGTTGTGGCAAGAGTTTGGGTCCTCATGGAGAGACATTGTGAAGTACCTTAACACCGCTCGATGCAGTTTATAACAGCCGACATTTCGATACAATACACGAGAGCGAATATCACGGCGAAGTTTAATCCGTTGGTAAGGACCGTAATGGAAGGGTGGGGGGTGAGGGATAGAATTCGAAGAGGATGAAGAGGGGGTCATGGCGGGGCCTGAAGGGACCTGACAGTTAGTATCATTCTGTGGTGTAGGCGGCTCCATGAGCTCCGTTAGAGCAGATCTGGCGTTGGGGGAAGCTGTGGAGGCCATCTGCCCAATTTGCGGTTGTTGAAGGTGGCGGCATCGCCTGTACAGTGTGGTCGAGACATCTAAGGGTATCCGAAGTATTCGAAACACCATCATGGCTATGTGGGGTGGGGGAAATGTTAGCTGAACCAGACTTTTAACACCCACGGTACCCACCGTTATTTCCTCGCCCAACATTTCATGTTTCCCGAGAGTGCAGACGTGGCCGGTCACAGAACACGCCACGAGAATTCACAATCGGAGCGACGTTTTCCATTTGAACTTTACCGCTCTCTTATTTCTGCTCCAAAGGAGGAAGCTGCAACAACTCCCTTAGGGTTGCCTCTGCAGCGCCAGGTTCCACTGTGCCTTCAGCGCTCCTAGCCATCATTTGCCCAACGAACCATTTCAGTTTCTGATGCTGCTGATTTTCGACAATATCTCTTACCATGTCTGGCTTCCCTTCTAGGACCTTCTCAGCCAGTGCCGTGTACTCTTGACGGGACAGTGGCCGTAGAATCATATCATCGTCAATGATAATGTGTTCGACTAAGCGGGCGTCTCCTTCAAATTTCATGGAAAGGAGAAGCTTCGCGGTCCGGCCGGTAATCTGCTTGCGTAGTAGATGGGCTATGATGGCTGCGAGCGCATCCGAAGGGACGCGGCTGCTGGACCACTCCTCATTCTTGAACAGTCCGCCCAATTCCATGAGGACCCTGAATATTTGTTAGCTCACTTGATAACACAGAATGACCATTTAACGCGGATTGGCGGAGAAATAAACAAAGAAGCGACGGAGCGTGTAGCGCCCGAACTTACCAGTTCCCCGCCACTTTTCCAACACGGCTTAGAACATCACGAGTTCCGGAGAAGGTACTTCGGAGGTTCTCAACGACATCAAAATAGTAGTCTAACCGATCGCCGTCATCAAGGAGGAGAAGAGTGCTCGCATCTTTGGACGTCAGTCCGTATTCTTTAGATACGAGCTTCTGTATGTAATCGTCCGACAGCATGGGGAGAGTCTCCCGAAGGTGCTCAACAACGTCCTAGCAATGTTAGTCAGATGGATCGCGGGAACGCAACGGTCACATACATTTCCAACAATGATGGGTGCGATATCTGGGTCGGGCATATAACGGTAGTCGATCTCGCCTTCTTTGCCTCGCAGCCGCTTCGTTGTCTTGCTGCCGATTGTCCACCCACGTGTCTCTCCTTCTACAACACCGCCGCTCTCTAGTAATCCGATTTGTCGATCTCGCTCGGCGATAATTGCCTCTTCAACTGCCTTTACACTTGCTAGGTTCTTAATTTCTGTCCGCTGCCCTAGGCCGCTAACCCCATAATATGATAGACCGGCTACTCCAGCCTGCGCATTTCGCTCACGAACCGAAACGTTCACGTCTGCACGAAGACCGCCCATTTCCATACCAGCAGTTACCGCATTGACGGCTTTGAGTATACCTTGTATCTTGCGCACACAAGCTGCGGCCGTCGAAGCATTATGGATATGAGGAAGCGTTATTATTTCAATGAGAGGGTGGGATACACGATTGAAATCGAGGAGATAGGTGGAAGGGGGCTGAAGCACGGTTTTGGCTGTGTCTTGCTCTATCTGAATCTGCCTTATGCCAATTGTCACAGGACCGCCCTCGGGCGAAACACCACTAGGGAAATCGTGAGGGTAGAGTGTGATGTGGCCATCCCGTGCAAAGGGTTCTAGTGGGTTGAGTAAGAAGAGCCTTTTCAAATCAATCAAACGAGATCTCACCATAGTACTGGGTAATCTGGTATCCAGCAGGCTGGTCCTGATAAAAATAGTGTTTTCGGTCAAAGGTACTTTTTTGCTGGATGTTGCAACTCAAAGCTAGAGCAGAACGCAAGGCAGGAATGAGTGTCTCGATCTGGAAATGAGGCTGAGATCCTGGAAATGCGGCATCAAACAGAGCAACATGAGTATTGGGCAATTCGTTGACAGAAGTGGTAGCGCTGGAGAATAGCTTCCGGGCCGTGTTGAGCTCTGCATGGATTTCGATTCCGACCGTGAGCTCCCATTTCTCTAGCCGAGTGTCTTTGCCTTTCTGCGACTTCTTTGAAGCCCCAGCATTTTCGCGTTCCTGTTTTCGTTTCTGCTTTGCGGCATCTTTCAGCGATTTCCGGAACGGCGCGTTGTCCTTATTGGGAGCATTGTCCTGTGTCTGAAGAGCTCGGCTTGTAATCTTTATGACGGGGTGCCTAGAAGCTAATAGCTGCGGTTTCACCCGGCACAGACACGACTGACATATATACGGTCTATTGGAGAATGCAGCGAGAGCGGTGCGGAAGGGGTGGGCAAGCATGACGTGAAGAGCTCTGTTGGATTGAAGTCGGGACAAAATCGATACTCACAAGCGTCCGTGCGCCGCTTCCGAACGGCACAGGCGCCGTGACCCCTTGAGCCACAACTTCTTGACCAACGGTCGAAGGCGTTTTTAACGCGACTTGGTGGAGGATACCATTGGTGTGGATGAGGCTCCCGCAGCTGTCGTGGCTCCTATCCCTGTTGATGCAGAGGAGCCAATGCCTACTCCTCCAGAGCAACGTGTACCAACTCCTCCCATTGACGCGGAACAACCAATGCCTGCTGCACCGCAAACCCCAGTCCTTCAGATGCAGTGCACAAACACCGTTCGCTAGGGAAACGAAGGTGTTTTGTTTCGATTTCGGGGTCAAGTGAGGAAAATACTTTCTGATTTTGTAGGAAGCAAGAATGAGGTGTTGGATGGCCAAGGAGTAAAATTGAAATTTCATAGGGCAGAGCACTTACGCTGGTCCAAGGTTTCCTTATCCTGGCGAACAGAGTGGAACGAGGAAGGAGGGATAGACAGCGCGGGCAGAAGGTACATATGGAGGGTATCATCCCATGCCTAGGTAAGCTGTCCTTCTCGCCTTCTACCTTGGGTTGAGGACTTGACGTTATGGGAATGGAAGCAATTTGATAGCTGGCTGTGTTTGGAACGGTGCTGGAACTATTTCACGGATACGATCAACACCAGGAGCAAGAATTGTCTTGGCTATATTACTCATTGAATGCTGAGGCTTGAAACCAGGGTCCGCTGCATACATGCTCGCGTAGGACTACAAAAAAAAAAAAAAAGACTGGCATGCCCAAGGTCTAAGACAGATAGCCAAACCGAAAAGGGATCCAAGTCTACACGAGTCAATCATGTAATATTGAAAAGTAGAAAAAGGGTATTGTGGCAATGCAGAACTCGTGCCAGAGAAATGCTAAACGCGCGAACTTGGGAATATAAAAGGAAAAATAATGAACGTGTGAATATATAACAGAGAAATGCTTTTAACCCATGAGTGAATTAGATTGTTAGCGATAATGTAGATGGCAATCCGTAAAGTCGTCAGTTGGTCCTTGCATCTTCCCCTCTCCACCGGTGTGCGCTGCATCCCCGTCCCTTGCTTCGTCCAACGCCGACGTGCGCCCCCGCGGTAAAACATGTGGCTTTTTCGTCATGTCGATGCGTACGTGTAACATCATAAGTCCGCTTGCATTGGCTGCTTCGAATGCTCCCGGTTCCAAGCCAGATCGAGACTTCGGCATGGACTCCTCTGCCTCCCCACAAGTGCTCCTTTGCAGACGTCGCTATCGCGCCTCTGTGGCTTTACGACCGACCTGATCCGACCCTTGCGAGCTCCTTTATCCTAACCACGGGTGCCTTGCTAAAGCGTCGGCTGTTCGTCGATGACGAGTTCGATGACGAGGACTTGGTCGATGTGGGAGACGATGCATAGACGTACTCGCCGTCCACATACTGGGCATCGCTGAAGAAGGTGGTACGCTTTTCGCGGCGGGTGTAGCGCTGCTCAAGACGGTAGAGCTCAAGTCCTGCTAGTGGTTAGGGCGAAGTTGTTCCCTTGCCAACGACCATGATCGGCAAACATACTGGCTTGGAGCTTCTCTATCAGACCCATTGTGAGAGCAGAAAGGACAGAAAGTTGTTTCGAGAGGGAATTGGAGCGATAAGGAAGTCGAAACGCAGCGAAGCGAGGAAGTTATATCCCGAGAAATCGTGCAGGGACAGGGAACACGGCTGTAGTCCTGACGCAGAGACAGCAACAGCAAGGCGGCTGCTCTCTATGCGACGCGGGGGATCAACGACGAGGACGGCGGCTAGAAAGAACGAGTGCAGGACGAGCGCAAGACGGCAGAGATGAAGGAAACAGGCGGGGAGAAGGGAACAGTGGGCGTTGGGAGAGGGTTGCAGGGCAACGTTGCTTGGGGGGGCACGGGTCAGTCCTGCAGAGATGGGGACAGGACACGGCTGGCGGCCTTTTCCACGTTCTGGAAGGGTTAATCGAGCACTTGCTAGGGCCGCCACCGATGGCACCGGCCACTCACCGAGAGAGCCTGTCCCGCGCCATGTCTGTCGACTTCTGCGCTGCACCTGGGACAGGCACACGCACACGCAGCTGCATTGCTGGATGGCCTCACTCTCACCTCTCAATCTTGCGGGCTTCTTGAGGTCGACAGCCAGAACCTGCGCTTCTCGGTCGCACGCAGCCGGAAACCTGCTGAGGCCCTCGGCTTGCCTTCGGGCGTTCTCTTGACTCGGCTTGCTTTTCCCGTGTGCGAGTCAAGAAATCCACGTGGAAGCCGTGCGCTAGCCTCTTTTCGATCCAGACATGCGCCACCCCTCTGCAGGACCAAGGGGCGCATTGATGGCTCGAAAGCAAAATCCCTACCACAACTGAGTGGGTCATCGACGAAGACGGACACTTCATGCGTAGAAATAGCCTTTGAGAGCCCGGGGTCAATTACAATTACAGAAAGGAAACCCCTTCCCAGTATTCGCCGTCGCGCTCGTGTTTGAATTCCAGGCCAATTCCTTGGACGTAAAACAGAACGCGCCATATGCTCCATGCAGAAATGCTCAGACAACCTTCCCCACACGCCTATCGACATGTCTATTTGCCATCTCCTTTTATAGTCTCGATTCGAGGACTGACCCCTCGACCACGGCAACCGCTCCCGCATTTCCAGCATCAGAGGAGCCGTTGAGAAGAGAAATGACAGAAATGACATCAGACGGCTCCACGAGGTGCCAACTCGCAAGCGTTTGCTTCGAACTGGCGCCGACAGTGACCGAGAAAACGTGGTCCTGGGGCAACTCGGACTGTCGGAGAGAGCGGAACATGTCTAAGCCGTGTCAGTCAGTGTATGACTCAATTAAGAGAATGAAGCAAAACTCACCTTCGTCCGTAAAATCGTCGCCGAGACAAAGTACAAATTCAGGTGCCTCTCCCGCGCCCTCCCCGTAGTCTTGAATCAGTCTCTTCGCGATTTCCCCCTTATTCACGAACCGTGGTCGCACCTCCAGATTTGCCTTGCCTGTCATGACTTCAACATCGTATTTCTTCGCAACCGTTTTCTCGAGGTGTTTCTGGCATTCCCGAGCTTGGAAAGCACCAAACTCAGGGTCGGCTCTCCGGTAATGCCAGGTAAGGGCAATTTTCTTCCGCTCAATGTGCGCTCCAGGCGTCCGCTCAGTGTAGTGTTCGAAGATGTGCATGACTTCAGACTGCCAGCTCATGTCTGTTGTCTCGGTCAGGTTTTCCCAGTCATCGCTTCGCGGATGGCGCATGAAGCTTCCGTGCTCGGCACTAAGACCAAGCTCAGAAATGGAGCCCATCCACTCATCTAGGAACTTCTGGTCTCTACCGCTGATGATCCAAACAGAATTATTCGGGTCTGCAGCCAGTGTTTTCAGTGTGCGGATAACCCGGTCTGAGGGAATGGCGGATTGTGGATCTCTGACAATGGGAGTCAAAGTACCATCGTAATCAAACATGAACAGTCGCTTCTTTGCCTGCCGATATTGAGAGAGAACCTTGGCTTTGTCCAATGACGGAGTCGCGAATGACTGGTCAAATGAGGACAGATTGGTCATAAGTCTCTTGAGGAAGTTATTCGTCCACGCCTGTACGTTGTTCGCTATGACATGCTTGTACAGCATTTCATGCGACTCCTTGCGCTGGTCTTGAGGCATCGTCAACGCTTCATTTATAGCATCCGCTACGCCGCTAAGATCCCAAGGGTTGATGTGAAGAGCTCCACTAAGCGACCCGGCGGTTCCTGAGAATTCGGACAGAATGAGGGGACCACGGTTTTCTCTCTGGCAAATGACATATTCAAGGCTGGTTGTGTTCATGCCGTCTCGGACGCTGGTAATGAGACCAACATCAGCAATGCGAAGCAGCGCAAAGTACTCTTCTCGAGAGAGGTATTGCGGGAAGTGCTGAACAGGAGAATAGCTGAGAGAGCCGTAGGTACCGTTGATTCTAGACATTATTTCTGAGATTTTATTGACGATTTTGCTGTCATCGTCTTCGTCTTTGGTACCTTGGACGTTGCTTGGACTGGTGACTTGGATCAAGACAACCTTTTCGTGCCATTCAGGGTATTTCTCGAGGAAAATTTCAAAAGCCTGGAGTTTTTGTACCACACCTCGGACGGAGTCGAGTCTGTCTCTACCAACAATGATCTTCTTGCCTTCGTACAGATCACGGATAGCCTTAATCTTCTCTTCGATAGTTGGGTCACCATATGCTTGCTGTTGCGTAGAGGAGGCATTGATGCCAATCGGGAAGACATCTACTGCGACGTGAGCGCCATAGGCATCGACGCCTGCAGATGAAGAGTCAAAGCCAAGGATCCGCGTACAGCACGAAGAAAAATGCCTTGAGTAGCTGTAAGATTGAAACCCAATCATGTTAGCACCTAAGACACCTTCTAGAATCTCTTTACGCCTACTGAGGCAGCGGTAGAATTCGCTACTTGGGAATGGGACATGGAGAAAGAAGCCGACGTATACATTTGCTTGACGCTGACGGAGAAGGCTGGGTAGAAGGAGAAGATAGTAATCGTGGACGACAATTATATCACCGGGTTTATACAGCTCCATGATCCGGTCTGCAAAGAGCTTGTTCATGCGGTAATAATCGGCCCACGACTTCCGTGCCGCGCGACCGTCGGCGGGCTCGTTTACTTTGTAGTGGAAGAGTGTGTAGAGCTCGCGCTCGGCATATCGACGCCACCGGGACTGGTCTTTCATGATTGCTACATCTTTCTCTTCATCTATTTCATCAATGAGCCACACTGGAACAATTCTGCCGCCGTGGTCGCGTTCAAGCTGTTTCTCCAAGCGCTCTCTGTCCTGGCGGCTGATTTTAAGCCCTTCTGGAGGAGGGGGTGGCGGTGGTACTGATCGAGGGTCCACAGGAATGGGAGCGGAAGCTTTACTTGGCGGGGCATCCTGAGTTGGAGGCCCACGAATTTCTCCTGTCCAACCAACCAGAGTATGATTCCATGGTGACGAGGCCGAGGCTAGGTAAGAGAAGGAGTCAAACAAGGCAGAGGTTCCGCGGCGAGATTTCAGCTCCTATGGCCCACCTTTTAGCAATCGATTGGTAGGCATGGAAGAAGACAACAGAATTCCACTTACCCACTCGTTACCTGGCGAGAAGCCAATGTTGTAAGGCACGGCGAAAGTAGCGCTAAGAACTCTTCCGCTGAGATTCAAATTAGGATGTGCTGCCCGCGGGTCTATGTCTGCTAGATCATGCTTGACTTGCGGGTCCGGTATCAGGCTCAGACGTCGTAGGAGCTCTTCTGCCGTGCGAGCACCAGCGGCAGCCTCGGTTGGAGAGCTTGAGCGTGCCTCGTGTTTTGGCGCAAAGTACGAATTCGCGTTCCACTGGGGACCTGGTGTGGCCGTGTCGGGGTCAAAGGGCAGGTTAGTGCTGTGTGCAGTGCCCTCAGGCTCAATGTATGCAGAGTGGCCGGCCATATGCACGCCAGGGGTGACGGGGACAGAGGTGATGGAGGGTTGCAGCGCGGGGTGTGTGGAGGTGCCAATAGGAGCAGGAGGATCCTGGGCAGGCTGTGAAGGAGGAGAAGCCATTTAGACGGAGGAGGTTTCTTGAGTATCGCGCTGCATGGCCGGTTAGTCGGTAGCCATATAGGTGAGATGAGGTGAGTTGCAAAGGTAGGAATAGAGGGAAAGAGAGGCAAACTGCCACAACGGGCAAGATTCCGGGCACCTTGTGCGTGTGACAGAAATTGTCAAGCCAGCACGACTGCGGTAAGCTAATTTACCTTTTTCTAAGGGTGGAAAGGCCACCTTTGGGTATGGCTGCTGGATGGGGCACTTTCGACGAGTTGCACGCGCTCAAGCTTCGAACATCGCTGGGACCGGGCTGTTGTCGGCCGGTTTGGTGGTTCCTAGGGACGTCCGAGAGAGAGAGAGAACAGTATTTAAAGGCGCAACACAATTCACAATTAGGTCAGGAGAGGAGGTTGAGGAAATGCTGAGCGGAAATGTCTCATCACTGGCGAACCCCTCCAGCCCACATTGTCGTCGGTCGCGTCATACCCAACCAGGGAGCCCGCTCGGGCCATGCCGTCTTGCAACAGGACTTTGCAGCTTTGTGAGAACATCAAATATGACGCAACGATAAGGCAGAGTTCCGAGGTTGCTTTGTCCAGAGTTAATCACGTAGACTAGGCAAGTAGAGCAGAAAAGTCGCAAACGGGCGGTCTGCTGGGCTGTTACCGGTGCTAAAATTCACTTACTGTCCAGAAAGCCTGTCTGATCTTGCAGCAACGGATCGCCAAGAGGCTCAAGATGCTCGTATGATTTTTGCCCGCCATCACAGATGTCGTGGGCCAGAAGAAGAAAATAATGGCTTGTGCGCACACATCAAAAGTTCAAGTCACGTGAATGCAGTCCTAGTCCGGTGCGGCATAGTGGGCTTGGCAATATGTTTTGCGAAGAAGTTCGCCCAAACTCCCACAGGAGCGCGAAACCTAGTTGTTGATGCCCACCATCTTGTGTTGTCTTAATCTGTTGCCATTGCGTGCCTCTCATGAAGCCCCATCGCCCTCGGTCAATATGTGGCTCTCATAATCCATTCACGCCCTCTACTGCCTTGTGGCAACACTTCATCCTTCCGTATCGACCGTTGCCATTTCAGCAGCGTTTATCGTCCTCTGTTGCTTCAAATCTCCAGCAGGGCGACTCCTCGCTATCGCCTGCCGAGCCTCCAATCTCCGGACCACTCTCCTCGCTGAACAGTGGAACCAAGGGTGAGAAGAAGGGCCTCAATATCGCCGATCTAGAGAGCGTTCGAGCCTCGAAAGAAATATATTCGGGAACCGGTGTAAAACTGATAATCTCGAAGCCTCGGAGGCAGGTTGTCAACAACCCTAAGCGCGCATTCGCACACGTGACAGATTATGAAGGTGTCGTCGTACCGCCTCTGAAACCTATCCAGGGTGTCAAGGAGGGCATTCTGCCATGGATTGTCCGCCATGAAAATAATAGCATGGGCGGGAAGGAGAGGTGGGCTTGCTCTGCCTTCCCCTTGCAGCGACCAGATTAAATGCTTACACGTAACGGCAGGCTATCGCTTGAAATTAAAAACTTTCATGAATACATACAACCTACTAGACTCGAAGCGCTTGCCAGGAGGCAGCTGATACAAAGAGTACGGTCGGAAACAGAACAGGTGCTTCCACACCTAGCACTTGAAGTGTTTGGCTCCGAGCGGACTGGCCTAGCTTTTGCTACGTCGGATATCGACCTCCGACTGACGGACAGGGAGAATCTGAAGGACTCCATCAAACCTCCCCCGGCTGAGATACGGCGCCTCCTCCTCCGTGACCTAACACGGCTTCAAAGGCATATGAGCAAAAAGGGTTTCTTGCTCTGTCAACTCCGACATGCGCGATATCCCCTCATTGCAATGCAAGACCGAGAGTCTGGGCTTGACGTTCAGATCGTGCTATCTAATGACACATCTCTGTCAAGATCCTTTATCCAGAAATATACAGAAGAATATCCCTATCTCCCCGAGGTCTATTCGGTCGTTAAGGCTATGCTGGATATCAGAGGATTGACAGACGTCTTTAGGGGTGGCTTTGGAGCTTACTCGATCTTCATGATGATTGTTGCGGCATTCCTACACAGCGGGCCACCAGGGCATAATGCTGGGACAGGGGTTTGTCGCTTCCTCAGGTTCTGGGGCCACTTTGACACAAGCACCAAAGGGATTTCGATTGAACCGCCCACACTGTTTAGCAAAGATACGGAAACAATCATGTCGAAGAAAGCAAAAGCAAAGATATTGGTACATTAGCCCCTGTCTGACTTCTCTCTACCATACTAATACACCTAACAGAACCACGAAACTGAGCCACTGCCACCTTTCTTATTAACTCTTCGAGATCCTGCTGATTCCACGAATGACTTAGGCCGTAAGGGTATCTGCATTAAGCACCTGCAAGCAACCTGCAGGGCACTGGCTCACCAACTGCAGCGCGACTGGAAATCCAACACTAGAAAAAGCCTTTTGTTTAACCTGGTTGGGCCTGTCTACGCTTTGAATATCGATCGCAGGCGAAAGCTAGAGGGTCAAGGGCGAACCTCGTTGATGGGCGTCCGGATGAGCCAGATCGGCGCCGACGCAAAGCAAATCAGGGAACAGGCGAGCGGTGGTGCTGCGAGAACACCGGAGACGCAAAGCCCCTTAGAAGCTGAAGGACAGGGGTGGGGAGACATGATTACGTCGTCTTTTGGTATGCCGTCTGTGCAAGATATGGCCGCAGACGAGGCTCGGGAAAGGAAGGACGGAAGGAAGGATAGAATGACGGCACCGACCAGTCCTGAAGACTCAGCAAAGACGTCAGAGCAAGCGAAGTCCACAGATCCGGAAACCGCTCTAAAGGACTTCAGGGTTGCTGTGTGATCCCCCGTTTTGTATGAATTTTGGATATGTATTATATGATCAGATAGGGACTGGGATGCTGGTACCAAAAGATATAGATGATATCCATGTACGATTATTTTCTGATCCAATTAGAGGGCATCTATATCACATCTCCTTGAGGTTTCTGCTATCAACAAAGTGTTAAACCTGGTCACGTGTGAGTTTTCATCGTCACTAGGCAGATGTATCACAAGCCTCGGCATCATTAGTGCCCTAGGGCCAGTTGGTGTCACAACATATCGCCTCGTCAGCCCAAGAAATTTCAGGGGGAATATGTGTCAGCCCGTGCAAGGCAAGTCGTCGAAAGCAAAGGGTGTGTGTAGTTCTAATCATGCTAATTCCACCCGCCAAAGTACTCCCAAAAATGGAAATACTCGAAGGAAAACCCGGATATGCATCATGGAAAGCCAAGACAGGGGATTGGGAAAAGATTGAGGGTCAAAAAATTGCGTATGTAAACGTAGAATGGGAGGTTTGGGGGGATATTTAAGAAAGTGTGAGTGTGTGAAGAAGGGCCATTCTGCTGTTAAGTGATGATGATAGTAAACACGAAGAAGGCGGTTTCAGCGTTCTGCCGCAAAACACGCCGGTAAAGGAAACTCCTGATCTGTCGTCAAGCCTGCCATGCCAGCTGAAGCCCTCTTAAGTGAGATCGACTACCCGTCCGTGAACCTTGCCCCGCATCATTGTCGTCGTGACTAGAAAATTCCATCCCCGCCAGCTGGTGGCTCGCGGAGACAGTTCCCGCTGAGCCAAATCACTTGGTTAAATGGCATACTTTCGGGTCCATTCTCTAGCCGTAGATTCGTACCTAGATCGGTCGGTCTTGTACACGTGTGCGATTTCGGGGACAAGAGGATCGTCGGGATTCGGGTCCGTCAACATTGAGCAGATGCTCAGGAGTACTGTGGCTATGTCAGACATGCCTTTTTTATCCCGATGTGCGTTATGACTTGCCCTTGGAGATAGTCAGAGCTGGGCTCCATTGGTCCCGCAGAATATCCAAGCAGATGCTGCCGTTTGAGTTGATGTTGGGATGGTAGATGCGGGTGGTGAAGTTCACTTTCGGGGGCTTGAACGGGTAGTCTGTCGGGAAGTGGATGGCGAGGAAGAAGACACCGCCTGAGTAGGGTGAGTCGCTCTATCGTGCGTGTCAGTCTTGTGGTATTTCTTTTGCTGGATTGTGGCGGGGTAAGGTGGTATGAGGGCCTCCAGGATGCGAGCTAGACTTACAGGACCCATGATTGTGGCTTGCCAGTGAAACTATTGCAACACCCCAGTCAGTACTTGGTACAAATCTTTGCAGTTCCGAAGGCGAGGACAGCGATGCCGCCTCAGCCGCAGGAAACGGTGGATAGTAGGCGACGTACCAGATCATCTCCGATGGGGCCGGCAGAACACGAAGAGGGGGGATCACTGTACACGAAGAGTTAGCAAAGGTTTCCAGGAGCGGTGTTGTTGTGGGACCAGAAAGGACATCAAGGGCTCTACACCCCACTTCCGCAGGCTGTCATGCGAGCAAACGCACAGCCTAGTCGTCGACAAAGGGGTGTACGACTTACCGGCCGAGGTCAGTGAGTTCCTTGTTGATTCGCTTAAGAGCCATGGCTAGGTTGGGTGGAAATGTGTGGTTGTATGAGAGAGCGAACCTTGTTCGGGGTCGAGAGAGTGTTGTTGGTGTTGAAGTTGAAGTGGGCTGCGAGAGCGAGAGTTAGCGCTTGATCCTGGCCCCGAAAAGAACTTGCGGCATATCAGCGGAAGGAGCGCCCAAGCCGCGGAAGCCCAACCCACCTACTGTAGTGCTTTTGGTCGCTGTGCAGAGCCAAACAACGGGGACTGTGTTGAGGGTAGGCCGTCGGTGTGCTGAAGAAAGAGGAGAGGCGGCGGGCAAGAGGCTAGGTATTAAATGTATCGAAACTAACGCCGCGAGGTCAAGCCGGCCGGGTTCACTGCCCAGAAAATTATTTCGCCGGCGTTTCTTTACCGCTACGTTGTTAGGCTCACTGTGGCAAACCATGGAACTTCGAAGAAAAACATGCTAGTTTATTCAGCCTCACGCTCGACTTTGCTTCGCGCAATATTTTGCTCAATCATATCATGTCTACGGCGATTCGTCTTTCGGCGAAGCTTGAAGCTGAAAGCTCGCAGCGTTCCGTGTGATTGGCATGTCTGCAAGCAGTTGTGAGACCTTTCAAGTTTCGAAACGTGAGACTGCATTTTTGGCACCTCGAAACGACTTCTCGTCTGCCTGCATACTTTCCTAATCTAATTCTACACGCGGAGACACAACATTTGACCCTGACTTCCATGTGCAGAACTGTGCTGCAGGGCGAGCAGCGCCTCAGCAGAACGCCTGGATACCTGTGATTGCTCTTCCGAGGATCAGGGCTGGAGACTTGGTCAGCAACATCAGGAGTCACGAGGTGGGGCACTCACAATGAATGTCGCTCTGTCCTTCGTACGTTTGAGTCACGAATAGGTTTGCTACATGCCTCCCTATTCCGTATTCGTCAGAGACGGCGTTTCCTCCAAAGACTTCCTGTAGCCTGCATCAAGTTTCAGCCAAAGCCCTTCTCGAAGGGCACCTCGAAGAACTCACGTGCGAGCATTTACCAAAGCCCTATCACAGTTCTGCCTCTTGATCATTGAAATCATCTCGGGGGCAGCTTTTCCTTCATCCTTCAGTCTTCCCACTTGAATAGCTGAGAGAATACCGTACGCGGCGTCTGTGCTTGCGTCCGCCAGCTTCTTTTGAACAAGCTGATATTTCGCAATTGGGTTGCCTTTGAACTGCTTTCTCTCTAAGGCATATGTCCTTGCCCGGTCGATGCAGTCTTCCAGCGCCCCTATAGTTCCCCAAGCAATGCCATATCTGGCAGAGTTCAGGCAGCCAAAGGGACCCTTCAAGCCTTCCACGTCTGGGAACATATTTGCTTCTGGGACGGGACACTCGTCGAGCTGGATCATTCCTGTGATCGAAGCTCGAAGACCATTCTTGTTCTTGATTGGCGGCGTTTCGAGTGTGCCAGGCGGACATTGACCTCTTTCAATCACAAATCCACGGATCTTGCCAGTGCTTTCCAGTTTCGCCCATACCAAAAGCAAGTTAGAAATGGGCGAGTTCGTGATCCAGGTCTTGGCACCAGAAAGCGAGTAGTATCCTTTCTTTGAGGGGTGAGGTTTCGCGGTCGTTTCCATCGATCCAGGATCCGAGCCGTGGTTTGGTTCAGTCAAACCAAAACAGCCGAGCATTTTGCCCTTCGCCATCTCAGGCAGATATTTCTCCTTCATTTCCTCTGTTCCAAATTCTTCTATGCCACCCATGACTAGAGCACTCTGAACCGAGTAACCGGATCGATACCCAGAATCCACCCGCTCGACAGCTCTTGTAATCAACCCAGACGCGACACTGCTAACACCTGCACAACCATAGCCTTGGATGGTTGCTCCTAATAAGCCTAATTCGCCCATCTCTTCGAGAATTTTCCGGTCGAAGTTCTCATTTCTATATGCCTCTACATGGAATTGTGGTTAGCGGGCCACCAACTGGAGAACATATCTTGGCAATACCTAATATTCTTGGGAGCATACGCTCCTGGCAGTATGACTCTGCTGTTTCTGAAATCGCCAGCTCCTCTTCCGAATACAGATTGTTGGCGCCTAGTGGATCTTTCCAGTCAAATTGAACAGGGGCATGCAGATGCCGTGTTCCGATTGCCGCGGAACGGGCTGCTTTGCTCAATTGCCTTGCGGAGTGTCTGCAAATGGGTCTAAACATAGTGCCAGGTCTCAAAAGTGCCTCGTAAAGAATCAGTAGAAAACCGAAAGGAGTTTCCGGGAGAAGTTTCTGAAAGAAGTACGGAATTAGCTCGAGAAGTGTTGATTTACCCCACGGTCGGCAAAGGGATCTTGCATGGACCTAGGACCGCGGCTCATCCACCATTGCCGTCCGGTCAACTCCGATGAAGGCGAGAGTGGCAATTGCATCTCGAGCCGACTCCGTGAAAGATTGCCTGAAAGATTGCCGAAATCTGCAAAGGGCAATCATCAAGCTTCTACCAAGGAATAATTGTTCTTCCTCCAGCCTCATAGACAAGGGGTAGCCTCTGCCAAGACATTTAGGGCTGGTTCCGTGATTGCGCGACTTCCGTGGACGCGACGTGACACCAGCGATTCGATCGTCAATTCCAAGCGTCTAACCTCGCTCACTACTGTCTGAAATTCTCGCCACGTCCTCTTTTCAGCCTTTCCTCTTCCTTTTATCTTGCTCTATACCGCAACCAGAGTGAGAACAACAAGTCGTCGCCGCCATGGGAATTAAGCACCTTTACCAGCTAATCAGCGAACACGCCCCAGATGCGATCAAGACGGGCGAAATCAAGAATCAATTCGGTCGCAAGGTCGCTATAGTAAGTACCAGTACCCTGACTCAAGCACATTTAGAGTGCTAACGTGTGTAGGATGCGTATGGTTCTCCCAACTGTACGAGTTCTGCGTTACTAACATCAGCCTTAGATCTATGAGCATTTACAGCTTCCTCATCGCAGTCCGCTCCGATGGTCAACAGCTCATGAGCGACACCGGCGAAACCACATCTCACTTAATGGGCATGTTCTACCGTACACTACGCATGGTCGACAACGGTATTAAGCCGCTCTTTGTTTTCGACGGCGCCCCTCCCAAACTCAAGTCCGGCGAACTCGCAAAGCGATTCCAGCGAAAGTCTGAAGCACAGGCGGCTCATGAGGAGGCGAAAGAGACAGGTACCGCCGAGGAGGTTGAGAAGTTCTCTCGAAGGACAGTGAGAGTGACAAGAGAGCATAATGCTGAGTGTCAGAACCTGCTGAAGTTGATGGGGATACCGTATATTGTTGCGCCTACTGAGGCAGAGGCGCAGTGTGCGGCGCTGGCCAAGGCTGGGAAGGTGTATGCGGCAGCGTCGGAGGATATGGACACCCTGACATTCGATGCCCCGGTTCTGCTCAGGCATCTTACCTTCAGTGAACAACGCAAGGAACCGATTCAGGAGATTCACCTAAATAGAGTACTCGAAGGACTAGCAATGGAGCGGGAACAGGTATGAGCATGTGCCCCTCTCTATTGTGCTATATTAACTCGGTACCTAGTTCATCGATCTTTGTATCCTCCTAGGATGCGATTACCTCGACCCCATCAAGGGCATTGGCCCAAGCACTGCCCTCAAACTCATCCGCGAGCATAAGGACCTCGAAGGAGTAGTTGAACACATGAAAAGCTCTACCAAGTACACTATCCCAGATGATTGGCCATTTACCGAGGCTCGTCTTCTGTTCCTTGAGCCAGACGTCCGATCTGCGGACGATCCAGAATGCGACTTTAAGTGGGAAGCACCAGACGTAGAGGGTTTAGTTAAATATTTGGTCGAGGAGAAGCACTTCAACGAAGACCGCGTACGTAACGGCGCTGCGAAGCTTTCAAAGAATCTCAAGAGTGCCCAGCAGAGCCGGTTAGAAGGCTTCTTCAAGCCCATCGCCAAGACCGCAGAGGAGAAGGCTAGCCTGAAGCGCAAGGCCGAAGCCAAGCTAGAGGAGAAGAAAAAGAAGCAGAAACAGACTGCAAAGGAGAAGAAGGACTCCAAGTCAAAACCAAGGGGTGGTGCGTAACAAGTTCTCTACGGGACTTTGTTAGTGCGTTAGCGTATTTACGGACAAACGGTAGCACAGGGGAAGGGATCGTTATGGCGTCAAGGTCGGCTTTTACATTTATGTACGTACAGGGAAGGCAATGGCGTTTGCATTGACATTCGATCGGGGAGGAGCGGCGAGCATCTCTCATCCGTCTGTTGGACGTCGTCTATCGAGATACATTTAGGGCAATGCCCAAGATACCAATTACATCAGCTGCAATTGATGTCGCGAGCCTTCATAGACCCTATGTTCAGCAACTTCGTCGACTACCTACCTTTGGTCAATCTAGCATCAGTTGACGTCGCCAGAAAAAGCTGAGCTTGTTTCAATAGTTGTTTGCATCGATGCAGCAGCGACGTCGGCTTCTGCCTCTGGAATGGCCGTTGAGTAGACCGTCATGAAGTTGGTGTTATACTAATAAACCCAACACTGCTTCAATCCTTTGTTGCCCCTTCTCTCCCCTCTCCCCTACTCTTGGCAGCGTAAAACAGTCCATAAACGCTATTCTGGCCTTTGGGCGCCAGCTTAAGCGTCGAGAATCGGGTTTCGGGCAATCGTCGATCGGCCTTGATGCATTCCAGCACCCTGCATACGTGTGTTAGTTTGTAAAATCTACGAGACGAAACGAAACTCAATGAGGTGCGACATTGAGGATAGAAAAAATTTAGGACGTGCCATTCTGCGCCGATAAACTTCACGCCCTTGCCCCCGACTCTAGTGATTTCCTTCTGGATTTTAGTGGCGGCGAGACCACCGCCTGCACCGCCTGCACTGCTTGCCCTGCCTAGGATGACGTGGGTAACACTGCGTCGGCCAAGGGCAATAGACAACTTGCCTCCTCTTTCTGCTAGGAGATGTTTGAGTTTGTGGTCTGAGACGAGGGGTGCGGTAGACCCGTTGAGGTAGAAGCAGAGCCCATCGAATATTTGCCTGTGTAGTGGTATAGATACCGAGGTTTGATTCGAATCAGGGGGGTTCTCATCTTCTATGCCCTCCGCGTCTTCGACAGGAAATTCGGGCTCAGGCTTCAGCCTCCACTCACCCATTCCCGAATCCAACTTTCCACTCTTCTCCCCAGCTATAGTATTCCTCCTCCCTGCCTTCCTCTTCCCCCAAACCTCCGCCAAACTCTTCTGACCACCCTCCCTTAACCCCTTCGCACCTTTCTCCCACAATCCATTCTCCTTGCGCCCGCCTTTCCCAAATTCAGTACTCCCCGCGCCGACAGTGTCTGCGACTCTTTCCCCACCACCCAGACCGCGTCTGTACTGCTCCCCCAGCTTCAGATTGCGAGATTCGCGCCACGACGTCGATCCCGAGAGGCGATTCTCGGCTCGCTGGTGGCCTGTCGACGACGAGTTCCAGGGGTCAAAAAAAGAGCGCGATGCAGGTGCTGCAGCGGCGGAGGATGAACAAATGTGGGTCGGATGTTGGGGTTTGACGTTGGGGTGGGGATTAGCAATCACATTGTGCTTTGCGGCTGATGACATGCTGGAGGATGAAGGAGCCTGTGATGCTTCATCCTTCTTGCACGCGTCGTGGGCCACAGAGCCAACATTTGCGGCACAGCCAACAGTCATTGCGCGAGACGCTGTCGTTGGCGTAGTGGCGGGGACACTAACACCGTCCTCGTTCGCTTGTACGGTGTTCCAGAAGACATCACCGTTGTTGACATTCTTTCTGCGAGAATTTGCTTTGTTGCTGTTGTGAGCGCCTGCAATCGACGATGCACGTTGAAACGAAGGGGGAGGTTCGAGATCGTCGTCGAGCGCAAAGTGGGGTGGCAACATGGTGGCGGCGGCGGTGTGCCTTGCAGATGCAAGGGGGGGTGGGCGAAAACAGATGTGACAAGTGTGATATCGATAAGATAGATAGCGGGTGTGTGATGCGAACGTGCTTTGCCCTTTTGCCGCACGCCCGCTGCTGTCAGGGCTCTTACCCGACACCCAGATGTACAATTGTGGTTGGTGTCTTACTGCGTGGGCTGGTTGGAAGGAGATATACGAGAGACGTGTTTCGAAAACAAAGTTTGAAAGGCAACAAGCACCTGCAGCCTCGCTTACTACTTTTGCTTGTTGTCCGGGTAATGTCATCGATCTCGAACTCTTCCACTCCAAGCCAACTGCGCATACCAGCTCGCCGAAGACGACATCAGACACAAGTAATAGCACAAGAAATTGATATTCCATTGGTTCCTTCATGTCGCATTTAACATTACTAAACGTACATACAAAGTGAATCGGAGTAAATCCAGAATTGAGTAAGGTGAAGTGTAGTGGTACGTACACACACGTCCAACATGACTAGCGTGGACAGAAGAAAGCCACCAAAGGTACGCCAATGTTCCATGCATCCCAATCCTATCCCGAACGCCGCCATGTGATACCGCCTGAGAGACGAGAGCGAGCCTCGTCTAATACACTTGGAAGGGGGAGAAAGGCGCCGCAGGCAGTATGAACACAGGGGAATCGAATTGCAAAGGAAAGCTTTTCACCTCGTGAGAGACTTGCCTCTGAAACGCCTGAAAAAGGATGGAATAACCTCCAAAGGCGCCGCCCAAAAATGTAACCACCAGATAGGACCATTTCTGGACCTTCAGTGTGATGATAAGAAAACAAGGATGAAGCTAACGGAAGGGTATGTGCATATGCATCGAAACAGACATAATGGTATGTCTTACTGAAATCATTTCCCGTCCTCCTCATTTCACTGTGATGTGTATTGTCCATTTAGCCTCGTAACAAAAGAAAAGTCGTTGTCGTCCAGTTAAGTAGTTCGTGATTGTTTAACACTCGGGCCACACATATCGAGTCATACCGCAATCTCTATCGTTTTCGTCATCACCATCGGTTTGAGGTCGAAGCTTCGTACATGAGACGTTGCCGTTTCATCTCCTCTGGGTCGAAGGGTACAGCATCACTACCTTTCCGGCTCCCCACGAGTGAAGTGGAGCTGGCGTTAGCGCTCTTGAGGTTGCCTATGTTGGCAAGAGATCGTGCCTTCTTCAGCGACTTCTTTCCTTTGTTTTCGCCGTTCATTGGTACATAATTCGCAGCAGGGTGCTTTTCGATCTTGACGATTTCCTCGACATCCGGTCTAGTCTTAACGCGCATGCGTCTAAACTCTCGTGTAATTCGCTCTAGCCTGCTGAGACCCTTCATAGTTGACTTATATTCTGGCGGTGACACGGGGAGTGGCTTCTCCACGGTACTTATACCCGTGCTCGGCCGTCGATCGGATCCAAAGCTGATTCCAGAGTCTGTTTTCTTGCCTTTCCGCGCCTCTTCAACTGGAGTGAAGTCATCGGTACCGGTAGTTGAGATGCAGTCATCAATCATATTCTTAGCCACGCGAAGGTATTTATCGACGGTTCGTTGCACGGAATCCCAGCCATTCTCGTCTCCTGCCTCTTTCTGCATGTCCATGACGGGCTGGAGAACTGATGGGCCTTTCCTCTTAACTTGACGAATGTACACAAAGAAGCTGCTGCGCTCTTCTGCAAGCACTTCTGGGGTTAGAAGGGGGATGAGTTGCCTTCCGAAGTCTTGAGGGGCTTGCGGAGGAAGAAGTGTGTTGAGCATAGCTACACAGTTGAGTTGATTGAAGGGCTGAAGAGATAGCTCATTAACAAGGATCTAATACTTTGTTAGTCGTGCATTGGATAGCTTTTATTTCAGAATGCTAGCTTACCCATCGACGCAATCCAAGATACAGCGAGCAGTAGAAGCTCACGGCTTTCCTGCTCTTGCCCTCGATGTTCTTTGCCCATAGAGCTATTCCGGGATACCGCTCAGAAACCGCGTCGACATCAGCGGTGATGCCATCATAGCGAATATCAAGCCTCTCAAAAGCAGCTGCAACTTCCTTGCGTCTCCGGTTCTCCAAATCCTTCAGGTAATCCAGAGCAGTCAAGGCTTGGGGAAAGTCGACTAGGGAGAGGCAGGGATGGAAACATCGAGACACGAACGAGACAATGAATGAGGGCGGGAGTGAGCTCGGCTGCGAAGGAAGGGAGCACATGTGGCTCATCAGAGCGGAAGTGAAGTTCATAGTCGTGGATTCTGCGTCAGTCCAAGCATGTTGACCTGAGATGGGTGAGGCAGGGTAGGATCCGTTCGGGGAAGGTGCACGGCTCAGTTCCTTTGGTAAAGGCTGAGCTCGAGGTGCACAATTGAGAGTGTACATAGTCCGAAGGGGAATCTCATAGCTGCCAGGATACTGCATGACGTGTTCTAGTATCATGTTGTACGAAGCTGTGGAAGTTGTCTCCTCCGAGGGATTGCGAGAATGATTTGGTGTCATGATAAGAGTCGGATGAAAGCCAGAACAGTCGGTCTTGAAGAGGCCGCGTTTGTTGATTCAGAGGTAGTGCTAAGTGTTCTGCTTTCCTGTTTTGGGTAATGTTGCAACAGCGATCCGGAGCCGGGTGCTCCTCGCAGCGGACAGTACACTCAGGAATGAGAGACGTGGAGTGTCGCAGGACTGACTTCCTTCTGAGCTTAAATGTGGTGCTGGAGCAAAATAGAGTGCGGTCCGTGAGCGGTAACAGGCGAAGGAGCGTGGGGTTCCAGACTGTGGGGGCGATGCAGTGAAGGAGAGCAAGCCTCGGTCTGGCAAACCGTGGGGTGAAAAAATAAAAGGGCAGAATGTGTGATTGAGGTTGAATGGGTCGACAACGTCCTCACATCACCTTCATGAATCTACAAATGCTGGGAGCTCGAGCAGACCAATGCCCAGGTGGTGTGGTGCGCGTCGGGGAACAAACGCAAGCCGGGAAGTGTTTGCAGTGATGGCGGGAAAACAAAAAGAGAGACGAAACCCGTCACCAAGGGGCTAGCGTTTGCGATGAACACAGAAGGACGAAGAGAAGGGGAAGGAAGCTGTGCAAGAGCTTTGAGCGAGGTCGCAAAAACAGAACGTGTGTACGCGGGCGTCGAAGGTTTTTCTGTGGTTGTTGGTGGAGCTCCCAGGCAAGGAAGGATTTGCCTTGGGAGCCCATTCGGGCGATCAAGGTCATCGACCCCTGCGCCCCATGCGCGCCCCGACACGCTCATCACCAGCTTGACCAGCATCGCGCAGGGATAGGCAGTTGGCGCGTTCGGGAGCTGCCAGCAGACCAGGATACCCTTTTCGGGGCACTAGGGAGCGGCGGGCGACCCCAAAGCAGCGACGCTCTTCAGCGACTCCGCGAGGGACTTGGCCCAACCCGGTTGCGAACGCTGCGCAACGAACATCTCTCCGTGCCCGATTCTGTAACAACCACCTCGACTAGACACCGCTTCTTTCTCATCAGCGTCCTCGACGGCGCGACCCCGCCTGCGGCCTCCCGCCAAGCAGCACCACAGTGTTCACACACTCCAGATGCTGGATGCTGCACGGGAGCACATGTTCTTTGTGCGAGCACTCTTTTTATCCAGTACCCCCTCTTGATTGCGTCTCCGCAGACTCCGCGCTCTAGGTCAAACGACCATAGCCTTATAGTCATCAGTGGCGCCTGTCACCGTGACTGAGTCGTGGCTGGAACACTGACATTGTCGTCGCATGCCAGTCTTCCGCGAGCGAGGCTAGCGGATCAGGTTCCCAACAAAAGACCTGTTTACTGTGTCCACTGACACCACGTGCACCGTTACACAATGTGCTCGTCTCGCGGCAATCAATGTGCAACGCAAATGCAGTGGGCGGGGACTTGAGCTGGCCGCTTCATGTACCTTTCAGCGTGCAGATGCGCTGCGATGCAGACGCGAAAGACGACCATAACCGACCACTGACGACGCCGGAATTCACTTTACCGGCCCAATCAAAAATTATACGCGGAACTTTTGTCGCAGCCTTGAGAAAATTCTTACGCAGCCACCAATGTGGCCCTCCGGCTACAGTTTCAGCCATCCCTTTCGGAACGAGACCAGAACCTGGCAAGTCATTCGAGGAGCGCACCTCCTATAAATATCGTTTAGTAGCCTCTGTGTCTGCGGGAGGCCAATTTCTTTAGTAGCTGCCAACCCTTTGTGCCTCCGAATTGACTGAAAATGGGAGGTGGACGGCAAGCAGTATTATCATGACTCACGACAATCGGAATGCGCCCAGATGTGCAAAGTTCTGACAGGATAGAGCATGCTGTATTTGCCCTGTCCAATATCACGTCCATGACTGTGGGGAGCGCAATGGCCCAAATCCAGGCCTGCTGTCGGCAATCGTCAGGGTCAGGCGTCTTCGTGCGGAAGAACTCACAAACGTGGAGAAAATGGCCTGTGCTGCAATATCTGCACCAGGTTATTGACCGGGGCCAGGCCGAAGTCAAAGCGTGGGAGATGGGATGGTCACGCAGGGCAGGCCTTGCCATAGTAGCCTTGTGTTATCTCGAAAAAGCATCAAGAGTAGTGTCGGTTCAGCAACATCGCGACTCACACACGCGTCGATGGTGAGATGCGCGGCGCGAAGGCCAGATAGCGGGACGACGGGCGTAAGCGGGACGGTTGGGACTGTTAACGAGATGACATCGGGCATGATCCTATGGAATTAATTGATTCCTCGAAGATTCTCGATTCTTCTGTTGAAATAGCGTTTGCTCATGCCTTCAGCTAAAGCTGAGAGCAGATTCGAGAAGGACAGTAACTCAAGGCTCTACTAAACATAATTTCCGTATTTCAGCCCCCGGATGTTCCTGCCTTAAAAATATTCCAATATTCGAAATTACTGAGCCCATCCTAGTGACAAGGTGAGATTGGCTGCCCAGGGAGAAGATCAATAGCGAAATGTATCCACGCGGGTTGCACAGATTATTTGTATATGCTGCAAGATTTTTCAGCTTCCAATCTCCCAAAAATCCTCGCCTCGCCATGGCAAGGCGTGATGGTAAAGCCATTTTTTAACCAGAGGAACGGGTGGCACAGCATCCAATAAGCCTCTCCCTACGTGCCGCAAGGCTTTAGCGTCTCATTCGACGCCTGTAGAATGAGGTGAAGAAATCTGTACTGTGGCTCCCAACAATCCCCATGTCACGGAGAATTACGGGTTTAAAAGCAATACTTAAGATTACCTACGCCTTCGTGTTGGGATGTTCTTGTTGTTTGTAGCCAGGGATCGCTGCTCGGCCCTTTTATCACGTGATCTGGGAACGAGTAAGCCTCCCGAGGTCAGATCTGATTCCAAGGCGCGCCAGTGGTAACTTTGGGGTAATTTACCGATTAGGCGCCACCATGTTCCTTATATCCACCCAAGCTTCAAAGTCTGCAAAAGAAGCCGTTCTCGAGATTGATTCCTATGCCGCAGTTGCTCGTTAAGGTCGCGCAAGACGATGTCGGGATTCCGAAATTTTATTCGAAATCAAAGATGCCGATTCTTCCAGTAGCTTTCCGAGGGTATGCAGGTGTAACCTGATTTCAGAACATGCTAGCGGCTTCAGTTGCGCAACGGTGTATCAATGACTGCAAGATGTCAACGGCTGATCACGCCCTATGAGTCATTCTCAAAGAGTCGAGCTCCCTTCAAAATTGAGTCCAGGCCCGCGATTACAAAGTGAGGGACGTAGAGAGTGCAACAGAGCTCTACAAATCGCAAGCACTCCAAGACGTCATGGCTTCCACTTACCTCGACTTTGTCACTGTAGATGTTTTCACCAGCAAAAGATATGAAGGCAATCCTCTTGCGATCGTCAAGGTTCCGAAAGCCTGCCAGTTGAGCCAAGGGTGAGAAGTCTTGGGTACAATCTCGATGTTCTGTCTCAACCTTACTGCAAGCATCTGAGATGCCGCTCAGGTGATGTTTGAGGTAGCTGCAGTGTGCTTTAGGGCAGAAGATAGAGGTACCAAACCCCGCCTTTAAAAGTGGTGCTGACTTTCTACCTCCGCCTTCGTAGCGAGAAGCAGGCCATTGCTCGAGAATTCAACTTGTCAGAGACGACGTTTCTGCATGAAGCAGTTAGCGAGGAGGATGGTTGGACGGTAGACATATTCATCACGACCGGTGAACTTCCCTTTGCAGGGTATGTAGGCGTCCGGGGTTCCACTGCCCTCATCTCAGTATTAACTTCGGTCTTTAGCTGGAGAAGGCCGCGAGTCCTGTCCCAGCTGTGGTAAACTTGAACTCTCAGTACAAGTGGATGCTGACGTACTATACGGCCACTTCTAGACACCCTACCATCGGAACTGGGTTCCATGTCTTCCTTTCAGAGATTGCAAGAGGCAGAGGGACTGTAGGTAGAAAGATTGAGGCTAAACTCAAGGTAAAGGCCGGACTGATCGGACTCGAATACGACATCGCAACAAAAGTTGTTCGAGCAGCAATTCCCCATGACGTCCACATTCACCATGTGGTTTGGCCTTGTGAGGAATTGAAAAAAATGCAGCCGAAACTGGCAGAAGCTAGGAACGGAAAACATCCAGTTCTCAAGGACCATTATCCCATAGTCTCAGTAGTGAAAGGATTGACCTTCATTCTCATTGAGCTCGAGGATGAAGAGATGCTCGGGCAGATCCAAACGACTGCGCAGGGTCCGTGGGTCGATGGGCTTGATGAGGGCTGGAACGACGTGTCTTTCGTGGGATCGTACTTCTATGTCCGTCTTGGAGAAAAGGGAGACGGGACCAGTATTCTGAGGACTAGAATGATCGAAGGCACCGTCGAGGATCCAGCCACCGGAAGCGCAGCAAGCGACTTAGCAGCCTACCTTTCTCTCACGGAAGGGAGACCAGGGGAGACTCTTAGATATGCCATAACGCAGGGTGTTGAAATGGGCCGTCGGAGTGAGATCGACATTGAGGTTGTTTTGGCGGAGGATTCGGGAATTGCCAATGTCTACCTTGAGGGAACTGCAGTCCAGGTCATGGAGGGTCGGTTGGCTGTCTGAATGTGGGGTACGGAGGGGAGAATGAGTTGAGGAAGGGGCACAGCACCCTGGACAAACCGGAACAGCGAGGGGAGCGGCTGCGTCGTTTAATTGGTTTTTCGCGCCTCCAACAGTCGCAGTGCCGCCACGGGATGGCTGCTCTGGTCAATCTGCCAGAATACGTGGAGACTCTTGAGCTAAAACGAAGGTTGTCTCCGTACGATCTCCAAGTTCCAGCCAATCCAGACAGTGGGATTTGCGAGTCGTTAGAAGTCGCTGGCGCCAATGCGAGCCTTTTTGATGTAATCGTCAACGATCATTGTTAAAGTGACTGCGTGGATCCTTCCGGGTCTTGACAGCCCGGACATGCCCACTATTGATGTGCAGAACCTCTGACGAGTCGCAGACAGGCCGGATCGATAATTGCCTTGAATGCCTTACAAAAAAGTTTGAAGGCAGAGGAGGTATGAGTGTTGTAAACCCAAACTGTGATTCCGAATCAACACGGAGGCATTTTCAGCCTTCTCATCTATCCAGTGCCATATTCCGCAGTTATCAGTTTTAGATCAGATAAAAGGATTTCAAGGAGGGTGAAGCGAAGAGATGGTCGCCAAGAGAAGCACATGGAGTTCGTTTGTTGCCGCAGATCCCAACTGCTTTGTTGCTGTCACAGCCACCGCTGGTAGCGGAGACAGACTGGAGGGGCCCAGACTAGCTGCTTAGATTATGATTTAGGATCTGACAAGCGAATTAAGGTTACGAAGGCCAGGCACTGCAGCGCCAAAAGGTGGTCGATGCGGGCTAAGCTTTTCAAGATGCTCCACGATGCTTGGACGTCACTGGCCAAGAGAGCCCACAGCGGTCCTCGGGATCATCGAAGGACTCCTGCCGCAGACTCGGTTGCCGCAGGCCGCATAGCTAAGGCATCAAAGCAGTTTGAGGGCGTCAAGTCCTTGAGACAGGATGTTGGAAATAAGATTATGCTTGGCAGTCGTGGATCTCCTCATAAGGCTAGCGCGAGGTGCTTCAACGTGGCTGACATAATTGTCCGAAACTTCCCGGGTCTCAAGTCGGCCTCCACCTCCTGTGCTCCCTCTAACGTTGTCTGTTTCCAGCGACCACATCAATGCCTTGGGCAATTTCGCCACGGCAGGGCTGCCGGCTCGGCCTGAGTTTGGTATGGCGCCTCTTGACACCCGCGCCCCGTGCTTTTCCCCCAGGCATCCTGTTCGATGGTTCGTGAGACAAATCCACCCTCATCATGGGTTTCAAGCCTAAGCCTGCCTTCAGCCGCTTTACAGCAGGCTCCGGATTTGATGTCGCCAAGGGACTTAAGTACAGTCGCCTGGTCGTCCAAGGCCGCTTGTTTTCCACCATCCTCAGTCACCAGTTATTGAGCAATCGGGGACCGTCAATCGAGGGTTACATTCCTTTCTCTTTCTTCCTCTTCCTTCTTTTCTCAGGTCACGTTGAACGTGTCTGTATATTGATTGATCTTAATCTACCGCAAGCCGGAGTCCACTCTTTTAAACCTACTTTCTCATCCGCCTCGCGTCCGCTTTTCGTTCGGCCTTCAACCCCACTATCACAATGCGGTTTACTACTTTGTTGCCATTGCTGCTAGCAGCCGGCATTGTCGAAGCCCAGGCCGGAAAGGGAGGGAAAAACAATCAAAATCAGAATGCTCAGAACGCCGCAAATGCTGCCAAAGGCAATGGTGGGAACGCCAACAATGGAGGTAACAATGCCAACGCATTGGCCTTGAACCCAAACAATGTTCAGAAAAATAGCCAGGCTACTGGTTTGGAAGCTGGTGCTGAGGCTGGTCAGGCTGCGTCGGCAACGTGAGTGTATCATTTCGGAATTCCACCTGCTCCTTGCTAAATCTTGTTAGGGACGATGCCAACTTCATCAACTTCTGTACAGGAAAGACTCTTACCAACGGTCTCCAGGTCAAGGGAGGTTCTTGCAATGGTATCGGTGAGTACATGTCTTGTTCAGTATCGAGAGAAATACTAACTAGGTTACAGTCATGGGCGATATCCCATCGAATACTAAGATGGTTTCTGCTATCATGATCAATCCTAAGCACAATGACGAAATTCAAGAAAACCAACCCATCAACTTCCAGGTGCAAATCGCCAATCTTCAAGCTGGATCGTTCACAAACCCTGACGTCACTTATTACGCTGCACCACAAGCTCTCCAAGGCGGCACCGTGGTTGGGCACACCCATATCACAGTTCAGGATATGGGCAACAATCTGAACCCGACTCAAGCTCTTAACGCCCAGAACTTCGCTTTCTTCAAAGGTATCAACGACGACGGCAATGGCAACGGGTTGCTTTCCGCTGCGCTTGCTGGAGGTCTGCCAGCTGGCGTCTACCGTGTCTGTTCCATGACTTCGGCGAGTAACCATCAGCCTGTGCTCATGCCAGTTGCTCAACGTGGAGCGCAAGATGATTGCAACAAGTTCACTGTCTCTGCGAACGCTGGGAAGGGAAATGCCAACAACGGTCAAGCTGCCAACAACGGTCAGGCTGCCAACAACGGTCAGGCTGCCAACAATGGTCAGGCCGCCAACAATGGCCAGGCCGCCAAGGGTGGTCAAGCTGCGAAGGGTGGTCAAGCTGCGAAGGGCGGTCAGGCTGCGAATGCTGGCCAGGCTGCGAACGCTGGTCAAGCTGCGAACGCTGGTCAAGCTGCGAACGCTGGTCAAGCTGCGAACGCTGGTCAAGCAGCAAAGGGTGGTCAAGCAGCAAAGGGTGGTCAAGCAGCAAAGGGTGGTCAAGCAGCGAAGGGTGGCCAGGCCGCTCAGGCCGCGCAAGGCGGTAAGGGAGGACGCCGGTTTGGACGACCCAAATTCAGCGCTCGTGAGTTCGTTGCCTAAGAAGGTTGAGAATTAGAAGGGAAGTATAGTGGACGCGGTTCGAGGCATTGTTTATGGTAATGGGACTTTTGATGGGGCTTCTCAATTCATCACTTGACATAGAATACGCTGTCCTCGGGAAAGGTTGCACTCTACGGAGGATGGAGCGCAGCGCTTCATTTGGACTGGTTCTGAGGGCGCTTTTTTTATTTTCGGCGCTTAAAGACATTAAACGAAATGTAAACTTATTCTCCAGTCCTGTATCATGAGTGCCTCAGACATGACTACGATAGGAAATCGGACATGCCTCAATCTGCCACAGGCATTGATGCATTGAAGCTACCCGAAACTAGGACGTCTCAAGAAACTGAACGAGGAGACATGGGTTTGCAACAAGGCCGTCTCAGGTTCCGAGTGGCAGCCTCACCTTGGCATTGACGTGTTGACGACATCTTGATTTGGAATTCTAAATGCAAATTGAGAAGTAGAGTGACTAATTCAGTGTCAGCCAACAGTCCTTTCATTAACTCGTCTCTCTCTTTCTCTTAGATGTTGCGCGTCGTCTCGAATTGACATCTCGATGATGCACAGGCCCACACTCTAAAATTTAGAGTTGCCGGCCCCTGCAATCTTGGCGATTCCAACGCTTCCTTGCTCGGACGGGGGGATGATATTCACTTGAGAGGACCCGAATGTCCAAGGATGTCGAACTATTAAAAGCAATACGCCCTCGTTCACATTCTGTAATGTAATTGACCGGATAGTTACCACAGACATGTTACAGGAGACGTGTTCCACAGTGAGTAATATCTATTCGCACTCTTGTTCAAGCCAATATCAGCCTAGTACTGCCATCTTCCTCTGAAGAAAGCTTGACTCGCAGTTTCTGTGATAGTGCTTCTACCTCACTCTGGCGCAAATGAGGATTGAATTGTCCTTGTGCCTCTTTTGATAGCCCATGTAGGAGCGTTGCTAGAGCCGACGATTTCCATGCCACCGCTTTAGCTCTACGGCTTTTAAAGATCGCAGCACAGACGAAGATAAAGCTTCCAATCAGCAGGCTTCCTGGCAAGGAGATCCACACCCATCTTATGTACACAAAATTTTCGGTTCCTAAAGCAAGTCCTGACACTGTCTCGGTGTCTTTTGCTTGGGAGCGCATTCTGTTCGTCACTGCAACCGCAAGATTGCTAAAATGCGGGTTCAGGTCGTATGGCGGAGTCTGCATGAATTGCCATAGCCCAGGGGAGCTACCGTCGAGACGAGTCGGAAGAGAAGTGTATATGCTCTCACCCAAAAAATCTGTCGTGTTTTCGATAATGCCAAAAGACTTGCCTCCAACGTTCAATGTAAAAGGTTCGCTTCTAGATTGGTTCCCATGGTTGTGATCTAAGATACCAGACTGTATTGCTGACGTATTTAGCAGAACTTCCTGGAGAACACCACTGCCATATGAAGCTTCAAATGTCTGTGCACACCAATAAAATAGGCATTCTAGTAGAACTGCTGTAGCGTTTGGCCGAAGTTTTGCTTCCCCCCCGCGGCTATAGGCAATGTATACGTCGAGGATGGGATGCGCTGCGTCGTGAAATATCGTCGAGTTCCAGGACGTAGTGTGGTCATGATCGGCCGGGCTTGCCATTCTGATCGTCCTATTAACAGCAAACGTGGATAGTGTAATCGAGTATTTCTGGCGGTATCCATGCGTGCCCACAAGAATGGTATCGTTTAAAACATACCCACAACCGTCGTCAACTGAGGTCCCTCTGTGCGGAAAAAGCAATGTTGTGTGATTTTTACAACTATACTTGAGGAAGCTCGAGATATCCTGGCACTTTTGGCATACACCAAGAGATGTGTATGGAGACCAGGTGCAACGACCCGTTGGGCAGACAGATGGAGCGGGTGTGGGAGCGAAATTAGACGTAAAAACAGCTTCATCGATAACCAGTTTCATTGACTTCCCCTCTTCTAATTCCCCGCCGTCAAAAACATAAGCGATCCCTTGGTTGTCAATATGGTATGTACTGGCAATAGAAACAGTACCGCTTCCCAGAACTACATCTCGGGGAGGAAATGAGACGAGCTGCTGGAAGAAGGGTTCAAAAGCTAGCGCTAGGATAGTGATTATGGCACCAAGAGCCGCTACATGCCTATAAATATCAGTTAGCTATAATATATCTACTAATCCCCTGGCGTTCTCGAGCGACAGAATTTCCGTGACGTGACCGATGGAACCGGTTAAAATGCTGCTTACCTGCATTTTGTTACCCATAATAGCATTAGAGAACCCCAGGGTCCACGGCTAGCGCTGTCGAATGTGAAGAAATCCAAAAGTTTCGATCCTTTTCGAAACCACATCCACTTCAGTTGACCAATGCCTTCTGAAACGGGGAGGATCAGGGCAGCCTTCGCTATGGCTGAAAACACCGATATGTACGCGTTGAGGGTGATTCCAAAGAAGACATGATCCGGTTGCTTTTTGCCTCTATAGAACAGCAGCATGCCAACAATGGCCCCGACTGACAAGAAACTGACGGCTAGACTGAAGAGTTCCCACCACCACCAATCTGTGATAACGCGGTCGTAGAAGGTTGTCGAAGCACGGAGTAATGGGCGTATACTACTTCCGCCCTCGGATTCGTTCCTTTGGCTAACATCAGAAACCCCCAGCATGAATGACAGAGAAGATGGATTCTGTCCTATTGTAGCTTCATGGATTTGGTCCGGAGAAAGTGAATTTCCTTGAATTGCGTTATGGCCTTGTGGGTGCGTGGTTCCATTGTGGATATCAATGAACGCGCTTCTTGGTGAATAAGAACCGCGGTAATTCGACGATGAAACTTGATTCAGATGCTGTAGACATTCCTGATCATACTGCCCCAAGAGCTGGGACCCAATACTCCAAGTTCGATTCCGTTCATTGACTTCCTGTACCTCCGGAGGAGGGACCGTATTCATCCTTCGATTGAGTCGTGATTCTGCTTCGAGGTTTCAGTTGCGGAATCCAGGTGGAGTCGCGTAGAAGGATGTACGCCGTGGAACCTTCCCGGGCGGTTTGAGGATCATTTTGGAGGACTCCTCTCATCCTCTTATTGAGTGGAGTGGCTGCTGTGCCGCAATATGGGGTCTGTCATGCTGAAGGAACGAAAGGTTTCAGAGTTCCGGGGAGCACCCTTGACACTACCTCGAGCGAATAATACTACGTTTTATATATGGCCAGGAAAGAGTTGAAGATCGATTGGATGAAAACGACAGAAAGAGCTTCTGGACTTGTAGAGAGAGGGGTGGCTGGATTATTATAAGTACAAGCGCCGGCCCCCGGTACGGTGGGTTTCCGACGGCGGCTAAGAATGTTTCCGAACGAAAGGCGGACATTTTTGACAAATCCACAAACAATGTTTGTTGAAGAGTGTAGCATCATACATAGTTTAACTTCGCTCTGTCATGATGGAGGAAGACATAATAGCAACGGTGTTAACAAGCGAAAGGTAGAGTGAATATGAATGCATCGCGTAAATGAACGCTGTATCGTATTTTTAGTTCTAGCCCCAATCCTCACTGAACGATATCTTCTCATACGAGATCTAGCGTATCTGCAGTTTGGGTTGCAAGATTACATGGTAGCTTCACTAACTCAGTGCAAATACACGATAACAAAAGAGACATGATAGAGAGAGCATTTTCCTGCCTTCCTGCATCCCATGCACCTCTATGGACATTGCTCGATTTCAGTCCCCAACATATAACTGGCTGGTGTTGTGATGGGTAGCGCAACCCTTGCTACGATGTTAACAGAGAATTCGTTTAAGATCGACACGAAATGATGAATGCCGCTCACTATGCTGATCTATTGACAATCCTTATAGCATCCCGCTTTACAAAAGGCTGTGTAGTATACACCTTACAGCATTTCCAATTTGAGATCACTCTAGGACCTAAGCCGAGAGTTCACTTGAACATGCTCTTTTATCGCTACTCAAACAGCTCTCCTCAACCCATTAAAACCTGTCCTCTTAGTTCCAACCCCCCACCCCATCTGCATAGGCTCCAGCACTGCTCTTTTACCACAGCTCCATATTCGATCAATAATAATCACAAACTCCTCCCTAACCGAGTGTAACTAGGCTAAGCCATTATCTACTAGTGCCTGTACCTCTCTATGTATAATGGCTGCCTTGAGGCTCTACACTAATACAACACTCTTCCGCCGCACCACTACCAGGCTTACGCCAAGTGCAAAGACCGCAATTGATCCTCTACCTTTTCCAAGAAAGACTCGAATCACCCTTTCCATCTTTTCAATCGCTCTCTAGTGTTTCGCCAAATGATTAATCTCTTCTACTCGTTCAACCTAACGCATCTACATAAAGTCCGAGCCTGTTTTGTGTCGTTCGACGAGTTTGAAACTGCTGTGATCGCGGCGGCGGATGGGAAATAATAATGATTTTTTTTTTAAAAAAGTTAGGGGATATTCTGGAGGGTATGACGATGCCATTTCTTGGTTCGCGTATAGAATGAAGGTGAGGTAACATTCATGGAAAGATTGATATGTGGTGGTTGTTGTTTTGAGATAGGTAGTAACTAGAGGAAAAGGAAAGCGTTAGCACTTCTCATCCAAATCGAAGTAGTGGACTGAGAGTACTGTTAGTATCTATAGGAATTACTTCAGTGTTATATCGCTAGGCTGGGTTTCCGTTTCGTGGACTGAGGTTAACTCGACAGGAGAAGGGTGAAGCTAAAGTGAAAAGAATATAGAAAATGGCGGAGATGTTCTTCTGAATCATACAAACGCGGGCAACAGTCAAGGCAAAGAGCAAGATTGCATGACCCACAATACAATCTATGAATAGCACGCCGATCCTACTAGACTTGAATGGCTATACTAGCATTATACATTCTAAGTAGTTATGATTGGGCAGCAAAGAAGACTTCTTGAGCAATAGAACTATCCCTCTTTCTCACACTTTGCGATATCACGAAAATAAATGAACACCTACTCAGAATAATCCATCTAGCATTACACCCTACACAGCCTCATTATCATAAGTAAACGCAATATAATTCCCTCACGCAACCCACATGAACCAACTTAACCACCGTGGCATATCGCTCCTCAAAATCCGGCCGTCACAATCAACTTGAAGAAATCAAATCGAAACAAGAAAAAAGTGTAATTCCTATCAAGTCGTCTTCCAGAATATGCTTGCTAAATATCCGCCCGACTCGTCCACCCACCCTTTCCATTCAATCAAGAGACAACGAAAACCCCGCTCCCCCAGCATTCAGGACCGACAAAAACCTATCGTAAACACATATACCCGATTCCTTCCCCTTCAAAAATAAGGGTGTTCACTTGCTTTCCTCCGGGAAAAAAAAGTTGTACTGCATGTATAATAAAAAGGCTAAAAAAACTTGTGCAAGATAAGTCCAGGGTCCCAAGGCGTCATCATGAAAATCATGCGGGCCTAATATTTCGTAACCATATCGAAGAAGGTAGATTGAATGAAGCCGCCGGGGCACGTGGTGATACAGGTCCTATTGAACGCCGGGTATGGACATAGGTGAGGGTGGATGAGACATTCGGAGTATTTTGGTGATATGAATGGTAGTATTATGACATGGTAAGTGTAAGATGTCGTAGACGTCGTTGTGAGGTTAGGTTGGTAGGATATTCATGAGACTATTTTGTGACTTCCTCTCATGCTGATACGATCTGAGAGGCTGCATCATCTTTGTATTGTTGAAGTTCCTTCAGCTGAGACTGAAGTTCGGTTAATATATCAGCCATGGGGCAAGCTTGCCGGAGCAGCGAAGTCGAGCCGAAAGGTCTGACCATGTGACGGATGGCGAGAGTGGTGGTACATGTCTGTGAAAGTGATTAGCTAGCTATCGTGGAAGTAAGTGTGAAGTATCTTACCTCGATTCTTGAGATCTGGTGTTCGACGAAGTTGATCAAAAATCGATCTGTTATCTCACCACCTCGATTCTTCATTCGCTCCAACAACGCCGTCTCCGGAGGCTTCAACTCCATGGTTCCAGGGCTTTCCAGAGTGCTGCAAAGCATCTCCAGACGTAGACTGACGTTCCAAAGATCCCAAACATTTTCAGTGTCAATCGTAAGCTGGCTACCCGGCATCTTCTGCCCAACTTGGCCAGCCTGCGCTGGTAGTGGTTGTTTGGCCTCCAATTGCCGCTGCACAGCAAGACGACTAGCTAAGGAATGAGGATACATCAGATAAATATACTCCGGATTCTCGAGACCCTTCAGGCGGCGTTCACCTAGATCTTTGACCTCAAAACCCTGACTGCTTAACGATCGAAGCTCTTGCCGGATAGCTTGGGTCATCAAGTCATCTCCGAGCGCTTCCTCAGATCCGGTGGAGTTGCTTCGGTCACCCTCGATATGGGTCTCTAGAAGTCTCTGAATCTCGGCAATGAAATCGGAAGAGACTGTAATTTGTCCTCCGTCAGCGACGGACGAGATGCGCGAGGCTCGATTAACCATTGGCCCAAAATAGTCCATGCGTTTGGTGACAGGATCGACCTCACACACAGGCGAACCCCAGTGGACGCCCATCCGTACTGAGAGGCCTCGGAATATGACGTTACCGTCAGGATCTACTACTTCTTGTCCATTGACACCGCTAAGGATTTCCTGCGGCCACTGAACCTCGAGCAACTGGCTTTGGATGGTGAAACACCAAAGTAGAGCGGATGTGACGGTTGGGAAAGCCACCATAAAGGCATCACCTTCGGTCTTGACCTCATAACCACCAATGATGCGCAGTTGCCGACGCATTAGCTCGTTGTGCATTCTGATGGCCGATCTCATAGCAATCGGATACGTCTCCCATAGGAGGGTTGAATTCTTGATGTCAGTAAACACCAAACTAACTTCTCCGGTTGGGGCATCGACCTCATTGTCAAGTCGAGCAAGTTTAGAGTCACCGACTTGGTTGCGGGCACGTTTACCGACTCTGCGACTCGAGAAAAAGTCATCTGGGGATCCGGAGGGCCCCATCGACATGCTATGTGTCCGGAATCGCGCTCGTTGCTTGCTCTTGAGATCGCTAACACCAATTAACATAACCATGATTTTGTTGGTCGCACCAAATGCTATCGCAAGATCTCGAAGCTTTTGAGCAGCCCGCATCAAGTCGTTCCGTTCTGACCGTGCAACATCAACAGCAAAATCCGGGGTGAGATATTCCCATAGCTCTCGAGAGGCCATCAAGATCATTTCATCAGTGTCGCCAAGCGTGAGATTGAGTATGTGTGGAGAGGCAATTACAGATGGGGACATCTGCACGTAGCCAAAGGCGCGTGATACTTCGAGGACGTCGTTCAGTTTGCCTTGTCGGGAGACAAATCCTCCAGCTTCTCGGATCCTTGAACGCTCACCGGGTTCCGCTGGGTCGTGTTTTCGTGTAAGAAGCTTGTGACCACCCTCTGAGCGGATGAGCAGGGCTTGAGCATCGCCAACGTTGGAGATGTATAGCTCCATTTCCTTTAAGTATAAGACAGTAGCAACGCTTCCAGAATGCAAGTCATCATCGCCAAGCTCTGGGACAGATCCACGAGGCTGCATCGAGGCGCCTATCGAAGCATTCTTGTCTAATGATTGTGTGGCCGCAGTTGCCAGCTCTTTGTTGAGACCCAGATAGGTGCGCCGTAGGGCATCGACTGGAGTCTCTTGAGGTCGCAAACGGTCGAGTTCGTCCGCAAATCGGTGTTTGAAGTTATCGTAAAGGTATTTGGCAATCTTGGATCCTCCACCAGCAAGGGGCTGACCATCAAAAATGCCGAGGACCTGCTCTTCGTCGTGGCTTCGGAATCGGGGGATGACCATGTCCATAGTCGACACATGTTCATTGCGACCGAGGCTATCAGCCATCCCATAAGCCATTGTCCCCACCGCTGAGCCTGAAGTTCGGACTCTCCTGTCCTCAGTCTGCTCCGGCACCGATGGTACCATCATGGTTACATCCATCAACCCTAGGACTCTCAAGTTGATGAGGGATGTAAAGTCAGTTAGATCTCTGCCTTCACGCATTGCAGCTCCTCCACCACTGAAAGGTCCGCTGGGCTTAATCTCAAGTCGCTTGTTACCGGAAAGATTAAGATATTTCAAGTTATGGTTCCAGTTCCAATTCCAGTCATATGGCCAATTGGACACATTGTACTTCAGGGAGTTACTACCGACATCGAGAATAGCAAGCTTCGCAACTTTCCCTAATTCCGCAGGGAGAACCTGGAATTTGTTGCTATTGATGTGAAGAATCTTTAGAGAGCCTACTTCTTCCAGGTCCTCGGCCGGTAAGGATGTCAGGTCGTTTCCAGAAAGATATAGCTCAGCGAGATGCTGCCATCTACGTATTGTTCGAAGTGGAATATCGTAGATAAGATTGTATGCTAAGTTGACTATCCTCAGCTCTGGAAGCAAGGCAAGCTCGTCGAAGACATCATCTGAAAGCCTGTTATCAGCGAGGAATAGGTGTCGTAATGATCCTGCGAAGGTTGCCACCATTCGGTTTGAGAGACTTGAGTCTTTGCGTGAGATGGGAGTTAGAGTTCCTTCCGTTGGTGTACGCGAGGTGAGAGATTGTTTCCTTGCCGTGGTCGTTGACCCTGTACCGTATGAAGCCATGGAACCTTTGCGTTGTGATGCAGCTGGTGAGGGACCTGAACTAAGGTATCCAGCAGACGCTTGGCTAGGACGTCGGTTGGCAAAGTCTTCCAGCTTCCCAAGCTCTTCGTAACTTGGACTGGTCCCAAGACTGGGAGTGGATAGAGGAGTTGCACCATCCATGTTAGACACATCGCCATTCAGGGAGGGAGGAGGCGCACTCGGCTTAGGGAATGCGTCTAGGACGTTAGAGGATACGTTGAGGGTTTCTAACCGTCGCGCATACCATATCTCTGGGGGAAGTCGTCCTAAATTGTTCTCACGGACGTCGAGATATCGGAGCTCAGCAAGCCGTCCAATCTCGGCTGGGAGCTCATCGAGGGAATTCCTTGCTACGCTTAAGTGCTCGAGCCGATAAAGTCTCCCGATATGAGTCGAGATGGAAGTGAAATGGTTCTTGTCTAGGATGAGTTTCGTTAACCCGGTGATCTTTTGGAACAAATCTTCGGGAAGCTGCGCAAGTTTCGCAGATGCAAGATTCAGCATCGACAACGATGGTACAGGAGCACTCATTCCAAAGCGCGTAACCGGGTTGTGGTTCATGTGTAACACCCGAATCTTTGGAAATGAACCCTCAAATGCCGATATCGAGTTGTGTCCAATCATCAAATACTCCAACCTTGGCAGCTGAGACATGACATCCATGCTATCAAGAGCATTGAAGCGAACATCGATCTCCCGCAAATTGACCAAATTGCTGAGGGAAGGAGGGAAGCTTCCGGATAGCTTATTGTTTGTCGCCCACAGCCTTTCCAAACAGGTCAGCTGCCCAATCTTTGGTAGGCTCGAGATCGAGTTGAAGCTTATATCAAGGTCAACAAGGGTCCGTACTTCGCATAGAAAGTCCGGAAACTCGCTGAGGGAGTTTGAGCTCAAATTCAGACTCCTGAGTGCCCGATACTGACCAAAGTATACTGGAAGCTGAGTTAACCTGTTGTTGGAGAGTCGAAGGCCTTGCAGGCTCTGCAATTTGTGCAGCTCCGCATGTTCTAATTGTTGGAGACGATTATTTGAGATGTCTAGCATTGTCAAACGACTTGCTAGACTTAAACTAGGCGGTAACCGGCGAGCGTCATTACTCGTGTATTTGATCTCGCGGAGATTGGTACAAGCTTGTATGAAATCCTTTGGAACGTCCAGTGACAGATTTCGAGAGAGGTTGAGGGATATGATTTCTGTCGCTTTCTGGTAGAGCGTGATGGGAATGGTGATTAGGTTGCGGCCTTGAAGATCAATATGGCTGAACTTTTGCATCTTGCTAAAGCCGGGGTCTTTTTCTAAGCTCGAGTAGCCGCTCATCTTTGCTGGGATGAAAGTGAATCGACATAGGTAACTGTTGTCTTCTCTTCCAACTTCTTCAAGACGGTCGGCCTCCGTATAACCCGCTTGCTCTAGCAATCGCTTTTGGATCAGTAGGGGCCGTTCCAGGGAGTCTAGTTGGCGCGAGGTATCATGTTTGCGCATGACAATGTGATAGTTGTCTAGTTCATCCTGAAGCAGTGTTTTCTTCCCAAGAATCTGGATAATCTCAGAGACCGAGGTACTAAGCGTCGCAGATAGGGTCGCAAATGTCGAATCTACCCTGAATATACGAACGCAATATGTCTTTGAGTTATCTTCATCCTTCGGGATGGCGCTAGTTTCGTCGAATTCGCCATGTCGAAGGCTCTCGTCACCCATTCGCTTGACGGCCCACGAATCAGGAGCATCCCATGCAGCGATAAACCCGTCCTGGTCCTTTACCTCTGGTGTGGGATCTTCTCCAGGCCAAACTGGGGGAACATCACCCATGGGTGGAGTCATTGGCGGCTGCTGCGGGTTGACAATGCCCTCCATGTGATCGAGATCAGTGTCCAGGTTCCACAGCGCATCGTTCATTACGGCGTCGGCCTTTGCTTCATTCGGATCTTTCCCACGTGGCTGTTCATTTGTTCCGCCTGGCCGCTTCGAGCTCTTGAAGGGCAGACGACTATGGTCCTTCTTGACCTCTTTGACGTATCCGAAACCTTTCTCTCGATACCCCGGTTCTATCGTGCCTTTCTTCTTGGAGCTCATAATAGATGGCGAGGGCTCTGCTCGAGGATATTTTGCAGACTTGATGGAAGGTTGCAGGGAAACCGTCGAAGGAGGAAGATCCTTGAGGAACTCTGGACCCGAGCGGTCTGTTTTGTCCTTTCTCTTGAAGCGGTCGAGAATAGAGCGTGGTTTACTAGTACTGGGCGATCTTTGTGCTGAAGGGTCCCGAGACATCTCGCTAAAGGCGCTTGGGGTAGGACTTGATGGTCGCGGGACTAGATTGGTTTTGGAAGCGAAGGCGGAACTGAGGGCGGAGGGGTATTGTTGGTCTCGGCGGATGCTATAGGACGAATCCTCTCGACTAGTCACCGGTCGCAATGGATAGGGTTGGCTAATCTCGGCTCGCCCTTCAGACGCTTTGATGTCGTCTTTGCTCCGGTTGTGCCGGTGTCCCGGGAGCCTCAATTTGTGGGAACTCTTGCCAGACTTGTTCGAATGCTGCTCGGAGGAGGGGCGGCCATTCTCACCTTGAGAAGGCATTTCCTAGAGGTAAAGTCAGTGACGTCCCGCATAACAAGGGCAAATATTGATAGTGGATTGCAAGCAAGCGCGACGAATGGGAGGCAGCGAGATGTGTCAATAGGGAAGGAGCGTTGGGTTAGGAGATGAGCCTCAACTCGTGTCACGGTCAGATTCTTTGTGAGGCCACTCACTATCCTCAGGTCTACTCCGCCAGCGATTGTGTAACATTCGACTAAACTTACCTTGTAGTCTTGGAACTCCCAGGGCGTCACTTCCGACGAAGGGAGCGGCGTTCGTGGACGGGAGCTTGCCGGCGAGCCAGGCCTGCTGTTCATGCTGCTCCCGAGGGTATTATTCACGGAGTTTGTGCGGTTCCGGGAAACGCGTGTTGGCTGTGGTTCAGCTCCATACGGGGTCGTCAGGCTCGTATCTGAATTCTGGCGGGAATCGCCAGGAAACTCCTCCCCGAAGAATCCCTGCAGTTTCTTATGGAATCCTCTGCTGATGCTCGATTTCGACCCCGAGCTGCTGACCGTGGTGGCACTCGCAACGGAGGGCCGTCGATCATCACTGGGAAACCCCATATTATCCTCCTTTCCGCTACTAGGACGGAAGCCTGGTGAGAGCTGTGCTATGTCCTCATTCGAGTCGTTGAAGAAACTGGAGAAGACGCTTGAGGGCATCACGGAACCATTTGCGGTGGCAGAAATCCACGGCGGGATGGGCGAAGTGGCGGTCGGTGGATTGTGGGAGATGGACGGTATCCTGCTTCCGGATGTCTCTAGTACAGCCAGCTCTTTCCGGTGGTTGCCCCAGTCGGCAGTTCGCGGGCTGTTCCAATTGGAGTTTTTCCGGGGTTTATGGGAGGGGTCTTTGGGAGGAGGAATTGGGGGGATGGTGCCGGGCGAGATTTCCGACTCCTTTTCGATCCTGGCTCGAGGCGTTAGCTGGCCCTCGTTCAACAGAAGCTCGTATGTCTGGGCTTGAGACGAGCGGAGGGGGGGTGGGGGGGACAAGGCTGTTGCACAGATCTCGCGGGTGAGGTGTCTTGGCCTAACACGGCTAGTTGGCGAGCAGATGAGAGACGAGAACAGAAGATCGGAAACAAGAAATCAAGATCATGAGAGACAAGATGTTGGGCGAGACTGTCAGAGCTCTGCGACAACACGCTGCAGAACCTCGGGGCGCACTCCAGTGGAACACACAATGCGCACGACTCGCGCAACGCCCAAATGCGCAACCAAACACCCAATGCTCTCGAACAGAACAACAACCAAATGCGCCGAGAGGGTACGTACTGATGATGGTTGTGGTCTTTAGACGTCTTCACGGTGACGGGCGTTCCTCGAGAACGGCCGCTGAAGCTGGCCCTCACCGTGTCGCTCGAGCGCCAGCTCTCCGCCCCCGAGCTCTCGGTGGATCCATGCCTACCCGCATTCTCCTTCCTCGTCATTGTCGCTCCGGGGCTTGCGCTGGCGAGCGCGGGCGCGGACGCGATGGGCGGGTGGGTTTCGTTCGATTTGTGCTGCCGCGACGAGCACCGACGAGTGCCAGGAGTCCTAGGATGGCTTCATCGAGGCTTGGGATGGGACGCGGGGACGCACATGGGCGGGGCGGGGGGTCGGCAGTCGCAGGCGCAGATGCACAGCACAGTGGGAGGGCGATTCACAACGGCGAGAAGGCACACGGCAGGCGGTGTTCATTTGATGGAGAGTTGAAGATGATGCCGACCCCAAGATGGCACTCCCGCCTTTCTGTCACGGGCCAGCTGCCGACACATGCACCGCCTAAGCCTAGAACAAGACCACTGGGGCAGACAACAAAAGACACCAGCAGCCAGTGGCTAGCAGCCAGTCCCGTCCCGCCCCGCCGCTCCCATGTTTCTGCTTCTGCTTCCCTCACAGGCCGCCAGATGGAGCTTTGCAATATGCGCTCTGGTCGCTGAAGTCTCGGTGCGCGGCGAAAAACCCCCCGCTGTGGTCATCGTGTCCAGTCTGCTGCGCTTGGGGGCCTTCTCTCCTCTCCGCTGCACTGCTCCCGAACTCACCGCCCCGCTTCATCCAAGCCACACAACAGTGGCGCCGGGCACACCCACCATCATCCATGCCTGTCGCCGACCGCCGGTCCTCCACTAACACATGAAGATGAACTATAGCGTAAGAAATCGTAGCCGTGCAATTCTTACTGTCTTCCCGTCTCCATATTTGTATCGTAAATGCAACCCTTGGGGTGACGCTCGAGCTCTCCCCGCTCTCCAAGGTTAAATGTGTCACTGGACTGCATATTCTCCCACACTGGACGTCTAGGGTGTATGCTGGAGTGTTTCTCCGTCCTCGGTCGCCGTCCACCTTTGAGCCACTCGCACAATGCAAGAGCAATCGAGTGTCTGCAGGCTTTGGTGGGTCGTGGATCAAAACTAGAGTATCACGCAGAATCGAGGGTGGAGGTATCCATCGTGTATTGTCTACATGTTGCAACGCCGAACACTCGGTTCTGAGCCGACTTGGCATCATCCTTGGATGACCCAGCAAGTTGGTGATTCATTGGGCAGGTAGGCGAGGAGGCAAGCAAGCAAGCAAGCAAACAATTCACGTACCTTCTGTCAATACGCGTAATTAGGCTTGCGTTGGCAAAAAGCATCGCGCTGGCTCATACACTTCTTCGGACCCTCCCCATGAAGTCGTGGTCATACATCTGATAGTCATACAATTCACTCTCTCGTTCCTTGTGATAGCGCTCCCTTCTGATGCTGGTCCCCTATGATGCTGGTCCTTGACCTTGACGAAGCGTCCTCAATATGTGTTGGATATCTGCTGGAAATGCCCCTTGCTGGTTGTTCTGCTGGTTGTTCTGCTGGTTGTTCTGCTGGTTGTTCTGCTGGTTGTTCTGCTGGCTGTTCTGCTGGCTATTCTGTTGGCCGTTCTGCTGGTTGTGCTGTTGGCTGTTGGCGGTGGCAGCAGCATTAGGTTGACTTTGACCCTGATTCATGGCGGCGTAGTATTGGTGGTATTGCATTAATTGCGCATAGTGCGCATACTGTGCATACTGCGCTGGTGTAAATTGCTGCTGAGCTTGCGTTTGTGGTGGCTGCGCAAAGAAGGCGGGGTTGTAGTGAGAACCAGCAGGAATAGTTGGGTTTGCTTGGTATTGAAGCGTAGCTTGAGGGGCATTTGATGGCGCAGGCATGGGCCAGCTAGGGCCGTTGACAGCAGGATTCTGTGCATATGCAGAAGCATTGGTGGAACCCGCTGGGACAGAAGCTAGTGCTGGAGAAGGGTTGTATTGTGTATATGTGGAAGCATTGGCGGATGTCGTTGGGACAGAACCAGGTGCTGGAGAGGGGTTGTATTGTGGTTGTCTCCTAGATGAGTTCCCACGCGGGGGAGAGCGTTGCTGTTGTGGTCTTCCATGCATCTGGCCTGGCGATGAAGAGGCAGCTGGCCTGTTTTCCTGCTGCGGGCCATTCCTGGAGTGGTTCTGCTCTTGTCGCCTTCCAGGTCTGTCGGCTCCCCTAGAAAATCGACTGCCTGGGTTACCTCGTCCGCGGTCACCGCCATTGCCACCACCTCTTCCTCGGAATCCACCACGGCCTCGGTCGGGCCTGCCCCCTCGGGGACCTCTCATTCCTCTACGAACATGGCTTCGATCCTCTAAAGGAGCTCCCCTTCCGACAATATCCTCGAAATGTTCTGGTCTAGCGAGCGGTCTGTACATGCCTAACTCTAAGTCGTCGTCGTCGTCGTCGCCATATTTAAGCCCACCACCCTGATACTGCCCAGAAGTTGCTGGGGGAGGCTTGTCTCTAGGAATATTGAGGCCTTTTTCCTTGGGATTGTGGTTCTCCTCTGTCTTAGATTTCCACTTCTTCTTCTGTGCCCGCTTGTATTCTGCTTCCTTCTCGTCGTCGGAGAAGTCGACCTCGCCAGCCGGCTCATCATGCAAGTTCGAAGCGTCCGTGTGTTTTTGTGCCTTCAGTGGTTCTGTGTACACAAATTTCGAATGCTCATCGATGTAGTAGATTAGCGTATCTTTGTTGATCCCAAGTGTCTCAATTTCTGAGGTATCGCTGAAACCCAGTGAATATCTTGGTTCCTGCACGCGGCCGAGTGTCTCGGAAACCTTGCCAACTACGGTGCGATTTGCAAGACATAAGGGTGATTCAGACTCGAGGACTCGATAGTCTCCAGATACATTAGCCTTGATGACGACCAGGTTGTCCACAATGGATTCGACCTTCCCGAGCTCGGTGATCTTCATGTCGTCGGTAACGGTAATATCCGGTTTCTCATACTTCTCATCCAGTTCATTCTGAGTTCGGACTTTTGCTCTCGCGGTGGATTCTGGCTCATCTGCACTCTCCATCATCAATCTGCGGGCTTGTTCTTCCACACTGAGCAGTTCACCCTTGTCAGAGTCGCCACTATTATCGGAACTATCCTCGCTAGAATCACTAGATGAATCACTAGAGGAATCTGCCTCGGATGAGTCCAACTGCCATTCTGCCTCTAGATCTCCCTTATTAGCTTGTCCAGCACGAAGGAACTCTGCTTTTCCGTTGTCCACCTGCTCCAGAGTATGTAGCGGTGCAGATGCACTGTTCAACACAGTCGACCCTGTTTCGACAGTAGATGCATTGTTTGTAATACTTCTGGGCAGAATTTCGCCGTCTTTAGTGTGCTTAAACGGGCGGCTTGGCGAAGGGGTATTAGTGGAACTTTCTTCTGTACAAGTGTTAGCCCTGAGGAGTTTGTGGACTCTGCCGCGAGAGAGCGCACCATTATTAAGTGTTCCAGTCGACTCTACTGGGATAGTGCCAACCACAGAAGCCTTTCCCAACTCTGGTGGATGCTGACCGCCCACCATGGTCTCCATTGGCTTGGTTTCATTGTACAGCGACCCTGTATCTGAGATTTCGCCATCTTCTGAGAGTTCGCCTTCTTCGGCTTCCTCATGTTGAATATGAGCACCTGCACCATTGGGGCTATGGATTTGCGGCAATAATGATTCCTGCTTAGAGGAACTGCTCCAAGAACCGAGGCCAGGAATGTGCGATGAGGACAAGCTGGCTGGCGACGGCTCAACCGCTAAGGACGAAGAATGTTCCTCACGGGTGACAGGCGTGGAGGAAGGCTTGACTGGAGTGGTCTCGTAGAAATCGTCATCCATGTCATCGACTGGCGAGGCAGCTGCGTCGAGAGCTTCATTGTGAGGAGCTTCAAGGCGTACCCTCTTGGCAGGAGGCTGCTCTAGCGCGGAATTGTCCGACATACTGAAAGCTATTTCTTCCACGCAGCAAGAACGCATGTAACAGTGTTTAACTGCCTGTCCAGTGGCTGATGGAACCGGCGATGGATCAGGTGTCGTGAAGGTGACGGGTGTCGAAGAAAGAGAAAATGAGAGCAGGCCACTAGCTTGGCGCTAGTGCATTAGCGCACATTGGCATCGCACACCCCTGCCCTCAAGACTCGATCGTCTACGCAGTAGTGGTGCTAGAGCTGCGCGTTTCGATGCGCTCCAGATCCCACCCTCGCTGACCACAATGCCCTCTAAAGCCAGCTCTAAAGCTCGGTTGGTGCAGCCATCGTCGCCAAAGGTCGCTAGGTAGGGTCTCATCACTTCACTCCCGTGCTATTCTGTTGGTTGACCCATCACATCGCAGAGCAAGCGCGTCAATGAGCCCGCATCCTCAACTGGATCCTATCACTGCCTTCTACATTTTTCTCGCTGCCAATGTTGCTGCCGCCATCTTTTCCCCGATCCAAGACTGCGACGAAGTCTTCAACTACTGGGAACCTACGCACTATCTCAACCATGGCTATGGGCTGGAAACGTGGGAGTATTCCCCCGAGTATGCTATTCGAAGCTGGGCCTACGCTGGTATGCATGCGGTTGTGATATGGCTCGGTCATCTCTTGCCGTTCACTACAAAGGTGTTCGAATTCTACTTTCTCAGAATTGTCCTAGCTCTCCTCTGCGCAGCTTGCGAAACACGAATGTATTCCACCATTTCCAGAACTATGAATCCCCGAGTTGCAATATTCTTCTTGATGGCCATGATCTTTAGTCCGGGCTTGTACCATGCTTCGCCTGCGTACTTGCCTTCCAGCTTCGCCATGTATACAACTATGCTTGGGTTCTCGGCCTTTATGGACTGGAAGGGTGGAATGAGGACTGCTCAGGGCATGCTCTGGTTTGCCATTGGTGCTTTGCTAGGATGGCCTTTTGCTGGAGCCTTGGCTATCCCCTTCCTAGTGGAAGAAGCCCTCTTCGCGTCTATTACTGGGGAAAAATATGAAGTGTTTAGGAGGGTGCTCGACGGAACAGTCCGATCACTTATCGTCTTGGTATGTCATTATATATCCTAAGTATCTTAGCTTACTCTTCTCCTTCAGGCACTTCAAATGGCCATCGACACCTTTTTCTACAGGAAGATCGTTTGCGTTCCGTGGAATATCGTTCTCTACAACGTATTTACCGGAGGTAGCAAGGGCCCGAACATTTACGGTGTGGAGCCATGGCACTTCTACGCTCGCAATCTTTTCCTCAATTTCAACGCTTGGTTTGTTCTCGCCATAGCCGCGCTCCCATTGCTCCTTTTCCAACACACTGTTCGCCAAAGAGCAGTCTCGAAGCAAACCCTACTTCGGGGAATCGTTTTTGTTACGCCATTCTATTTGTGGTTTGCTATCTTCACTCTGCAGCCCCACAAGGAAGAGAGGTTTATGTATCCGGCTTATCCAGCTTTGGCACTCAACGCAGCAATCTCACTGCATATTCTACTTGCAAACCTTGGATCAACGGATCCACATGACCTTGCGAGTAAGATACCTACGAAGTTGAAGCTAGTCATTGTGAGTGGCTTTGTTCTTGGAACTTTGAACGTCGGCATCCTTCGTATTATTGGAACCATGACTGCCTATTCGGCTCCGTTGCAGGTCTATGCGCCGTTGCAGCAACCGGGGGTGTCGAATGCGGGCGATAACGTTTGCCTGGGAAAGGAATGGTACCGCTTTCCTTCTACGTACTTTCTCCCAACCCGAGTTCGAGCAAAGTTCGTGAAGAGCGAGTTTTCTGGTTTGCTCCCAGGCGAATTTAGCGAAGCAAGTGTTGGGTTCGGAATTTTTCCGGGTGCCTGGTTAACACCTCCTGGCATGAATGATGAGAACCGGGAAGACCCAGGGAAATACGTCAGTCTTGATTGTGACAAGAAATTCTCCTGGAAAATATTTGACATGAGAACAGGTTGATATCAAACACTGCCAGTTTTTAGTAGACTCACATTTCCCCGGCGCTTCGAGGTCGCCTTTGGAGCCTAACTATATTTCTGATTCGGAGAATTGGGAAAAGCTATCTTGCGCAACATTTCTCGACGCAAGTCAAACTTCGATTTTGAGCCGTTTGCTCTGGGTCCCGGACTGGGCTTTCATTCCCGAGCGATACCGTCGGAGGTGGGGTCAGTACTGTTTGCTGCGTCGTAAAAGCCAAAGTGGAAAAGGCCTACATTAGCAGAATCCGAGATGCTCACCGTGAATGAAGGGTTCTTTAACTCCATCGAATTAGAGGTGGAGAGATCTGCCCGCAAAAGAAGAGATCCAAATGTTGACAGCTTCAAGCTAAGCTTGATCGAGCAAACATATCCCCAACTCTCGGCGATAAACAGGAATTGACGACGCAAGTTCTGGAACCCCACACCCGCTCCCCTACCAACCTTATCGCAACATACATCGGAGCGCCTTTGTAGCAACACATCAAATATAACATAGCATTGAAATTGCTGTCGTTGTTTCTGTTTATCGGATAATGATCATTCATCTTCCAGCCTTTCCTTCCAATTCTCAGTCCACTGCCAGCGCTTGATCCCTCCTCATAAGTGGCGTGTGGAAAAGATATATTTGGCCTCGAAGACTCTGTGTAGCCTGCACACCTACTTGGCCATATTTATATCTCCTCGGCCTCAATATCTTCACTACTACATCGGTTTGCAAAAAAGATAGTGGAAATGAAGGAGTGGAGGAGGCACAATTGTGACGTTACAGAGCTCAATGCAACAGTGAAGAAGACCTTTATTGACTATAGGATGTTTATATACAGCTTACTGTCCTTTTTCACTCTTGCTTGGGCCGTAATGGTTCTCACACGCCGGTTTCGTAATCGGAAGGTCACACCACGGCCTAGCACCCCTGATCTCGAGAAACGCTCACCTTTCAAACTGCCACCCCGGAAGCCCGGAGGTACCGATTATACTCTCCGTGCGTATTTGGAATGACTCCCAACTTACAAATTCACAGTGTGGATTCCTCAAGATTTCAAGCGCCCTGCTGCCCCTCCCTATCCCGAGTGGTCCGTCGAAAACACAAAGCCATTGCCATATCGTCCATTTCGCTATGGACCCAAGTACAACGTGACCATGGGTCTACGTACCATGCACTGGGATGAGTGGATCGAGCTCGACAATCACTACATGAAGTTCCACGATCTCAAAGCCCAACGCATTGTTGAAAGAGGACCGAAATGCAGCCATACCGCGCCTGAAGCTTTTGATGGTGCGTGTGAGTTGGTGGAGGAGTTATGCGACTACCTGCCGCAGCGGTATCCCAGCCTATATCGGAAGACAGACGTTGGGATGGATAACATCGTGACTGGGGAGACGTTCAATATCGTTGAGCGGCCGTTGAAGGAAGACCCTATGCAGATGGCAGCACGCTTCGTACAAGACGACCTCGCCATCATGTTTGAGAAGCCTGATGGACAGTACTATCTCCTTGCTGGTTCCATTCTTCTCGCTGGATTTTGGCGTCTGGAAGACAAGCTTGGCATGCCCCTCTCTGAAATCCACACGAGCGGTGACGTCCCGCAGTTCAAAGAAAAGCTAGAAAAGGGAATGACGAACTTCTTCAAACGCGTGCAGCCCGACAAAGCAGTCCTGCGAAACAACTACTTCATTCAAGTCGACGATGCGCTCGCATGGAGCCACAGCATTGGCAGTGAGGACAGCGACGGCATTGGCTGGTTCACCGCAGAGAAGAACAAGGCGATCCGACATCACTGGTTCCGGAGCGAAAGACAGAGTTTGCGACGGTCTGTCCCTGTAATTTTCCTCCTTGCTTACGAGCAGCATGCTGACTCATGTCTGGAAGGCTTCCTCGTTCCGGTGGCGTTGTCTTCACTATCCGAACTTACTTCCATCCCATCACCGAAATATGCGAAGAGCCATATGTGCCGGGAAGGCTAGCGAGTGCGGTGCGCAGCTGGGGTGATGACGTGAGCAAATACAAGGGCAAGGAGAGATATCAGGATGTGTTACTCGAATATTTGGACCGAAAGCATGAAGAGCAGGTAAAGGACGGACTGGATTTGACGAAGGAGGAGGAAGTCAGGGCATACCCTTTCTAAGAGCATGGTTCAGGATAGGTGAGTCCGGAGGTTACTGGCTGTTGGGTCGGGTACCTGAATATTTCGGTATGTTGGACGGGCTTATGGCAGGGACACTACAGTTAGTGCTCTAGGATAACCTTTCTTGATAAATTTATGTTGTTGCGTGATACTTTAAATCTCACTGGTAAAAAGTGGCTTCAATGCGTTTCGCGATTTACTTTTTGAGTCAGTTTGATAGCATGTCGGAGAAATCGTCGCTTTCGGAATATGAAACTTCCTTAAGTGTCTTCTAGGCTTAATGAGTGATCTTTCGTGCTACTTGCGGAGCAGAGTGCAATTGGCAACATGCAGTACATCATGCTATGAGGAACGCGTGACAAGTATATGTGGATCGTCATTGCATCTGGGTCGCCGACCTTTCGAAAAAAGGCCTAAACTGAATTCTCCTATGTAAGAAATGGCATGCAGGAAACGGCCCGCATAATGACACAGTTCGAAGAAGGTGAGGAGAAGAATCACGGAACCCGACATAGCATGAAGATTGGAGAGGATTCAAATTTCAATAGATGTGGAGTTTATGTCATGCAGTAGTGGGTACTTGTCATGGTTGACAGGGTGAATCTGTCTTAGATGAGCACGGATCTTAGGTGGTGAAGTCAAGAGATTCTGCAGCTTGGATTGATCTCTGGTGACTGACCAGAGGGCGAGATCGAATGGAGAATGGGTCGAGAAACCTACTGCTAAATGCGTTGTTGCAGCTGCATTGTCACGACTAAGGGGCTGCAGTGGGTGATATGCTGGCCGGTACTTTTTTTGCTTCTGGTCGTACTAGCCGCATTTCTGGACGGTGATGCAGAGGATCCCCTGTCTCCAGAGTGTGAGGCGGACGGGGAAATGTTTATTTTCTGAGAAAAGGTCATTCTTTCTTTTGGGGATGACGTTGGTGGGCCAGGAGTAAATGTATTATTGTTGCTGACGGTGATCGATAGGCAATGGTCAGACATACAGGCGCGTACGCACTTGCAATCCCAAAGGAGCAATCCATCTTCATCCTGAGTGAGGAGCCGAGGATGATAGAGAGGTTGTTTATTTTTGTTTGACTGGGCGGCAAAATCATGGACAGGCTGTCTCGCCCTCGATCCATGGATGCCTCCAGGACCGTCACACTCCGGGCCTAGGAGTCACTAGAATCGCGCGTGGCTCGCCGGAGTGAAGTTTGTTACTGATCGGAGCCTCTGGGCTTCGGCTAATTGTTGGTGGTTGGTAGGTTGGCGAGTACTGAGCTGCAGCAGAGCAGACTTACAGGAGTGAGGGTTCTCCGCTCTTCACCACGCTCGCGACCACGACGGGCGCTCTGCATGCCTCCAATCGCGCCGCGCCGCTGCCGAACGGCTGCTGCACATGGCCAGCTGCTCAGCGCAAAATACCCGGCCAGTCGCCGGACGTGCTCAAGGGAATAAACTTCGAGGGCGGCACCCACACCGGCGGACCCTCGTGTTGCATTGACCAGGGGTGCGCCGGTGCTTATATGCCTGTTTCTCGCGGCTGGGCACCGCCGCCTCGTCCAGCGGTCTGCTGGCTGGCTGGCTGGCTATCAAGTAGCAGTGCGCAGCTCGACTTCACCCGTCGTCCTCCTCTCCTGCCTCGACCTGTCCCATATTAACAATGCCGCTGCAACTCGCGCATCCTCTTGCAGTCGTCTCTCATCTGACCGCCCTCCCCATGCCACAGTAGCCGTTGTCGTATTCCTGCGCGCCGGATGATGGGGCAGAGATGGCCTTGCCCGTCCTGCAGCAGAACGCTCTCCTCGGCACCCCAGACACAGGCCAGCGAGAATTGCTAGTACAAGCGCGGAGGACCCAGAATGTGAAACGTCGCGCTGGAGAATCCGCACAACGACCTACTGCTCCCCGTCGACAGTCTTTAAGGCGTGTCAAGGACTCCAAGGAAGAGCTGCGCACGAGAACCCGCACGCGAGGCCTTAGTAGTGCGACGGTCGAATCGTCGACTACCAGCACCACAACACCCTCGGGCGGCCGCTCCTTCACCGTGGCCAACATCAACCACGGCATCATCTACCTCAGGTATGGATATTCGCCACTGTCATTGCTGTGCTTGCTTCTGCCACGCCCCGTCGCAATTGGCGATGGAGGGCTCTCGCTCGTTCCACCTGCCCCCCCAATCTAGCGTCCTCCTTGGCTAACCACCGCCGTCTTCATGCAGGCCTGTAGTGCGCTCTGGCAACCAGCGCAGTCGTCCCTCACCCGATCCCTTCGTCTTCCCGCCCCAGACTCCGCCCGACAGCGCAACCCTCGACTCAAACGCTCTGCGGCCCCCGAGCAATGACTGGGAACAGAGCCTCTACAGCTCGCGCACTCCAACCCGCAAGGAGCCCGCTCCCCCCCCGCCACCTCGAGATGTGAAGACGGACGAGGATTCCAAGCAACGGCCCACCCAGCATACAACCCCTCCTCGCCCAATTGCCCACGTGCGCTCGCGATCTTTCTCAACGGCCGACGAGCACACAGTCGCATCGCAAAGCACCGAGCCTGGGACCTTCAAGGTGGTGATTGAGAGACCAGCATTTCGGCGTCCCAAGACCGCAGACACGGGCTCGCTCCCCGTTCTCCAGGTTCCGATTCCCCATTATCGGCTCGGCACTCCTCGTTTCAGTGCACGAGGCACCGCAATCCTCCGGAGTTCAGTGTACACGCGTGCATCGGGCACGGAAGATCTCAGGTCCTCCGTCTTCACACCACAGCGCGCTACGCACTCGTTCCTCTCGTCACGGCCGCGTTCCGAAGTGTACTCACCCGCCTTGCTCAACTACCGAACAACTATGGACCGCATGCCCTTGCAGCCGTCTACAACCCCTTCCTCGGCACGTGTCTCTAAAGTCCCGATCGGACCTCAGCTGTACGATGCTCTCACAGTGAATCCAGATGATCATGCTGTCGTCCGATTCTCGGCCTCGGGAGACATCCTAGCAGCTACTCCCTCTCGTCTTGTGGCCCATATAACATCTCCCAGTTTTCTAGACTACGAGCTGCTCTCAGACTTTTTTCTCACCTTCCGCTCATTTCTCTCCAGTCGTGATCTGGTGGCATATCTGATTTCACGTCTACGGTGGGCAGTGGACAGGCAAGACGACTTTGGTCGAATCGTGCGCGTGCGGACTTTCGTTGCGCTCCGACACTGGATACTAAATTATTTCGTAGATGACTTCGTCCCAGTCTACCAGTTGCGGACCTACTTCTGCGAATTAGTCAATGGTCTCTACCAGGATTTGAGAGCCCGCGCGGACGGTGGCGGGGGCGACATCAAGATTGTTGGCGAGCTCAAGAAATGCTGGAGACGGACATGCGCGTTGTACTGGGACCACGATGACGTAGTTGGTAAAGATTTGGCGGATGATGACCTCCTTGCAGGAGGTCAGGCTAGTTCACAGGCCTCGTTTGAAGAGATTATCCCTCCAATACCCTCCACCCCACCACAAAAAACTACCCGCAGCGCCAAAGTCGAAACCATCGGATCGAATCCCAGCGATCAATTTGCCAGCAAGCACATGGACTGGGCCCAGAGGGCTCGCCATACTCCTCAAAACTCTTTTAGCTCCCCTTACATTCCATCCTCGCATTATGAAGGGGCTCCAGTTCCCCATTCCCCAGCGAGCGAACAGAGTATGCAAGTCCTGTCATGTTCTATTCCAATGCGAGGTCTGAACAGAACAGAAGCAGCGAATGATGTGCCACTATATCCTCATCCGGTGCCTCATCCGGTCCCCCATCCCGTTCCTGCTCGGTTAGCGACAAGTCCACAGTATTCGGTGTCTATTAAGAGACCAAACAATAGGCCCTCTCACGCTCATAAGCGGAGTGGCAGTTTCTCAGACGCGTTAAGGGACCACAGAGCGCCTTTATCCATCCCTAAGAGTGCTGCTCCAGATGCTGCAATCTCCGCCGTGTCGAAGATGCCTGGTACTCTTGTGCGTGGTGGATTATTCCAACCCGGGTCACCCTATATCGATGTCAAGAATGGCGGCCTGCGTCACACTCGATCTCATCTGGAGCTTGAACCTGTGGATGCTTCAGCGGGCGATGTGCATGCACGCCCTGGTCATGCAACTAATCCTGGCATGAAGAAACTATTTGGAAGTGTTCGTCGTGCATTAAGCAGTAAACAACCTTCGGCTTCGACACCACACCTCCCAAGCTTAGTCCACCAATCACATCCTACTCCGTCTACCCGATCATCTAATCCAGCTATTTCGACGGCATCAGGGGGTGTTCACAAACGTCGGTATGCCCGGCCTCGCCCCCAGGTCCGTATTGACATTCTAGCATCCAAGGTTGCGGAGAGTTTTAAAGAGGCAGTAAAAGAGGAAATGAAGAATGAGAATCCACATGGAAGTGCGCCTGGTCTGAGTGGGTTTGAATTCGAATTTGAGAAGCGAGACACAACAACTACCGAGGAGCAATTGAAAGCGCCAGATCTCAAAGATCCTCGAATATACAGCAACGTTACCACTGGCAGCCGTTCGATCTTGATAGTTGATGATACAGGTGCCCCACCAATTCCCTTGATGTCAGGTGCTCTGCCCAGCCTAGAGACTAAAGGCGATCTTTCAAAATCCCAAGACTCTTTACCAGTTCAGCGCAATGCGTCAATTGACGAACGGCTAGCTGAATCAAATTACCCTAGGACTCGACATTCAGACCTATATAAAGACCCAGAGTCTGAGCCTGAACCTGAACCTGAGTCCAAGCCCTCGGCAGAATGGCGGCGAACTTCGCGTGACTCGATCCCGCGTACCGTTGTCACTCGAAGGAGGTCCCTGTCTGAAGGTCGAGAGCAAATGCATTCATTCCGATGGCGAGGGTCGACGAAAATTTCCATGGCCCGCTCAGGATCTTTGAGGAGGCACGCATCCTACAATAGTGGGTTGACAAGATACGGGCGAGCAGGAAGCGTTGCAACAAGTGTACAAACCATGTCATCGGACAACGATCCATTTTTCCTCGACCGTCATCCCCCTGGCCCAGCCGGCCCATCCCGCCAACTGCGACGCCGCCCAGGAGGTGACCTCCGCGCTGTGGATAATGTGCATGACCTTGAGCATATGCAACGCCCTCACTCAACTGGCTCAATGTCGAATCGCACCCACTCAATCGCCAATTCCGTTATTCTACATTCTGATCGTTACATCCAGCCAACTAGTGAACCCGAGAAACGTACCGATACTCAGGAAAATGGGGAGACAAAGAAGAAGCACATTTCTCTGGTGGCCACTCATTCATCCCAACCAAACCTAAGGCCCTCTTTCGAGGCGGAAGTGGCCAAGCTTGCTGCCTTACCTGATGATATTGATGATGACGGCGGGATTGAATCTGCTTTGATGAAATTAGAGGGAAGATACGAAAAGAAGAGCCCCGACCCCTCGCCGAGGATAACCATGGAACCTGAAGTTTACCGGCCAACCGGTACCCCAATGGACTACTCTGGCGCTTCTTCCGTTCGATCTAGAGAACGCTCTCCCCATACTATTGGTAATTCACAGACCGACGACGTGCTTCATCGACCGCTTGCTGTACCTGGAACGGAGGGTCAAGGCATGTATCGTCTCTCAGGAGAGAACTTCAATCGCAGAGTTCCAGGAGTAACCTCAGCTGCAGAGTCTGAAGATTCATATTCTTCAATTCCTCTCCTTGACCGCGGGCTCAGTGACATTACAACCTCGCAACGATCCCAGGCTCAAGACTCTATGCGGTCTTCGGCAAAACCCGCACCACTCAAAACTAATAGCTCCCTAAGGCGGCCTCAAGAACAAATTGTGCCTCCACTGCGATCCCCAAACTCATCCATTGAATATGTTATCGAGACGGACAGTATGAAGAGGATACCTCGTGACGGCACTCTTCCAAGAGCATCTGTACCTAGAGAATCGTTTTTGCTAGATGAAGATGAGGATCTTAGCGACATGACTGACGACAGTTCTGAGATGGCGGCTCGATCAGACAGCACAAGCCATGGTGTAAGAAGCTTCTTCGATGATGAACCCGCCACCGTGGACAATGACAAGGAAACCCTCCCAACACATCCTATGCGCCATCCACCTACTCCCCCGCTTACAGCAAATCGATTGAACGATGTGTATCCTCTTGTTGATACAACCTTTCAACGTGGACTTCCTACTCCCGGACTCTCACCAACCTCTAGAGTAACCAATCAACCATTCGGTCGTTCGAGCCAACCTCTAGAGCAGGCGATCGAATTGCAAGAGCTCAAGAAAGACAATACACCGCCACCCCCTGCGCATTTACCTTTCGTCTTAGCCTACGACTCCGAAACGCTTGCTCAACAGTTTACAATTGTTGAAAAAGACGCTCTAGATGAGATTGATTGGAAGGAGTTGATCGAACTTCGATGGAAGCAATCCTCGCCGCAGATTCGAGACTGGGTACAATATCTCAGGACCCAGGAAGCCAGAGGGGTTGATGTTGTGATAGCACGGTTCAATCTCGTCGTTAAGTGGGCCGTTTCGGAGATCGTTCTCACTGAAGCACTCGAGGAGAGGGCACGATGCATTGTGAAGTACATTCACATTGCAGCTCATGCTCGTCGACTCAGGAATTATGCGACCATGTATCAGCTCACCATCGCTCTTCTATCGACCGATGTCTCGCGACTAAAGGGGACATGGGCTCTCATTCCTGCCGTCGAGCAGCAGACCATGAGGGATCTTGAAGCCCTTGTCCAGCCGCTCCGCAATTTCCACAATTTGCGTGTCGAGATGGAAACCGCCACGGTGGAAGAGGGTTGTATCCCGTTTATTGGTAAGAGTACGCCCCCAATGCGCGTAATGTATAGGCTAACCGTGACGCAGGCATTTATACCCGCGATTTAATTTACAATGCTCAAAAACCTGGCTTCATCGATGCCGCTCCTGTTGACGGAGAACGACTTGTGAACTTTGAACGACATCACACGGCCGCCATGATTGTAAAGAGTCTTTTGCGCCTGCTCGAGGCTAGCTCCAAATACACCTTTAAAGCCGAACCAAACATCATCAGCAAATGCCTATGGATGGCAGCGTTAGATGACGAGGAGCTCACCACACTTAGTCGGAGGTATGAGTAATTTCTGATCTGGAAACGACTTCACTGCATTGCTGCATCGGCGAACATCAGCGAGCACATCATTCCTTTCTCGATTCTGTTTGATTCTCTATCGACTTTGTTAATATTCCGCCCTCTGGGCGAGGCAATTACCTGTCACGAGTTACGACACATTTTTCTTTTACATACACAGCTACTGTCTTGTCATTGTCAGTCTGGTATCTCGATTTCCCCTGGCTTATGAGCCATCCCCATTCATCAACTATAGACTTAATCGCTCACGCTAGGTGGAATATATGGGCTCTTTAAGCCTTGTGCGTTCTGTTTTTGTATTCCTCTCTCCATCACATTCTGGCGCTCTTTATACACCAGGAAGGTCTAGGGGAAATGAAGCAATGTCTTAGCGCGGTATGTTGAAGGATAGGCCTTGGAATTTTTGGTAGGATTGGATTTAGGCTGGGCGTTGACACTCCGGTGTTAGAGACAAGCCTGTTAGTATTAGGTAGTTAAGAGTAGTGATGGGATGAGGTAAATAGGATGGTATTAAGATGTTGAATGAATGTATTCAAGTCTAATGTGACGGTAGCTCGGCACAGACTTCATATAAATTAGTGTTGCAATGACTGTGATGGTGTAAAAATATTTTCAGAACTCGTATAAGCCTTCCGTGTCTAAATTCCACAAATGATGTCGCTATCTCTACCATATGCTCTCAAAGCAATCACCCTATTGAAGACATTGTTGGTCACCAAAACACTCAATATCTTCATCTGCAAGAACCAACTCAGTCAAAAGGATTTCATGGTCTTGGGAACTGAACAAATCTAAATTTATGCAACTGACTGAATCCTAAGTTGAAGAGAGGGTTTACTACCCAGAAGCCATTTGCTAGCATCCACTGCTCTACTTCTTAATACATCAACCCAGTGTGAAAGTGGGGATTATTAAGAGGCTAATTCGAGTTATAGGGTTTAAACTCTCACCTATAACGTTATGAGGAAGATATCTTGAGTAAACGAGGGGTCAATAACTTACTGCGCCGAATCTGCAGTCTTAATAAAGGAACCAGACAGATTCGGGCTGGCGTTTGAAGTACCGCGCGTCTAGGTACCATAATCCTAGTCGACTACTGTATGGTTGATACTTTGAAGTTCGTCGATTATCCGAACTACCCCTTCTTCTCCTCATCTTCCTCTCCGAGCATTTTACCAAATTTCTCGTCCGGATTTAGATCTTGTCCGTTCTTAGGATCCGCAAGCTCACCCCTTGATGACGTATCTTCTGACGAAAGTTCGAATGGATACTCCAGGTCGCCACCCCCACTCTCCATTATACTTTGTATATCCAGACTATCAAGATCCACCCCTTCATCCTGTAACTCCTGCAAAGTCTTCCCATCTAATCCCTCAACGCCCTCTAACGTGGCTTTATCCCCCTCTTCATTATCCCCCCTACCAATCTTAACCCAAGGACCGTGTATAGCGCCGGTCCCCGCTCCAATCAACCCGCCCAACGCTGTCGTCGGAATCGCTGCGACACCCCCAACTAGTGTCCCCGTCAGTGTTCCCACCACCGTCCCCAACCCCAACCCCGTGGCAGCGCCAATCCCAGCACCTGCTCCGGCTCCCTGCCACGCTCCGCTTTGGAGTCGCCGTGCAAGTTTCAATTGCGATTTTGCTTGCTTATCCAGCTTCTTAGCTTCCTGCTCCGCCTGCTGTCGTTCTTCTGGAGATAGTGACTCATCGTTTGCACGGGCATGTGCAGCTTCTGCAGCTTTAGCTGTCTGCGTTGCGCTTCGGGCGGATTCGAGGGCGTTAGAGAGGCGTTTCTCTATTTGCGCGGCCAAGGTTGATGGGAGGCGGTCATCGAGGCTGGAGAGGCGATCTTCAGCGTTTGGGAGCGAGGGTTTGAGGGGAGCCATGGTTGCTATGAGGAGTTTTGAGGGGTTGGAAGGGTTGGTTGGGGAAGATATACATGTTGGGTTGGCTACAGGTTTGATGGTGGTGGAGCTCTTGGACAGATGACCTAGTGACGTATGGACTGCGTCGGAGGCTGTTCATGGGGGACCTTCCGACTTTGTTTTTTTTACATTTTTTTTAGAGTATTTAGGTTTACCATTTTATCGTTGTCTGTGCAGTTTAGAAGGTGCTACCCTTCATGTCCTTCGTGTCTACTAGTTATAAGGATGATATTACACTTTAGAGATTCTCATTTCTCTGTCACCATACCTATCTCCATCGATAACTTCAAAAATTTCACCTTGATAGCTTGATTGGGTACACACTTGCGTATCTCTAAGCCTGAAGCCGCACTAGAGTCTTAATGGGTTACAATTCTGATAATGAAAGCTAATTGCGGTTATAGATTTGCAGGGGACAGAACGGTCAATGGCTGGGGTTGGTCCGCACGTGAGAAACCCCAGTGCACGGCCCTCGTTGAACCACAGAGATGTCTCGATGACCTTACAGATTAGACCCATTGCACTGCCTCACGAGGGAACAGGAAGGTACCCATTCGCCACACGTTAACATGGAACAAGACAAGCCAGTCGCATACCATCTCAAGGGTTTTGCATAACTACCTAAGGGCTCCATATTTGACGGACCTCACGACGTCATGGCTTCACATCGCTCTAAACATGCCGTCGCGTTTGTCGCAGTACTTACCTTGGGCCTCAAGAACCTCAAATGAGCGCCCTCCGGACTTCGTCTAGGCAGATCAAGATACTGTCTGCAAGTATGAGAGCGGCTCAAAGCCTTCCTTCAAGGAATTTCAGGACATTGGTGGAACCAGTGCCTCGTGGATAGATTCCCTCAAACACTGCTACCCAAGCATTGAACTAGTTACACTCCATGGGAATGCAATGCCAGTTTTTGACATCTCCCTTTGAACTGACTCGTGTCTTGCTGGTCGATATGCTGGCTATACACCGGGGATACCCATGTTAGAAGCATGAGCTTTTTATTGCGAGACCTGATCAAAGGACGGGTTTATCGATAATCTCGTGCTTTAACAAAGTTGGTTGGCAAGCATCCCTCTGCATTTGAATTGATGTATGACAGTTCTTGATCGGCTGCAACGCCATAGTCGTAGTCATCCAAGGCTGTAGGTCTATGGGGAATGTATGTAATGAACTCTAGGGGTGGCGTAAAGCTGACATCAATGGTCGCACAGATGTAATGACGGTGCGTGAGACGGCGTGGGAATGGTGTGTGAGATGTCAATACGGTTCGCACAGGCCTCCCGTTCCAAACCCCGGGAAGCGGCGCGTGGCTTGAGTAGGGCGCTTGGATTGGCAGATGACTTGTCCATCCTCACTTCCGCGTAAATCTTATGAATGAGAATGCCATTTCCTTTTAGACCGCCTTGTGGCCCGCAGCGCTGCAAGGCCCCCAATATGGCTGATTCGCATCTGCCTTCCTCACTCATCACGTCACATCATGTACATAGCTGAGCTAGAGACGCCCACCGCTCTTAGAGTAATCAAACGCTCGTAGTTTGCGTCCACCACATTGCCGTTGTCTCGTTTGCCTGCCCCTGACGCACTGAGCTTCAGACAAGCTTCGCGGAGCTTCAGAAATAGCTAGCTACAGCTATGGCTGCTCCAAAGCGCTCTAGATCAGATCCCCCACCGCCCATAACCATCGAAGACACAGCTTCGGGAGCCGCCCCACAGCCTTCCCCGTCGCCGACGCGTTTAACTGGTATGTGTACCCTCAATATGCACTCTTTAATTGCTCACAATGGCGGAGAACAAGCCCGGTCATACAGCGCCTACGATCCGCGCCAGACTCAAGCTTCGAATCTTCGGGACCGCCGTCAGAGCACTTGGGGACATAAGAGGAAGCCTAGCCCGGGAATTGAGTGGCACACTAAATGGACTAAGGACAGCTGGAGGGATGGGCGTGTGCTATTGGTTGACTATGTGGCGCGAGAGCATACAGAAGGGGGCCGGAGGAAGATCGTGGCTCAAGAGTTCTCTGATATTGATGGATTGAGAAGGTTCTATCTGAATGTAAGAGATGAAATGTCCGTGTGGGAGAAGACGTGCTAATACTGGAGGTAGCAAGACCTCTCCCAGCAAGCCGCGCTGAGAGTAATGTACGTCAAGCCTCAATTTGATAGCCTTAGTGTTCTAACATGTGACAGTCACGTCCAAAACGCCTCCTGGGCCACGCGCTTCCTGCTCAGAAAGTTCAACATCGATGCCTCAGACGATCTTGTAGGTACTACCTTCGGCCGCTGGGCGAAATACGAGAAGCCCCAGCGCCGCGGAGGTAAACCGTTGCTAAACGGGAAGACTTTCCGCACCCAACGCGACCCATGGAGAGGAATCTCGCGAACAGCATTCGGTCTGGATTACCTTCGCCACTATGCAAAGCACAAGGTCGCCAATTCCAGTTCCGGGATGAAGATGATGGAGCTCAACTACTTTGACTCATCCGACCAGCCCACGTATGGATACGATGTCTATGTACAGCGTCTTTCTGTCTATGTCCAGCGAAGTGAAGGCCCTCCTGGTTTGCCTGTCGACCCAGATATTCGAAATCCTTACAACGAAGAAGAGTACCAAGAATACCAAAGACTAAAACGGCAGTATGGCTCATCCGTAGATGCGAATGGCCACTACAAGGATAACTACATCCCCAAACTCCAGACGCTGGACAACGGCAGCACCATCATTCTGTTCGAGCATTCACAGTCCGGATCGGTGGAAGACACGTTGATAGGCGCGCGACAGGAGATTGAACAACGCTGGAGACGACTGACATTCTACTTACCAAAAGAGGACGCATCGAATGATGCCACCCTGGCAACAGAATGCATGGACTTTATATTAAGAGACATATTTAAAGCTTTGGCCTTCACGTGGGAGAAGTACCTCAACATTTGTGAAACCCACGTTAGCATTCTTGTAAGTCCCCCTTCCCCAGTCTCTCTCTGCTAAGCAAACCCTCATTCTTGCCTAGGAAGACAAAATCTATGACAACCCCAGCGATGAGAGCCGGGCACCCGAACTTTGGACAAACTCCTCTCTCTGGCTGAAAGTCGAACGCCTCCTCTACATCCACAGCGGTATAATCCGAGAAATGCGCAGCTACCTCCGCGAACTCGCCGAAGGCGAGGATCCCCGAGAAAACGACCTCTGGCTGGGCTCAGCGTCGGACGAGCTCGATAAATTGACTACCCAGTTCCAGGAAGGCGTTATAAAGCCCACAACTAGCCTCTCTGATCTCATGTACAAGAGCGTTGGGATAAGGGACGCTCGACACTCCCTACAGCTCGGATTGAGTATGTGGCGCCTAAGCTGGATAACATTTATCTTTTTGCCGTTGACTTTCGTGTGCGGCTTCTTCGGCATGAACGTCGATACCTTTGAGCCCAATCCATCCATAAAATGGTGGTTCATAACCTCGGTTCCGCTCATGCTCGTCGTCATCTTCCTCTGGTACGGCGTCAAACACACGCTGGCGTCCCAACGCCAAGACCCCCTGCGCCGGGGCGTCTACGAATCCCTCTTTCACACCCTCGCTAACGACCACCCTACCCTCTGGGGCCGTCGTGGCCCCAGGCCAGGAATCGTGCCCGTGGGGTGGTGGAGTGGGGTTAAGTGGCGGTTGATTACTACCTGGTTTGACCCCGAGCGTACAATTGCAGCGAAAGGCTACGACCCGGGGGACGAGGAACTCGGAGTCTGGAGTAGGGTGAAACGGTATTTAGTCAAACGATGGCTGGGTCGGATTACAGTGATGCCGTTGACGACTACCACGGCTGCGACCACGCAAATGGATCTCGAATCCGCGGGGATTACCCAAGATCTTGGGGCGGTGGGTGAGTTACTATCATTGGCTACGCCCATTGCGTTGGCAGATGCTGATCCCACGGCGGCGAGTCGCTTGCAGCAAAGGATTCCGATGGAGAGGTTGAGGAGTCTGAGTCCGACGAGGAGTGATGGGAGGCCTGGGAGTGGGGGCAGGACGAGTGGGGATGCAGGGAGCGGGGTTATGGTTGAGGAGAAGGGGGCTAGCGAGGATGAGAGGAGTGGGGATGAGAGTGATGGTGGCGAGAGGAGGGACAGGTCGTTCATGGAGAGGCTGAATGTCCCGTTGTACCCTGGGGGTGCAGGCGTAGTGGCTGGGGGTTTGTAGAAGAAAAATAAGGGATGGATGATGGATGAATAGACTGGCCATTTTTATGGTTAGGTAGAGAAAATATTTAGGGGGTAGACGTGTCTCTGCTACATCGGAGACTGGATTGATGGAATGCACCTGAACACCGCTTAGCAAGACCATATATTAGATATCGAAGCTCAAAACAAGTGTATGATTGTTAAGTTCACACACTTCCCATGCCCGAAGTTGAAAATTATGTTTGTTATTCGTTCGTCAGGATATCGAAGAATGTGTGAAGCATCATATAAAAAGTCGCCCGATCACGATTGAACCCACCCTACTAATTGCAGCCCCTACCCTTCCGTAATATTGTGTTGCCTCAGTGTAACTCCAATATCTCCAGTATCCAGTACGAAACCTAACCGTAGGCATGCCGTTGATGCACGCCCATAACTCCGTCTACATACCCATACAATAATATGGGGAACAAAAGGTAATAATTCCGTTCGTCGTAAAAGAAAAACTATGGAGTGATAGCTGATGGCCTGACGCCGTTTCCAACTACAGTCGCTCTGATTCATGAGCGGGCGAGGGAGATCCAGATTGATTACTGGACGAGGACGCCCCTGATCCCCTAACCCGGTTTGCTTCCCGCTTTGAAATGTAGTCTAGAGACAGGCGCGGGAATTAGCGAAGGTCGTGGGCACAATAAAGGAGCACATTAGATATCCGACTTCCCACCCATGACCTTGGCACCCTGAACTAGATTCATCTTTTGCGTCCAACCTGGAGCAGGAACCAGCTTGCGGACAGTGCGGACCTCGTCGGACGCGTAGCCTGGAATGCGGATGTTGTAGTTGCGTTCAAGGACCAGTTGGATGTCGCGGATATCGAGCTGTGGGGATTCGCGGAGCTTGGAAAGCTTGCACGAGGAGCTAATGACCGTGTCGACGAAGTCGTCTGCGAGCTGGAGCATAGCCTGGACGCTGTTAGGCTTATTTTTGTAGTATAATTGATATGGAGATGGTTACCTCTTCAACCTCAGGCGTCAGAGCCTCCTCACTACCACCTGTGACCTGGCGCACGAGCTCGTCAAGCTTGCGCTTGCTTAGGACGCGGTCTCCTTCGCCTTCAAGCTGAAATGGGGGGAGCTTCGCGATGACAGGCTGTCCCATCGGGCCGGGAGCACCGTTTGTCGGTCCGCTCATGGTGGGTCGTGCCTGGCCCATTCCGACTGGGGTGGGTTGTGTAACGTTCAGAGTGCGTGGGATCGGCATTTTTGGATTGTTCAGCTGTTCACGCTCTCGGCTTCCTGGGGCGTGAAAGTTCCCTTGTTGCCCGGTAGCCATGGGCGTGTTAGTGCGCTGTGGATCAGGGTTGGAATAGGACCTGTTTGCAGCGATAACGGCGGCTTTGTGCGAAAGTGGGACAGGCGGACCGGCGGGATTTGAGGTCGCTGATTGCGGGTGCGGTGAATTGCTCTGATGCTGCGCGTGCGCATTGGCTTGTTGTGGGTTGATCTGGGGTCGCTGTTGCTGGTGCGCAGGTTGTCCGGGCTGCTGGAATGACGTTGTTTGGCTCGGTTGCTGCATTTGCTGTGAGTGGGGAGCGGGCGGTTGTCGCAGAGGCTGTTGCTGAGAGACTTGGGTCGCTGGACCCTGCGTATTTTGCTGCTGTTGCTGAACACCACCACCACCGCCGCCTTGCATGTTGCCGAATTGTTGCGCCGGCTGAGGCGCGGGTCCTCCTTCAACCTTGATCTGGGGTTCTGGTTTCGCGACATTCTGCTGCTGAGACTGTTGATTTTGAGGCTGTGCCGCAGGTTGCGTTTGCGTTTGCGTTTGCGTTTGCGACTGCTGCTGTTGCTGTTGTTGTGACCTTCGCTGCTCCGACTCCAGCTTCCATTGAGCTTGCTTCTTCCTGAATTCCTCAACGTACTTCTTAGCATTGTTGTATTCCTGCTCTGCTTGTTGCTTCTGATTTATCAGCTCTTGAGGAACTTCTTGATTCAACTGTCTCCGTTGCTCCATCATATTCACGAATGCCTTGACACGATGTGTCGACTTTTCTTGTTTGTTCAAAGCCATGAGGTAGCTATTCCGGAAATCTTTGATCTTCAAGTCTCCTTCGGGGGTTCCTGGATGTGGGCCCTGCGGCGGCAGGTGGTACTGGAACTGCTGGACATGTCGGATGATGTCAGGGTTGATCTGTGGTTGCTGGCCGTTTTGTTGGGCTTGTGGGCGGGCCACGGGCTGCTGTTGGGGAGTCGACATCGTGCCTGCTTGCTGAGATAGGGGGGGGCTCGGATTCTGATTCTGGACCTGCGACTGCTGGTTCTGCTGCTGCTGTTGATTTTGGCTGGCTGGCTGGGGTTGCTGACCTGGAGGGGGATTCGACTTTGTTCTTTGGCGGTACATGCGCTCTTGATTTATCAGTTTTTGTGACCACTCCGCCAGCTTGGCGCGCGCCGTCTGGTGTTCTTGACTGCCTGCGGGTTTGCTCGAAATCAAGCTCCAGAAGTTCTGTAGGACTGGCCGGTACTTTTGCTTCTGGTCGTCGGTGAGATGATGAAGCTTAGCAACATCATCCGCTTTCAGCAGCTGCGCCCCCTGCGCTTGTCCAGCGCTCTGTCCACCCTGGGGTTGTTGGCTCATTGCTGGAAGGTGGGGACGCGGGGGGGGGGGAAGGCTTTCTTTGTGCCGGGGCTTGCAAGGCAGCGTTTCGAGGGCTGGAAAGGAAGAATCAAGGCGGCCACTGCGGGCAGCAAAGCTGAACTCCCGACAAAGTCGTTCTGAGTCTGTGAATACAGACGTCGATGGGCGATGGGACTTGAGGTGTGGGGATGGGATGAGATGTGAACAAGGGCGGGTGCTTGTTGGGGCACACTCTTGGCGTGACGGCCCATTGTTGTGCGACATCACGTGTCTACAGTCTTTCCATCAACCTTGGAAGGTACCAAGCTCATCCAGAACACACATCGTGCATATGTCATGACGACTAGCTCACTCGTGATAATATTAAATTACGAGGAGTGCTCAGACGCCTTCACTCTTAGAACTCCCTTTGCTTGCAATCGCTCTGTCTTTTGCATTTCTCACCTCCCATTCAAACTCTCTCAGCGCCCTCAGCTCACTTCCCACAAACAATCCCCCCATCAGACCCTCGATAACACCAGCGCTCAGGCCTAAGGAGCTGATGAACATCAGGATAAATGAGACGTAATTGTGCGGAGACCACCAGACAGCAACAAGACATCCGATGGTAATGACAAACTGGAGCACGAAATGCCCCATTCGTAACCGGCGCTGGTGCCTTTCGCGAGCGTCGTAGGCAGATATATCTGCCAGGATCTCATCGTACGTCTCCAAGGGAAGATATGTCTCCGGCAACGCCCAAGCACCATTCGCAATGGCTGAGGATGGCTCGGACAGACTGCGTGTTAATGTCGCTTCAACCGAGTAGTGGTCGCTAAGGGAGCAGTGTAAAGTCGGATGCCGCATGGTCATGCCGACATTGGCTTCCTTGAGCGCCCATTCGGCGCTGGGTTCTGCAGTAGTTGCATGGTGCTGCGCGCCACTGCTGAAGAAGATGTAGTCGAGTCTCTTCGCGCTAGGATCATCCACTGACGATTCAATTGTGATGTTCTCACCCTTGAATAGGCGTTTCTTATGAGCCTCGTTCCACCGCCAAGTGTTCAAGGCACTGTCGCAAGTTGCGCCGTTGGCGGTCATGTTGAACTCAGCGGAGGGCATGGGCAAGCCCCTGAGCTTCTCTACTTTGTCCTTCGCAGCTCCGACGGAGGAATTGGGATGGAGTATTCGCCACACATCCCGGACAGGCGAGTGTGTCTCAATTATGCGATGAGCGAGGGAAAGAGGCACCATGTTGAAGTCACCCAATCCAATGACGAGATGGCCCCGCTCGGCAGCGCCGCGCATGAGCTTTGCTATCTCCCAAGCTTGGGCTGTTCGGTGGCAGAGATACGAATCGAAGGGTTCAGTTTCGTAAGGGGCATGGAGCTGTTGTCCCGTTAGCTGCATTCGGTAGGTGTGCGCTCACACAGCCTGCAAGGACGATTACATGTGTGCAGAACACTTCGGCGACATCCCTCCGCGTAGGACCCATGCGTATCCGCGCACATGCAACGCCCTTGCCCACAAACCAGTCCCCACGATAAAAGGCGGCAGGACGTCCATTGAGCGGGTACCGCATCATGCTGCTCTCCTCGATGGGCCACCGTGACAGGATCGCAAGTCCACCCCCGAATATGCCACTCCAGTAGAATTTCCCATGCGGTAGAAGATGTCGCGTCTTTTCCCGAATAGCATTGTAGTCCTGTTGGGTCCAGCACTCCTGGAGGCCGACAATATCTGGCGGAGGGTCGGCAGCAGCTATTTGATTTCCGATTTCTGCGAGGCGCTCATGCCGCCATTTGGCAATGTATTTCAAGCCCCAGCAGTTCAATGACAGTATCCGTAAACTTGAAGGAGGATCTTTGGCGTGGTCGGCCATGAAGGGCGAATCTGGAGGGTCCTGCATATCATATGGTCTCCTTGAAGTCACAACACCTCCCATGACAGGGGTACTTTTGACCTGCTACAGGGGCCTGCATTCACCGCCCTTCAGTGACGGCGCGCTTGGCGGCAGAATATTTAGATTCAGGTCCGCGTCGCGACTCCCGTGCTCTCTCCGCATTCCTCCCACAAACCAAACCACTCAGCCATGGACGGCCACCGCGATTCTCCACCAAAGCGACAAAGAGATGACGAGGATGGCTATGACGAATATCCGCCCCGCAAGCGCTCTTCAGCCTCATTATCCCCATCAAGTGCATCCCCCCGGTATAGAATTGCGGAGCGTCCAGCTCAGCGGTACAGCAGAGCAGATGACAGTGATGACGAGCGAAAATATTACAGATCAAGGTCAAGGCCGAGGTCCGGGTCCGGGTCCCGCTCGGTAATAAGGCGCCGGTCTCAGTCCCCATCGTGTACTCCCACGCCGCCAAAGCCAACAACACTCGACTACAAACCGACGCTTATTCTCCACGGACACAAGAAAGGTGTTGCTTCCGTGAAGTTCTCGCCTGATGGTCGCTACATCGCTAGTTGCTCAGCAGACTGCACAATCAAGATATGGGACGCTCAAACAGGAAAGCTAGAACACACTCTTGAAGGTCACCTGGCGGGCGTTTCCGCCATTGCTTGGTCCCCAGATTCCAAGATCCTCGCATCTGGCTCTGATGACAAGACTATTCGATTATGGAATATCTCAACTGGCCAGCCTCACCCTACTCCGTTCCTAGGCCACCACAACTACGTCTATTCTCTTGCTTTCTCCCCCAAAGGCAACATGCTAGTGAGCGGCTCCTATGACGAGGCTCTCTTCGTCTGGGACGTCCGTGCTGCGCGTGTCATGCGATCACTTCCTGCACATTCCGATCCGGTTGGCGGTGTGGACTTTGTCAGAGACGGCACCCTCATCGTAAGCTGCGCCAACGACGGACTAATCCGGGTATGGGACACAGCAACCGGCCAATGTCTACGCACTCTCGTCCACGAAGATAATGCGCCTGTCACATCTGTGCGCTTCTCACCAAACGGAAAGTACGTCCTTGCTTGGACACTCGACTCCTGCCTGCGGCTGTGGAACTATATCGACGGGAAGGGCAAGTGCGTGAAGACATACCAAGGCCACGAGAACAAGAAGTTCAGTCTTTCGGGTGCTTTTGGGACATATGGAGGGCCGCCGCCATATCAATATGCCTTCATTGCATCAGGGAGTGAGGATGGCGATATCGTGTTGTGGGACGTCAGCTCGAAGAATATATTGCAGAAGTTGATCGGGCACACGGCTCCGGTACTGTCAGTGGATACCCACCCTACGGAACAACTCATCGTCAGCGGCGGACTGGACAGAACTGTCAGAATTTGGAGGTGCAAGGAAGACTTCGCTATTCAACCTCAACCACAGGATGATATCTTGCGTCAACTCCAGGTCTTGGCTGCAGATGGGGCAGACGCTTGAGCGCTGGTAGCTTTGATCTAAAGCTGTTTTATTGTGGCGCATTAGTAATGCCCTGAAGAGATCTGATCTACATGGGGAATATCTCCTTTTCTCTAGGGATGCTATTTTATGCAAGGAAAGCGAGAGTCTGTGTTTGGTTTAGATACCCCCTTTTCAGCATTGAAATGCAATAACCATCTTACAACAACCTACTAGCTTGGTCACCGCAAGATACTATATGCTTCAATATTCGCTGGGTGAGTAGATACAATATATATACAAGGGCCCCAAATTATCTGAGTGGTGGCAAGGGACGATGTTTCCCTCTCTCCCTCTTCCTATCTCTCTTCCTAGACATCAGCGCGCCCAACTCCAACCTCACCCGCTCCAATGCGCCTTTTTACCTCGGTATTCATCATTCATGGCCCACACTGGAGGCTCCTTGTTTATTCGTATTCGTACACAGCAATTGAATAAACGAAGCTCGAATATTTTGTCTATTTCCGTCTCTTCATGACTTTGGTGCACATTTCAATGAGTCCGTCCTTGGCTTCACTTTCTGGAAACCAGCTGATGGCTTGGATAGCCTTGTCGACGTATTCTTGGGCTAGGGCGCGTGTTTGCTCGAGGCCTGTGCTTGATGCTACGGCTTCGCGGGCCTGGTTTCCCACATCAGCTCCATGCTTCAAAGAATTAAGCTCAACTAGGGGGAGGGGGGTCCCATACTCTCTGCACATCACCCTCATCCGCAAATTTCCTACCAACGAGTTTCCCCAGAGATTTATTATCTTTCCACGCAAACAACAGCGGCGCCGTTGCCAGTCCAAGCTCCAAATCCGCCCCAGCAGGCTTCCCCAGCTCTTCTCCACTGATCGTGTAATCTAGCATATCGTCCACTAGCTGGAACGCTAGACCTAGATTCTTCCCATACAGATACGCGGCCTCGACGACCTCAGGGGTACTTTGACCCAGAATAGCGGCTGCGCGACAAGACTTGCTGATCAAGCTCGCCGACTTGAGATAGGTTTTCTGGAGATAGTATGATACGGTGTCTTCGGTCCAAACTGGGTTCTTTTCATCCCGCGCCGTGTTCTTAAGTTGCATGAATTCGCCCTCGACGAGATTTGCTATCACGGTTGCAAGCAGCTCTGTGACTTCCGGATCCCGTAGTCGTGCAAGAGCGACGGAGGCTCGACCAAGCAGGAAGTCACCTGCCAACACTGCCATTTTATTTCCGAACTCGATGTTAGCTGAGGGAGCGGAGCGGCGCGATTGCGAGTGGTCGATCACGTCATCGTGCAGGAGACTGGCGGTATGGATCAACTCAGTAATCTCCGCTAACCGTCGCTGCGATGGGAGGATGTCCGACTCTTCCTGCACATACGCTGCATCGTGCTTTAAATCCGTGAGACTCGAGTACTCTGGCGCAGAAGGATTCTCATCGGTGAGGACGTCCGGGGAAGCAATGGGTCGATTTACCGAATATCGACTGTTACCTCTGGGAATCTTGGGTGTGAGAGCTGTGGCTCTAGACATGAGCAGCACCAACATAGGCCGCACATACTTCCCCTCACTCTGTGTGTAATACTTAGCAACGGTATCCAGCGTCGGGTGGCCAGACCCCAGCAGCTGTCTTATATTCTTGGTCAAAAACTTCATCTCCCTCGCAACCGTCCGAAATGGATCCACGGCAATGGGTGCATTTGGATCCGGAGCATTGTTCAGAATATTCTGAGCTACGGACACCGCAGCAGCCCAAGAAGACTGATTACGCCGTCTTGAGGGGTGGTAAAATGTGCAAACGCTGGGTGCGGGTGTTACCGGCGCAGCATGGGACATGGGCGGAGGGCATGGCGAGAGGCGAGATGGTGGTGCATATCGTGTGATGCTCGTCGCGAGCCGGCAGCATCGGCTCGTCATCGAAAAGAACACTTTCTATTCGGATATCTGAGTTCAATTGGAGCCCCCCGGGTGTGAATTGGGGCAGGAGAGGGGTGGGTTGAGGGTGGAAGTTGATCCGGCAGGCAGACCGTCTCAAAAATCATGACGCTAGCATGCCCCAGTTCTCGCCAAGGAAAATCCAGGCACGGACTTCAAGCTACGTAAACTCCCGGATCGACATCTTGTACAGTCCCATCTAACAACCGACAATGGTCCTCCTCACTATGACGCCCGCTATCGTGCGGGCAGTCCTCACAGCTCAGGCACTCGCAGAAGATGAGCTCTTGAAGCTTCGACAGTCCTCCGAGCTGTCCCTCGCGGAGCCGGAGGTTGGAAACCCTATCTCTCATGGCCAGCTAATCGACATCTCGAAGCTACTAAAGAAGCATGCAGACAAGCTGAAGACTCCAGATAATGACACCGATCCAATAGAATACCATCTAAACTCTCTCCTCAAGGGTTCAAGAATATACATTCCCCCGCCTCCGCCCAGGATAGAGCCCGTAAGAATACCCGTCTCCCGGTCCCTGTTACCATCCAACTAAACAGCTCTAGACCTCCGCGTACAAGGCTCTAATGGCCCGTCTCCGCCGAGAAGAAGAAGCCCGGGCCTACGAGCGCATGCTGCATCCCCTGCCCGCCTCCGAAACCTTCACTCAACGCTTTCCCGCGTCGCCGCTCTCCCGCCTAAATCCCACCCAGGTTGATCTCGCGGTCGACGAAGACGACGTGACCTACGAGGATGTCCACCGCCAAATAATTCTCATAATAAACGTCTTAGTCTCCATAATAGCATGTAGCGTCTTCATTTGGGTCGCCGCCCGGCACTGGAGCACTCCGAAACGTCTCGGTCTTAGTATGAGCGGGAGCGGCATCGTCGCGATAGCTGAGGTCGTGATATACAGCGGATATGTCAGAAGAGTCAAAGAGGCCAAGGTGAAGGAGAAGGCGAAGCCGGAGATTAAGGAGATCATTGAAAGCTGGGTTATTGATGCAGACTCAGGAAAGAAGGGCGCGACTGTGTCTTCAGTAGAGAAAGAGAAGGTTGATGACGGCATTAGGTACAGAAAGGGTAAACATCGATGAAGAAATTTGATCACGTCCCGCCATGCTATTATCCTGGTATCACCATGGCTCCAAATCCCCGCAGGCAAATATGTGTCAGTAGTGTCCTAGCGCTCAAGAGTCTATGCAAGTTTGTATATATGAGCTCGTATTAGCCGCCATACCCAGAACGGTTATTTCTTCTTCCGTCCAGCCACCCCAAATCGTCCAAGGTTGCTTAAACTGGATTTCGACTTATGTCCCTGTCCCTGTGCGGGTGTCGGTGGCTGCCTATTTGCACTTGCGACAGAATTGGGGCGAATGTTCGGATTCTTAAGGGGGACCTCTGGTGGAGACAACTTCTCTTTCTCCTGTATGGGTGAGGCGCGGACGTCCTCGCCTAAACTCGCTAACCTTTGCGATCGTCTCGCCCGCTCTTGTGTTGCTTTGAACTTGTCGAGTAATTCCACCCATTTCACACCACCGTCTTCTCTCGCCTTCAATCGGTTCGGCCGCTCGAAGCTGGATACCGAGGAACCCTGCTGGCTACTAGAGGAACCGGTCTCTGAGCTTTTCTGCCTCAAATGGTTAAAGGAAGTGATGGGGGGAACATACGTCCGGGGCGCAATATGAAGGTAGCCAATGGCGCTGACACTGTTGAGTCGATTTTTCAGTGCAGCAAAGGCAGATGATTGGGGGAGTAGCATCAGCAAACCGTAGAGACACTTGTAGAGGTGCGGGTATTTCTCCGGTTCGAGGAGTTGAATTCGTAGATCTGTGACAGCTCGTCAGATACGACCCATCCAGACGCAGAATTCCTTACATGTGAAGACTGGAGACTCGAGAAGTTGCACGAGCTTGTCAATTTGAATGAGCATGTTTACTGTCATCTCGAGGTCCGCACTAATCTCGTTGTTAGATGGTCCACCAAGTGAACCGAGGAATCATACAATATCTGGAGGAGGTTGTAGGCCTGCTCATAGGCCTGTGCTAGGAGACAAAGTGAGAAGGTAGCGACTGCATTGTGGCACCATGACTTGAAGAGGGTCACAAAGAATGATTGGCCATCCTGCACAGATTAGTATCTGTATTTGAAAGACGGGGAAGGAGGATGTGCCTTTGAATCTAGATTGCGAAGGCGCTTTCGAAGATCAGCTAATTCGGGCGCAGTTATGAGATTGTTGTTGAGATTCTGCACCATGATGCTTGTGAATTCGACGTCCTATGACTGTAAGCATGTTAGAGTCAAATATCGTGAACTCACTTACCTCATCTTTCTCGAGGCAGTCGGCCATTGTACGATATATGCGCTCGGCACTTAGGGTGACGCATAATTGCCTGATGATAAGGTTGCCACGAGTTTCGAGAAGTCGCCGGTCTGTGCAGAACAACTTCAATAAGTTGACCATGAAGGAGGTAAAGTAGGAATCATCACTGTTCCTCGAGATCTGGGAAAGGAGAAGAAGGTCGCGGGTAACAACGGCCTCGGAGGGGTCGGAGAGTGTCTTTAGAAGGGCAGGAAATGTGCCGTCTTCAACAGAGAGAATCTGGAAGGATACATGTCAGCGAACAGTGTCCTGGCCCCATAGATACTGGATCATTACCTTTCCTGGAGCCATGCGGTGTAGCATAATAAGCCAGGCAATTGCCGCAACTCGAGTGGCTTCGTGCTCGTTCAAGAACTGAAGTGTCAGAGCATTTACAGCAGCTTGGTAGTCAAGTTCGGGCCCTGGACGCGGCGAAGGACCGCGGTCTTCTGCTGGTGTTGGTGTCCTCGTGCCCCTACTGTCCAGTGACCTTCCGTCTGGCGCTTGATCTCGGATCACAGTTTTCAAAAGCCGGTTAGACAAATTTGAGTCTCGGCGCTCAACAACAGTCAACTCTTTGCCTAGTGCCGAAAGTGAGTTTGGCAAGTTTAGTGGGGTAGCTGCAGTGTTGTCCGGGCGGCGGCTGTCGTCGGACAAAGACATTATATAGTCCATGAGTGAAGTATTCACTCTATTCGCGGCTTGGCGGACAGTGTCGACGTCGTGAGCCATGGTCGGAAGAACGTGTGATAGAAGGCGGGGTACGAACGGCATGATGTCCTCAGGGCATATCTCAAAAAAGCTGTCTATCCACCGTAGTGCGGTCAGTTGTATCTCCTCCTCTGCAAGCCGTTAGACAGAATCCTGGAAAAAATTGCAAGAAAAGATTACCAGAGGCATCGCTCAAGAAAGCCACCAAGATATTCATGATCTTCGCGTGATCTACCTGGACATCCTGGCCAGGTATCCAGTCGCCCTCGCCGCTGCCCGACTTTTCATCATTTGCTGTTATGGACTGACTGTCTGCGCTCCCGTCGTCCTTCTCGTCAACGACGTCAAGTTGGCTAGGAGCTGCACTGTCACTGTCGCTGTCTGCGTCCTGCCGGCTAGGAATACTCGAGGTGGAATGTTTCATGCCATCCTCGCCTTGGCTTTTTCGACTCTCGGCTATACCGCGTTTGACGCGGGCAATCTTCTTGATTTCCGAAAGAAACTTGTCTAGCGCGACTTGTGTGGCGGTGTGGACGTCTTGGTTCGGGTCGCTGAGGAACTTGAAGAGGCCGCCGAGAAAACGGGGGAGGTAGGTGACGAGCTCCAGGTCGGGTATCGAATCTAGGAGGGATATCCAAGCTACGAGAAAGGTCCTGGTAAAGGGGTTGATTACGTTGATTCTCTCCTGGAGGAGCGGAAGGAATCGTTCTAGCGAAAACGCTGTTGGTAGCTCTTCCGAGGGCGGCCGTGTCTCCTCTCCTTCTTCCTCTGCGCTTTCTGGGGGGGCATGCAATACGGAGACGTAGGATGCTGCGGATTCGGCGACGATGTCTTTGACTAAACGGTCGAGAAGCTCTGCGCCGTTCTTCACGGAGAGCTCCGAGTCGGCCGCAAGCTGCAGGTCAACTGTCAGAATGTCCCATGCCGCGAACGTGTACCGTGCCTACCTTGCACAAGGCATCAAAGACATGGTTGAAGTAGACGAGTATTTCCCCCTTTGCGACCTTTGCAATATTGTACATGCTCTCACAGGCGTAGTATCGCACGCGGGCATCTTGGTCGGAGAAGCAGGCTAGCACGGGAGGGACAATTTCTTCGAGGTAGCGAGCTACTTCCTACAACAGCATCAACATGGGCCAGATCGAATACAGATATATTGTACATACAGGCCCGAGGGCGATTGAAGCAGCCGCCAGACCAATCAGGCCCCCATTCCTTGCGTGTGGTTGGTGCACAGCGTAGGCGTACTCGTGACAAAGCTGGTGGACTATCTTCTGTATTCGGTCGTGGTCCTGCGCGGCAAGGGCGTCTCTGATGAGGGCTTCGAGCTCGAGGGCGCCGCTCTTGCGCTTGTCGTAGAGCTTATCGTTCAGAGCCTTGGTGATGTTGGCGTCCATGGTGAGGGTGCTGCGGGGCAGCTACTACATGGTGGTATGACGCGCAGCAAGTGTTTCAGGACAGCTGCAGTGCTAGCCACGAGGAGCGTTGACAGTGGGCGGGATGTCGTGGTGGTGAGGTGTTGTTCCGTTAACAATTCTGGCGTCTTAGTAGCCCACAGCTGCACGTCATCGTGCTTCGGTAAGGCCAATCGAAGCGGACTCCTCGTGATAGCAGCTGTGCCGTGAATACGCGCGACCAGAGCCAAAAGCAAGCGTGTCTGACGTGGAAGACGACCGCGTGCAGCTTCTTACAGCGAGTCAACCTGTGAGGTCATGGATCAAGCAGCTGAGGTTGATGGTGAGCCGCCACCCGTTAACCCCAGTCCAGGAGACCAGGAGACGAGCTTCCACTCTCCAGCCACAGGGGAGATCTCTTAGTATAAAGGAGCTATCCCAGCCTAGTCTGGCGCTATCCACCCTCGACCTCACACGAACATTTCTCCGCCGTCACGATGCTCAGACCAGCCTGAAATGGAGAAGCTCCAGAACACCATCTTGCATCCCCATAGATCGCCAAGGCAGCAGGATGCCATGGGCCACTTTCAGCATTGGGCCATTGCTTTGTAAGCCCTCGTGACTGAACTCGAGTCCGCGAACTCACAGTAACAGCATTGTCTGCAATTTCAACGTCGATATTGGTAGGTGATGCTCAGCTACTGCTCAGTAGGCACGTGAGTTGAGTCTTTGTTCAGGACCAGAAATAGAGATTGTGTATCCTTCAAATGTGCCCTTCTCCACCGCGGATTTAACAGCAATATGCTTCAACAGGTATGCTGCAGAAGGTTCTACTGTTTGGCCAGATCCTGAGTCGTGCGTAGCTTCCCCGAGCAACAGAATACCGAGACTGCCGAAGATCTCGCTTTCAACTTCACCATCGGCAACAACTCTCCTGATATATCCCTGAACTCTCCCCAAGCACCCCATGGAAGCCCTAACAACTTCTACGGCTGCTGTGTCTTCCGCCAGGAGTTTGACCACACAATGAAGCGGAGCTTTAACCAGCGGACGCTGGTGCTAATCTCCAACCACAACTTCCTATCTTTCTACAGTAAGATTCTCCAACAGATGACAGAATCGGGCGTTATCAGCGACCCGACAGCTCTCGAGGCTGCATACACGCAGATTGCTTCCTGGCCACCCCCGTCCCTGGGCAGACTCGACCTTCCCTTCTTTGGATCTATGATAGCTCTAGACATTGCACCCCATCACGCCTTTCCCCTTCAAGGTCTTCCCGGCCCAACTCCGTTGATCTCGGACAAACCGTCCTCAATCTATGCTTATGAGCCTCTCGGGTCCTGGGACAACATTATGCCATTTATGCCCTCGCTATCTGATCTATACATACTCTATGAGAAGCTTCTCCTTAGCGAAAGCATCGTCGTCCTTGCAAAATCACCCCAACTGTGCAGCGAGGCCGTCTCCTCACTAGTAGATTTAGTCCGTCCTGTCCCATATGCTGGAGAGATAAGGCCATACATGGTACGAAGGCCCGGGTACACATTCAATGTTTCGTCTCAAACTTACTGCAATAATCTGAAATGCCATCCAGGTGGTGTTTGAGATTCCTGCAGTGCACTTCAAGGCAGAACATTGAGGTATCAGACCCCTGCTTTGAGAGACTGCGCTGACTTTGTACCTCCACCTTCGCAGACCATGCAGTCTGAATTCCGCTGCATCGGCATAGATGGCGGTACTCCCCGTCCCTTCATAATCGGCATAACGAACCCCTTCCTACTGAAGCGTGTCCTCGCAGCCGCAGAAGACAAAGAACGCACAAGACCGCACATCCTCTACCTCCAAAACTTTGAAGGCACAGTCCCTATAAAACGCCATCACTCGCTGCACCACCGAGCTAGCCGAAACGGCCTCTTAGACCTCCCCAGCGGCATCGACGCCCATCCCCCTTCCAAACGCTTCATAAAGACCGACTCCCATCTAATCTCGCAAATTGAAACTTTCCTCAAACTCGACATGCCAACCCATGAACTTGGTCCCCTCATCCGTCGTCACTTTGCTGAGCTCACCGCCCAATTCATCGCGCCTATAAACCGCTACCTCGCCACCTCCGTCTCTCCCAATGTCGTCTCGCCTGGTGGAAACTACCGCTATGCCAGTTTCTCCGTCACTGATTTCCTCGGCAACCTAGCCAAGCATGGTAGCTCGGTGAAGTTTAGGGGACAGGGTCCGATACAGAGACATCGAGCTAGGGATCACCTGTATGAGAGTTTCTGCCGTTCGCCGAATTTTTACTCGTGGTTGGATATGAAGTTGAGTCTGGAGAAGGAGGCTAGCGCGGGAATGCTTGGATCGGGATCGGCTTCTGCGTCTGTGTCGACTGCAAGTTGAGGGGCTGGTGTGGGATAGGTGATAGTAAACTTGCGTAGTTGTGCAGCATACTGCGAACCGGCCGAAGACACGGGTCCAGGGTCTCCGCAATTCAAGGTACTCAAAAGACGGAGAGTCCCGAACAGTCTGAGAGCCTTCGATGTTCCAAGATGAGGAAGCGTCCAAGCCATAGATTAAGCGAGTCACGGAGCTCAGTGACAAATGGGAGATATAGAATAGAACCGCACGGTTCTGGCATCAAGCGTTGTGGAGGGTTCGGAAAGGTCGCTTGAATACTAAGATGAAGGGGACTTACTCATGGACAAGAAAGTGAATTTAAAATGCGTATTGCTCATAGAATCAGCAGCCCAGCGCTCTGTCATATAAAGCAATCCAAAACGCCAGCAGTAGTCTACACAAACACCTATGGTCATGTATCAATGCCCCAGTAAAGCCCCTTGAAGACAGAACTACATAATATTTCCACTGCCAATCCGATCCGATCCCATCACATTCCAACGTCTTATATTATCTGCTCCCGAACTCCAAGTTACCTAACCCCTCCATGTCTCATCATATCGCCATCTTCCAGGAATGAGATGTTAGAAAACTATGCAGCTGCTCTAGCACTCTGCCTTCCCGCCCTCGCCGGCGCCCTAACCGCACCCGGTCGATTAAGCGTATACTTTGCAAACGCTCTTGCAAGCGCCTTCTTACAGCTAACCTTCTGCGAGCCGACAAACGAATCAACAGCAACAGCAATCGCGCGATCGATGTCCTGCGCAGAGCAATACTCAGATAATCGCATCTTACAGAAGGCTTCTGATATACGCATGATAGCTTCCAGATGACGGACCTAGATAATATGCATCAGTCTTCGTTCTAGTCAAGAGAAGAAAAGGGTGAGGCAAGACTCACAGTAATTGGATACGCTCCAGTCGCCAGCGATTCCCTCCTCATATCCGCAAACAGTCTCGCCACCTTGTCTTGATCAATCTGATACAACTTCGGTTTGCACTTCTCCCGCGCATACAAAATATACTTCCGTAACAACTCCTGCGGAATCTGGTCCTCTCTGGCTTGCACCATGTCGCTGTCGACTTCCATGGCCACATCGTTTTCGGCTTGCTTGACCTTGTCACTGTATCCGTACCCGGCGCCGACGAGAGGATGGGCGCGGCCGTGTGAGTTTACCACGAACTTAGCGAGGCGCTCGTCCTCTGTCGGATCTACGGTGTCACGAACAACACACAAGATGTCGAAACGAGACAAGATAGGTTCCGTGAGCTCAACGTTTTGAGAGAAGGGGACTGTGGAGTTATAGCGGCCGCCGATGGGATTGGCTGCCGCGACAATGGCGCAGCGAGCTTGGAGAGTAGTGACGATACCAGCCTTGGAGATTGAGATGGTTTGCTGTTCCATGGCTTCATGGATCGAAGTGCGGTCTTGATCATTCATCTTATCGAATTCATCAATAAGACATGTTCCTTTGTCTGCGAGTACGAGTGCTCCACCTTCTAGAGTCCATTCGCTAGTCATCGGATCGCGACGGACAGAGGCTGTGAGACCGACTGCGGAAGCTCCCTGGCCAGTGGCAAAGACAGCGCGGTGAGCGGTCTTCTCGACATACTTGAGGATTTGAGATTTCGCGGTGCCAGGGTCGCCCAGGAGAAGGAGGTTGATGTCACCACGGATGGCGAGGCGTCCGGGAGCTTCTTTGCTGACACCTCCGAAAAGGGACAGTGCAACAGCAGTCTTAATATCCGTATGCCCATAAATACTAGGCGCGATAGAGTTGATGAGTCTGTCCACGATCTTAGGATCCTTTGAGAGGTTGCGGATCTCGCGTTCATCTTCCTCTGTGAGGCGGAAACCGGCAAGCTGGTCGTGGGATTTGACGACATGATTGGCTTCGAGAATTGTAGCAAAAACGGGGAAACCGTTCTTACTGTTCAGAGCAGCGTCGTAGTTGTTGCGGTAGATACCAGTCACTTCAACCTCCTCTCCAGGCTTAGCCGAGTCAATTAGATCCCACAGCAGAATGACCTCTCGGTGACGAGGGAGACGGCCGGCTGGGACAGTGCCGGGGGACTCTTGAAGAGTGAGTTTCTGATAATTCCGGTAGACCGTTCGCTCGGTGTTGACTGTGAACGGACCACGGGACTGGCAATTCTGACAGAAGGAGATCTTCACTTCAACGTTCGAATCTTGGTGGAAGGGTCCGAGAGTAACACCGCATTTTGTGCAGTCAAACTTGACATACTTGAGCTGCGGGAAGACTCCACTACGACGGGTGACGACTCCAGTGACACGAACCAAGCAGTTCAGGTGGCTCTGACGGAGTTGGCGGAGAGTGTACTGAACTGGAAGGCCGGTCATTCGGACGTGGATCTCTGAATGAATACGCTCATAGTCCGGGTAGTGGAGTAACGTGACTTCCATGGCCACCTGGTCGAAGATCTTTAACATCTCAGTCGGGACGTTGGCAAGCCAGTATGCCAAGGTAGCCTTTGACTCCGAAAGATGATCAAAAGAGACTTCCAGCGACTCCGCGTTGATCTCACCGAGCGTTCGAATTCGAGTCCCATAGACTGACGTTCCGTGCTCGTCGGTGTATTCGGTGAGGAAAGATTTAAACTCTCGCGCAATGGTCCTGGCAACAGCAGGGAGAGAAACCCAATCGGTCAAACTAGCTGACTTTACGTCCGCCAAAGCTTCGAGGGTCAACTCCACGTTCATAATATCCCCACCTATATCCATATCATCTTGATCCTCATCATAACCGTATCGGCGAGGTGGTCTCCGCCTCGTCAGTTCGGCCAGATCACCTACATCCTCGCCGTCGCCTAACCAAGCTCCAGGAATTGCGCGATTCCTGGCTGCAGCGTCACGCGCATTCAGACGCCGGTCGAGGTCTCTTCTCGATGCAAGATCGAGTTCGTCATATTCTTGGTCATCAATGCCTATGCCCTCATATGCATCGTTTTCGCGCTCTCGATAGTCTTGCTCGAAGTCCTCATTAAAGAGATCGATACCCTCAGCTTCTTCTGCGTCCTCGTCAAGATCGTCGACATCCGGAATAAGCTGGTCCTCATCCATAACGTCGGGCTCTTCGTCATGGGGGAGCATCGGCGGCGAAGAGGCCATTGGACTGGATGGCGGATGCGCCGCCGAGGAGGGCAAGTCATCGTCAGGCTCTCTCGCGCGCTTGTTCCTGTTGTTGAGGCTTGGACCACCACGGTTTGCGGAAGACATGTTTGCTCGAAGCGGTGAACTGGGGGCGGTTAGTTGATAGATAGAGAGGAGGGGTCAAGGGGGGAGAGCTGCGGCTAGTGTTCGATACAGATCGTGAAGAAAAAGAGTGGCCCTACCTCATTTTCACTCAATGCGCCGAATATATGGACGCTATAAGAAGGTTGGTGGAGAGAGGGGGGATAATTAGTGAAGGTGCACAGGTGAAAGCGGGCGGCGATGAAAAGGATAAAACGCGCTGGCGTCGCGTGGGCGCGTTTTGTCTTGGCGCGTCTCCATTACACCCGAACCCGGTCTTAGCGCAGGTAGTCGCAAGTCCCCCGGAGCGCGACCCATTTTGCGGCCACACCGAATCCATTGCGACAACAACACATCGCCTTCGATTCTCCCTTTGTTACCGTGCATACCTTTCAGACTCCCTTGCCCGTCGGTCAGAGTAGCCTCAAATATAGCCACCATGGCCGACCCTCAGACCTCCAACATGTCCCAGTCTAGGCCGCGCTCCAAGAGTATGTCCCAAGCATCCGAGAGCTCACAAACAGCGGCAGAGTGAGTTCAGCGCTCCAAGTGCCATATATCATCTCCTCATGCCCCCCTGCTAGGTATATTAAAGAGCAACTCAGCCTTGAGGTTGAAGCCCGCGAGGCCCTGCCATATGTCTGCCCCCCCTCAACAGTTTTCCCGCATTTTCCTGACAGCCAACAGCAATTTGATACTTGCACTCGCGACCTCGGCGCCATCCGTCAGAGTCTGTTCTCGTGCCTTACCTGCAATCCGCCGCCCGAAGAACCTTCTGAGGCTTACACCCCCGCTGGCGTCTGCTATTCGTGTTCCATCTCATGTCACGGTGAACACACCCTCGTCGAGCTCTTCGCCAAACGCAGCTTCGTTTGCGATTGCGGGACAACGCGCCTCCCTGAGGCAAGCGCATGCACCCTCCGAGTGAACTCAAAGACAGGCCAGAAGGGCGATGTGACCGGGGAAGAGCCGGCAGCCGGTAACCATTATAACCAGAATTTTCGGAACAGGTTCTGCGGCTGCAACGAGCAGTATGATCCGCACCAAGAGAAGGGAACCATGTTCCAGTGTCTCGGCCTTGGAACAGTGGAGGACGGTGGCTGTGGGGAAGACTGGTGGCATCCGGAGTGTGTCGTGGGACTCAGCCGTGAGGAGTATAAGAAGAGCATCGAGAAGCCTAAAATTGATAAGACGAAAGAATCTCCGAATAAACCGGCGAACGGAATCACGAAGGAGGTTAGTGTCACAAGAGAGGAAGAGCCAGTGGATGTCCTGGATGTCCACTCCAGCGCAAGGAGGCCTTCCATTGTCACTTCAATAGCGGCTGGTAATGGAATCGATGGGAACAATACTGCCGCAGATGCAGACGGTGACGAGGATGAAGATGATGAACCTCCACTCCCTCCAGGCTTTCCTAACGAGGACGACTTCGATACCTTCATTTGTTACAAGTGCGTAGAGGCGTTCCCTTGGATAAAGAAATATGCAGGCACGCCTGGATTTCTTCCACCTGTATATTTCAGTGCGACATTGAACACTAAGGCTGCCGAGGCATCCACTGCGCCAGTTTCCAAGCCTGTAAATAGCGAGTCCAAGAAGCGCAAGGCTTCTGACGACGATGAAGAATCCGTCAACTCTATCCCCATGGGTCCGCCTAAGCGTCAGAAATCCGAAGACCTTGCCACCACGCTCTCCTCCGTTCCAGAGACCGTGACGCTTCCCCTCACACCGAAGAAGCAAGACTCGAACATTTGCAAGCTTTCTACGCTTCCACCAGCTCCAACCTCGACAACCCCCTTTACTATCTTTCTAAAACAAGACTTCCGCGACCATCTCTGTCATTGCACTACTTGTTTCCCTCTCTTAAAGGCCCACACACAGCTCATCGAGGAGGAAGATACCTATGAGCCACCCATCTCCGAAGACGGCGAAGGCGCCCCATCGGCAGGTACAGGATCTATCTATGATCGTGGAGAAGCGGCATTCAGCACGATGGACCGCGCCCGTGCGATTCAGGGGGCAATGGCATACGCCCATCTGAAGGACAACCTCAAGACTTTCCTGCAGCCATTCGCGGAGAGTGGACAGGCTGTTGGAGCCGAGGATATCAAGGCATATTTTGAGAAACTGAGGGGTGATGAAAAGGGGATCAAGGAGGCGGCTGGGAGCGCGGCACAGAGTAATAGGAAGAATGACGACGGCGAGAATGGAGGCAACAGTGGGGATAATAGGAGGGAGCAGAGTGGTTACTGAAGTTCCATCTCTTCCTCCTTGAGATGACTCCATTTTTGTATTCTGGGGTATAAGAGCCTGGATGAGGAGTATAAGAAAGTAGCTTTGGACCCATACTGAGGCTGGCGTTCCGGGAAGGAGGCGTTGGAGACGTCGGCCCCGCGAAAAAGCAAGTATATTGAATTGTGCAGCGGATTTCCAACACTTGTAAAGTCTCGTGGTGAAAGATTGTACTAGGCCCATAGATCACTTGATCAATTTTGGCTCTTACGGTACTTGTGAATGCAGGTAGCACACCGGTCATCGAGTTGCCTATGTTTGTCTATGCATCATGGATTATTTCTTCAGGCTTTGTGGTATTGTGGCCCCATTTTCCTACTCTACTAACTCACTCATCCCTGCTCATCCTGTGTCAGACTTCAGAATCACAATTCCATAAGGATCCCTATCCACCTCACTAACCAGGACCTCAAACTCCTCCTCCAACACTTCTCTCAACTCCTCATTCTCGCCATCCTCCTGCCTGATCTTCGCCCACTCTTCCTCAACCATCCCTTCCAACTGCCCCCGCAATACCTCAGTCAGAAACCCCCGTTCTGAATTGCTGTGGAACAAACTGATCACTGCCTGCCCCTTCTCAATCGCCGCAAGTGCTTCATGATGGCTCATTTCCCCCGTAAATAGCAAATCCACGTCTAAACCCCCGAGCATCGAGCCCCCAGAACCAGCGCAGATGCCCACGCTCGAGATACTCAGATCCGAGATAGTTCTCCCTTGCGGTATCGCGATAGGAAAACCTTTCGGATTATTCATGCCCTTACCTATTCGATCCAACAGCGTAGGCAGCGGCTGCGGATTACTGAACGTCACTATGCGACCCATTCCTGCGCCAGGATGCGATTCGAGGTCTGGTGACTGCGGAACAATCGGGCGACGGGTGTGGGGGATGGTTGTCACAGTTTCTGAAGCGGCGGTTGCGAGGCGGAAGGAGGTTTGGCTGGGGTGGTGGTTTAGGGTGTAGGTGGGTGGGGGTTTAAGGTCTGTGAATGGATCGTTGTCGTCGAGGGCTTCCTTGCTATTGGGCGTTTCCACAGCATCAGAAAACTCTTCGTAGCTGGTCCGCGTTCCAGTAACTATGTCGGCGAGCCAGTCTCCAAGACCACCGGGTGCGGCATCGACGGCGGTATGGGGACTGTAGACACTGATTCCATGGCTCGCCAGTCGGAGCAGAATCTGTTGTTGGGTGTTTGCGAGAGTGAGGCATTTTAGGCCACGGAATATGATGGGGTGGTAGGATATTATGATAGAGGATTTGAGCGCGATGGCTTCGTCAGCGACAGCACGAGTGAGGTCGATAGTGAGGAGGATAGTGTTGGATTGAGGGCGAGATGGGACGAAGGGGGCTTCGAGAAGGAGGCCAGTGTTGTCCCAGGAGTTGTCTGCGAGGGCTGGTGGGTAGCTGTTGAGTGAGTCAGCTTTAGCTTGCGGACATGTCCCTTGGATCATCTAGAACGGAGAGGAGGGAGCAAGAGAAAGCACCATTTGAGACGCGCACAATCAACAAGAGAATCGTGAAACTTACAGCTTTCGCATAGCTCGTACCACGGCTCTCGAGAACGGAGCCGAGCTCATCGAAACACTCATCGTAAAAGATCGCCTCAGGGTCTGAAGAAACATACAGAGCAAATCTCCAACCCTTTCCCTCTCAATTTCACGAATCCCCCGTCGAAAATCAAGCTTCACGCGTGCTACCTCTCCGCGCCACGTGCACAGACCCCTCCTGTAATTCCTTCCCCCACCATCACGTCATTCGGTTCCATTCCCAAAACCCCTCACCGCCCCGTCTCGGAACATACCATCTTATCTGATCCGAGGATAAAAATCCAATTAATAAAGCAATACAACTTCTAACCATGGACCCGCGCATCGCCCTCTCTAAGACTCTCAACAAGCTGACTGTGGACAATATGGCCGCCAGCACGGATTCTGAAGCGCAGCAGGTGCACCCAAGTTCGGGTGTGACGCCAGAAGGACTGAAAAGCAAATTGGAGGAAATGTTGGATGCGACATATGTTGAGATTGAGGATCTGAGTGGTAAGGGCTTGTGTCAAGCTTTTGTTTGACGAGCTAACGGGTGGATAGGGGGCTGTGGACAAATGCTTGAGGCAATCATTGTTTCGCCGCAGTTCGCAAAGAAAACTACACTCGCCAGGGCACGGTTGGTAAATACCACCCTGAAGGAAGAGATCGCCGCCATACATGCATGGACGGCGAAATGCCACACCCCAGAGGAGTGGGAGAAGAAGAAACCCCAAACTTGAGACCGCCCTTGGGACCAGCCTTGGGCAAACATGCGTGGCCACGAATTACGACCAATATGCGGACGGATGTTAATACCTCAGGAGTAAATCAGAAAGGCGCGAAGAACTGGACATATCGGATTCCATTTATACCCGGCCTGGATGGCGTGATACCTATATCTAGCTAGCTCAAGAGCACCCGTATCTCACCACTCGTGCGTGGGAACATATCCCTAATCCCTAGCGGGGGTTCCTCCTCAGACTCATCTTCACCATAGAGCAAGTCATCAACTGCTAGAATCTTGCTCTCCACAAATTCAAAGTCTTCACAGAACTGTCTAGCTGCTTCTTCCGTAATATCCTGCACCATCTTCCTGTTCCGCAAATGCTTGATGTTTTCCACGGCATCGATGAGCGCCGACGGAAGAAACTCATCGAGCTGCTGACTTGAGTTGATAAGCGCTTCAGGCTTGAAGGCTTCCAATGTCGGAATGGCTTTCAGGGTCTCGGGAGAATCGGAGATATCTGAGAGAGCTTCCAACAGGGAGTTGAGACCTGAAGTGTAAGTGAAATATTGATGCTGGTACTCCACAAGCCTTGCTGTATGCTCGCCCATAGTATCCTCCATTTCTCTAACACGGTCACCTGCAAACGAGTAGGGGGATAACACCGCCCTTGCTGCCAAAAGGCAATTGATGGCGAATATGTCGCTGTTGGGTTTGGGTAGTCCTTTGTAAAGTGTTTCGCATCCAGCAAGGAATGGATCCAAAGCTTCTGTGAGCACCGATTGAAAGGCATTCTCTTGGTCATCAGCCGTTGCAATGGACGTATCGTAGCTCTTCGCAAGCGCCTTCAGCATTTGTAAAGCATCTTCGAAGAAATCGGGTGTTGATAAGTCTGCTGGTGCGACAGCTATTTCACCCTGGACAGCTGCTACGTGATCCCTCATGTTGCCACGGAACTGTCTCATTGCCGAACCCTCGAGCGCTGTGAATACCTCAAGGACCTCTGAAGCTGCGCCGAGAAGTTTGGTAAAAGTACTCTTGTAGAAGCCGATCAGGTTTGCGATCTTATAAGCTAGGGTTGCATCCTCATGGCTTTGGATCACCTGTTCGGTACGCTGTCGTAATAATCGCGCAACACCAGTGAGATCGCGGCTGACCAACTGATTGAGAGCTTTTCTTCCATCGAATATTTCGTCATTCTCTTCGGAACGCAGCCATGGTTCGCTTTCGAGACCAGCTTGTATTGACCGTTTGATTTCATCTCCCTCTGAGATGAACAAAACCTCCAATGCTTCCCTCTCCGATACGGTAGCAGAATGAGCCCAAGCTAGCATATCACCAACATAACGTAACGGGTCATGCGCGTGGAATTCAATAGGCTTGGTGGCAATGTGTTGCGCCTCAGAACTTGATCCAGTAAGAGCCGCATAGAACGAGTCCGAAAGAATGTGCTCGCGTGCCTCTGCAAAGAAGTCGAGACAGCTCTGGAACAAGGACGGCCGCTCAGCTAAGACACGTAGGGACCGCCTCACTGATGCATTGATTTGAGGGTTTTCTAGGTCAAGGTCCTTGAACTCTCTTTGGATCCAACGATATAATTTTTGGAAGGCGGTGTTGAGTTGTCTGGAACTTTTCTCGAGCACTTCCAAACCTAGTCTTTGATCCTCTGTCCCCAGAAGCACTTGACAATCGTGGTGGATTCTCTTCACCCTCGTAAGTGTTTGGAAAAATTCCTCATTGACAGGCTCTGCAGTCGACGTCAATATTGTTGACTCGGCCTCGGAAATAGTGAAGTGGGTATTGAAGGCGTCTAAAATTTGCTGCTTAGTTTCGATCTGTTTCTTCTGGGTCATGAGACTCGTTGCTTCTTCTAGGACAGGGCCCGTTTCACGATTTGCGGCAGCAATATGACCCCGCATATCTGCACAGTATTTGTTCAGACTAGAAATAGCTGTGCCAATACGTTTCAGTTGCTAATAGGGATTAGTTTTTTCAGCTCTTCTCAGTAGATATATTCACAGACCTCAGCAACCGCGCCAAAGTCCTTAACAATCTCGCCATTGCATTGGATAACTTCTTTCTGAACATCTAGCCGTATTTGCCGCCGCGTCTCCGCAGTATTTCGAATTCCTCTTGCATCTAGCGTCTCCAGAACATCACGGATCTCAAGGTCTGCGTAGGAGGCCGAAAGAACACTTGTGATTCTACTAGATAGAGCATTGGCGCCACGAGACGCGGATCCTACCGACGGGGAAGCAGGGGATAGCCCATCTTGAGCAGCGGGAACCGAGCGCTCCTGGAAATGGCTAGTAGACATGTTGTTGTTACCATGTGGGAATAGCAGAGCTTGAAGTGTGTCTCTCGGTGAAACTTCGGTCTCTCGAAGCTTAGCTCCGTGGACCTCGCTCTTTATAATGACGCGCTAGCGGCCCCTCCACCTGACCGCGATCATTCACTCATGACACTCGTCACGCCAACTCATAGCCATGGCTTAGTGCTACAATAACTCATGGCGAATTGCCTCCACATTTGGGGATCTCTCGCTGATCCTCTGTCCAGAATCTCTCCCGAACGCTTAGATCTGCCTCTGCGCGGCCCCGTCCCTAGCCCGCCGCTGCCTGGGCCTCTTTCGCACTTGTCAATACCGCCATGATGGCTTCCAACATCCTCTCTAGATTTCTTCCTTCTGCCTCCGACGAGCCTTTTGAAACAGACGCCCTGAATAACCCGTCCCGCCGCCGCCTCTCGTCCGCAGACGAGCATGGGGAAACGGATATAGACGAAGAGAACCTAGAGGCTCGTTTTGAGGCACAAGATCTAGAAAATCTGCTCGCAGATGCATCTTCGAGTCACATGACAACTGAGAGCACAGCATTTCTCCCAGGGAACGATCGAAAACCCAGCACACTAGCCCCAGGGCGGGCTGGGGCATGGAGACAACCCGCTCCCGTTCGGACAGCACCCTTAGACGATGATGATGATGTCCCAGAGTCCCTCTTGTTAGAAGGAATACGCGATCCACCGCCCCCCAAGTCGAATCACCACAGCATGCCCACCGATGGCCTCCCACCGCCCGTCCCTGGTCCTTCAACCCGTCACACACGAGCACAGTGGGAAACGACAAGGAGGCAGCAGCGCTTACATGATGAGACTCATGATGCTGCACCGGCACCAAAATGGGCCCTCCCAACAAGAACTGGTTTCACGGCTGACCCAAAAGAGAAGGCGATGTGGCTATGGGTCAACGTCGAGGATCTTGACGCATTTTTAGCCGAGGTATACTTCTACTACACGAACTGCGGCATATATTCGATATTGCTACGAGGGACCTTAGATCTATTGTATGTCCCCAACGGATAGTCAAGCTAGTGGGTAAGCTAACACGTCACAGCCAGAGCGCCTTTATTGTGGGATTCCTTACGTTCCTTGGGTGGTGTATCGACTACCCCAAGATATCTCAAAGCCACAAGATGAGCGAGGTGATTGTACCACAATGCACTAAAAAGTAGGTCGTCTTCAACCATAAACCCACACGATAGGCTGACCCTTCTACAGAATGCATGGGTTCTGGGTCTTTGCCCTTTGGCTTTACATTCTGTACTTTCTGTATTCTTCCATCCAGCTCGTACGGGCATTCCCTCGTCTGCGCCTAATGCACCACTTTTTTGAGCATCTTCTGGACATCCCTGATAGAGATATTCAAACCGTTGAGTGGCAATACATTGTGAGCCGCATTATGAATTTGCGCGATGCCAATCTTACAACAGCATCCAACATATCTCCAGAGACGCGGAAGCTTCTAGATAAAAGAGGTCGACAACGACTAGATGCTCATGACATCGCCAGCCGCCTCATGCGCCGGGAAAACTACCTTATTGCTCTATTCAACAAGGAAATTCTCGATGTCACTATTCCAATACCGTATTTAGGGAATCGATTCATCTTTTCTAAAACCACCGAGTGGCATGTGGATCTTGCAATTATGGACTTCGTCTTTGGCCAAGGCGGCAAGTTCGATCCGGACTTCCTCAAGGAGAAAAATCGTCGGCATTTAGTCAAACAGCTACAAAAGCGTCTATTAGTAGTTGGCGTCATTAGCATTGCTTGGGCTCCATTTCGGGTATCTTATGTCTTAGTGTCGTATCTCTTCAAGTACTTCACTGTAAGTGCAACCCAAATTCTGCATATTTGTATTGAATGAAGTTTCTGACCGCCACACAGGAGTACCACAAGGACCCTTCACAGCTCAACACCAGAGACTTCACAACGTTCGCTCAGTGGAAATTCCGTGAGTTCAATGAGCTACAACACTTATTCGAACGTCGAAGGAATATGGCATACCCATATGCGAACTTATACCTCGCGCAATTTCCAAAAAACAAGACGGAACAGGTCTCGGCTTTTGTGGCTTTCGTTGCGGGGGCATTCGCATTCGTTCTTGCGGTCTTCACCTTTCTCGACTCTGAGCTTTTTCTCACCTTCGAAATCACTCCCGGGAAGACTGCCCTCTTCTGGATCGGAGCACTTAGCGTTATCTACAGAATTGCTCGCAGCAGCAGCCCGCAGGAGGATGAGGTGGCCGAACCTGCTTACTATCTGAGCCACGTCATCTACCATACCCATTATGAGCCGGAATGGTGGCAAGAGCGATTGCATACTGACGAAGTCCGCGCGGAATTTGCTAGGCTGTACCAGCCCAAGATCGTCATCTTCGCAGAAGAGGTTCTGAGTATGTTCATTACCCCTTTCCTGCTCATTTTCCGTTTGCCACAGTCCAGTGAACGCATTGTCGATTTTTTCCGCGAATTTTCGATAGTCGTGGATGGTTTGGGAGTCGTTTGCTCCTATTCCATGTTTCCGTTCAAGAAGGGTGGTGACAACGCACCAGCCAATCGAGCTGGGCGCCGAGAGGATTCAGATCTCCGTGAAGATTACTTCATGGCGAAAGATAACAAGATGCTTGCATCGTATTATGGATTCCTGGATGCATATGCTGGCCCTGGTCGGGGCCACTATAATGCACGTCTACAAGGCAGAGGAAGCTTCCACCCTCCGCCCCAGTTCCCGAACAATTTCGGGGCGATGTCTGTAAACGTACCGGTGCCAGAGACAGGCGGCCGCGGGAGCAGCAGAGTGCCTGCTGGAAGGCAGCCTTTGCCTCGGCGAACGCCGAGACAGGGACCAATACCAGGCAGAGATGAACCAATCAACTCCATCCTGCTTGATCCACATCACCAGCCCACCGCTTCTACCTTAAGGGGGTCCCCAAGGCAAACAGCGAGTTCGAGGTATCGAACATCTTTGCAGCCTGTATCCGATCCTCGTGAGCCTGGTTTGTCGAGGCAAAACTCGTCTCGTATTGAAGAGGAAAGCACTATTGGTGATTCGTGGCGAACAAGTAGGCTTGCACAGGACGATGATGAAGAGGAGGAGACGACGGGAAACACTCGTGGTGGCGTTTTGCAGTTGTTGCAGCAGTTCTCGAAGGCTCAGACCGAGGGACGAGGGGCTGGCGTTGGAATGTGATATATTATCTGCATCGGGTGGGCTTTTGGTGTTTGGATTGGAGTGTGTCCTATACACAGCTAGAAGGTTAGGTGGCATGGCAACATAGCTTGTTTCGTGTGATACCTGCGTGCATTTTGCTGTAGTCCTTCTGAGATTCGCTGAAGGGATGACCAGAAGTTGTAGAATATGTCTCATCGAAATTAAACAAGATATTGTATTGAATCTTCATCAGGTTGTCTAATTCCTTGCAAAGAACCAGCTGCCCCAAGATTGTGCCCGTTCCCTGGCTTTGGTGAGTGCCAGTGGGTTTAGTGACCACCGTTTCCCCCCATAATTAGCGAGCACTAAAACACTTGAAAAAATATTTGTGGCAAGCCCTACATAAGCATGATAATATTGGAAAAACGTTCAATTCCACCACCGGCTTCTGCGCCGAAAAATTCCTCCGTGGCGCAATTGGCTAGCGCGTCTGACTGTTAAAATTTGATCTCGCAATCAGGAGGTTGACAGTGTAAGTTAATGGGTTCAACCCGCGATATAGATGAGAGGAACTGACCTTAAAAGTCAAGCCTGTCCGGGGGAGAGACGTCACGGGTTCTTTTTGGCTGAGTTCTGAGGTTTGATAGAATTTTCTTTTTTGCTCCGAGGGTATTTGTTTTTGGGAAATTTGGGGGGTGCGAGTGATGTTAGAACTATAGAGCTATGGGATGTATGGAAGATTCTCCGGTCGAAGCGTCGATACTGGTGTCTGAAGTAGGGTAGAATGAAGGTCGGTGGGGGCTTTTCGAGGAGATAGGGGAGAACTGCTTTTGAATTTGTAGTTGACTGGAAAATCTCAACACTTGGAACCAGGTACGCAGAATCCGGATTAACTATTCGGAGTCTTTCACTTCGAATGTTTGAGCACGAGTACACATAGCTACTAAGCTTCCTTAGCGGTTTGAATTGAAGTATTCACATGATCTCTGCTATCTTAAGTTGGTGGGCGCATCTAAGATTGCAAGAATGAGTGGAGCTGAAATTCCCGTGCTTTTTAGATGGATCTCCCTAGATACAATTTGCACTTCTAAAGTAGAACATCAAAGTAATAATAAACAACTATCTTGAATCAGTCCTGTCCAGAATATCATTAAGTGCCAGAGCAATTGGCGGCCAGCCAATCTAAGCTTAATCAGGATTAGCCTCGCGTAGCTGCCAAGAGTTCAAGTACGCACATCGCAAATTCGGAGCACACATTCAATGAAACAAGCACGAATCTACCGGAGCGCAACAACACACACCAGGAGCCCAACAACACATTCCTGCGCGCAAAGATGGCACCAAAGAAAGCTAAGAAGACGGCCGACTCCATCAACTCGCGGCTTGCGCTTGTAATGAAGTCCGGAAAGTGAGTTCCTACCTGCGATATTCCATCAAGCCTCCCATTATTTTTCGAATAGTGGGCTAATATGAAATTTAGGGTCACCTTGGGCTATAAGTCTACCCTCAAATCGTACGCGATGCTTCATCACCCTGTTGTTTGATTTAATCCTTCTTACCTCCGTTCAGTCTGCGATCCGGAAAAGCCAAGTTGGTCATCATTGCAGGAAACACGCCGCCTCTGAGGAAGTCCGAGCTCGAATACGTCTCTATGTTGAGCAAGGTGCGTTATCAATCCTGGGAATCTTCTTCGTAACGAATCTGGGCTAATATATTGTAGACGTCTGTCCATCACTTCTCCGGAAACAACGTATGTACCACGACCCCGATCCGTTCTCATGGCCTCACGACGAGATGCCAAGAGCGCTCTCCGAGGGCTGGCCCTGAGAAGAGGTCTACCGAAGACTTCGGAGGGCTGTTCACTAACCTAACAATCTACAGATCGAGCTGGGAACCGCCTGTGGTAAACTCTTCCGTTGCTCCACCATGGCCATCCTCGATGCTGGTACGTTTCAAGAATAAGGCCTGAGATTAGCGCTAAGGTTCACTAACACTTCCCACAGGTGACTCAGACATTCTTACCACCAACACGGCATAGATTGAGGGAGAAATGGCCACGAACGGGGAGGTCATTCCAAAACCCAAGGCGGTCTTAGTAGTGCAGATAGCAATGAAATGAACATTGTGTGCCACAAAAAGGCCATCCATGATATGACTCTTTGATGTGCTCGGTGTTCGGTGACTCGCGTGAATGCTGCTTTGAAATCGTGAAACTAACAAGGCGGAGTTCGGCTGCCGCTTAATCGGGACTAGCGTCGTGGCGGCCCACACTGCGGCTTTGTTAATACATCACCTTCTCCCGATTCAACTTTTGCTCTTGCTCTCCCCCCCCGCAACACCACATATAAGTACTGGGTAAGTATCACTGCACCTGCTGCTATATTCTACGCATCCGTATTGACCGGTCGATGCAGTACCGACTCCCTCACCTCTCGCAAACCGTGGTCAAACAAGCAATTCATTGATTTGAAATCAGACTCGAAAACCGATACAATGGCCAGGAGACCCGCTCGCTGCTACAGGTACTGCAAGAACAAGCCGGTATGTGACAGAGGGAATAAAAAGTTGTAGAAACAACAACCAGGGCTGATATTGGACATGTAGTACCCCAAGAGCCGCTTCAACCGTGGTGTACCGGATCCAAAGATTCGCATCTTTGATCTTGGACGCAAGCGTGCCAACGTTGACGAGTTCCCCCTCTGCATTCACCTCGTCTCCAACGAGTACGAGCAGCTGTCTTCCGAGGCCCTCGAAGCCGCCCGTATCTGTGCCAACAAGTACCTCGTGAAGATCGCCGGAAAGGAAGGTTTCCATCTCCGTGTTCGCGCCCACCCATACCATGTGATCCGTATCAACAAGATGTTGTCGTGCGCTGGTGCCGATAGACTGCAGACCGGTATGCGTGGTGCTTTCGGGAAGCCCAACGGAACGGTTGCACGTGTGAACATCGGTCAGATCATCTTGTCCGTCCGGACGAGGGATACTCACCGTGCCACTGCTATTGAGGCTCTTAGGCGATCCCAGTACAAGGTAAGCCAGCCCAGCTGTTTCATCCTTGAAATGTTAATGCTAATCGATGCAGTTCCCCGGCCGCCAAAAGATCATCGTCAGCAAGAACTGGGGCTTCACCAACCTCCGCCGCGAAGAGTACGTCGAGAAGCGCCAGCAAGGTCGCGTCAAGGTCGACGGTGCCTACGTCCAGTTTCTCCGCAACAAGGGCAACATCGAACAGAACATGCGCCGCTTCCCGGATGCTTTCGAGGCTGAGGCGTAGGCTTCTCTCGTTGGACGTGATGACGGAGATCTGAAGTGCATTGGGATGAGTGAGATACCGGTGACATGGCGTATTTTGCCTTTTTCCCTTTTCTTTTCCTTTGATCGTGGATGAGGGTTTGAAAGTGAATTTCTATGGAATACCTGTAGAGAATGACCAAAATCTGACCTGACAATGGCAATGGAACTCAAGTATGACACATGCTCTTTGGAGTGCTCGTAATGGCTGTGCCCTCTCTTGGTATATCCACAGAGTCTGACCGATGCCTTTAATGGCCAAGTGCTCGATCTCCCTAGGAAGGACTGCTCTTCACTAATAGCTTGGCAAGATTGTTTGACCAGGTTCAGGATGCCGTATTGTAGGTTTAAACATGCAATGCGCATCAGTTTGATTGCTTAAGTAAACTATCTAGCATTATGGATTACCGCCTCCACCGTCGTTCCCCGGATATCTTGAATAGCAACAATTGAATATTTCGCAGGACTAGCCGTGCTGATCTACAGAAAATTTAAGAAATTTAAATGTTACAGTACGATGGGCGAGGGACTTTATGAGAGCAAGGTATGAGTGGGGATATCCCACCTGACGTGTCGGCGATTACAGAGCACCGTTTTCAAAGATGTAGGTTAGCCTTTTACAGTCGCGGTCACAGTGACGGTTTCCTTCTCTGTTACTGTTTCTGTGATGGTGAAGATCTGGGACGCTGGAATAGGAGTGACAATCAGCTTGCTCTCAGATGTTGAAGATGTGGAGGGTTCTGGAGGTGGGGCGGAAGACGAGGGTGGGGGAACGGTTGTCGCTGGCAGTAGTGGTGCTATTGGTGTCGACGAGGGTGGCGGGACTGGTGCGTTCGAAGATGTGGCTGCGACTTGCGAAGACAGCGGCTCTGATGACACCGCGGAGGAGGATGCTGGAGGACCGGAAGCTGGCGTATTTTTGGAGCTGGCGGGCGCTTGGCTTGCGGCGGATGTGGGTGGAGAAGGTGGGACGGTCGTGTACCGCGTCACTGTGACTACCGGTGGTAGGGGGAGCGGAGTTGTGGGGAGTCCGGCTGATGAAGACGACTGTGTAGGTACTAAGGTGGAGGATGCTGCTGCGGCATTCGTCTCCGAATTAGACGGTTGGAGAGATGAGGGTGGGTTATTGGCAGCGGTAGTCGAAGGGAAGACGGTGGTAAATTCGGTTTTAGTGACAATGACCAAGCTGGGTTTGGCAGTAAGATTTGAAGATCCAGATACTATAGATGACTGTGCCACGTTTGAGGATTCGGCAATGGTGCTGCTTGCTGCGCCTATTTTGGACGAAATCACCGAGCTTGCAGAAGGTGCTGTTGTTAGTTGCTCGGGAGGATTTACAGCCCCTGTAGAAGATGAGGACTGACTCGCCGGTGATCCAGCACCGGATCCGCTTGGAACTGCAGTAAATGACAGGGTATTTGGTATGCCTTCCAAAAGGGTCCTGCTGGCACCAGTGGTCGAGCTGCTTTCAGACGGACCAAAGCTGAGAAGAGTTGTTGCAGAAGGGAGCTTAGCAATCGTTTGACTTGATGAGGCCCCAAGACTGCTTCCGCTAGGTTGATACGTGAATTGGGGGCCTTGGTAGCTTGTCACACTCAAAGCACTCTCAGTGTGCTTCGCAGAATCAGACCGAGAGCTGGTCGAAGCACTAGAGGCAGTGTCGGATTGCTGACTTGACTTGGCACGCGATGTCACAGGGGCCTCGTTGGTGGATGTTTCGGGCGGAATGGATGATGTAGTCGAAGGCGCCTCTGGAGGTGCTGCAGTAGGTGGGTTTGGGATGAAATATGTGAGGACAACTGTTTGCCCTTCTCTTGTCTGAAGTGGCTGTCCATCCGGGTTCTTGAAAGTTACTGCGGGGATGATGACTGTGGATAAGCTACGTTCTATGGGAGTGATAACAATCTCGGGGGTTTCCGCGTTGACGGGAGCACTCGAAGAGGCTGATATCAATAACGAAGGCGAGGCGGTGAACAAGAGATGAGTGGTAGAAGGGATCTCTGCAGGTAATCCTTGAAGAACTGATGAAACTCTCGACGAAGTGTTTTCAAACCGAGGATAGCTGTGCGATATCAGTATGATATAATAATTCCATGAGCTATCAGCTTACTGTAGATTCCTGTAATGCTGGGGTACCGGCCCTGCTATTACCAAAGTAGAACATGCTGCCAGCAGCCATATCGTATGAAAGATAGCCATTGTCACAATTAAGGCGAACAAAAGATCCCAACCGGATTGAAGAGAACTTTGGAACGACGCACGCGTCAAAACAGAACGAGAGTGACAGACACAAGGAGAGAGGGAGAAACGGGGAAGACAGAAATTATGAGGGAAACGGTTGACGAAACAGTAAAGACACAAAGGAAGGAGACGGACTACAAAGGAAACACACGTTTGTCTCAAACAAACGAAAGGGAAGAACTGTGAGGCTACGAGGACTCGCTGTACGGCACTTATTGCTGCAGGAGGGGATACGTCGCGGTTTTGAAGCTTCCATTAGCCGCTGTTTTACTGGAAATTAGTAGAGAGGCCGGCACTGGTTCAGCATTGATTTTAGGATCTGGATTTAGGATGTGTTCCTGGGGGTTTTTGACGCGTTTTTACATGGGTATTGGTGAGTGGTTGCTGTCTTTCGTGGGCGGATGGAGTTTGTTTCAGGCCTAGCCAATGAGAGGGAAGAGAAATGCCAAGGGGCGATATTTGGCGACGCGCTCGGAAAGCACATTGGTCGACACCGTACCACGAGCCCAGAAATAGATACAGAGCGATGTATCTTCGCGGTGCGTTACGGTGGAGTGGTCATCTAATTTCGCCAAGTGGCACGAGAGAAGCAACATAGTGGAGAGAGGCCAGAGAAAAGTGAGTCTATTAAAGCGCTCGAGGCTGGAAACGGTGGGCTTACACTTCCCAGTTAACACTGCTTCTCATGAGAAGTCGATGAATAGCAACAGAAGTTGGCATCATCAGAGCATGGTATGATAACATGGAAAGATGAAGAGTTTCGGTGAATGATGAGTGATGCTCAACGCCAGTCGACAGCTCGGTGCACGTGCATCGTCCCTGATGTTTCCTGGGCAACCCAAGCGACCACCAAATCAACATGACCGCCCAGGATGGCTGGCTCTTTTGCACTTTCGAACTCGACGTCAGAGTAGGTCCGACATTCTTTCGGTAGACTTAGACATTGATTTTCTCTACCTATAATCCCTCTCCTCCATCCCACCGTTCCTCTCTCCCCCATCGTCCACGATGTCGGTTCGAGTCGTTGCCCGGATACGGCCGTTGCTCAAACACGAGCTCAACAAAGATACCATCGTCACGGCCGAGTCTCTTGAAGGAGAAGATGTAGCTAACCCAACTGTCGTCCGGATACCCAACCCAAGGAACGACGCGGAGTCGTTTTCGTTTCAGTTCAACTCGGTTTACGAGCAGCACGCGACCCAGCAGCAGATCTTCGATAGTGAGGGTGGGTCAGCTACGCTGAATCGTATGTTAGGCCCTGATTGACCTTAATAGTGTCTTCGACTGTCAAGCATCTCTTTAATGGCTTCGATACAACAATATTCGCATATGGTGTAACGGGCACAGGAAAAACTTGGAGCATGAGGGGTGGAAAGTCTTTAGCAGACAGAGGAATCATTCCTCGACTTTTGAGTGCTATTTACAGGCGATGTCGGAAAATCGAGAAAGAAACTGCTGGTGCGACCCAGGTTGAAGTCGCGTTATCGTATTACGAGATATACTGTGATAGGGTTTACGATTTGTTCGAACCACCAGAAAAGCGAACTCTATCCGGGCTACCTATACGAGACAATAATGGGAAGACTGTTGTGGTAGGGTTGACGGAGAAACCCTGCACAACATTAAAGGAGTTCGAACAATTGTACGACCAGGCAAACATTAACAGGTCTACTTCTGCGACAAAGGTATTCTGGCATCGAATCTTCAACTGAGTATATGAGGCTAACCTAAGTTAGCTTAACGCCCACTCTTCTCGATCCCACGCTATCCTTTGCGTCAAGATCACGCAGACTACAGAGACTACAGTTCGTGTGAGCAAAGCATCTGCCATCGATCTGGCAGGATCCGAGGACAATCGTAGAACCGAGAATAACAAGGAGCGGCTAGTGGAGTCAGCAAGTATAAACAAGAGCCTCTTCGTGCTGGCCCAATGCGTCGAAGCCATCAGCAAAAAACAAACTCGAATTCCCTATAGAGAGTCTAAAATGACACGAATTCTGTCCCTTGGACAGAACGACGGGCTAACGTTGATGATACTCAACCTAGCCCCAGTTCGATCATATCACCTAGACACTCTGAGTTCGCTTAACTTTGCAAATCGGACGAAAAAGATCGAAATCTGCGAGGTCGAAAACGAACCTGTGCTTAGGAATGTAGCCAAACCGCTCGCAGCTACCACAAGTATTTCGGGGGCAAACATAACGAGGCAGCCACTTCGCCCTCTGACTACTGCCCATAATGCAAATCTACAGGACCGAGATACGCAGAAAAAGCCAGGAGGAAAACCAGTCAAAGCGTTCTCGGTATACTCCGACGCTCGTACATCTGCTTCTCGCACTTCATCTAATATTCCTTTGCAGAATCAGGGAATCCGAAGAGCTGACACCCACAAACGATCTGCGGATCACAACAGCACCTTCGGCGCGCGCCCTTCAAAGATGAGGCCTAGCGAGCACATTTCCCGATCTCGCTCTGCTGTCCCCTCAGAGCCTGCCATGTCGAAAGAGTTCATCGAAGCTCTCATCGCCCAACGTATAGACGAAAAGCTTGCCGAGAAAGCTCTTCAGGGTACATCCACTCCAGCCCCAGCACTGTCTGCGGAGCTTCAGAAACGACTTGATGATCTTGAACATCGAATCGAGACAAAGGAGGAAGACGAGAAAGCCCAAGGATTGCAATTCCTGCTTATGGCAAAGCAGCATCAAGTCCGTGGGGAGGAGGCCAGTGCCCTGAGGATGTACCAATTGGCTCTTCCGTTCTTCCCCGGAAATGAGAAACTCAAGTCAAAAATGAAGACACTCGAGGATCGGGTTAAGGGGAGAAGAGATATCGAGGTTCCAACGTCGAGTGCAGCATCCTCATTAGATCATCCACTACCGCCATTGAATCGCATAGCCCCAATAAAGCAAGAAAAGAAGAAGAAGCACAAGATTGTCTTCAGGGATGATTCAGAAGATGATGGAGATTTCGCACCTGCGGCAGGGTCCGACCATGAAGACTCTTATGTGTCTGATTCTAGCTTTAAGTTTCGGCCGAAAACTGTTCGCAACCCAAAGAAATTAGCCAAAAAGCTTCCAATTTTCAGAGACTCAGCTGCCACACCCGGGGAACAGACACCTCGAACAAAGCATATCCTAAGGATTATAAATTCGAGAGACGTCAACATGATTAAAGCTTTAAAAGGAGTGGGCGCCAAGAAGGCCGACGCGATAGTGGGAAGCTTGGTAGAGATGGAAGACGAGGAGGTGAGAGATTTAGAGAGCTTAGCCTTGCTGAAAGGTGTTGGGGGAAAGACCGTGGAAAATATGAGGGCAAGTTTGAGTGTAGAAACCAGCTTCTAGGAGATTGCACCCACCTGCGCAGCCCTATCATGCTTGGCGAAAATGTGACAGTGGAAAGGTGTTTGGGATGAACAACAGGGTTGGTCTTCGGTCTTGGGATTTGGCATGCCGCATCTGTTCCTGTATGCATGGCGATGGCGTTTTGGGGTTGCAAGTGCCCTTGCTTCGGCAGTCAATAGATTTTTGCATCCGCTTCCTGTTCCAAGCTAGAGGCGGTGCAATTAAGGTTGTGTTTGATGAGGAAATACCGCCACCTATATCAACCTCACAATCCACTCAAGCCGCTCCTTTTGAAGTGAAGCCACATCTAAACTAAGTAAGTCGCATCGGTCTTTAGAATTCCGTCGCTCGACATTATGGCTATTTGTTGAAAGTAGTATCACACTCATGCATGCAAGGAATATAACTGTCAGACACGTACAGAAAAGATCTCTGTAGCTGTTTGCAGAGAAGAGAGTCGGTAGGTTGAGTTCTTCTCTCTTGAACTCAATCCGAAGATGGCTAAATCGTCTACCTCCGACAGGCGAGATCTATCATCAAATCGACGGCTTGTTCTGCGGGCCGTGGAAAGGTCGTTGGCGCAGCATCGCTGCATGGCTCAATGCAGGGCGATGTGCTTTCACGAGCTTTCGGATGATCTGAGCGACCCCTTCGGTACGGAATCGACCGCATGAGGCAAGGTGATGTAATGTATCTGCCCGTGGCGTAGATCTCAAGTATTATACCCAACCAATGCCCCTCAACACCATGCAGCTATCGCCACCAAAGGCCGGCTCAACCAATGTTGCCACCACGATCCTTCTCCCAATCACAAAAAAGCCAACCTAGCCGGCTGGACCCGGAAGGATACTATGCTTGTCATAACGATGGTTTGTTTCAAGGGGTGTCGTTCCATCAACTGGCGGGCGAATCTGCCTCTGTGGGACTTCTCTGTAATGGTAATGGCCATAGATGTAGGATGCTGACTCGAGGAAAAGATACTGAGTTGGCGTGTCCACATTATTGACAATGTCTTGGCTGGGACGATTACTGGCCTGGAAATAGAACACGACCTCGAACACGCACCTCGACGCCATCAGATGACCACGAATGCCGTCCCAAGGAACGATTCCGCCTGCGTGGGCAATTTTCCGGTGCCTCTGTGGCCCTGTTTCTGATCAGTGGAATGCCAGGAACTGGAACCTTTTTCTGGTGGAAACCAAACTTTGTCAGCCTGGCTCTGATTCATGTGTGAGCTGGAGCTGCGCTTCGCGCATCTTAAGACCTGGATTATCAAAAGGAACTATGAACCAGACCCTCACCGCCTATACAAGTAAATATCAACTTGATCTATCTGTTGCCTCCGACCCACACTCTTGTCACATCCGATCCCGGATCCTCGCCGCATCGTTCACAGCCAAAAGAGGAATTATCAATTCGTGGCCGCTTGAACCGCGGGATGCCTAGTCTTTCGCTTCGGCAAGGTACAAAGGTACATTTTGTCTTCTGTGGATCACGCTCGATTGCACCCTGTCCCCCTTGCAGCCGCGCTCGCGGTAGCCTTCTGCAAGAAACGTCTCCTGGGCCAATGACCAGAAGAAGAGGCGGTCACCCTTGCGGCCTTGTCGGCGGTCCACTCCACGACTGCTTTTTGCTGACGACAATTCCTTGCTGGCCCGCTACTGCTCGTGTTGGTGTGGCAGGAACCCCGCCGAAGGTGTTCAACAAGAGGAAAGGCAGTTGAGCTTCTCACTGCATGTGAAACCGGGCGGTGAAACTTGAGGGTTTTCGTTGTCCCCAGCAGCGAAGCACAGCACGCTTCAGTTGAATATTCTTCCCTGGAGACTCGGGGCGCAACGAGGGTCCTTCGTCTTTTGTCATATCTGGGAGAATACCATCGCTGATATTAATATCCGCGGATACAGACATGGCGGTATTGTTGCCAGCCCCGCCCGCATGAGCATCTCGCTGTTGATGTGGTGACCCCTGCCGCGAAATGGCTTGCAGGGGTTGAGATGGTCGATTGCTGGGACGCGGCCGTGGGCATTTCTCATCAGGCTTTCTCAGCGAGCTCCTCAGGGCTTTCTTACGTGCTCGCGACTGGCGTGCGACGGGCTGGGGCGCTTTCAGCTGCGCATCTGAAGTGAGCAACTGGTGAGCAACTGGCTTGGCTGGCGTTGTCCACACCAGTCGCACGCTTGGTTTTGAGGGCGCCCACACGGACAAAGATCTGCAAGCAAAGTCGGTGCTCACGCTTCGTCGCAAGGCGGATCGGATTCTAACCCCAGCCTTTCGCCAGCCCAGCTCCAGGGCCGCGCGACAAAGGGCACTAGCTTTGCATCCCACCACCTAGCCTTCCACCCCTCGCATACGCTTGCAACCCAACTCGACCTCGACCTCTGCCCCCAACCCTCAGTCTGCATCTCGTCCTGCACTGTGTGGCCGCTCGGCGTTGTTGAATCTGGCTCTGTGCATTCGTGAGAGCCGCACCCTGCCCCAAGTCTGCTCGTGCTTTTGTGCATCTGCAAGCGCAGCCCTCCACCCTCTCAGCGTCTGCCTCAAGTGGCGGGGATCGCCCCTCCGGCGTCTTATCGCACCCTCACTCGTCACTGGTCTGAAGACAAACTCCGAGTATCCGCCTCTATCCTGCATCACCACCACTCTCCCTTCGATGCACCCATCACGTTACGACTAACGACGAGACGACTGCCATTTATTATTCACTCTTCTATTGTCCCCCTCCTTCTGTCTTCCCGAGCGTCAGGTTCGGATGTCGTTGCAAAGCCGCTCTCTATTCGTCATCAGCATTGCTGTTTCAGCCTTCCTGAGACCCTTCCGAGGAGACCTGCACTACACATCTCGTTGTAATTGCACTCTACATAGGTAGCCCGATTCGAGATTTTTGTTAGATTCCCCTTCCAGGTACCGGCCGTCCGGCCCCGCTGAAGATTCTGCGTTGCCGGCTCAGGCCGTCGAAGTGTCGCAAGCCTCGAGTGTCAGCGCTCACATCAGACGTACACGCAACAAGAATAAAGGGACACTGCAGACCGACGAGGCCAAATCGCCATCATAATGTCTGCCTTTCAAGCAGTCAACACTACGCTCACTGTACCGGACCCTCCCCCAGGCCGTCTCGGAGAAGAAACCACACCTACGACACCTCGACCGAATGCGAAGTTCTTTTCCGAGTCAAGGCCGTCAGAAGATCCCCGGGCTGAGGATCCCTCAGCGAAAACCCCAACGCGCAATAGTTTTGGCGGTCTCGCAGCCCAACGGCCCTTGCCATCGTCGCCTTTTACACCTTCGCGCGAGATAAGCAAAACCCCGAGTAGGAATGGCGCATTGAGCAGGGAGAATTCGCACAGGTCGACACAATCAGTGGACTCGCAGGACATAGAAATGGGTGGCGATGATGATGGCCGGGATGGGTCGGACAACGAGAGCGTGAATAGCGATGCGAACAGGCCTTCAAAAAAGAAGAAAGGACAACGCTTCTTCTGCACCGACTTCCCACCTTGCCAGTTAAGTTTCACACGAAGTGAACACTTGGCCAGGCATATTCGGTACGTGTCGAGTAAGATGCGCGATTGAGCTAGGCTAACACAATCCCCTACAGCAAGCATACCGGTGAGCGACCCTTCCAATGCCATTGCTCACGACGATTTTCCCGCCTCGACAACCTTCGCCAGCACGCACAAACCGTCCACGTAAACGAAGATATTCCTGGAGATTCCTTGGCTGCAACAGGTACTAGGTTTCAGAGACAAATCCGAACTGATCGCGTCCGGCCGCCTGGGAGTCGCTCAAGGGCCAACACATTAGGCAGCCAGGGCGGACACAGCCGAGGACATAGTAGGAATCTGTCGGCGTCTAGCATAACATCGACTGCCTCGAGCATCAGTGTTAGCCAACCTCAGGATGTGAGGCGCCGGCCCCCACCACTCGCCATGGCGAATGACGGCTCTGCAAGGGCTCGGCTGTCCCTCAACACCCTTGACAGCTACAACCCCCCGCTGATGGGCAGTCCGGGGCCGCAGATTGTGGAATACAACACTCAGTCGACTGGCGTTACTACGCCCACCTCAGCCACTTTCTCCACCGAGACAGGAAGTCCAGGGCGCTTTGGATCTGGCCTGCAATCACCCATCTCCTCTGCATCAAGACCAGCCACGTGGGGTGCGAGAACTCCTGGACGTCGATTGTCAGTCCCGTCTGCCGGAGGTAACCCGTTTTCTGGCCCTCCTGGGCAATTCCCTCCCCCATACATCACCCCTCTACCGTCCTCGACATCCTCGACATTTTCTGGGCAAAGCAGTCTCTTTGCTAGTCCTACCGCATCGAACTTTTCCGAGTCTAGAAGGGAGTCTAATGCAGATGCCGACTGGAGGCGACGCACCTGGCATCCGGGGTCTTACACCAATCTAGGTCCCCGCCCTGCTACGAGCGGGCTTGGGTACTACCAGACTCCGGACGCCCCCCGCCCGTCGTACACGTCGCAACCTGCCGCAAGTCAAACAACGAGACTTCCTGGTATTGAGAGCTTTGACCATGCGCCTCCTCCATTACCATTGCCCCGTCGTCAACACAGTCCTATGCAAATAGATACACCCACTCGCCCGGCGACGTATCATGCACCAGTCGACACTCCACCGATTCCACAGCGCGAGAAACGGCAGAGTATTTCCTGGGACGCGACACTACAGACAGGTATCAACCGACTCGAGATCGCCAGTCCTAATCCTCCACGAGAGCAGTGGCCTCAGTACCAGGGTAACCAAGGACTGTCCTCTGCGGCCCGGCCCACGACTGCCCCACAGCCGAGCTACTTCGCTCAACAGCGACCCAATAACTCTCCTCAACCAATCCAGGTTCCTCCAAGAAACCCAGCTCGAACCTCCCAGGATCCACCTGTCACTCCCCGGAAGAATAAGCGACACGGTTGGTATAACGGACCCCTGCCTTTGACTCAACAAGGTCCACCGCAGCCTGGGAGGGCTGTCCAACGCACTTCACCCGAAGACTCCAGTAGTAGCGAAGGCGTCCCAACCCCGTCAAATTCTTCTATGACCGAATACCAGCCTGCCATTGTTCACAGCAACGGCTACGTTGAAGCACACCCTCCAGGTGTCCCGGTAGAGGAGCACAAAGCGGGGCCTCCCCCAATTGTGGAAAGACCGTATCCTGTTCAGTATCCCCAGTACCACAACCACAGCTTGTCGAACTCTGGATATCGACCCCTGCGGGAACCTGAAAGAGGGCAGATTACCTTTGGACAACCACTACCCCATTCAGGCGCCAACGACATGAGACGACTCGAGGCGCTCGTGGCAGTCGCTACTGGTGAGCAGCAAGCTGTTGGAAATCGACCTTGATTGCTCCTGAGCGCCGCTTATCTACCTTGACTAAGCCAAGACCATACACGTCGACACATTAGGTATCCCCACCACCTTTACTTCTAAGATCACTAAATTCTTCTTTCGTTCCTGCGTAACGGCATGAATTCACGAAACTATACACCTAACGAATTTCCTTGTTTGATGCTATGCTATACACACTCGGTAACTTGTTATGTCTCCTTTGTCATCTGTAAGACGCTGATGATCGGGAACCCGTCTCCTATTATCGGTGCGATGATACCCATGAGAGAAGTATGGTTATGTCGGACCATTGGTCCCCGAATCAAGCATTTCGTATTGTTATTCCCCACTTTACTGGATTTACACGCGGATCAATCACTCACGCATGCGCATCAGACCTATTTTATTTCTTTTTGAATTCTCAAGTGTGGACTTCCCTGCTAAGGGCTAGGGTCGGGGCTGTGAGTTATCAGGCTGGGGGATATACCAGATCCGTTATAGCGGGCGTTACAGGCTTTAAACCTTTTATCAGAAAGGGGTCTACATTAGCTTCACGATGCTTCATTTCTCAGCCACCGTTTGCTTCGCTTTGGTTCGGTTGACTTTTCCCTTCTCCTTTTCCTTGTTCGCTTTTAATTGGCTTTTGTTTCGTTGACTTCTTCGCATTCTTGGATTTTTTGGACGCCCGCGTCAAAGCAGGAGTGGGGGTTGAGGTATTATAAGGGTTTAATGGGGGTGCGGCTGGGTAGTACGGGTGATACTGGGATATCTATGCGTTGTGTCTATATACCTTTTTCACTGAGACATGACTTCTTTGAATCTTCACTCATATCCACGTATCCTACCATGCCGATCGACATCGCTATTCAGGGTAAACCTGTGACGTCTGCTCCATATTTACAGCAATGCGCTTCATTCGGCTCTTGTCTCTTCGATGATTATGTCACGACACACCACTCGTGATTGTCAACCTAGATTGTAGGTCTGGCTTTACGATGCGAGTAGAGTGGACTTTCTCACGTGCTGCTAGAATAAAGTAAAAGGCCCGGAATATGCTCGTTCTTACCTTGAAAGGGATATATCCCACTCTGCTCGCGATGCTTTGGGCGACATCTGGTCAGGATATTTTCACTATCAAATTAATACTACCAACATATCCCACCCTTTCCTGCCTCTGAGCCCCTAACCGACAATTTTAAATCCTATGTCTATTCTACTTCGAAGTAACACTCCACCACACCACTTCTAACACCTTCACTCCTTCTCTAACCCTCCTAAAATCCCAAAATCCCAAGCCCACCAGACAACACTTTCTAATTCTACTCCCCAAACTTTGGTACACAATCCCTATCCCTCTAAAAGTTCTCAGCCGCGGGGCAGCACAAGCGTGCAAGCATTCGACGTCAAAGTGACACGTATGAACTAGACACACGCACAACACGCATTCTAGGGTAGCTGTTGTGCGCCCCGTGCACGCAACGGGGTTCCTCAAAGGCGACTGCGACCGGAGGACTTTCGGGTGCACGAAGGAGGTTCTGGTCACGGGATTGGGCGGGGATTTTGATGAAAGGTTGCGCACGCTGCGGTTTTCAATCAATACCCGGCAGACAGATACAGGTTCGGACTCACTCACGCTGTATTACCTACGGCAATGTTCTCGATCCAGCTCGGAAAACCGTACATGCAGCTATGCATGCCGCACATCGAGGGGCCATGAATTGTGACTTGCTCACTGCCTCCAACATCCAAGTCTAACACCCGGTCGCAAGATAATGAGGGAGGCAAAAAGCGAAGAAGTGCGTTATCAATTAATTTGGAGGGATTCCAACGCAATGCACGTTGCCAAGACTCTAGACAATGGTACCTGTGCCTCGCTGACTTAACCTGACCTGACCTCACCTCATCTCATCTTCTAGCATTCAGAGCTGTAGCTACATCCACACTCCACTCTGCACGCGTTTTCGGCATTCCGTACCGTAGCAATAAGCGGATACCCGCGAAACCCATGAAACCTGCCGTGTCGTCTAAGCTAGAGAATGAGGTCTTCTTCGTTTATCATTGCACGACCTGCATCAAACATCCAAAAGTTAGCAATCGCATTTTCGCACACGGATTTCAATCCGGCCAAGTCGAAAGAATAAGAGGTATATCTTCAGGACGCAGACATACCTTCTCTCTTAGCATTCCCATCCACTGCTGCAAGCTGACTCCCTGGTCTGCACGATCCTCAACGAGCAATGTCTGCGCCCAGAGCTTCAGACTTGGGTCGCCATCTTCCTTGATGATATACAGCGTGGGGACAACGATGCTACCGACCCCTTTGGCGCGGTGATCTTTGCTCTTCTCGATGACGGCGCGTACCCTTTCATTGAACTCATTGTCCAGGACCGGCATGGTGGTCTTGCCCTGCTTAAGCGCAGTACGATCATCGGTGCCGAAGACATCGAGGAGAAGAGCCGGAACGGCATCCCGGCCTATCCAGAGGAATTGGTTGACGCCATCATCGATGAGGTAGAGACCATATGGGACGATACGCTCAGATGAGAGGTTGGTTACAGGAGGTAGAAGTATTTCACCAGTATGAGGATCGGGTACACCGGCATTATCGGGCATGTCCTTTAGCGAGTTAATAGATGTAAGTTGCGTCTAGACGGAAGGCTTACGTGAAGGCTGTAGAATTTCGGGTAAATGTACTGGATGAGTAATGGAAGTGGAAGGGTGGAAAGAAGGCAAAGTGCTGTTGAACGTAGGTCCGAAGGGATTTGGGCGGATTTGCGAAGCCCCACCTGGATATAGTTAGATTGACATAAGTAGGTTACTCGAGGGTTGAAAAACTCACGTTCTTTATTAGACCTAAGAACATAACCACCAATGGACGAAGATTCGCCGGAAGTTGAAGGCCTCCACCACCTGTTCAAATGTCAGATATTTTGCGTCTTTGCAGATGATAAAGTTGGAACAGGATGAGCATCCTTTGGAACTTACCCATGTTCCCACCAGCCAGCTCTTTCCTATACGTCTGCAAGATTTCAATGATCTTCGCCTGGAGGGCGTCACGAGCAGCGTCAAGCCCGCTTCCCAAAACCCTCTCAACCGCCTTGTGGCTGAAGTAAACAGTGATAGCAGCCGGATCCGCTGATGCATAGATGTTTGCAAGGCTTTCAGTTGTGGGCAAAGCTAGCGTCAAGACGCGGATTCGTCGTTCGCCATTGCACGTGGTGTGTAATACTGCTGCTTGAAGGCACACGTACGGCTTATCGAATCAGCAAATCAGTTGAGTAAGAGTGTCCCCAGATGGGTGGCTTACCTTCGTGATCGTCTCATCGATTGCAACTTCAACCACATAAGCCTGATCTCGAGGAAAGGCTGGGAATGCGCAAAGATCACTAGATCTGTATAGGTGAAGGTGCGGTTAGCGTGGGACTAATGGAAAGGCAAGAAAGGGAGATACGAACCGATTGAAGAAATTACTAGATTCTTCTATTAGCCATGCATGCCTATATTAATCGAATTTAGGATAACTTACCCGTAGAAGGTGCTCATACGTAGCCCGGTGGTAGCCCGGACTCGAAGCACCGCTTCTAATCCAATCTCGGATGACAGGTAGTCGCTGAATTCCCTCGCAAATTTAATGGCATCTTCTGATCTTGCAGCATTCCACCCAGGATAAAAATAAGTCTGTCCGCCAGTGTACCTCGGAAGGTTGCTCAAACTGGCTACGTCTTGGTACTACAGAGAATTAGTATGGTAGAAAGAAAGATGTAAAGGTAGCCAGTGTCGTACCTGTGAAGAGAAGAGGAACATGTCGATCGAGACTTGGTTCTTCGAGCACTCTACAGCAAAACTCTTGTAGAAGCTATTTTGCGTCCCGAGCAACTTGCTCTCGCCACTAGTACCCAGTACTTTCTTGTCCTCTCGCATCTCCAGCTTTCCGTGCCCAACATTGGGAAGAGTTGCGCTAAGCACACAGATTTTCCCTCCAACAGGTGCCACGAGCTTGTGCCCTGCTCGGAGAGCAGATCCCATGGCGGAAGCTGTGATGGGAGTGTCCTGAAACATGGACTGAAGTTTCTCGAGGAATGTCTCCACATTGGCCCGGCATTCCGATAGGTTCACGAGGAGATCCATCGGTGTAGGTAGGAAGGGCTCGTCCAGATCACTAACAACCAACATGCTAGGGTCGTTGTTCTCGCTCCCATCCCGCGGGATAGAGAAATAGTGCAGGCTGGAATCAACAGCCATGAATCCAACTCTTGTTCTCCTGTCTGCATTGGGTATCCTATCCAGGCTCTCCAAAATACATCTGGCGCTCGTCGCTAGGAGCCCGTTCGTAACCGCGGCGTAGCTGACGTCAAAAAGGAAAAGATAAACCAACGGTTGCGGCGGTCGAACCCTGCACACATCTTAGCTATCCGAATCTGGCTGCTCAAAGAACTTGAGGAGGCACATACATGTACTCTTGGGGAGCGACAAATTCGCAGCAGCTGAAATTCAACTCCTCCCGCTGCCAACGATCACGGCTCTTTTGTGCGGCGGCGTCCCAGTCAAACGCTTGAGGGACATCATTGCTGAGATTGCACATGTTGCAGCGCCCTGTTGAATGTGAGCAAAATCCCGAGTAAATGGGTCTTGGCGCACATACATCGATGCCCGTGGTCTAGGAAAGTAACAAAAGGGTTTATGTATGCTCGGCATCGTCGACACCTTGAAATGACCTGGTCTGGTACAACGGGGACCGGGTCTTCCGAGTCGTGTAAAGATGTGTATGGCTGGATAACGAGGGCGAATGGTAGCTTTGACTTCTTCAGCAAAGAATGGGTCGTCGGCACACAGTTCAGGGTTGATCGTATGTATCGAGGATCCGCGTTGGAGTGTGGACTGGGCGTGCAGGAAGTCTGTGAAGGTATTAGACATTGAATCATGCCAATTCGGGAGGGAGCATGCATACATTCGGTGGGAGATGTATGAGAGGTGGAAGCTGGTCCACTTCGGCTGCGTTCAATGGTTGCGAAATTAGGTCTGTGGGGTAGAGCTGGTTGAGATGCGCCGCCGTTGGTTGCTGCATTGGAGGAGCAGCCTGCACAGGTTGGCCTCCAAGACTCATATTTCCAAACTGCTGAGCCATAGCATCTGGGGATTGGGGCATACCCGGGGCCATGCCCGGCGGTATACCAGGCGGTCCAGGCGGGGGAGCTGCATTCACTCCTTGGGCGTTGGCCCCAAACTCATATGCTTGGGTGGCATACCGATCGCGCTTCTTCTTGTGTGCATCCATGGTGGTGTATGGGTGTGTAAGGTGTGTGGAGGTATGGAATCCACCTGCGAGGTTGAGCTTCTCGTATGTGTCTTCTTGGATGCGGCGATTTCCGTAGCTCCAAAACTCAGCGCCAAGCTTCTAGCGGAACGAGGGGCAATGGAGAAGATCTCTTGTCGCCTTGTTTTCGAAAGACATGTCAACACCTTCTTATGTCGAGATGTGAATTACGTGTTAGCTTTCAGCTCCCCTCTAGCTACCGGATCAGCTCAAGGCACCAACAATGTCCGACCACAACCTGTCACGTATGTCAGAGTAGGCCCCGACAGGTCTTGTCGTCAACTTTAGACCTCCCATGGAGCACCTCCACAATCTACCGACAGTGAGGCGTTATCATTGATGGTTTCTGGGCGCTGCTAGACCGGATATCAGATATTAACTACGATCCCATTCACAAGAACTGAACGTCCTAGTTCGCGTAGCCACTGTAAGAATGAAAACAGCCACGTGTTGAGATATTCGGCTACAGAAGGAAATGCGCTCATTAATACATGTAGTCGTGATAAGCATTACACAGATATCAGCGAGCTTTCATCGACCTCGACTGAGGATACCTTTAAATGACTCCCGCATGCTCGATCTCTCTTCTCTCTGCCTCGGTCATGGGGTATGGTGGGCGCACCTCTCCGCCAACATTTGAGCCCAACGAGGCGCCACTAGCAATTCGCCTCTCGCCGCTGCCACTCCTGCTCCTTGACGCCTTCTCCCTGTAGGCTGGATGCTCTTGCAAGGTGGTATCTTGCCCAGCTTCACTTCCATATCCGTTTCCATTTCCAGTCAGTCCGCCTCCAGGCATCGCACCTACACCAAGCGATCCGGCAGAGGAGTGGACGGGCTCAAGATTAGGCTGCCAGTTCCTGAGGTCATCTTCGGCATCATTAAGGACTTGGCGGGTGGCTTCGCTGCCTTCAAAGATGGGATGCGCATCCCCTGGAACGATGGGAGTGTCATCAAGCAGGTTGATGATACGGCGAGCTTGCTTAGCCAGGATAATCTGTTTCTCCGCACGTTCAATCGTGGCGGCGAAGTGGATGTCGTAGGCTTCCTTGAACTTTTGACGGGTCTAGAAACGAATGGTTAGAGGTGCTTTGCGTAACCAACGCAGAGGTAGGCTTACAATGTTGGTAAGTTGCGCTTCTGCAACCAAGTTCTGGGCCTCCGCTCGGACGAGCTCCTGTTCGAGTTGCACAATCTTAGTGCTCTGTGGTTCCTTGTACTTGAGCTTGGCAATCTCATCTGACACCTATGATCTCCTCAGCATCTCCCCATAGAATCCCTCGCGATAAGCTTACCTTCGCTTTATGGTCTCGGCTAGGCTGAACAGAGCTCTCAGTATTCCGGATCTGTTTCAGAACGCCTCTGTAATCTTCCAACGCTTGCGCGAAGAGATCTTCCTGCTCGGCGATTTCCGCCATCAAGACTCCCAGCTTGTCCGAGATCTCCGACACCGCATCGTCGCCGGTAGCCTCTCCCCATTCAGAGAGCTGTTGGGCAATGGCGATGCGTTCGCGTCCTGCCGTCTCGTAGGCACCGATAGCGTGGTTTTCCGTCTTAATGAGTTTGTAGAGTTTCTTTGAGAGTTCAGGCTGCTGCATGCCTCGCAGGGAAGCCATTGTAAAGCGGTGGCGCGGTACCGACTTCTCGGAGCTGCCGCCGGACTCCTTCTTGGATCGTACCGAGAGGGAGCGGTTCCTAGTACGAGTAGGCATGATGGTAAGTGTACGGGCTCGAGAAGGTGTGCGCGATGGAGGACCCGGGTATGCTGGTGGTGGAGGCGGCGGAGGAGGGTTGGTGGGGTATGCGTAAACGGCCATTACACAGCCGGCAGAAGTGAAGCTGATACGGAAATGGAAGGGAAAGGGTATAATGCGATTGCAGGTAAAAGGCAACAAGCGACAAGAGCAAGAAGCAAAAACTGAACTAGCAGAACAACTCGAATATGTGAAAAGGGATCGAAGACCAGCTTACATTCTGAAAGCAAATCAAAGAGAAGTCCCTCGAGATTATATGGCGTTCTGTCCATGGCTATTGTTAGCATTCTGCAATGTCTGTACTCGGAACCACTCATGTTAGCCGTTCGCGAAGCCTCACAATGGGCGGCTCGGTAAATTATTGCCAGTGATTTCCAGACGAGTCGCGTTGTACCGGGAGATGAACGTACGTTGTTTGAAACAGTTGGCGCTGTGATTACTGCGATGCGAAAGACGGGGAATGGTCTTGTTTGGGAATAAGGGACCTTGCAGGTTTGACTGGATGGCATGGAAGTCGCGCAAGCGCCCATGGATTGCCGGTGATGTCATTCGCGAGTGCAGGGAAGGCTCACTTAGCGAGTTCACGTGAGAAGGGACCGTCTAATCGAGAGAAGGATGTGCTACACGTCAACAAATGTGAAGGAACACGACTCGTCATCTGAAGTGGAAGGCTGCATCCCAGCATTCTCTTAACACGCTCCCATACACCTATTATCAACACAATCTAAGGAGCATCTTGGATGGTTCAATCACCCTTGCTTGAACTCCGAATTCGACATATATTCGCTTTCCAAAGTACTTCAATGCAATCGTTCTCGAAAGCACGTCGAAGCATCAACCAAATCTCCAGTAGGAAGTTTCTCTAAGGCTTAATGTGGCAACTGTTCCTTCTTCTTCAAGCCTTATTCGTGCCTCCACCTTCTCGGCTTTGCCACTTTGATCCCTTCCAGATCCTTTCTCGCAGCTTCTATAGTCTTGGGCCAGACGTGAGTCAACCTGTTGTTCCCTGTTATGCTTTCATTTCATAATAACGGATATGCCAACGCCCTCGCCTGCTGTGAGATAGATACAGTGATATGAAAAAGCTGCCCAAAGATCTTCAATGGCCACTCCACAGGCACCTGCACCTAACGCGGTTTGACTATCTTCGGGTTGGCGGGGGAAATGCAAATAGTCTGCCTACTATCCGTATGGGCGATGTCTCGAGGTGGCCCCTCTCGGTAAGATATCCGAAAGCCGGATTGGATTCCAGTATCTTCTACCACAAGTGTCTAAGCATACGAGGAGCTCCAATACCCTTAGAAACAGTTGCGATACCCAAGGAACAATGGTGTACTATCCACCAAGAAGAGCAGAAATTTCGGGAGTACGGGTGTGGGCAAGTCCAAAGTGGCCTACTAGCAGTATTGTAATTCTTGGTTTCCTTGAATAGAACAGGTAGCTAGCTTCGGGTTGCGATCTAGCCGCCAACGCGAAGTTAGCCAAACGCAGCATCCGGGAATTTGCTATCAAGAACTCTCTCTCTCATAGGTTTGCTCCAACGGGTATGGACCCAATTACGGCCAATGTGGATTATTTTATTGAGGACCAGGGTATGACTATACGCCATAGTCAACCTTGAATGCATCCTAGAAAAGAGGAAAAAGAAGGGCGACGATGAAGGCCGGTGTCTTCGACGAGAGCCGGGTGCTGTGTGGTGTTGTGCTACGGCTTGGGGACCTCGCGCTCATAGCATATAGGAAGCTGGATCTTGGGCGATTGACCACGAGGAGCCGTTTTCGAGAAGAGAGTCGATATCGGGAGACGGACAGCGCAAGAAGAAGAACCGATACTCAAATCTGGAATAGAAATCGACCACGGCCCCAATTAGTGGACGAACGGTGGTTAGGAGTTTTGTGCGGTGCCTCATGGTCAGTTCTTCCTATGATTGGGTTGTGCAGGTGAAATTCATTGCCACAGTTATTGACACTTAGAAGGATCAAAGCAAGGAAAATGGAAGGTTTGGACTTGAAAGATCTTGAATTAGGTTCTAAGGTTGAGCATGGACATTTGTTGGACTTGACATTATATAGGATCGTGTCTAACACGCAACTCTAGGCGGATGGTAATAATAGTTTGACCACCTGGAAAATGGTGCTGTTACGGCGAAGTCCTTTAGTTTTTACGCGACTATAGAGATTTTCCTATAAGGAGCTAGCAATACATTCCAGTTCTATCTCGAAATATAAATGTAGCGTTGATGGAACGAGGGAGGGTCGTTAATTTTTGACCTTGGAGGAATAACACATCTAGCCGAGACTTCTTTTGTACTAGCGTTAACACGTGCGCCAATTTTGCATCTTCGCATTACCTCCTGAGTATTTCTACATCTCACCCTACCATCACCCAACCTCATTGCCTTGCATCCTTGGGCCAATCAGTTATAAAATGCTACGAATCAGAACCCCTGCTGCCTCTGCGTAATCCCCTTTTCGAAAAGGGCAAATTTCCCAATTCATCATCATTGCCTCTCGGATTACCTGGAGGATCTTGACGTGGACCTCATGAAGACGCTGCTCAGAGGCGCTTGGCAATCGGAGATTACTCCATTCTGTCTGGCTCAAATCCCAAGGAGCAGTCATCACTCTGGTGCATGCCTTAACCCGGATAGCGCAGCACGCCCATGCTCAAGAGCTATCCACTTTGCCTTGGCACGCTCCACCATCAACGCCGCATAATTAGTAACCCCTCAGCATCTGGGCCACCAACATCTATAATCAGCTATCTTCAACCTCAAGAAATCCACCCCTCGTTCACCGCTTTAAGTCGTGCGGCCACGTAAGTGGGTTTCATCACTATCATTGCCTCCTATGTTCAACGACGGTGGTACTTGCGGACGTCAATTTACACAATAGTCTCTCCTAAGCTGACATGTCTGAGGATGACACTTGCTTTCCATCCGTCTCGCTTCCTTGTTGTTTGTTTGTTAATCCAAGCAATCGGGTCCGTGTGCTACTGTGCGCAGGTGCACCTTGCAGCAAACCACTGGAATCGTTGCCCATCTTAGTCCTCCCTCTTCTAAAAATGTTCTCTAACGTCCTTGTCGCCTCTGAGAGGCTTCCTGCAGCCCTGCCCTTCCAAGTTTTCCAGTCTGACTTGCATTATCCTTATTCAACAATTCCGGGTCGATGGAGACGTAACAGTGTGCAACGCCATGCAATGCTCGCCGTGGGAACCTTAGTGCTGCTCGCCTCAATGCAGTGTTCCGTACCACGCTCGCTGATCAACTGAAGACATCTTGGCATCACCCTCATATCAAATACTCGCCTACGGAGTACTAGCCTCATTCTTCGCAGTGGGGGACCGCGGATTGGCGCTCTACCCTATGATGATGCCTGCTGATCAAACTTACGGTTTTAATTCGATCTAGCATGGTAGTGGGAAGCAGTTAGGGCACAGTCTTCCAGTCTGCTGGGTGCACCCTTCGGAGCAGGCGCGACAACGCCGCTTCACGGTGCTGAGGAATTTTTAATGCAGTGTTCCCGCGCTGTGGATTTTTCTCGCTACACTGCTATCCTTCACTCACTGCGTCACGATGATCACTCTCAGAGCTGTTGCAGCAATTGCTGCGTGGATCAACATTGCCCATGCGATATGCCCTTACATGGAGCACGATGCTCGAGACCTTCCCGCCAACCACCCTCCAGTTCGACGAGATGGATACGGCCCTACAGACGACTTCCTAGCGCAGTACGAGATTGACGACAACGATGTCTACCTGACCAGCGATGTCGGTGGCCCCTTCTCAGACCAGAACAGCCTAAGTGCAGGAGATCGAGGTCCCACTCTCCTTGAGGATTTCATCTTCCGTCAAAAAGTAGCGATGCCTTCTTCATGCCATAGAAGTTATTAACGGAGCTAGATCATGCACTTCGATCACGAGAGAGTGCCGGAGAGAGGTAGGCCAATCTCTGAAGATTTCATCAAGCGTGATCTAACTTTCGCCCTTCAACAATCATTTAATGTTAAGTCTAACTAACCTTTGTGTTAGCGGTCCATGCGAGAGGCGCGGGCGCTCACGGCGTCTTTGTCTCCTATGGTGATTGGTCTAACATTACCGGGGCATCCTTCTTAGGTTCAGAAGGGAAAGAAACTCCTGTCTTCGTGCGATTCTCTACTGTTGCAGGGAGTCGCGGTTCAGCAGACACTGTGCGTGACGTTCACGGCTTTGCAACCAGATTCTATACAGACGAGGGAAATTTTGGCAAGTAGGACCCTCCATGGGGGTATTCTTCACTAACTGTATCAATTAGACATCGTCGGAAACAACATCCCTGTGTTCTTCATCCAAGATGCAATACTGTTCCCGGATCTCATTCATGCTGTCAAGCCAATGCCAGATCGCGAGATTCCTCAAGCCGCTACTGCTCATGACACAGCGTGGGATTTCTTCAGCCAGCAGCCAAGTGCCTTGCACACGCTCTTCTGGGTAAGCTGCAACCAACCCCTCTACCTAGAGGATCCACTAAATTAAACTACAGGCTATGTCTGGTCATGGCACAGTGAGGTCATATCGACACATGGACGGCTGGGGTGTCCACACATTCCGTTTCGTAACCGATGAAGGCAAGACGAAGCTTGTCAAATTTCGACTTCGCACGCTGCAAGGGAAAGCTAGTCTTGTGTGGGAGGAGGCGCAGGTCACATCAGGGAAAAATGCAGACTTCCACCGTCAGGATTTATTCAACAGTATCGAGAAGGGTCTATATCCGGAGTATGAGGTGTGTCATCGTCATGCCGTGCCACTTTGTAGAGATACTAACACGCGTCGTGCAGTTTGAAGTCCAAATAATGGAAGAGGATGACCAGTTGCGTTTCGGATTCGACCTCCTGGACCCAACCAAGATAGTACCAGAGGAGCTCGTCCCTTTCACTCCGCTTGGAAAGCTGACTTTGAATCGGAACCCAAGGAACTATTTTGCAGAGACTGAACAGGTCATGGTAAACTTCAACCATCTCATTGGTTCGCTTCTGTGGCTGACCTGCATACCCAGTACCAACCCGGCCATATCGTAAGAGGGATCGACTTCACCGAAGATCCATTGCTCCAGGGCCGCATCTTTTCTTACCTCGATACCCAAATTAATCGTCATAATGGCCCTAATTTTGAACAGCTTCCAATTAATCAGCCCCGCATGCCATGGCACAACAACAACCGCGACGGAGCTGGTACGTTGACCACGTAGCATGCAACAATCCAACGTAATTTGCTGACGCACCAACAGGCCAAATGTTCATTCCGCTAAACACGGCCGCATACAGTCCCAACACCTTGAACAACGGCTCCCCGCGTCAGGCCAACCAAACGACGGGTAATGGCTTCTTCACAGCACCTAATCGTAGCGGATCAGGCAAGCTTGTGCGCGCAGTGTCATCCACCTTCGCGGATGTTTGGTCACAGCCGAGACTATTCTTCAATTCTCTACTCCCTGCGGAACAGCAGTTCCTCGTCAACGCCATGCGGTTTGAGACCTCTCAACTCAAGAGCTCCGTCGTGAAGACCAATGTGCTTATTCAATTGAACCGCGTCAGTCATGACATTGCCGTCCGTGTGGCGACCGCTCTTGGCCTCGCAGCTCCAGCCGAGGATCCAACGTATTATCATGACAACACAACGAACGGAGTCTCTGTAGCCAAGGATCCTCTCCTCACGGTCGACGGCTTGAAGGTCGGATACCTAACATCTAATTCTATATCAACTGCCAATACCAGCATGGCTTCGCTGAAATCCGCACTTAAGGCTATGAATGTCGATCTTGTCGTTGTTGCAGAGAGTCTCACAGAAGGAATCGATCAGACATACTCCGCAACCGACGCCTCAAACTTCGATGCCATCGTTATCGGTGAAGGCACTGCCTCGCTCTTCGCTCCACCACCTAGTCTTGCCAACATAAACTCGACGACTCTAACATATGGGAATGCGTCAGCAAACGTCCTATCGACACTGTACCCTGCTGGGCGCCCACTCCAGATCCTTGAGAGCGGATACAGGTGGGGTAAGCCTGTTGGTGCCGTAGGCTCGGGCAAGGAGGCCTTCGGTAACGCGGGGATTGAAGCGGGGACGCCGGGTGTTTATGCAGTTGGCGATGCTAGCACCCTTGCGAATAGCCTGGAAGCAGGTCTGAAGACGTTCAAGTTCCTGGACAGGTTTCCGATGGACTCGTGATTTAAGGTTGGGTCTACGATAGTTGTTCTATTGAACAAGTGTAGTGTGGTTGTGATTTTCAACGAGATTTTCAAAGGTTAATTCAGAAGCCCAAAATTGCGCAAAGTATATCGAAACTAGATAACAGGAGGCTTGAAACCTCAATATAACCGTCAGAATTAATAAAAAAACCCGGGATTCTCACAGCGGCTGAATCGAGACATGGAATTGGCTGTATGGTCCCAACAACCTGGTTTGATATGGCCAAGCAACACACTTGAAGCAGGGATATTCAACCTTGCATATAACAAACGACACAGGGAGATCTAAGAAACAAAAGATGTAATTCTAAGGTTCTCAGGCGTCGCTCTTAGACGCGCGATCGAGACAATAACTCACTTAACTCCCAGATTCCTTTCCATCTTCATTCGGCTTCCGTCCACAAACAACATATACCCAAAACCACAGTCTCTGCCCGTCTTCTCTACCTTCAAACTCAGCTTCTAAATTCCGCACCGCAGCCTCGACTTCACCTTCGTCCCATCCCGTCTCCCTGCCTAGTTTGCGGATCGCAGGGACGTACATCAAAGGCGTCTGCTTCCCCACATACTTCCCAAAAGCGGACGCTTCGGGCGTGAGGCCTGGCCATACGCCAGCAGGAGAAATATATCTACGGATGTTGATATCGACCAATCCGGCAGCAGACATGAGCGACGCAAGGGAAGAGCCAGCGTGTGGATTGAGGTGTTTTGCGAGGAGGAGAGCGTTCATTGTTTGGCTCCAAAGTGTCTCACTTTTCAGTCTTTCTGAAGGGTGTATTTCTGCTGTTAATTCTGATAGCGTGAGATTGTGAGATGCGAAGGTTTCGGCCGCGGGAGAGGGGGAGGATGGAAACATGGGAATCCGGTACCAGTGGTAATCTGCCTCTTGCATTTCAATCCATGCACCAGGTTTTGCTAGGGAAATGGCGCGGGAGAGGTAGGTGGGCCAGTCGCTTATTCCGTATATAAGAAGGCGGGAAAAGACGTAGTCGAATGAGGCAGGTTTAAAGCGTGGATCTGGCGGGTCCTGGGATACCAATTCGTCGAAGTCGGCTTGGACGTAGCTCAGGTTTGGTAACCTCGACCGCGTGTATTCTGGAATTGGGGATAAATCCACGCCGTAGACTGTCGTCGAAGGATATGCGGAGGCAATAGTATGGGTGACTGATCCGGTACCGCATCCGATGTCTATTGCTTTGCTGATTTGGTTCGATATGGGAGCGTGCATGATCCGTCCCTCCATCAGCCCGATAAACAGCGAGTGCTGCATTTCTAGTCGCTGGTGTTCTACATTGCTGTTGGGTTGCACTCTGTGAGACTTTGGCGCACAGTCTCAAGGTATGATTCACTTACTCATTTGGTAGGGAATATGCGGCTTCTGTTGTGTGGTACGTTCGGTCCATTTGAATAGCACTTGGTGGGTTTGCTGGTGTAATGGATTCCAACACCTGCATCTTGATGAATGTGCTAGGCGTTGTTCCGACTACGTGGTGTTGGTAAACGGGTCTAAAGTGCTGAGAGACGTAACTATAAAGGTTCTTGAGGGGACTTGGAGGATTGACTCGCGGGCAACTTAACCTGAAGAGGCGAAAGCCCCTTGCCCAGACCACGTGATCTATATTAGAATCGAGGGAATTTTAACGACTGCGCAAACGAGAGCTAGACCCGGTTGAGGTGGCGTAGAATCCCTTCCCTATTGACCAATTGCAAATGTATCGCGTATATGACCGTCTTGGTATGTCCGCTCGGCTACAGGGAATGAATGAAAAAGTATCAAGGTTGCAGAAGTCGGCAAGACTCTTAGAGGGGTCTAACGACGGCAAAGGATAACATCAAGAAGCAATTGTGAGATTGATATTTAACCCCGAAAGTTTAGAATTGAGAAACTGTGATGGTGGGGCTAAATCTCTACGGCTAAGGAAAATATCGAATCCTATATTACAATGTGAGAGAAGTAGCGCGCTCTTGTTGGCCGGGCCTCGAAATATGGCAGAATTAGCCTTCAACTTCGCCTTGGTCGCATGTCTTGTTGACATAATTGTCATCTTGAATACAGGCTGTCAAGGATGGAGGTCATTGTGCTGAAGGCTTTCATATATGTATGTACGTACATACATAGACTTCGTTAAAATCTAAGAGTGCGGTGATTGCTGTAGGGTGCCTTCCCCGTGCTCGATGGAAAGACCAAAAAACACAGGTTAAAATCGAGAAGAGCAAGGATGAAAACATTGAGTCAACTGCCATGTAAGGTACGAGCCGGAACGTTCCAGGTTTCCGTAGGTTTGGTGCAGAGCGACACTAGACGCCACGCTGCATTTATCTAGTGAGGTCATCATGGTTGGCAATTGTGAATGGCCAGAGCAGATACAACGTTGTTCTGGAAATTTGGCGGAAGCGTCAGATGCCATAGTAGATCCGGTCCTGAGCGAGAGTTGCGATCTCGTGTTATTGATAACGAGGCGGCGGCCGCGGACGCCCACACACAGCAATTTCTGCGCTGATTCTCTCAATTTCGACGCCATTTCGACGCCATTTCGGCGCCATTTCGACTGGAAATCTCAGTTGGATGAACATCCAGAGCACACGAAGAGCGATGATGGTGATATGTGAAAATGAAGGTGAGGCTGGAGGGGCAGGTGTTTGGCGCCTTCCGGTGGCTTGTTATCGCGCGCTTGTCCCGTTCGGCGGTCGGCCAGTCCCGACGTCATGACGCGCTTCCGGGGTGAGGGCTTAGTGAGGTCACATCACCCCACCACCAAAATCCCATCCATGACCGCTTCCTTGCGAAAAGCAGGTTATGTCCAAGAAAATCAGCTCATGCTGAAATTCACCCCTCCTATTGCTAGCTTCAGACCGCCAGAACCAGCACCATGAATCAGGAGAGCTTCTCGACCCAATTACCGTTGCACCACCAAGCAAGCAATGGTCTGGAGACTGCAACCTCAGCTCACTCCGGCTTCATTGTGCGTGCTCTTTATAAAGCTGGATCTCCTTCTGTGAATGCCTGCATCTCTTCACTGCATAGCCAATTGGCAGTACCAAGCCAATATAAAGCTTCCTAAGCACTTTCAACCAACTCTTTTCCGCCAGGGTCCGACCCCGCCTGCGTTTACGCATATATAGCGTGCCCCTCAGGCAGGTTTTCTTCATACGCAACCCCCAGCTTCTTCTCACTGCTACCCCACCATGGCTCCAAACGTCGAAAAGACCGCGGCGGAGCTCGAGACGATGAGCATCTCGCCGTTCGGAACCGCCAGGGCCACAATCAACGAGAAGCCGCTCAGTGAAGAAGAAGTTCGCAAGATGAATAACTACTTCCGCGCGACAATGTATCTCTGCTTGGGCATGATCTATCTCAAAGAGAACCCACTTCTCCAAGAACCTCTCAGTCTCAACCATATCAAGCGCCGACTGCTTGGTCATTGGGGCTCTGACGCCGGCCAGAGCTTCACCTGGATTCACATGAACCGCCTTATTAAGAAGTATGACCTTGATGCTATCTTCATTTCGGGCCCAGGTCACGGTGCGCCAGCTGTTCTCTCAAACTCGTACCTTGAGGGTGTCTACTCCGAGGTATATCCGGACAAGAGTGAAGACATTGAGGGAATGAGGCGCTTCTTCAAGCAGTTCTCTTTCCCAGGTGGAATTGGCTCCCACGCTACACCCGAGACACCAGGCAGCTTGCACGAAGGTGGTGAGCTTGGATACTCCATCTCCCACGCTTTCGGTACCGTCTTCGACCACCCAGACCTGATCTCAGTTACAATGGTTGGTGATGGCGAAGCCGAGACTGGCCCCCTGGCTACGAGCTGGCATTCGACCAAGTTTCTCAACCCAATCACAGATGGCGCAGTCCTACCAGTTCTTCATCTCAATGGCTATAAGGTGAGCACTTTAGAGTAAAGCATAGAAGCTCGTTGACGCAACTGTAGATCAATAACCCCACTATCCTAGCTCGAATCAGCCACGAGGAGATCGAGGCTCTCTTCGTAGGATATGGCTGGACACCTTACTTCGTCGAAGGAAGTGACCTGCCAACTATGCATCAGGCAATGGCCAGCACTATGGAGCGTTGCATTACAGAGATTAAGGGATATCAGAAGCAAGCCCGTGAATCTGGCAAGGCTTTCCGACCTCGATGGCCCATGATTGTCCTTCGAACACCGAAGGGTTGGACAGGTAAGCTCAGGGTTCGCAAAGCAGCGCTCGGAAGGGTGTGCTGACAGGCTTTTAGGACCCAGGAAAATCGGCGACCACTTTAATGAGGGTTTCTGGCGCGCACACCAAGTTCCAATTCCCGACGTCGCCTCCAACAAATCCCACTTGAAAATTCTCGAGGACTGGATGCGTAGCTACGAACCTGAGAAGCTGTTCGACAAGTCAGGCGCCCTCATCCCTGAACTCAAGGCTTTGGCTCCATCTGGTGTTAGGAGGATGAGCGCGAATCCAGTCGCCAACGGTGGTATTCTCCGACGCAAGCTACACATGCCCGACTTCCGCACTTATGCCACCGAGGTCAAGAAAAGCGGAGTCACCAATGTGGGCAGCATGGCTCTGTTCGCGACTCTCCTGCGGGATATCGTGAAGAAGAATCCAAACCACTTCCGTGTCTTCGGTCCAGATGAGACAGAGTCCAACAAACTCGGTGCCATCTACGAGGCAGGGAAAAAGGTCTGGCTTGGTGAATATTTCGAGGAGGATGCTGATGGAGGCAATCTCGTTACTGAGGGCCGAGTTATGGAAATGCTGAGCGAGCACACTTGTGAGGTACGTATCGCACATATTTGCTCTAACTCATTGCTAATTTCACTTTCTTAGGGCTGGCTCGAAGGCTATATCCTATCGGGCCGACATGGCTTTCTCAACAGCTACGAACCGTTCATCCATATCATCGACTCCATGGTCAACCAACACTGCAAGTGGCTAGAGAAGTGTCTCGAGGTTGAATGGCGTGTCAAGGTCGCGTCGCTCAACATCCTCCTCACTGCCACAGTCTGGAGACAGGATCATAACGGATTTACCCACCAGGATCCTGGCTTCCTTGACGTCGTAGCGAACAAGAGCCCAGAAGTCGTCCGGATCTACCTTCCGCCAGATGCAAATTGCCTTCTCTCGGTTGCCGATCACTGTCTCCGAAGTGCAAACTATGTTAACGTCATCGTTGCCGACAAGCAAGATCATCTTCAATACCTAGATATGGAGCAAGCGATCGCCCACTGTACCAAGGGTCTTGGTATCTGGGATTGGGCCAGCAACGAGCAGGGCGAAGAACCGGATGTCGTCATGGCATGCTGCGGTGATGTCCCTACCCATGAATCACTGGCTGCCACAGCTCTCCTTCGCCAGCATCTTCCGCAATTGAAGATTCGTTTCGTTAACGTTGTGGACCTCTTCAAGCTGATCCCAGAGAAGGAGCATCCGCATGGTCTCTCCGACCGGGAATGGCGTGCCATCTTCACTGATGATAAGCCCGTCATCTTTAACTTCCACTCATATCCGTGGCTCATCCACCGTTTGACATACAAGCGCAAAGGCCAGCATAATCTCCATGTCCGTGGATACAAGGAGAAGGGCAACATCGACACTCCCTTGGAACTTGCAATCCGCAATGAGACCGATCGATTCAGCTTAGCCATTGATGCCATTGACCGCCTGCCTGTGCTCGGAAACACAGGCGCTGCTGCTCGCGAGGCATTGCTGAATGAACAGATCAAGGCTAGGAATTATGCTTTCCATGAAGGGATTGATCCAGAGGAGTTGAGGGCATGGGTCTGGCCATTTTAGGTCCTATTCCTTCATTCCTTCTCGCCGTTATGAGAAGCCTATGCGATGACTTGACGGCCTGTATCATATTAACGCTCTCCTTCCTTCCCTCTTTCAATTCACAAAGCTTTTGATACAGGCGTTCTGATATGCAGGCCATTTGGAGCTTAGGGGGTTATCTTGTATTCAAAAATTCATAATGGTAATGAAGGGGTTTCGGTCGATAGACGCAACTAGGAATTACATTGTTTTTGGACACTTTATGATGCGCGTATCTCCAACTATCGCTAGATTACTGCTTTGACCTAACTCTCGAAGTCTTTCTAGGTTGGCAGGTTAGCAGGTTGGCGGGTGATCACTCAGCTTCACTACTGAAACTTTCAGTCATGCGTTCCCTTCCATTGCAGCTAGAAAGTGTCGACTTTCCTTCACAGCCACGCTCACTACTTATCTCTGTTTGTTTAATGATGCACGCCTTCATTAGAGTAGATCTTCCGGTCCATCCTGTCTCCCTCAACAATTTAAATCACCTCCTATAGCCATCCTTATGAATTCGCAAGCCCCAGCATATGCTCCTCGCGTTCTAGAGATGATATAATGTGTCTGGAATTGCGTACTTTAGCAGCACCACATTCGGAAGCGGTAACGATGATCGCTGTTTTACGTCAACGGTGTTATCCATGTCATGATAGAGCTTGACCGGCAGCTTGACAGGAAGATTGCAGAACCAAGCAACCACACGTGTTGCTCATAATCCAATTACAAGAAGACCATATTTCGTCACCTTGCTCATTCCAGACTTTGTGGCTTTTCCTTCCCCCGCTGCATGGCATTTTGTCGGCATTTCTGCTGGAAATGAGGCGTTCTCCGTCATAGCAGTTGCAACAATCGTGCTTCTCAGGTTTCGAAGAAATTCTCGGCAGTTTGTGGTGTGGGAAGAAGGCCTAGTGATAGTTTGGGAAGGACGCTAGGTAGAGAGTTTACGAGGATTATTAGGCAGGAAAAATGTAGGCCATCGCACATGTGTCCCTTTTTCTCATCTCCCCTCCTCTTTGCCCTATACTCTTGAGTTGCAAGGGTACCCTCTAGTTATTAGTTTCCGAGCAATGTCACCCAAATCTGGTCTAAGCAATGGTCTGGAAGCTGTTCAAGCATCACCGTCCCTCTCTTCTGCGGCTCCTGCAGACTTAGATGACACTTACGAGGCATACAGGAGGATCCAAGGCGTAGAGGTCAACTAAGAGGAAGCAAAAAAGGTTCTGAGGAAGCTAGAAAAGCGGATCGTCCCTGTTCTCTCCTTCACGTACCTCTTGCAGTATTTGAACAAGAATGGGATTAATTATGCTAGCGTGTATGGACGGCAGAAGGGCACCCATCTGCATTGACAATATTACTCTTGGCTAGATATTATATCCGAATAGAAGTTTCGATTAGAAGCTGATGGTGTTTTCTGGTTTCTATCTTCTACTTTGGATACCTTGCTGGGCAGTATCCTTCAGGCTAACTACTACAACGCCTCCCGACCGCCAAGTTTCTTGGGGCCGCAGCTCTTGGTGAGCTCAACTACGATCTACTTCTGGATATGACTGAGTTGTATAGGATGGGGAATCATTCTGATGACGACTCCTGCCTGCAAGAGTTTCGCTGGTATCGCTACCAATCGATTCCTTCTAGGCCTGCTCGAGGCAACGGCGAACCCGGGATTCGTCTTAATAATGAGCATCTAGTACAGCTCCGTCGAACAGCCGCTACGACTTGAAAGTTATTATTGCACAAACGGCATCGCAACCATGTTCGGAGGTCTCATCGGCTACGCTGTCGGACACATCACCACTGGTCTCCCAAAGTGGATGTATGTCTTTCTCATTTTCGGGTCATGCAGTATGGCAATGGGCATTGCCACGTTGCTCTTTCTTCCAGAGCTACCACTGACAGCTAACTTTCTGACCGAACACGAACTTGCGATTGCGGTGAATCGGGTTCCGACGAATCGACAGGGAGTAAAAAATCGGCATCTTAAGAAGTATCAAGCATGGCAGACTGTGACAGATCCGAAGACTTATATTCGTTTGTTATGGCTGTTGGGGCACAAGGTCCCAACTCGGCGTTGACTAGTGTAAGTATTTTAAATAGACATATGCCTTACTAGACCAAGAGCATGTTAATTGTCCTAGTTCACTTCCATCATCGTAGGCTCATTTGGTTTCGATACCCTAGGTACACAATACCTACAGATTCCTGGGGAGCCGTGCAATTCCTCTCGCTCATTGCCGGAGGCTTCGTCTGTATCCACTAGCCAAACTCTCGCTGTATCACTATGATAACTGCCAACACCATTTGTATCCTTGGCGCAGGGATGCTCGTTGGCCTCCCAAGCTCCAACAAATGGGGAAGATTGGGTTGGGTTCAGCATGTCTCTGACGATTGTCAGCTCGAATGTCGTGGGCTATACAAAGAAACCGTTGACAGGCGCAGCACTTTTCACGGGCTACTACGTGGGGAATATAATCGGACCCCAGATGTTTAAAAGCAGGGGGGCGCCAGGATACAAGTCTGCTTATGTTGCGCATGTCCCCCATCCGTCCGAATGTAAACGTCGACGCTAAGTCAGTCCTCAGTATGCTTATCGATTACTGTATCAAGCTTGCCATGGTTATTGTACTGTACAACTACATGTACTCGGTGAACAAGAAGCGTCATAGAGAGTCCGCGTCTGGAGTGCTTTTGACGGAGGGGCAAGAAAAGGAAGTAGTAGAGTTAGGAATGCATGACGTTACGGAGATTGACAATAAAGGCTTCAGGTACATACTCTAATGTGTCCTTCTATAGTTATTAGGGAAAGGAGAGGAGTTCTTAGGATGGAAATTCTTATGATCTTTGCTATTAAGGGATCCAGAGATTCTTAGAATAACACAAACAGATTAAATTTCAGTACGAGAGGTCTTCGTGCCTCTATCAGAGACTTTCTTAATCGGCATGCTGATGTTCTGGGTCTGCGTACGTATCCGCGGCGACCATAAAAGCATTTGTTTTCACAACATTCTCTGGAGCCACTTGGCAGCGTAGGTGGAGACACATACTGCCCTCCTTCAACAGAGCCTCGTTATTTGTGCATAGCTTTCAGGCGTCGAAACCTAAAGATTCCTTGACATGCCCTACAGTATCCCCGCATTGACTACTTTAGCTTTGTAACATCAGGAAGCATTTACAAGGACACCTGCCTACAAGGGAAACAAGTTGTTGGGGTCTATTTAAGCTTCAAGGGTGGGAACCTTTGACTTTGTCAGGTGGTGGTACGGGTGACACGGCCAGCTGCAGACTCGGGCAGGGTTGCCGATGGCCGCCTTGAAACATGTTTCGATGGACCCGACTTCAGCTTCACCTCCATTCACGACCTTTCAATTCAACGTGCTTCATCGCCCTCACCCCTTGTTAGAGCCTCTATTTATCATATACAGCGCATGCTGCACGAGGTCATCATCGCACGAATATCCTCGCGCATGCAGATCGCAGCGGACGTCGAGAGGATGACGCTCGCTTTTTGTCCTTCGCCTTTCACGCGACCCTTAATATCGGGCTGGACCGTGCATAGGAGGAAGGATCGGGCCAGCTACCCACTTTGCATCGACGACTGTTCAAGGTACCTTTAGACTTCCTCAAGCATCGCGTTAGGTTTGTTGTGGAGGAACCAAGCCGTTGCCTTGCTCATGCCTCGTCTTTTCCCTTTCCTTTAGTCTGTATGACAACCCATTCAAATCTCTTCCGCTGATTCAGCTGCCAATGTCCGTTTCAATAGGCCCACGGAGTGGACGAGTCGCCCTGAACTTCGAAACATGAAACCCACACTCGTATTCTCCGGTACTTGTTGTTTCTCCGTTTTCTTTTTTGGACTGTAGTGTTCTGGTTCGTCATGGGGCGGGAACTATTATGAGCTTATTTGAGAAGGCGTGCTCCGTTTCCACCCACTCCTACGAGGGCTCAACCATGCTCGCTACACTTTTCAGCCAGAGCTGTCATTTCCGGACTCTGTAACCCCTCCCACAGGTCCGGACCCAGAACCTACGCCAAATGCTGCTGGTCCGAAGTCGCTAAAGATAACTTCTGATTAAGCATATTTCAGTCACTGTGTGTGGCTCACGCTGTTATGGCCTATTCAAATCAATGCCGGGGCAGTCATACCATTCCGCTGCGCCTCTTCTCAAGTCTCAGCATTCAATAGGGAGGGAAGCCTTGCAAGGGTTGTATGGGAGGGTAGTCCGCGGTCAGACGCAGGTTTCTATAAGACTGATGGCGGCGGCCACAGACTATCACTTCACGATGCCCATCGTGACCTGACCTCCTGCTTTGATAGCTTGACACTCCTTTTCTTTCTCTTCAATCATTTGCATCACCCTTTGGTTCTATATCACACTCTTTGGCGGCATTTGCACATTTAACTTGCTCATCACTCTCGGGCCTGGCTCTGCTCTACACCCTTCTTTCTTGTATTTATTCTCACTAGTTACTACACACTCACTACATTTGCTTTGCCAACTCTTTACTCCGACAACTCTCCATCAGAAGTTATCCAATCAAGATGAAGCTCTCAGTCCTTTCCCTCCTAGCCATTACCACGGCCGTGAGTGCCTGGCTCCCGCACGAGCGAAACCTCTTCGGCGAGCAACCTAACTCTGTAGCTTCCTACCTCCCCGCGGGCAGAGGCCGTGCTGTTAAACGCTTCACTTCCGGCTACAACAAGATCCGCGGCGTCAATCTCGGTTCCCTCTTCATCATCGAGCCCTGGATGGCAAGCCAAGAGTGGGATTCAATGGGTTGCGGCGGGACAAAGTCTGAATTTGATTGTATGATCAAGCTTGGACAGGACGCTGGGGACGCAGCCTTCCAGAAACACTGGGGTAGCTATATTGGGGAGCAGGACCTCGATACAATAAAAGCATATGGATTGAACACGATCCGTGTTCCAGTCGGATACTGGATGGTTGAGGACACCGTCTGGCGCGACAGCGAGCATTTCCCTAAAGGCGGACTTGCATACCTCGACCAGCTCGTTGGCTGGGCTGCGGACAGGAACATCTACGTTATCCTAGATCTTCATGGCGCACCTGCTGCGCAAGAGCCTAACCAGCCGTTCACAGGCCAGGTAGTCATACGTCTCACCTTAACCTCTGTTCATCTTGGTTTACACATTCTAACAAATTACAGTACGCCCCTACTGCAGGTTTCTTCGTTTCGTGGCAATATGACCGTGCCTACAAGTTCCTCCAAGCAATGACACAACGCATCCACACAAATTCCGCTTATCGTACTACTGGCATGCTCGAAGTTCTCAACGAACCTGAGCGTAATCACCCCGATCTGATCACCAGCTACTACGCCACGGCCTACGCCAAAATCCGGGAGACCGAGTCACAACTCAACGTCGCACAAGGTCAGCAACTCACGATCCAGTTCATGGACAAGGGTTGGGGCGCTGGTAATCCGGTCGATGTCATAGGTTCTAAGCCTAGCGTTGCATACGACGACCACCGGTACCTAAAATGGGACACTTCTATCGAGCACACTAAGGCCTCGTATATCAAAACCTCCTGCAGCGATACTTTCGGTGACGGCGGTAACACGCCTTTGATTGTCGGGGAGTGGAGTCTTTCCGTCAAAGACGATCTTGAGCGGACTCCCGACTTCGATCCAAGTGTACAGAGCAACAAGGCTTTCTATACGCAGTGGTGGGCGGCCCAAGTCTCGGCATATGAAAAGCAGCTCGGGTGGGTGTTTTGGAGCTGGAAGACGCAGTTAGGCGACGATTGGAGGTGGAGTTATAAGCAGGCGGTGGAGGCGGGTATAGTTCCTAAGGATCCGAATCAGGCTGCGCAGTTAGCGAAGTGTTAGATGGCTGGCGATGAATGGAGAATCATTTCATTTGGCGATTGAGGGTGGATGATGGCGTGATAGTTTGGCTGTGGGAGGCATGAGGTTTGGATGATAACTTCGATTCTTCTGTGTCATGGTTTTATGTTACTCTCATAAAAAGGGGTTTGAACATTAATGCCCTTGTTAGAAGTAAATATAAGGCACATCAACTACTCAACGAAAACCTCCAGGAACACTCATCTCTCGTTTACCCGGGTCTGATTACCTATTAGCTAAATCTACTTAACCGCCATACTATCCTCTTCTCGCAAGATGTCCTTGCATCCCACATCGTGGTCATGCACCCCTCTCACTGACAGCCCTCCATTTACCTCAAATCAGCTGCAACAAAAAGGAACTGCTGATTTTCTCCCGCGGACCCTATTCCGCATCTACCAAGTCGAATTACTCGAATCCCCTCTTCTTGGCCAACTATAGGTTGCGAGAATTCGTGGAGTGAAATACGGGGATATTATAGGTTCTTAGGCCTGGAATTGACCTGCGAGTTGGAAACCATACGTATCCGAGAGATAACACTGGAAGTCTCGTGAAAGTTGGGAACCTGCACAGGAGCAAGTTTTGAGGAATTTGGAGTGCTTGTGAAGGATATATAAAGCTGTTTGGCCAAGCCCAAATGTATACGTATATGTCCCTTTCTTCTCAGCCGGGTAGGAGGCTCCTACAAAAAGGTGGGTGGGTCTCGGGTCACCAAGACCTAACCAGGCATTGATTTAACACTCATAGCGGTCTACCTTACCCAACCCTTCGTCTCCTTCCCCTACATCCACTACCTCTCAACACCATCTACCAATATGTCCACCATGAAAGCCGTCGTCATGCACGACATGCCGGCGGTCCACCATCCGTCCTCAAAATTAAAATGCACCCCATTCCTCTGTCGCCAAAGAAAGCCAACTGCCCGCCCGTACCCAAGCTTCAGGACTAAATCGATCCGAACTCTTTACCAACCAAGGCCACTCCTCGAATATCCAATTTCCACGCACCCTAGGAATCGATGATTGTGGGACTGTCGCTTCCACACCGGGGAGTATGCAGTTTAAAGAAGGCGATGTCGTGGCTACGGCTATGGGAGGTATGAGGAGGTAATTTGATGGTGGATACGCGGAGTATACTGTTGTTCCTGCCACATAGGCCCAGAAACTGGATGTGCGAGCTGAAGACGTGGGAAAGTGGGCTGGTCGGGGGATGTTGGGCGCGGCACACTGGATGCTGCAAACGGCTTACCGGGGGGGGGGGGGGGCTTCGTGCGGAGTTTTAGAATAAAAAAATAAAAAAAGAGGGAAAGTTGTTAGTGACGGATGGAACGATGAGTGCAGGGCTTTTAGTGACTGCTATAACGAAGATTACGGGGGTGGGTGTTATAGGGACGACGAGGAGCGATGGAGGAGCGGGTAGGTTGCGGGATTATGGGGCTGATGGGGTGGTGGTTCAGTGCTTCCAACAAGGTGTAGTACTGTACTATTGGGCGATTTTGAGGCCTGTAAGTTACGGGTGAGATGTTGAGTACGTTCGTACAGCAGAGAGGAGGAGGGGTAGGTGTAGGTATTGTAACTGTTACAGCCCACGTAATCTGTATAAGTAGTACAATTTAATTTAAGTAACTGCATTATACTCTAGTTAAAACAGCAGCTAATATTATAGGTCTCTAGGGACGCAGGATTAAAGTCTAAATAGCTATTAGATAACTAATTCTATCTAGTAACATAAGAAGAGAGGTCTAAAAGCTTACTACTTACTACCTTATTCTATAACTACTTAGTTCTTCAAAAGTTAAATAGCCTTAATTGTTACACTTTTTTTTTAGTAAGCTTTAATTAACGTATTTCACAAGCGAGCAGTCTAACTGTTAAGATGAAGGTGTACAATACACATAAAGACAAGCTGAACTGCTCTTATCCAACGTAGTGTGAGAGCACTGTGAAGCAGGAAGTATGAAGCGCAGAAGGGGGTACAGGATAGTATTGATAGACGAATCCTTGAGGAGACTCAGGGGTTCGTGAGAGGATATATATATATGTGCTGGGGCACGTGACGGGACGTCATGTGCCCAAGGCCGGGCCGAGGGCTCTCCGGGGAGAGTCCGAGGCATGTCCAAGTTAACCGTGACACGTAGTTTATTCAGACCTTGAATAGTTAGGATCTAGGTAAAAGACTTAGACAAATTGCTGCCCTCTAAGGCAGAGATTTGTTACTGCTTATATACATGCTGTAAGGACGGGGCTCTGTACCACTGCGCTAATACAACTAAAAAGGTGCGAATAATCAACTAACAGTTGATCTGCGTACAGAATAGTATATATACTTGTCGCGCGTAAAGACCCTAGTACAAGCCGTTTCCAGCCTTACAGTGCACTATCACCCTTTGTAAGGACTAGCGTAACAACACTACTTAGACATGTTAAAGGAATATTAGAAATAGCTTACACTCTAAGCTTTTAAATAAAACACAACACTCTCTAAGCAACACGCTATAGCTATGTACAAGGTCTCTTAAAAGATAATAAATAACTAACACACTAGACAACCTTTACAGGCTAATTCTACAGCTAACTTATAAAAGCTAGATAATAATAAAAAGTAGGTAATTACTAAGCATATACTTAAGCTAGATGCAGAAGGATTTTCTTTTTAGCTAGTAGCTATAGCTAATATAGCTAATTCTTTGCGTGCTAAGCATAATCTAGGCTATGTTAGCATAAACTAGCCTAGTATGTTTATTAAGCGTTATCTAGAGCTTATAAATTATTCTATCTTAGGTTGCCTAACAAGCTAATATCTAAAGATTCCTTGTGTCTACTATAACCCTACCCTAGCCCTTACTGTACCTCTATTCCCCTAAGTATTTAGTTACACCTCTCCTTGTAACAAGGTAGGCGTAATGAGGCAGGCAGGGCGCCTGCCTTATTACACTCTCTTGTAGCTAGCTTAGTAGTTTTCTAATATTCTCTTGTACAAAGCCTATAGATGTTAATAGAATTCTTAGGCTTCTAAGTCCCCACACACTCTTATATGTCTCTAAGTAGATTCACACTGCATTTAAATCTATTGTCTTGCCTGTGCTATTATAATAACTTTATAACTATATAATATATTATTATTAAAATTTAAAGCCTATCTAAAATAAGTGTTACAATCAGCATGCTCAAGCTACAAGCAAGAGGTGGTGTAACCTAACTAGATTAAACTAAGGAGCAGAGGAGCTGCTCTGCGAGTTTAAATATACATGTGTGCCCCCTGCCAAGGCGCTACTCGTTGCGCAAGAGAGGGAGCTGAAGCCGCAGAGCATGTGACGCGGTACGCGCCGTCACACTACTAGTTATTAAGTTCTAGTTAAGAAGGTAATACTGTTTATCTAAAATTAAGGTATAAATAAGTTAAAATTTTACATACATTTAAACTTTTCTTTACTAATAATAGGTAAAATTTAGTAAAACATATGCTATTTTATAGCTACACTTTATTTCTATATTATATTAAATTCTAAGCCTATTTAGACATATAGTAGTAAAGATATTTTAAATCTAATTCTACTATTATGCTTTTAAAATAGGCTAATTTATAGAGAAAATTACAAAAGTCTTTTAGACAGCTAATAAGAGAAACGCTAGCTACAGAGGTTAGAGACTGCTAGCCCCTAGGCTATACTCTGTTTGGAGTAGCACTATGCATGGTGGTTTGTACATCCTCTCGTCACACCGGCTGAGCTAGCTGAGATAAGAAAGGCTTGAGGACTTGCGGTGGGCTAACCCAAAATAGCCTAGCTGAACTGAGAAATCTCATCTCGGCAATCCAACCACACCCCATCTGTCTTCCCTCCGTGCATCTTCCACCTCCAGAACGATGCTCGAGATCGCCTGTTTTAATGCCTCATCAGCAGTGGCTGCCGCGAAAGCAGGTGCTGATCGAATAGAACTCTGCGTAGACTATACTGCTGGTGGGACAACACCGACGCAGGACTCTCTTCGCGAGACTCGGGTAAAGATAAACATACCCGTCAATGTCATGATCCGTCCACGGTCAGGCAACTTTATCTACTCGGAGGAGGAATTCAAACAGATGAGTTTAGAGATCCAAATGCTCAAGCCAGCTGCAAGTGGCTTTGTTTTCGGAATTCTGGATGACCAGAACCATGTCGACTTGGAGAGAAACCGAGCATTAGTTGGATTAGCAGCACCTCTTCCCTGTACATTCCACCGAGCATTCGATTTGGTGCCGGATTTCCACGAAGCAACGGAGAACATCATTACATGCGGTTTCAAGTCCATACTTACGAGTGGAGGAATGGCGGACGCGGTTTCCGGAGCCGGTGTCGTTGGTGAGCTTTGGAAGAATTTCGGAGATAGGATCGACTTTATACTTGGCGGTGGCGTTCGTTCCACGAATGTTGAATCTCTGAGACAGACGAAGATCAACTGGTATCATTCAGCAGCTATTACAAAACCAGGCGAAGAAGTCGACGAGGAGGAGGTGGTGCAGCTTCAGACCGCCCTCAAACGGAAATGAGGCCTTCACTGAAAATCCCGTCACCCTGAAGAATACACTGGTCTATTGCTGCGATATCATCCGCGTATTTACTATCATCAAACATTACAGAACGCTGTCATCCCAGGAGACAGTTCAAATCCAACCTCGAAGGGTATCATCCTCGCAAGCAACATATCAGAACCAAGAACCCCACCAGTACAAGTAAAACTAATATATACAAAATAATAATGTACTGAGAAAGGAATCTGGCAACAACAGATGATTGCTTGAAAACTTAGGTCGCCAGACGACAAAATATGCGAGATTAAGGTATTTTCAACACATCCAACGGAGAGCACCAATTACAAGAATATACCCGTGGATTCTTACAAGGCGTAGATGGCGTACATTAGCGCCGTGAAAATCGACATACCGAATGACATATTCGAATCCACGATGATTTGTCCAGCAGCGCCCTTGCTCGACGACGCCGCAGCCATAACACTTGTCATTGTGCTTGTAACAGGGGCGATTGTGGTGGGGGTTGTAATAGTCTTCGGCGGTATCGTTGTTACAGCAGTAGTCCTTCCAGACACTGTATCGAAAATCGTCGTCCCGGACAAAGTTGTCGGAGCCGTGATTATACTTCCAGGGATCGTTGTCGTAATGACTGTCGTGACAAGAGATCCGAGTTCAGTTCTTGGGATCGCGCTTCCTACGCCGGTGCCTGTAAATTGTGGGGGAATCGACAATATCGCTGTGTTTGGCTTCGCTGCAGGATCATCCGAGTAAATGTTGCCAGATTCGCTGCCCTTCGTATAAGCGCCGGTTAACCAGTTCAATGAGAAGGAGTTCCCCTGGCTATAATCTCCAGTTGTCAGGGATCCAGACGACCCATCTGCAAAGAACACATTCGTCGTGAATTTGTCATAGCACATGGGAATATTGAGCCCCTGTACATTCAGGCAATCGGTCGTGGGTTGACAGCAAAGGCTTGTTGCGCGCTTACGGCCTGGGGACTCGGACTCGCGCTTCGCGAAATGGATGCCCTTTACCGAGTTCAAAAGGTCCACGTACATTGACTTCATATCTGAGCCAAGAGTCGGGGGATTCGTTCCAGTGGCGCCGGAAGGATTGCATGGCTGACATGCGGAATCGGCGCGTGCGACGACATCCAGAGGACTCGTGTAGGCGGTAGCAAGGAAAGCAAGCGAGAGTACTTTTAAAGACATGGTAATGATTGAATGGCAAAAAACGAGTGTCGAGGAAACAGCGGACTTGTTGGAACTGGACAGATTTTGTATCCGAACTTTGTCAGGCAAATGAAACCAGTAACGGCACGGTGCAACCGATGGTGGCTTTGATCGCAAATTTAGTCCAGGGAGGTAGGTGGGAAGCCTTGCGAAGCGGCACGAGTGACACAAGATCGAGGCGTGGGCAGTGGCGTTTAATCGAAAGACGGAGAGATCTCACTTGATTCTGAAGATGGCATGGGGAGGGTGATAAGGAGAATGAGAAATAACATATGAGATGTATGGGCGCAATCGCAAGGAAATATTTTACTACCCATGGACCGATGCTTGAACAGGGGAAACGGCTAGAAATGAGGCATCACGACACCACTCCTCCAAGATCGCTCCCTTCTCATCCCAGAAGTCCGGTTGTCGCAGGTGATCAACCAATGGTGTTGGACAACCAAGCTTTCTCTCGAAGCAAGTCCATCAAACCGTTACTAACGCCTAAGTTTCTCCGCACCATGTCGGTACAAGGGGGTCCTTGTCATCTTTCACAACAGCCTCTTCTGACTGGCCACATGAACGATTCTCTGCAGGGGATTCCCCCCTTGTCAAAATTCGACACCCTTTTGCAATCTCAAATTCCACCAACTCCGCCTGAATGCGCAAACTAGAACATTTGCCGCACACCAGTGGCGCTTTTAGATCAAACACATGGAATTCAAGCGCCACATGGCTCTTCCTCATGCGATGAAGGCGCCAGAAGCAAATCCTTCGAAGTTCGAATTTTCATGGGTCATTTCGGAATCAACTTGCCGGGCTAGCTGCTGAAGCGCCAGGTGCCCTGCATCACGCGCCGCAGGCCACACACTCCAACACCATCAGTTCTCTTATTTCAAGTCAGCAATGAGGGCATGGCCTACATTAAATCAAAGCTGAGGAGGCACAGTTGAATGCCCTAATTCTAAGCCATTTCCTGGCGCATCTATTGCAAAGCTCCCCCGACTCAGCTAAGGCCTAGCTCCGCCTCTTGCCCGCTGAACCACTGTATCCATGATGGTTCGACCATTTACTCCCTTACCGTGATCGCTCCAAGGCACGAGGTTCCTTCTGACTGGAGACCCGCGTCTCGGTGACATGATAGCCCAGCTCAAGCCCTACCTTATCTCAGCTCCCAACATTGCGTCCAGCCCTTAGCTGAAATCTTGGATACCTATCTCCAAGGCATAGGTTCTGGCGCAGCATCTTAGTAACTGTCGTATTGCTACGTCATCTTTTTAAGGACGGCCGACACCGGGAGCATTTCCATGTCCTAGAGCCTGACTCAATAGTCGCGGGCATCAGCACATCCAGCAATTCACTTGGTCGGGCGTCATCTCATGTCATATCCATTAGCGATACTGCTTTCAGAAAACTTTTCCACAAAGGAAGAAAGTTGCTAATATAGCCGGCCTTAAGTGCTTGATTTGGCGGGATTTGTCTTGAAAGGAAGGTAATGTTTCAGTCGGGGTGCAGGCACGTGCCTATATTTAGAGCATTCGTCGCGGCGAGTTCGACAGCCTCGGAAACGTTCGGGGGGCCTCCATGTCGCACCTCGCCACAATGCACACAGGAGTCTGTTTCTGACTGTTCTAAACATTTAAGAGAATGCCTCATGTCCCGATTTCACGGACCCTTCACTCTTCCTGTACCAGCTCCAACAAGTCATGCTTGTTGTTTGTTGAGAAGTATCATTATATAATCTGGAATCTCATTCACGTGAATCGAGAATGGAGAACAGGTAAAATCTGCGTGCACTTAGCGCTCAACTTCCAATTCCCACAATTCAGAAGCTATCAAAGATGTTTCAGAAGTATTTCAATTAGACATCAACCCAGATCGGGGAAGACTAAAAGACCGGACCTAGGAGGCCACCTCGACTCCCTTATTGCCTGCAAGGTTCGCCTTCTTGTCTAGCCAGGGGAGGTCTTCAATCATTTGCTAGGCTTTTCCTATCAAGATCCAACAATTCAATGCCATCCACCAAACCTTCGTCTTTTCTCCAAGTGCCGAATTGGCCATCCTGGAACATTAGCTCTTCCGCTACACTAACCGGCCAGAGCGCTGCAGCACCAAGCAAACAGAATAACGTTGCCAAGAATTGCCACATCCAGACGATGACCCAGCCTCCTGGAGCCACAAACTTTACGAACTGATCTACTTGGTACAGGTCGTTTTGGCTATGGATGTAATATAGTCCATTCCCTTTGTTATGGTTCAGTTGGAGGACTGTGACAAGAGACACAGGAGCGCGGTAGAATGGGATAAACCAGATGCGGAAAACTTGGGATATGTTGACGTAGAGCAGGAGATTGGGTTCGTCAAAGGCTGTTGCTCCCGTCAGCATGCATGTCTAAGCCTCCCGTTCAACCTCACAGATTGGTAGCGAATGATTAAATGACACCTACCAACCGAATGGACAGCGAGATCAATCCTTGGGCTCATGATCTTATACCATCGATAGATTGCCTCGACCAAGATCCTTGAGTTTTCCCAGCTCCCAGTCCGGCAGAATGGATGTGTAAACGACGCATTAGGTATAAAATAGGTCTGTATGGCCTCTCGCTGCTCGGATGGGGGGGATTGTGTGAGGAGGTGGATGACACCTAGAATTTCTTTGACTACACGAGTTCAGCATCCGGATTCCAAAAGAGGGAATTTGGGAGATTCGAACCTGGATTCTCCATCATAGAAGATCTGAGCCCCGGGTTTCGAGGAGCGTCTACTTCAACGAGGGTCTTCCGGGGAAGGATTGTTGTCGTATGAGCGGGCTTCGTCGAAGCAATATTAAGCTTTCCAGCTTTCACATGTTGAGGTTCCTGCTATTACGTCACGCCTACACCTCACTCAACACCAAATCAACCATCATCACTGCTTGTATGAACCCTGTCCGATCCGGTAACGGAAGCATTTTATATATGAAAAGGAGAGTAAGCACGATGGAAGTTTGCTAAAGAAACTTGAGATGCATGTTTCTTCTTTCAATGCCCCACCAACAACCTGCATAGATGACTCGGGTGCACCTTTGTGATCTGCGACACCACGCCGCTCATCGATCGCGTCACGCAACACAGACGGGCTTGACTTACGCTTTTCTTGCAAACCTAATATATCTTCATATTTTTGTTCATAGTCGTCTCCTTATCCTTTTCGAGGCCTCGAACCTCTCGGCGATAAAACCAAAGTGGGATTGGAGGACGCGTCACCCCACGACTCACATCACCGCGATAAGGCTGCCGATTACAGGATTGGTACTTAAGAAATCACGCATGCACGATACTTCCTCCAAGAATTCACATCTTGAAGTTTTTCACACAACCATGGGGTAGAATTAAGTTTCGCCTTTCCACCGCACACTCAAAATGTTCCCACTATCATTACTCAGATGTATTCATACTATTTTGTTTCTTGTCCCTTTCGTTCATTCAACTTCCTTCCTTCCCTTTCTAAACTTCACATCCCCTTCCCCATATATCTTTCATTCTCTCGCCACACTCCTTCAAACTTACCCACAAAACCTCTTCCCGAATGGTCACACCATCGCATCTGTTACCATTCCCCGACACACACTCCTCTACCACGGCCGCCATGACAATGACACCCCCCCAAGCCCCGAATGGCTCGCCTTGGACATTGAAATGGCTTACGGCATTATGGGCTCGATGCCTGATTCCCGAATGCTGACCTATCGGACAATGAAAGATGTCAAAGCTGTATATTTCGACGGCGCGAGCGCGAATTTGATAGGGGATGGCACTACGAGTCAGATGGTGTTGCTTTATAACGGCAGTGACAGCATCCCAAGGCGGGGTGGATGGAGATCCCCACCTAATCATGGTAGACGACTCCAAGATGAGGGTAGTGATGGCAAAGAGAGGGAAAGGGGGGACGATCCACCGAGAAGACCTCCAGGCCACTGGAATCCATTGGAAGACGAATATTTTCGCGCTAGAGGGCTATGCAAGTGGCTTGTGTCTCGAGGTCTTGGTGGAATCGGTTGGGGCTATGAGGGAATTGTGAGAATGAACGCCGGATTCGAAGTCATTTGGTGCGATTTTGATAGTCCATCTTTGAAGTTGCTCTCGAATCTGAACGTTTCGGCACCACGACTTGAAGATTCGACACCAATAGACACGGAACGTGTTAGAATATTCGAGCAACTTCAGATTCAAGCGAAGTTAAGAGTGAAGGGTGATGAGGGACCTCATGGACCCGGAATGACCGATCCTACGGAGCCATTTAGGGACAGCGCCAACTGGTTCTGGTTTTCAGCTGCCGCAAAACGATACTTCGGTGATGCTAGGATCAAGGTCAACCCATGTGGTGTGTTTTCCTTCTACGAGCCCGAGCTCCTAAACCAGAGCCGTACGAGAATCGAGGACGAGACAATAAGACTGAATTTGACTGGAGACGGGAGGTGGAACGGTCCAGAAGGAGAATCACCTAGGCAAACAGGACTCGAGAAGCTTACGAGGAGGCGGAGGGAGCACTCGCTAGACAGTGTGGGAAATACCGATGGGCTATTCATGCGGCAAGCTTCAGAAAGAAGATTGAAGAACGCACTGAAAGGTGATGAAGGCTGCAGTGGTGTGGATTGGCATTATCTAACAAAGAGCATTGTTGTCGGGTACGCCCGTGAGATTCAAAAGCTTCTTCAAGCTCTGAATAGCGACTTTCAGTCTCAATCTCGGGAGTGGCTTCAACAGATCAGAGCACTGACGCATTGGTTCATGATGCCATTCCTTGAGTATCCGCCAGGGCGTCCATATGATAGCGCAACTTTGGAAACCATGTTCGACGTGGGCTCTCCTCTCGCATTGGCAACTTTAGAAAGATGCCAGAGTCAGCACGATGTGGACAAATATGAATTGGGCGAGGGAGACAATGCGGCGTATTACGCAGTGAAAGAAACATTGGCAGGGATCTGCGGGACTGTCATAGAGATTGGCCTGGGAGTCGAGCATCAGTGGCTTCTAAATTTTAACTCGATACATTCGGAAGACAAGATTCAGCGGCGAGCGAACCTTCTAGGCGACCTTCCCACTGCTGTACAAAGTTGGAAAGCGAAGGTGGAAGATCTGATGGCATGGCTGGGTTGGGTTGAGAAATGGACAAGTTGTGATGATTCATGTGGCGCCGATGTAAGTAGTCGTCGCTTTTCTTCGGATTCGGGTATCCGACATATATCCTGACTGTAAATTCGCAGGAAGTTTGTTACGTTCCAATGTGGCCCGTCTCTGGATTCCCTCGGAGGGGTCGTCGACCACCAAACCATCCAGGCGATATGCATTCGCTTGGTGCGCTATATTGGGGCTGGGGAGATACAAGCAAATATTTCTGGGAGCCAGTGTGTGTGAATGCCTCGTCTTATCCACCTGAGAACTGGGAGTAAAACTAGCTCCCTGGATATGTTACTTTGAACCAACATCGACGAGAAACAAAGAGGAGGACATCAACCGGTTTCGATGTAGGCACCTCATCTGAAAATGGTTTCCTGACACGGCGGGTAGCCCGATACACCCCCCATAAGTGTTCAATCTCATTCTGTGAGAAAAAGGTCTTCTCCGCACTTATATTCCAACGAACCTCGATTCAGGTGTGTCGATAGATCTAAATGATATTTGATAACCAATTCGATTCTAGAACATGTGTATACATGTAGAATCTTTGCTTAGCTTTCCGAAGGTGGCGGGCTTCATATAGCATGCATGTATACTGGAACATGTTTAATACCCTGCCCTTCGAATTGGAAAGTCAGCCTTACCACTTCGCCGAAGTGCGAATTCTGGTGCCTGATAAAACAATCAAAAGATATCGTAAGATATCAGATCCACTTTCGCATTCGCTGTCTTCCCCAATCCCGTTTTCGTTCGTTTTTTTGCGAGTCCTTAAACTCGGAAAGTTATCCATGTACTTACTCTATTGAGAGGTGGCGATAAATATGAGCCTACCACCAGAGGTACTCTCAAACTTCTCCCAAATATCAGAACTCCTAGTAACATCAACTCCTGTCTCTTCAGATCAACAAACATTACCCTCGCCATCTACATTCTCCCCCACTACTACCGCCACCCCCTCTCAATCGACTGCAGCCCTAACATGGAATATATATACCTCCACCTGGCAACCCCTTCCAACACTCCCAGTCACACCGAGTGGTAAAGGGTCAGCGTCGAGCCAACCCATCGGTACAGGTTTACTTATCAGCATCTCCGTGGGTGTTTCAGTAGCGGTCTTTCTGGTGATTTTTCTTATCAAGCGGTTCGTAGAGAGGAAGAATGGGGAGCTAGGAGGAACAAACGGCACGATTGCTGTGGAAGAGCCGAAGTATATGGCTTTGTGCTGTGGAATGGTTACGGTGGCCGCTACCCAATGTGGAACATGAGAAGGGGAAGTGTAGGACAGAAATCCGTATCCTGTTAATATTCTCCTTGATTCAGCAAAAGGTTTAACAGGTAGACCCACCCTATTCATGCTCTACATTATGTGATAACATGCAGTAGATGGGTCTCAGCGAGCGCTTTTCACAGGGAAGATGGATAGTTGCTGTCAGCGATCATTGCTAATTCTCATTATTCTAAACTGCACCTCGAATACGGCAAATCACGCTCCCCCAAAACCTCAGTATATGGAGCACTGCGCCTTCCCGGCCTCCCTGTAGGGATATTTCCCTTTCTTTCTCTAGCTGAGTTTCAGTGTCAACTCCCAAGACATTTACAAATTGGCATGTCACTTCTTAGTCTAATGCTAACAGCGGAGGAGGGTTTCCGATGCTGGTTTTGAGGCGAGATATCGTCCATGAAAAACTCCGTAGTAAATTCTAGTGTTTTGTGTACCAGAGAGGCAACGAAGTCCACATTTCTGCCACCCTTGACACTTTTTTTTGGTGGTCGAGCGCAGCTATTAAGGATTTCTCATAGAGGTTTCATGGGTCTCAAGGCGTGGTGTTGAAGAAGAAGCAGGCTTCGAATAGTTGACAAAGTTTCTATACCTTCACCCCCTTAGAGGACGGCGTGCGTAAGAGGATTGGACCTAATGATTTGCAGGATGACCTAAGGAACAGCAGTGACTATCATCGCCATCACTTGATTCCGCAATCGACACTTGGTCCCCTTAAATCTTTCCGCATATCTTCAAAAAATGTGATATTTTGAGAGCTGCTAGCGAGGCGACGTCATATGGCCAGTTTTGAAACAGAATTGGAGGTGACCTGCCCTCATATTCCTGTTGACGCCAACTTTTCTAGGCATATGTGGGCTGTGGATTTCTTCGTGATACAGTTACCGGTTGAGAGTGACTGTTTATTCTAATACGAGGGATGTTGAACGAGATTATCACCCAAAGGAAGAGGAACCACAGAGGAATTGAAGTCGGCATTTCGAAGCCGCTAGGTATGACTGAAGTTCGTTCTCAAACGCGTCATTTTCAAACCAGGAAAGAAGACCCCCATAGATATTGCCCCAGGGAGGATTTATTTTCTCCGGAACATGTCGTTACTGGTCTGAGTTGTGAATTCGAGGTCAAGGGGAAAGGGGAGTGGTTGCATACCGATCCTAAGGAGCTCAAAGATGAGGATATCCTTGGAAAATTGAATCTAGGGACAGTGGAGTTAATTCGGGAGACTAACTTTCAACCTCTTAAGCATTAACACCATATTGTTAGCACTATGTTTTGGATTTCTCCTGCTGCACGTGTGCATCCTAATGACACCTATCAACTTTCAGAGACTCACATATCTACTGGCGGCTCTACACACCCCATATGGCTTGTTTTTCTTCTTGTTCTTAGGCGAGATGTGAATATACTAGGTCCCCCAAGCATTATCATTCAAAGAATTTCGATGTTCGCATCGTGAAACTATTCGATTATGGTCTAACCTAGCCACTATAAGGAATCTCTGGGATTTGTCTATTGATGACAGACTAGCAGGGTGGAAGCATACATTATGATGGACGCTATTTTTGAAGCCAGAGTTCGTTTCATTCCGGTCGCTTTCGTGGATCTTTCGCCTCTTACCTCCGCCATGAATTTTCGTTCCGTTCAATTCATTCGCTGCACGAGCCTAGTGTTTTTGTAGAGACCAGATCCGCAAGACGGAGTACGATTACTTTGTTCTTGCCTTCTTTTGTTGAGAGGGTGAGAATATAGTAGTTAAGAGAGAACAGTGAGAGGGTAGTGACAGAGGACTTATATAACGGTAGGTAGACGAGTATTGGGATGAATAATTAGAATGATTGGATGAGCAAGCAAGGAAGAGGAGGTGCATGCGAACGTTTTGCGTGGTTTAAAAGTATTCTCTATTTTTACGATAGTCAGGCGATGGGTCTATCGATGAATGGTCCCGTTTTACAACACAGGCCAATATGGACCAATCCACCCCAGTCTCCTTGTTGGTAGAGAATAGTCCCTGAAGCCCGTCCAGTTGTTATTCATAGCGTATTTTTGAATCACGTCTTCCTCTCATAGTCTCGGCTCCACACAGCATTGAACCCCTTTTTGTCGACTGCAAACTCCTCGAGGAACTGCCTCTCTAGATCATGTGTCCTCCGGCCTAGTAATACCAGGCTATGCAGTGGCCTCCCTAGATCAGCTTCACACAGTTCCTCAAGCGTACCAGCAACGATCTTCTGATCTTCAGCTCCAACTCTTGCAACACCAACCGCCAAACTCTCCTTTGTGTACGCACCCTCCTTCTTAACCTCCTCCTCGATCTCTAGCATTTGCTGCGCACACTGTGCGACGGTCATGAACCTCGGGGGCTCATATATCTTCCTTCCCCTTGCCATATTTTCCAGACTCTGTTCCTTGACCTTGATGTCTAGGAGGACGAGTGTATGCAAGCCAATGGAAACATTTTCTTTAATGCGGTCATAGAAAGACACCGGTTTCCAGTTATCGAGGAAGAAGACCATAGAGACAGTTTGCCCGAAATTATAGAGTTGGAGGCCAGTTGTACCAATTGAAGTCAAGATGCTCGCGTTTGGGATGGAGCGGGTGGGAATAGAGAGCTCACGCGCGCGCAGGACAAGGTCAGTGTGAGTTGTTGCGCTACATAATCCACAATGAGACATTTGCTTCAAATATAGGTGGGAGAAGGGGGGAGAATACCCAAATGGATCGCCCACTACGAGGAATGCAACATCTACTTTGTCGGCGTCGCGGAGGATGTCGTCACTAGACGATTCGACCATTTCTCGGTCGGCGGTGATGACGGGACGGCCATAGAAGGCTTCCTACTACCGTACGTGAGCATATTTTGCTACTGCTCGTTGTCTTGTTCGTAAAAGCAATTGACTTACTAACACACTTTTCTCGACAAGCAAAACTGCCGTGTAGGCTTCCAGATACACGCGCTCGGCTTTCTTCACGATCTCCAGTCCTTTAACCGTAATATCCTTCTCGTCTGCAAAACCAAGTCCCACAAGGTACAACATATTGTCAATCTTGCACGTGGAGCGAACGTAGACTTGAATGGCATTGGTGAAGATTAAAATATTTGGAGGGGCTGCGCATAGGGCAAAGCCAAGATTCACATCCGAAAGCTCGGACCCCTTTCCGCGAACTTTGGAACCTCACGTCCAGCCTGTCCGCTGCGCTTCTTTCATACATCAACACGCACGCCGACCACTTCCCAGAACCTCGCACGCCGGCTGCTGGACACCACCGCATAGCTTTCTTCCTCCTCCGCATCTGTTGTTGTGAAAGTAGTTCGCCATGGCCGACAAGGACAAGATGGCAAAGTATCGGACCGAGATCCAACAGGTACTTGTTCCCTCTCTCCTTGCTCTTTCTACGTGTGCTTTGGATTCGATTTCGTAGAGTCAGGAAGTCCGAGCATGTGTGACCTGATTTCTGTATATCTTGCGCGTCTCTTCCTCTGTACGTCCGGTTCCGATCCCTGAGCTTTTCTCTCATTCAAGACGGGAGATTCGCACGCCCGTTTCTGTGGAATATGAGCAATCCCTTTTCTGCGCCTTTCGCTCATTATATCATCTCTTTTACCACCGGAAATTACGACATATCGCTCCCAAAACTATTGTTACCCCAGAATAGTTCTAGTTTTAACTCACCATCCTTTCCTCCTTCACCTTGTCCTTATATTTTCCATTGTATTCCCCATCCACCTCCGCTCCCTAGACCTCCAAGATATGAGAGCTTCAGCTCAAGTTTCCTTGCTTACCCCCTCATCCGCACAGTATTCTCGACATACAGCACACTATGCATACTCACTACAAACCTGCACCACGCGAGCTAACGGATCTAATCCAGATGATGTTCGTCTCCGGGGAAACGGGAGAACCCGCCGCCGAAACAACCACGCTCATCGAATCCATCGTGCAAGACCAGGTCCAACATATGCTCCGCGAATGCTCAGCCCTCGCCACCCGCCGCGGATCCCGCGCCATCTCTACTGACGATCTCTTCATGCTCATCCGCCATGATCGCGCCAAGATCTCCCGACTCCGCCACTTCCTCCAATGGAAAGACGTGCGCCGCTCCGTCAAAGACTCCGACGACAAAGGTGGAGACGCCGGCGCCGACGTCGCAGCCGGGGACGCTGATCTTGCGGTGGGAGTCGTTGCAGGCAGCGGTCCCGGCCCAGAACCTGGAAAGAAAGCGAAACGTGCAAAAGTCGACCTAGTCTGGGAAGTACAATCCTTCTTCAACGAGAACCCGCCGGCCAAAGACGATGTCGAAGACGAGGAGGAAGAGGAAATGAATTTCGCCACCCTGCAACGCCTCAAGAATGCAGATGAACGCACTAAGAACATGACGCGTGAGGAATACGTCCATTGGTCTGACTGCCGCCAAGCTTCCTTCACCTACCGCAAGGGCAAGCGGTTCAAAGAATGGGCTGGATTCGGCGTCATCACGGATTCCAAGCCCTCCGATGACATCATCGACATCTTAGGTTTCCTGACCTTCGAGATCGTGCAGACACTCACGGAAGAAGCGCTTAAAGTCAAAGATGCAGAGGACCTGTACAAGAAGACGACAGGCGGCAAGCCTGAAAACCGACTGAAGCGCAAGCGAGAGCGCGGTCTCTTCGATCCGCCTGAGGAAGCGAGGGAGCCGGTCCAGCCGTCTCATGTCCAGGAAGCATATCGCAGGCTGCAGCGTGGTAACAATAAAGCTAGGGCTATGCTCAATTTCTCGAGGCACGTGCATCGTGCTGCTTTGAAGCTGGTAAGTTCCCCTCATGCCTATATGTCTGAGGAAATGTGAACTGATTTTGCATAGATCTAAACAATTTCACAACTCTTGGATTTTTCAACTAGGTGTTTCTAGGGATGGGAGGCGTGGCGTTCACATATTCCTGCGATACCCACTTAACAAAGATAAGGATGGATTTTACGGAGTTACGAAGACCTTTATACCTTATCATTTTCAGTCTACTCGGATCAGGTGGCTTTTCCCCTTAGAATTATATTGGGCTAGGATGAAGGTTATTAGCGTTGCATCCAGTTTTTTATCTGGCATCATCAATTCTTCCAAAGTTCTGGCCGACGAAGTCTCATCATCAGGACGGTGGCTCGTTGCATCATAGACAGATACAAGATATCTCTCCATGGATGCGAAAGGATGCAGGTCTTCTACCGAAGAAATTCACCAATAACAGAGCCACATACTTCCACACCTGCAATCATTTCGTGTATGCCTCGATGCAATCCCATTAACCCTGTTTATGGACATTCATAGCAATCGCAAGCCTTTTTCAGATGATGGGAGTCGGAGCAGCCGTGGCGAGTCGAGCATGCATGAAGATGTTCTTTGCAGAGACCCAGACGTACATGAAAACATGACCGCATATGCCCAAATGGAAAGGGAGATTTCATGCGCCCCTTAAGAAAGCCCACACCGGTTTGTCATGCCGCCCGCCGTCTACTCCTCCTCCTCGCCTGCCAATGCGAGCCTCTTCTGTGTCACGCGCTCCTGCCTCCTCTCCCTTGCTGCCTTGGTCTTCGCACGCTTGGCATCCATCTCCTCCTTCAAGATCCTCTCACGTTGCTTCTCAGCCTTGGCCTTATGGATCTGATATGGAGCGTTAGTTGGGTGGAGTTGGGTAGTCATGATGCCATGGGCAACGTACGTGTTCAACGAGAGCACGCTTGTGCTTAAAAGTGTTTCCCTTGCTGAGATGGTAGAGCTCGTGGTAGAGGTGCTTGTCGATCTTGCCGGCGGCACGGTACTTGACGAGGAGGCGGCGGAGGACTCGGAGACGGCGCATCCAGAGGACTTGGCTGTTATAACCGCATCAGTTGACCATACCAGATAGCGAATTCGCCATATATAGTGTCTCCAAGTTGCTCAAATCCAATGCGGTGACTGTATTCCTGGTGTGGGGATAGCATACCTTGGCATACGAGCATCCTTGGTACCCTTCCTCTTACCAAAACCCCGGTGTCGACCAATCCGCCTCGCAGCAGTCAGCTCTCGGGCACGGGCACGCGAGTGCATTGTAACGGGTTTGCGGATGATGAGGCCATCAGCAACGAGCTTGCGGATGGTCTGGCGGGAGTTGGCGTTGGAGATTTCGTTGACTTCGTTCGGGTCGAGCCAGATCTTGCGCTTTCCGCAGCCGACGACGGACGCCGCAAGGCGCTTCTGCGTGCGGAGATTGACCCTAAGAGACATTGAGTGTCAGTATATTGCTGAAGCGGAGCTTGTGGGCGCTGTGAGAGGGGATTGTGCGCAGAGGGGTTCGTCACGGTGAGAGTGCGGAAGAAGTAGTTCAGCTCAGCGAGAGAGGTTCCCAAGGTGCTGGGATTGCCTCTCGAGATAGGGTAGTAGTACAAGATGTTGGAAGTCTTACATTTTGGATGGGTGTCGGTCGTCGTCGTTGGGTGTTTGATGAGAGTTACTCCGCCCGAGTTAACGATGCGAAAATGCTAACGATCTGTGGACGCTCGCTAACGACCCATGCCAAGACGCTATTCTGCTTTAGGCAAACACACACATTCACAAGGCACCTGCCAGATCGATTTGTCTGGGAAGTGAATACGGATCCGTATACACTAGGCATTTCTGGAGGAAATGAGAGGTACTGTTGCATCAAATGGTGGATATGTATCGAGAATCACAATTCCATTAATTCTGCGTTAAATTCTATTGCAGCTTCAAGTCATCCTCATTCAATACGCCATAGAGTTTTTCAATTTCTTGCCCAATGATGCCCAAGTCTTGTGCTAATTGACCAGTTACGAGCGCTAAAAATGCAAGTCAGTCTTCGAAATTACCATAATTGGGGGATCAAACTTACCGTATGCATACAACAGCTCATAGTCTTCATCGGATGTGATAACCTTTGCCAACCCCGTTCTTCGAAACTCGAAAACCCTTGCCAACAGTCTATCCCTTGTGTGCTCGACGTTAGGTAATACGTCGTTAAGAGGGTATGCTAGCTTCATGGACGATGCCATGACTATCGTGATCAGCCTCCTTTGCTTTCAAGTCGGCTGGCGTCACACTTACCTGAAAACAAATGGCTGATTCGCCAGCTCAATTCCATCCACTCCTTCTTCGTATACTTCAGGCTCTGTTTCTCACCCTCGGTTGCCTTTAAGTCCTTCAATATGACCACATTCATAGCGTGGAAGCTATCTAACATTCTCCCTGTTGCCTCTAGCATGATCTTAAAGTTCTTGTCGGGGAACGGCGCACGCAACTCAAACTCGAAAGTAGCCGAGTTGCGAAGCGTCTCAAGATGGGCCAAGAACCGTCGAAGTTCGAGCTCTTCGCGAGGAGACATGTACGAAGTAGGAGGACTGGCATCCTCTAACAACGTCCTTAAGGGCGCGCGTTTCCAGATTAAGCCCATCTTCAGCCAAAGAAGGGACGTTCCCTTCTTTAACTTGCGTCGAGCGGAGATTGGCCAGATCACTCTAGTGACGATGATACCCCATATACAACCAGACATAACCGCAACAACTCTGTGGAGTACAATTTCCCAGATCTCCGGTGAGATACCCCCTTCATCGTCATCGTCATCACCATCCTTGACCGAGAGTGAGTAAGCGTAGAGGGCTGAGAGATTATATGTCAGGAGGATAAAACGACCCATTGGCCCTTTACCCTTCCCAACAATGATATAGAAACATTGAAGAGACACAAGCCATCCAAAGAAGCTGAGAATAAATGGATTTTCGTCTGATATGATCCATGCGACAATGGCGAAGACAGCGCCCAAGCAGGTACCAAAGAATCGTTGAAAACCTGTGGTATTGGATGCTCCGATCGTCTGCCAGTGATTAGTGACTGCATTTATATCTAGCAAAATGCTCAACGTACCATAGAGCACACCAGCATGTATGATAACAGACCCCATTCACCACGCCAGTGGCCATATATATCTCTGGTCTCAGGTATGAAAGCCCACATAGCATATAGAATGGCACCAATGCCGACCTTAACTGCATACTTCGTATCATCTCTTCTGAACACTCCAAGAGCGCGCCACACACGATACGAGAGGGACTCTTTGCTGGTCGGCTTTTCGGCGTTACCACCCGTGCGTTCTCGGCCAATAGGGTTATGTATCTCGTGCGAAAGACCCTGTTCGACAGTCTCATCAAGCAGACTCGATTCCTCTGATGATAATTAACAGGCTGATTACTGATTGTAGTCATTTCAGAACTACTTACCAGAATCACCCTTCTTCGTTGGCCCTTTCCACTTACGCCAGAATTTGAGCCAAATCCAGGACCGCTGCCTTGGATAGTGCTTTGTGTTCAGCTTTAATTCCTCTAGAATATCCAAGAAAGTCACCATATCTTCAGCGAAATCTTGTAAGGAAGAACTAAAGTAGCCGCAACTCGCCGCGACCTCCTCGAAGTCAGCTGCAACCTCAACCGAGCCTGTTTGTGAGGGGAGTTTGTTCTTGTATACCAAAGCAAGAGCCTCTTTTCTCGCGTTGGCGAACATTTCGTTGGCCTCAAGAAGACTACTTCGAAAATGTTCGTTGATGGTTATGACATACTCTGGGCCGGGCCCAAATGGTAGCTCGTTGAGAACTTCGCGAAGTGTATATGCAAGAGATTTCTGCAGGCATTAGAGGGTGCAATAATGCGGAGAGATTATGATCTTACCATTGGAGGGCCTAGGTGAGCTATGAAAATTGAAAACATATCAGCGGAGGTAAGATCATTCTGCATTCCGTGTGGAAGCCTCCACGAACGGTCAAATCTACCAGTTTCATCATCTGACGCTTCCACCGATTCCTCAGGCAGCTCCTCGATAGAAGCAAGGATGCTACTACGCCGCTCCGAATGGCTAAGGCTTGGTGAGAGAATAGGGGAGGGAGTAAAGTCTGACAAGGTTGCAAAGTTAGTCTTGCTTAATGGTACGTCGATTCCTGTTTCATGATCTCCTTCCGACTGGGCTAACAAAGTAAACTGTGTTTCGGCGGAGCTTCGCAATCCACCAATGCTTTGCTGTAGTTGCTCCAAGCACTTCACTAATCGAGACTCGATCTTATACTCTGACTCCGTGCCGAGGATATAATGTTCGTACTTGGCCTCCCCAAGGTTCTTCACCAGATTTTTATATGTCGCCTTGCTTTGGTCCCGAGCTGTTATGTACGAGGGGTTTTTAAGTTCGTGCTCGGACCCGGACAAAAAGCTTCGTGTGATGATGGTAAGCATTTCGCCCATAGCGTCGGTCGCTTTGATGAAGCTGTCTCGAAATTCGTTCCGCGCGGATATGGGCCTAATTACTAGGCTGACTGTTGATGCAGCAACACAGCCCATTATGACCATCTTCAAGACCTGCCAGACCTTGTCGTAGGAGAACTTTGCAGCTTGAACGGCACCTTCTTTTGTCAATACAGTGATGATAGCCAGAGATGTCAATGAGCAAGCGACGTTCACAAGTGGGTTTCCCAGTTTTTGTTTGAGCCAGCCCACGAGGCCTAGCCCGCCGCCGCAGAACAAAACGAGGACTATTGCATGCCCAAGGACGAGGAGGTCTTTTCTGCCGAAAAACACCGATACGGCCATGCTTGTGAACGAGACGAACGCAGCGTAGATAGTAGCTACCAGCGCCAGGAGAATAGCTTCCGCCATACTACCAGCCGATCGCGCTGGATGGAAGTATACAGTGATCGTAGCCACCATGTGCTTGCCATCGTTCTTGCCAAGTATTGCGGCGATGGGTGGGACGAACGTTGCCAGACTTCCTAGAACGTATGCTAGTGAGCACTTTAATATGCTCTGTCCTGTTCTCGAGCTAGAATATGTATATGCTCTCTTTGCTTGGTCCTTGCAGTGCTTAAATAAGGCTTCAAGGTGTCCAAGTTGTCGATGGCTGTTTGGCGGGCTGTGCGGGCCGAGAAGGGGTTCGGAGGAGCCATTTGAGGCAGTCGAAGATCTACGAAGAGTAAAGCTTTTCTTGACACGCTCGCCGGTTCTCGGGAGAATGAGGGTTGCAGATCGTAGCTATAGATTGAGAGTAAGTCTTGCGAATGTAGTTGTGAAGCGAGCCGGGGGAGCTTACGCTGGGTCGCAGGAAGCGGCGCGCAGCCTGTGAGGGTTCGCCCATGTCGTATGGATAGCAACGCCGAGAGGCCCTTTGGATACTATCTGACTGTTTCGGACATGATGGAGAACACAGCCGCGAGAGATGATGGAGGGATGTAGCTAAGTTGGTTCTTGGAGCTTGCGCCGAGGGAATTCGTCGAAGGCCCTTCTCCGCGTTTTCACTTGCGCACGGGTTGCAGCCACATGCGCTCATCGTGCAGCCAAACATCACATACTCCTAGCTAGCATTGTCTGGCTCTACATGGCGGTTTGTTTTTATGGAGAGCACTCCAAGAACCAGTGTAAATATTCCCTTGACAAGTAATAATAATAATGCGGTTCAACTACAGTTGTGCTTTCACGATGGGTAGCGCGTTCCAAGGTTGTGATTGGTTAGCGTATGGCCTTCGCCTTGGCAATGTTGTTGACTCAGCGATCGATTTCGTTCACTCGCAGCCGAACCACACCCCTTCTCTACCCGCCGTGCGAAGCAAAGCCACTCAGTGCGAAGAGACAGCTATATACGCTTTTGGAAATGGAAGAAGCTGATATTGCCGCTGCAATGGGCTTCTCAGCCTTTGGGGGTACCAAGAGAAAATACGACGAGACAAATTCCCAAAGGGCGAAGGCATCAACGAGTGGAGCTAATTCAACCCGGCTAGGGGTTAGATCAAAGATTACCTTGGAAGCCCAAAACAATGAAGCTGAATCCGAGGTCCAGGACACCGACAGTAGTACCGTTTTTGCCGATGGATGCACTGAACTAGCCTCATCTCAGCCAAACCAGCCAGCATCAAAGGCCGATGGAAAGCTAAAGCAGTCAGCAGCCACAGGTCTCGCAGAATTCCTCTCTCGCGGGAAGGAAATTGAGCAAAACAGATCTAAACCTGAAGCACCCGCCGATCCATCTTCAAGAGACAACACGTCCGCCGTTCCCATCTCTTTTGGAGGTGCTCCTATCTCACATGACGAGCTGGCTGCCCTTAGAAAAGGAGTCAAAGACGAAGCAGGCGATATCGCTTACTTCCTTCCCAGCTTCGTCCAGGACCCGTGGGAGCAACTCTGGAAAAACAGGCGGTGAGACCACCTTACTATCGACTCGACCACCTCTTCCCTGTTCCCTATCTGGACCATGAAACCTACAAGCATGAATTTCTGTGTTGACGGCGCTTTTCTGTGTTGACGGCGCTGAGGTGGTAAATAATACCGTCCGCACCTCCGAATATCGCTTCTAAGGCATCAGGCAAAGGACACAATACTACACCAACGTTTGCATGACAACTCCTAGATTGATGACGTGGGCGGTTCTATTCCAACTGTTCAAGACCACACACAATAATCTACATTGGAATCCCGACTTCTGAATCACCATCCGCACGCATGGCAAATTAAACTCTCGATACCTCCTACGTCCCGATTCCAAGTTGCATACTCCCTTGTCTAGTCATTCGATCTAGTGCCCTCTCCTCGGCATCCACAACATCCACTAAGTCGCTAACCCTCCCTATCGCTCGATCGCGGGACAGGAAACGCTCGATAGACAGGCGAGAAGGCCTGCAGGGCATCGGGTCCAACAGCGTGGGCATCAAAAAGATAGTGAGGAATCGGGGAATCTTGGCTTGTATTTCAACGACCGACGTGCAGGATGAAAGAGAGAATACCACCGAATAGCATTAGAACCCCTATACTAGAGAGCTGATATAGGTTTCCTAATCCCTCTTTGTGGCATATTTCATGTTTCTACATCGGAATACTTGACATGTGGTTCGCGTATCTGAAGCATTGACCCAAGAAAATCTGTCCCGTTGGAGCCTAAATGCAACATTGTCTTAGAGAGAATTGGTGAACTGTGGATTCCCTGTTATTTGCCAAACCCCCCTAAATTGCCTCCGGGCTGAACAAACATTTTCAAGCTTCCTTTGACAATCTATCGATTGTGATATGCACAGGAAATGAACTCTTCACTATAGGTTAACATGGGAATCAACAAAGAAAGAATTTCTCACACGCCATACCTCACCCTTGTTTACACTTTAACATCAAAAGGCTCAGATAACAACAGCATCCCCATGCCCCACTCCCTTGATCTTAACAAAAAATCCCCCCACGTCAGCCAGCCCTCAGCGGTGCATTGTCAGACAATTCGCGATATCCACACCCCTGGGAACTGCCCTTCGTCGCACTTAGGCCCCAAGCGCCCTCTTATTCAATCCCAGTCGGTCAAAATACCGCAAAATCGCAACAACAAAAAAAAGGAAATCTTGGTTTCCCCTTCAGCACCAACACCTCCACTTTTCGTGCCTGTCTGCACAATAATTCCCGCGTGAGCACGATCGTGCTCTTCTCATCTGCCGATCCTGCAAGCCCACGACGGTACAGGTGGGGTTGTAAAAACTCTTCAACAAGCACAGCGTCAACGGGACGTTTCATATAACGAGACATGTGCGACTGCGAGGGTGTGGAGGAAGATCGGTTGACTCAGCTCCCCGCAGTTAGGAGGCCACATCTAATTGGTCCAATGAACTAAGACAACTATCATGTGACACGGACCAAACATCGTGAATCCCCCCCCGCCCCCCAACAACACGACCACGCAACTTTAGTCACACACCATGAGGTCCAGGTTTCAGGGTCGGTTTGCGAGTTAAAACACATGACAAAGTCACTTCGGTCATCTCACGCGAAAGACTCGGAGGGCAAGAAGTTGCCATTACAAAGACTAGTCACATGGGGACTGTTACTCCCAATCTGTTCGCAAACTGAGCCACACCACCTGGCGGGTCATCTGTATCCAGGCCGTTATCATAAACAGGTAAAAAGCCACAACCTTTAACGCCCGTGACTCTCTTCCCAGCCACATCCCGAGAGAACGCCAGAAACGGAAGGAAAGCCTGCCACCCGTCTAGGTCAGACCCAAGAGCCCTCCCCCTGGGTCTCCGCTTGATCGCCCAGCCACCCCAAACCCACCAAATCACCAGATCCCACTAGATCTGCCGACAAATGCCCGTTAGAGTGGGAAACCGTTTGGAGGAAGCCAAGCTGTTTAAATAGCCCGGCTCCCCAAAACAGCTCCTTCTTATCTAGCCATTCGTTCGGTAGATCTCTCTAAGCGCGCTGCAGCGGGCCGAACCGCGCCAAATGGCGGGCAACGCGTCGCAAGTAGGAAAAAAGCAAAACGGTATGGCGCCAAAAGCTACCGCTAAAGCAGCGAGGGAACAAGCGGAGTGGGATGCCGAGAGGAGCGGAAACCGTCCAGAAGAGATAGAAAGCTTTAGTAGGGGACCCGGAGATGAGGAATGAAACCGTGGGGTGGAAAACCGGTCCAATAATTGCTAAGTATAGTAATGCAGTGAACAAGAATATTGGCCCAGTGAAATACCAAGAATTTTACGAACAATTCCGAAAAAGTTGTATAGAACACATCCACAGAAGGCATTAAATTTGAGATAGGGCGATATAGCAAGCCTAGTAGTCGACTGGGGCGGGATATCGCGATTGAGCGGACTTGTACTCTTTCGGATATTTGCGGGCAGCTCGGTCGTTGAGTGCACTGGGAATTCGTCAGTTTCGCGTAGTTGAGTGCACTGGATTAAGCAAACCTACTCTACACGCTTCTGCGTCCACTGAAGATCTTTCTGTACTTCCTTTGCAGTTCTCATGCCATTTGCAAAGTTGGCCCGAGCCCCGGCTAATCGTCGCTGAGCAAGGGCCTGCAGTTCGAGCAGTTCGCGATGCTTGGCGTTGAGTTCCCCAGATCTGCTCGCTTATTAGCTTCCGATCTGCGCCGACTCAATGCCGAACTACGCAAATCTCAAGGAATTTTTTTAAGACTCACGTTTGTGCTTGCTTAGCGAGACTTCGATCGAGAGGCATAGGGTTGAATGCGCCATGAAGACGATCACCCATATAATCGATCAAGTCAACTCCTGCGGTAGAGGCGCTCGAGTCGTAATCGCTTGCACTTCCAGCATAGCTGCTCGAAGTCGCTGACGGTTCGTAAGAAGGAACGCCTGAAGTGGTGACACTCTCCGGCGCTTCAGGTGGGGAGACTGATACGCGGCCGTAGCCATGGTGAGGGTGGGGTTGATAGTAACCGGGCTTCTGTGGCATGTTGATAGGAAGCGAAGCCGCAGGGTAGTAAGAGTGTGTGGTAGACATGATAACAAAGACGATAGTAGTGTGATACGGTAAGGGCGAAGGGTTGAAGATGATAGAGAGCCGAGAAGGATGTTTGGATAGAAGGTATATAGAAGGGGGTGCTAGATGTCAATATAGCTTGTGCTAGGAAACGAGGAGTAAGTATAATTTTTGTTGCTAAGGTTGTAGAGAGAAAGGAATCAAAAAGAGAAGCCGTCCAAGTCCCATCTGGACTGCCTTTTATACTTTTGACGGCATGGATAGGGAAAGTATCTTTGTCAACTGGGGAATAGCTTTGACCCCTTCATCCCACCTCCTGCTTGCAACCCCGCTCAGGTGGTGATAAAGCTGCATAGTCCTACGTCCACTGAAACCTTTTCCCGCTTGATCCGAACATTGAGTGCTTCTTTTAGACTGGGCTGGATGAATCCCCCAGGCCGTAGGCCGCAGCCGATCCACGATGCCTTGGCAGGATATGGCATCTAAGAGCGGGCGATTGGCCAATTGGCCAGTGGCAAACGGCTAGCAAAGGCCTATACCCAGCTCGTATCAGCAGGAAACAGCGGCGGAGCGGGATTGGCGTCTCATTTCTGAGGAATAGATGCTTAGAGGAATGCCGACGGATTGTCAACGGCAAAGCTGGTAAAGGCAGCACGCCTAGTAAGCGCAGCAGACGCGGAGCCTAGAGCCACGGCAAAAGCAGCGCCGGCGGAGGCTGTAGGTGCATGGGTAGTATGCCTGACGGGCATGCTAAGTGTTGTCAAAGGTGATGCGTTGGCTCGACAGCTCGCCAACGCCTTTGGACATGCAATCTCGAAAGGGCATGTGGAGGAGCATGATACTCAGCCTGGGCGCTGCACACCGGTGGCGGCAGATTCTGGCAAGAGATTGACAAATTAGAGACACAGTTGAGATGCAGCGCTGGAGGGACTGCAGCGTCGTGATGGGCCGTCGTCGTCAGAGTCAGCACGATGCGAGGGCAGTGTGTTGCAGGAAATTTGTGGTGAGCGTCGGGCCGGGCTTTCCAATCCATTAGAGAAATTCAGCACTTTTTCTGGAGGGGTTTTCAAAGGTTTTCGTGAAGGGCTCGGTCCGAACTGGCGGGCACAGGCTAGGCCTAATTGAGATGACGCCCATAACACTAGTGCACTGCACTTAATATGTTACAGCCAATCCACAACCAAACAAGGATACTATTCAGCGTAGAAAAATAGTGAAGTCGATCGGTCTGCCTTTTGGATTCTTGTAGTTGCACCTAAAGGCCCTTAGAAAATGCTAACCATTTAGGGCTTGTTCAGGCAAAGCCCATGATTACTGTAGCACAGACCCGTTGAAAAACGGGCAGGACAGGGGTATCCTGAAGGTTTCTGAACTCCTCTACTCTGCCCCTCCACCCATGGGTGCGTCATACTAAACCGAGCGCATATGCCCCGCAACGCCCCTATCCGGACTTGACATTGCACTACTCCAGCTTTGATGCCACCTATCCCTGCCTGGACAACCTCGCACGACGCATCAGGACTTCTCACTCGCGACTCGTATCTCCGGTAACGCTTAGTGGGCGGTGAGAGAATTGCGCCCGCGCCGCAGTCTCTTCATGTGACCATCAAGCACAGCGCTGTGACGTTACTCCGCCGTGCATATGCTGCTGTCCGTTCCGACACTCACCTCATGCCTGCAGGCCCAGTCGTTCTCTCCATACTTCCTGTGCCATTTGTTTCCTTTCTGCTGGCCCCATCCTCCTGTGACTGAGGACCCGCGGGGCGTCATGCCAAGCACAGACAAGACGCGGACATTGATTGCAGCGCCGTTGCATCGGCGCCAGGACGACCACCTTCGCGCCGATCCGCAGTACCACAGCTGTCAACGCCCCTGCCATGTGTGAAGTCCGCGTGGAGGACTCTCGAGACAGCTTTGTTGCACGAGCAAGGCCGATCCATAATAGGTGTCACCCATGTCCATGAGGTCCGCACTCATATACGTACGTAGCTGGCAATTGGAGGCCATGACACGCAGGAACCAATGCGCCGAACGCTTTGTCTGAGTCAAGTGGTGATTGGGAGCACAGCTGTAAGGTGATTGGTGCTTGAACGCTTGAGGAATAGAGTCGAGCAAAAAGGGCAATGCTGTGGTGAGGAATCGTCTGAAACATTTCGTGAGTGTGAGGAGCAGGGGAATACTTTTATTTCAACGCCCTCTATTTAGACGTACTGAGTTTGACCAAACTCTTGGAAAATCCATATCCTAATTCTATCCTTATGCCTTATGCAAACGCACTTCTGTTGGCCGCGATTCCTCGCGACATTACACGAGCGAATCGTCCAGGCATATCCTGGTCTTGCTTGGCTGTCTCGATGCCTGTCAAGATCTTCTTGATGCCGACCCCTACCTCTGCACTACCGGTAATCTCCTGAATCTCACCAATGGCACGTTGTTGATCCTGGTCCGAGAACGCTCCGCTGTGCTGCAAAATGTGTGCGAGCTCAGCCTGCGTGTTTACGTTCGGTACTGCGATTTCGGCGTCGAAACGGCTGAAGAGATCGAGTTGGGTGAGTACCGAACGCTCAGTCGTCGTCGCGAAGATTAGTAGTCGGCGGTCCTGCGTTTTTTAGCTTTGTGTCAGGTGAATCATGGGCTGTGCGAGTAACATACCTTCGGAGGTTGCTTCTCAAGTAAAACTTTTAGTGCGACCAATACAGAGTTGCTGAAGTGAGGCCCAATGGGTACCCAATCAACCAGCATCTCAATGTTGTCGATCACGATGACACTAAGGGGACTTTTGTATGCATCTCGGAACGTCTTGTCAAGCTGCTGTACCTTCTGCATCTCGCTAAACCCAACCATGTCTTCCGGTGACACTAGTTTGATGAAAGGAAAGCCCGAGTCCATGGCCATTTTCGCCGCGAGGGCCGTCTTGCCACTCCCGGCGGGGCCATGCAGGGCAACGGATAATATTGGCGTTGAGCCTAGTTTCCTGACTTGGTTGATGTAAAGCCGCCCCTCCTCGAGGATGTCTCCAATGAAAGTGGAGTAGTGGATTATGTCACCCCGTATGCGTTTCCCGAGCTCTTCCTCTGCGACACCGAAGAGCGGTTTCACTTCTTCAAGGGCGTTGAAGAAGTCCTGACGATTGACCTTCATGTTCTCCACATCACTATTGATGCCTGCCATTGTACCGACCTTGATATGCCGACTGAAAGCAAATGAAGATGCTGCTTTGACCAGGCCACTGATCTCAGCTCCGGAGAAATTCTTCGTGAGCTTCGCTAGCTCTTCGAGATTGACATCATGCTCTATAACGTCATTTTTTCGCATTTTCGCTGTGTGGATCTTTAGGATTTGGGCTCGTCCGATTTCATCCGGAAGTGAGATTTCCATATGAACCTCCAAACGTCCCGCACGCAGCAGCGCCTCGTCGATCATATCCATTCGATTGGTCATACCAATCAGAAGAATGTTGTTCAGTTGATCCACACCATCAAGCTTCGAGAGTAGCTGGTTTACAACGCTATCGCCAACGCCAGTCCCGCCACCAGTCGAACCTCTCTGCTTGCACACGGCATCGAGTTCGTCGAAAATGATGATATGGAGTCCACTCTCGTCACCCTTCTCCTTGAACTCCTTCTCTGCATCGGCGAAGAGCTTGCGGATATTCTCCTCGGACTGACCAACATACTTGTTGAGAACCTCGGGACCATTGATAACCTTAGGTTCTCTTGCATTCAGCATTTTACCAATTTGACGCGCGATCAAGGTCTTGCCTGTACCCGGTGGTCCGTACAGAAGAATACCTCGGACGTGCTGGATGCCTAGCTTGTCTACTAGCCCTGGGGGGAAAATACGAGATGCAAAGGCTCTTCGGAAAATGGCGCTAAACTCAGTATCCAGACCACCAATGCCCCTGATCCAACTGAGTTAGCGGAAGAGTTGATATGGGCAGCCTTACTTACATATCTTCAAATTTGAAGCCCGGCTGAACTATCGAGTTAGCAGCAGGTCTCCTATTGGAAGCCTTAAGCTTTATATCGGTTCGAGCATCCTTAAAGAAATCTATCTGAGTATGTCGTGTGAGTATACCTCGCGCTCTAGGATCGGTGACCTGAGCAGAAGACGCTGAGTCGGATTTCTCCATTGAAAGGTCTACCAATTGAACCGTGCGTATCGACAACCGGAGGTATATATTCTTAATATCCATGAGTAGTTGCTGCCCTGGAGCAAGAATCTGATTCTCGAAGTTCTACCGTACGTCAGCTCTGGCGCGATCAATTAGACACGAGGGTAGAATGTTAAAATAGAAGGGTTGAGTAGGGTCTCTGTCAAAATATATAGATGAATAACTTGCCTTCTTGAACTGGGTCGCCAGCTCATCCTGATCGTAGGGAGTATCAGTTGTCTTCCTGGCAGCGAACCCAACCTCTACTTCGAGATTGCCGAGATATGATTGTCCTCCTTGGCTAAAAGTATCATACGGCTCTACCGTGACGATGTCTTGTGGGCCAAGAGTGATACTGGCCCAGGTCCGCTGGGCATCTGTAAGTCCTATCTCTCCTGGCCGGCATCCTTCTGTTGGTCGAGCAGATAGCACATAGTTGCCATTGACCATTATGTAGATATCCGAGCCGTCGCGAGTAGGGGGGAAATCTTGAGGGGAAACCGCAACACTATCACTTGTTAGCTAGCCCACCACAAAGACAGTTGTCGCATACAGATTTCCGAATGCAAAAGCATTCCCTCCAGGGCTCTTGATCGGTCGCAGCTGTATCGCTGGCCCACCTCTTACCCCGCCCATTCCGCCAGATGGGGGCGGTCCTCTCGCAGGCATTCGCTGAGCGCCTGGAGGTGCGCCGTAACCTGACGGTGGCGCCTCTTCATAACCCCCCATTCTAGTATCGTAACCTGACTGTCGTGGCGGAGGTTGCTGTTGTGGTGGTCGAACGTAGCCGTCATTACGCGTGGACGGGCGCGGGGAACTCCCAGGCAAACCTGGAAGTCGGTCTCGATTAAACATATTGTCGGGGGGGTTGGACTAAGCGGGGAAGGCAGATTCACGAAGACAGAATAAGGACTTTCCACGTATGGTGAAGGTGCAAGGCAGGTGAAAGGCAGCAGCGAAGGCTTGGAGTTTTGGTGCTTAGGATCTGGGCTCTTACTCGTTCCGTGGATGGGAGGTCAAAGCAGGTCTAAATAAGCTTTGTCGTTAAAGTTGAATCTTGAGGAAAGTGGACTGAACCTGTCGAAATGTGAGGAAGTTGCTGTATCAGAGCTGTTTCTGATTTACTTTGCCTTTGGTGGTACTTGCCTGGGAAGCTAGTCGCCGAATGCACGGACCTGGAGCCGAGACATCACGTGAGTGTTTATTATATTGCTGGAAACTCTAAGAGAGAGCTGCCTTGAAGCTGAAAATCTTTTGTAAGCCGAAGGGTTCTACGATGTGCCGTCCCAACCTTAGGCTTGGTGTCTCATCATGCTATATAAATCATATAGCTCCTTGGACTTCAGTCCACAATACCTAACTCCTCTCATAACTCGTGCCCATCTAAGATTATATCTTTCTATAAAACTAGAGGAGTACCTAATCGAACATTCTGAAGAACGCCTTACAAAGGCTGGAAGGTAAGAGTAATTACGTGGCATTAGTTCGTCTTCAGTTTACGTCTAAGTCTGAGCTCTTTTGGAAGCATTACCATTCTCGTCGGTTATTACACAGCCGAACTTCACTTTTGCTGAGCAAGACCGGATTCAAAACCCTTTCCCCAAATGAACAGATTCACCACCACCATACCAGAGTGCACCCATTCGACAATTGAGTCCCTTCTCTTCTCCAACTATCCATTCGCCACCTGCGGGAATCTTGTCCCCATTGCCCCTAGGCCAGTACTCCACTTCAAGCCATTCATTGATCTCTTCAATCTTCTTGATGAATGCATCCATCTTCCTAGGTTCTGGCGCTCCCGTCTCGGTCGCAAAGTCTTCAGGTCTGATGAAGCGACCAATTGTCAAATGACTAGACGGTACAACATAACGAGAATCCACCTGCACTCCCGTTTCGCGGCAGAGATCATGAAGGTCACGGCGTAGGTGATGATATGTGAACTGATCATCTTTTAGCGTCCTGCCCGAGGGTAGACCTTCTCCGGCTGCGGGTACAAAACTGAGTGCTAGCGCTGACGCATCAAATCCGATCATTGGTTTGATGAGGCGGGCACGATGTTTGAAGGTGTGGTCTGTGATTGTGGGGACTTTATCCTTCATGATGTCGACTAGGCTTTGGATCTCCTTCGTGGTTCGAGAGTGAGTAATTTCCAGCGCGGTCATGTGCAGACAATCCTGGGGCATGAGCCATAGGCCTAGAGATTGATAGTTAGACTCATCCCTGTTCAAAGAATTACAATGTCTGAAAACCGTACTTGGAGCCGTCGTTAGTAATTCTTGCTGTACACACTGGATCAACTCCTTGACTTTTTGGGTTGGTCGTGCCCACATAACCAGGCAATGGCGTGGATCAACGTAGCCAGGTTCAATTGTGGAATCACATAACCGAAGAAGAATTGGGTCAATTTTGACGCCAGGAAAATTTCCGTCTAACATCTTGGACTTTTGTTGAGAGTTCCGCGTCGTCCTGTGGACCGTATAACGGTTTTGGATCTGGGCCTTATCTAGGATGTTAGCCCTGCGCACAGTGATTTTAGAAAATACGCACAGCATCATCTTTGCATGCGGTAATCAACGCATCGTAAGGGTTGCTGAACTCCGCTGTTGAGATGCCGCTGAGGTCCTCAAATGTGTCGCTCGTGTGAACTGGTAACGGAGTTGCTCCAGACATAGTGAGTGGAAAGTTAGAAGTTTTCGCACTACGTCTAATAATTGCAAACAGATTGCTGTGCGGGTTTACTTTCCCGATAATTTTCTTCAGAAACAGAGACTCAGCTGTGGTAGGCAAGTACGAGGTCGACGGTGCATACGTCAACTATCCGAATTGGGCATTCCGCCCGCTTTCTTCTTCAGAATCCCTGTGGTGATGGCTTCCTGGTATATCGACCAGGATTTGGACTCCATTTGATCAATCTCTGGCCAGTCATAATGCTCCTGCAGCGAATAGTATTCTAAGATGCAAGGTAATCTACAAGCTAATTTAGAGCGAAGTCACAATTTAGGACGTCAGGCCGAACTGCTCTAGTGGAGCTGTACTAAGCACGTCCCACGTGACTTGGCTTTGAACGAACGTGTCTCCCGAGGTTGTACAACGCTTTCGGGAAGCTCAGTCCGGTACACACTTTTATGAACCACCACTCCTGGCTCACTCACCATGGGTTCAAGGTCATCGCTACGGTAGGTAGATCTGCCCCGCTTAATTCTTCATCGCTCACTGTCCCCAGCAATGTAGATTTCTTTCGCATCGTGCTGTGTTTATTGTGTGCAACATTACCCGGACACTATTGTGTTTGAAAACTGTCGGTGCTCCCCGTCACTTCCGAAGCCGATTGGTGTTGCGGCTACGTTAGTAGTATGCCCAGCTCATATGCAAAGCAATAGATCGAGGAGTTGCGAACATATCCTCAGTAGCGAAACCTTCGAACAGAATAATACTTCATAAGCGAGTCTTCACCCCAAGCGAGCCGTCAGCCCTGGAACACGAGAAAAAACCTGCTTCCTAAGCAGATTTATCTCCAGAACTACTACATATAATTTGCTAGGTTTTATATGAATATGAATATACTAGGATATCTAGACTCTAGCTGATATAACCAGCTACTTATTTAAGAAAAATAAAATTATCTGCATTCCACCCCCACTTTTAATAACTCTATAATTAACTACTAATTATAAAGTTAGACCTTAGATATTCTAGAGCATCTATAACTCTTTCCTAACATTTCTAGCAAATTCCAGTCAGTAGTTCTAGAGATATTTCTGCTCATTGAGCGGATTTTTCTGTGCTCATCTTCTTGACGTAGAAAGGTGACTTAGACCTGAGCGCCTCGGAGAAGAAGCAACTGAAGCAGACAACCAAACCCAAGAATGCAATGGCCGAAACCACAATCTTCTGGGGTAGAGTGAACATATCCAGAGGCGATCTAAAGCCTCTGGTAGCCCATATATAAGATTCAAGAGACTTTAGACCAAAACATGCACTCGGATATATTGACGCTAACTCAAGAATCAGCTGTATGGTTCACAGAGCGGGGGGAAAGCTAAGGGCTCAACTTCGAAGGGTTCTGGAACCATATCGCTCGCCAGACAACTAAAGGACCTTAGTTCGAACCGTCGTTCTCTTCCCTAAGAATACACACTAATAGGAAGGTCGTCGAAAGTTTATTGAGAACATTAAGCGAGTTCACCCGGCATTCTCGAATGCAGTTCGTCTCGATGCCTATGAACAATGTCTTCTACGGATGTGTTCATAGCCTGTGAAGATTGTCTAACCAAGCGAGTACATCAGGATCACTATGTGTACGAGCACCGCCAGGTCTCTGTACAGCCTGTGAACTTGATCAAAGTCTTTGGCCTGGGCTGTGGAAAAGACAATAGTGGTAAGAAGAGGTATGAGAGAAAGCTAGACGCTATTTCCTCATTGATCCAGCGATTCCCGAAGAAAGATCAAGGTATTATGTTTGTCTCCAGCGAGGTCACCTTGTCCGAATTGAAGGATGTCTTCCAAGAGCAGGAAAAGACCACTATGTTGTGAGTAAGAGCAGGGCTCTTTTAGCGGCGAGGATCGAAGACTTCAAAAACAACACGGACTTGAACGAGATGAAGAGGGCATTTATCCTAAAACTGCAAAACGAATCCTCAGCAGCAGTGTAAGAGAATATTCTCCTTTCTCCTATCTAGAGATTATGCTTCCTTTATTTGCAAACACCTAGTCAAGGCGAGTCACGTCATTGTCGTGTCTCTTTTGCTGTCCGAGAGTCAATACAAGTACGATTCTGCCATGGACCAGGCCATTGCTCGTTGCCGCCGATATCGCTGAAAGAAGAGAGTCCATACCTATCATTTGCGGCGTTATGAGCTATCAACATGGTCATTTTGGAACATCAACAGAGGATGAGGGACACGCTTTGCGAGCTAGTACGAGCATTCGTCAATTCTAAGCTCCACGAAAGCAATAAGACGGAGGTGTTACGAACCAAGGGAGGAAAAGACGGGGTCTCTAGCTTGATGATGCGAGGAAGCACAAAGCCTTGTGTATATACCTGGATAAAATGGAGAGCTTTACGTCTCTAATTAAACATTCGAGGACGATAAGGAGCAGCTAAGCTCTCCGGTTGTAAAATTATGCTAGGTAGTGTAAGCATGGGTTGCTAGTTTGGAAAACAGCGCGTTGTATCACCATCCTTGTCTTGGAGACTACGAGATATCTTAATAGGTTTTGTCACAAATAGTTTATCCAACCTCCCTTACTTCACATCCTTAGACCTTCCAAGCAAGAAAGATGACCAAGGCAGGACGTTGAATCTACACTCAGCGTCCAGGTTACTCCGATCGCGTGTTTGCTCCAGGGTGTCGAATGACGAATGCAGGGCTGGTAGGTCATTTCTTTTTCCACGTGTCACTACTGCTTGTGAAAGGCAAACTACTTTTCAGTTCATGCACACTTCCACTGCCGTCCGCGGATTCCTCTCAGCAATTACCTCTCACCCTGACATTACCGCTTCGTCCCTCTCTCGTCGGAATGGCAGCAGGTTTTAAGATGCAATACTTCAACACTACTTGCCTCGGAGAACGTTCGGATATCAACTCCAACTTTCATCCACATTGGATGACACACGCTTACAGCGATATCCCGTCTCTACAACATCCACAACTTTATCCCACCCCCCACAACGGCATCTACCCACCTTATACTCATCATCGCTGGCGAGGATCATACTGGAACTACCACCCTCACCGCCTTTGCTCAAAATTTAACCAGAGCAATCAACTACTGCGCCCGAAATGTCATGCATATCAACACCCCAAATTCGCCGAGTTGTTGCAGCCACAGCCACCAGGACAGGAACCAGATGCGAGGAAATTCGAGTGGAAGTATCCGAACTACTCAAGCTCGGACCCATTCGGGCTTGAAAGGGAGATTTCTCCTTCACCAAGGCCGATGTCGCCTTTGGGGCATATAGTTGAGAGTAGTGGGTCTGAGATTATGGGTAGTTCGATGGGGACATATGAGCCCGGGTATGCATGTACCATTTCGGACTTAGGAGATGGTGACGGGACTGAGAATAGGACTGAAAACGATGGAAACGAACATGGTGATGGACCTCTCGCTGAATTCGCCAACGAGCATTCTACGTGCGTGGATGCTGCCACCGATAATGCCAAGCTAGGAAGTCGATCCACTGACGTTCATCACGAAAACGAATTCGGTCAACCTAATCTTCGAAGAAAGATGCAAAGCAATACTGCTCCCTTGAATCCAGCCGAAGCTCAGCGACACCAAGATCCAACCCTTACTACAAGATGGAAAGAGCTGCTAGCCCGCGAAGCTAGACTCACAGCCGCCGAGGTTGCGTTCCAGACCACTATTCAAGAAGAACGGCAGCGCCTCGATGCCGACAGAGAGAAGCTAGAGCAACAGCGTTGTCAAGTACAACTGAAGGGACTTAAAGTGCACCAGTTGCGCGCCCATTTTCGAAATGAGCAAAGAAGATTGCACCAAGAACGTTTGCATCAGCGGCGGTCTCTTTTCCACGGTCGAGCTACGTGGAGTAACCATGAGCCGTGGATGGGAGAGGCAGAAGATTTTGATTGCGATATGGGAGTTAGTGATAATGATCTTGATAGGTTTGGGGATGATGATTTTGACATGAAAGATTCGGATACAGACTTTGGAGGAGCTTTCCCTACTTTAGGCGTCAAGCGGTATGAAAAAGGCATCGGTAAGAGTAAACATTCATAGTGGTTATACTGGGGCTAACAAGATCGCCTTAGATCCAAAGAAAGCTTTCGAAGAATACAACACTTATTGGGAGAATCTCTAAAACTCAACTTTAACACTAGACCTTTGTTCAGGCCTTCCTCGTTTAAACCTCCCATTCCCTTACCCCTCTGGCAAGATCGAAGACCTCCATCTAAATCCCATATGCTACCTCAGCACCACATGACCGCCAGTGGCTACAATCTTGAAGAAAACCACTTTAAGTTTAACACTCTTGTTTTCTCCCTTTGGGCCCTCTCTCTTCCAATTCCACGCGTTCCTTCAAGATATTTTTTGCACTTTCTAGGCCGAACTTAAGAATTGAGCTTATATTTTAGGTCGGTGGGCTGAGAGAGCTTGAAGAGGCCGAGGGGTTGTTTTTCGAAGGAGGTAATGAGGTAGCATTTAGATAATTTGAATGAGTATCTTGATGGAGATTGAGGGATGATTCAGGAAACCAACGAGAGGAACATCGCGAAGGTGGAAGATAAAAAGGGCCGAGAGACTGTTGACAGTATCAAGCATCATAAAGGATGGAGACTCAGCATGCTCGCATCTACCGTGGGATATCAGCAAACCAGATATCACTCTTTATACCTTGTGTTGGAATCAAGGAGTATATTGACAGGATGTAAATTTCCGTCCTGGCATGGTCCTGTAATAGTCTTGTAATGTTCTACGTTAATGATGATTTTGATCGGCCGTTAAACAACAGTAGGTGCAAATTTACTAGCAACAGAAATTAGGATCCTCTTATTGCCCTCCACAATTCTAGTCAGAACGTTAATAGACCAGTTTTGGTCTAATTATGTTCGGTGGTATACGATGACATGCTGGATGCACTTTCCAAATACAGCAACAAAATTCAACAAAACTAGTCTCTTAAAGGATTAAACTCCAAATTACCTAAGGCCGGTTTCACAATATGAATATGTCGTCGTCCCATATCCGCTAAAATGCTGTGCAATGAGATCAGACGATAAATCTATAGCTAACCGAAATAGGACACTGCTGGAGACACTACACGAAGGAATCATCAAATCTCGTATCATCAAACCCTCAGATTGATTCGCTGCGGCTAACATTGGATCGGCATTATCCCCATTCATCACCGACGGTACTCCAAGGCGACTAAGTCACAAATGGAAACCGCTGGTACCACAGTTTTCAACACTCTCTGCGTTACTTACCTTAAAGGGCACCTTGTTCAATCTTTACACCACTTTTTTAAGATGCAGTAGCAAGCGGATACCACATATGTGGTGTTGAGTGGTATGCTTCGCCGAGATCGTTCCTGCAGGAGTCTTAAATCTTTGAGACTGGGGGTTCTCTACTCTAAATGCACACAAACTGACTCTCTATCTCTACCTCCACCCACTTCTCATCCTATCTCTTCCTTAAAGCACCTCAACAAGTTACCCCTTGCTGCTTTTCTTCACAAACGGAGTGAATCAATCATGTACCAACTCGAAATCGCTCCTATCCACACCCTCGCCTAGTCTGACCTCGGGATTTCCGAACAGATTCCCAATCGCCGTCGACAGCTCCGCCTTCGCAAGATTAAAACCTACACAACTACGAGATCCGCAACCGAATGCTGCGAACCATTTCTCGCTCTTAGCTTTCTTGTCTCCCAGCCAGCGGTTGGGGTCAAACTCATATGGATTGGGGAGCAGGGTAGGGTTGTAGTGCAAATCCCGAGTAGTCATCGAGATTGGTATTCCAGCGAGGGTGAGGTAAGACTTGGATGTTGTGGGGATGTGTAGGTTGTAGGTTGGAGTTTGTTGATACGGGGAAGGCGAGATGGAGGCCCTCCTGAATGCATGCGTTGAGGTAAGGAAGGGTGTTAAGCTTCTTGTAGCTCATTATTTCGCTTAGTTCTTCAGTGGCGAAACTGTTTTTGAATTCTTCCTTGGGCTTTTCCAGAACAGAAGGATTTGTCATGATGTGGTAGGTTATCGTAGTGAGAGTGTGGCCCGTCGTCTCACTCTCCGCTCCGATAAGAACTCCTGCCTCATCGAACACGCTTTTCTGCGTCTTCTCCTCTGGTGGTAAGTCCAATTTGAGCACCTCATTCATTATGGCCGGGAAGCTCTTGCTACTGATAGGCTTTCCACTATTCTCCATCACTTTCCTGGCCTGCTCCTTCTGACTCTCAACCCCTTCAATGACATTCAAAGCTGTCTTCTCATGGAATGCTATCAGTCATCGAGGCATAGATTGTAGGATTGCGTTAGTATAAAGCGGATCTCGGTTGTACAAAGATACTTGAGTCATTCCGCGGATGAAGTCGGAATGCGTGGCACCGAAATCGTCCATCTCGAGGAGATTTGATGACTCCAGGAGCGACGGATCAGTGACGCAATCAACTGCCAGCGACCGAAATACAACCACCATGTCTATGGGCTTCTTCTACCCTCAACATTTATTTAGACAGCGACAGAATACGGCTAGGTGATTCTTTAATACTGATTCGACCTTGGAAATGCTCATAGCGGACAAAACCAGCTTGATCACGGCGCTCCGAAGCTTATGTTGGTTTGCATCTATGGCAGCGAAGATGGGCCCATTACGATCAAACCAAGAGTAATACCACGGATCCTTGTCAAGCTTTTTCGTAACATTGTAGAGCTCATTGAAGAAAGTCGGGTCGTCGATGTGGATTTCGTATGGGGTTATACGCACAAGTGGGCCTGCCAACGTCAGCCAAATGTCCCAGGGTAGTAGCAGAGGAAGAAGACTTACCGTATTTCTTATGCATCCTCTCGACTTCGAGGTAATACTTTCCGACCTTGATGGCATCGTAGTAGAACTTGTACCAGCGGGTTGCAGCAGCAAGCTTCGGACCTGGGATATGAAATAGGTCACCGAAGTATATGCGGTAAATGTAAAGAGTAATGGTGTAAGCAATAAATGCAATAAACATAGTAGTGGCCAGACTGAAGGACGAAAGGAATCCGCCTGGAGGTAAAGAGGATGTCTCCATCTCGACAAGGGACGCGTGTGATAGGGGAAAGGCAGATAGAGAAATCCCCAGAGGCTGGTTGAAGGCAACCTTAAACATGAACCGGCGCATCCCGAGTTGTTACATACAGGTCTCAAAGTTCGTAATGCAGACAAGTGGATGCCAGCCAAGCCGGGGGACAACAGCTGGGTGGTGTCTAAGCAGCTAGGTTAGGAACACAGACAGCAATTTGGTATTCCACAAGGCGACGATGGCCCCCATCTACTTCAGCTCGTTCGCAAGATCATGCCTGTTGGAAGCATGATTACGAAGCTCGGCTGCAGCAGCTGAAAGAGTTGATTGGCTTTCTAGATGTTTGGGTGATAGGGGTGAGATCTTGGGGTTCAAAGGCAATCTTCAAGGATGAGCCAGTGCTGGCCTAGTTCAGTTAGAGCAACACAATCGAAAACAGCAGATTCCAGTAACGGCATTCTTTGAATGATGCAAACTATATCGACTCCGCCTTACTGCTCCAAAGGGAAATGCTGAAGATGTGTAGTGATTTCCTAAAGTTGCCCACTAGCGTAATTCTAAACGGGTCGTGTCCTCGCCGGTCGGTGTCAGCAAATGGCATTCTTCCACAGATGATCACCTCTGCAATGCAGTACAACGTGGATACCAGCGTCACCTATTGCTTGAGACAAGTTCTGATCGTCGCTCTAAATCAAGGCACAGCACGTTAAGAGCATGCCCCTTTTTGTCCCAAATATATACCTTGCTATGTCCTATGTTAGCTAGTAAATGTAATACAAGTTCACATTGAATTTGCTCTCATTTGTACGAGGTGTAAACTTCCCATTCTATGGAAGTAGTTGTGGTTGACCTTCACTATCAGCTATGCTAATGTCCAAACCCGAACGGATCGGGTTCCACCAATCCCAAGTCACGCCTGAGTATCCAACAGCGATGAAAGGAGTGTGGGTTCTGCCCATAAAAATAACAATCAAGAATCCAAGGTCATTCTGTCGTAAATTCGGCCCAATTACAGTTCCCACCATGCCGCCCATCGATTGTTTGATGGGTGTATCCCAGAGACCTCTTAAACGCCGTTATCGTCGCGTTCATGAGCCCCTATCTATCATACAACACAAGTCCATCCCATATTGAGGAATCCTAACATTTACATGTCGTTGAAGTCAAGCAGCTCGTATGGAGTGCTATCAAAGGAAGTAAACTCGCCTAAGGCCTTCATCTCGAGGTCGAACTGTGAGCACGAGCTCTCCGGCAAAGAGTTGAACAATTCATCCAAATCATTCTTTGGCTCAACAGGGGATGTTGGTGGCGTCGAGAAGGGATTGGATTGAATTGACGATCGAGAGGGCGTAGCGGAACCTTTATTAGACGTTTGTTGGGCGGCAGCCTTCGTGTCGCTTACAGAGCCAGCAGAATTCGGTCGCTGGTCTTCCGGCGACATGGGTGGAGTGTGCGTGGTACCAGAGAGCTGATGTAGAAGGTTCATTGAAACCTCGTCGCCGGCGAACGATCCCGAAGATGTGAAGCTCTCTGTCTTGACTTGGGAGCTGTCAACAAACGGACTTGACGCGGTTTCAAAACTAATGAGGAAGTTAGTAAACAACAAGGTATTAGGGTACGTAAAGACTGGACACATACCTGAATGGATCGGCTGAGGAGCTCATGGGGTCCCCAAAATTACTTATATCAGAGAGTAATTTTGGGAGACCTGATGTCTGCAAAGCATTAAATTCCTCGAGAGGTGGCGGCGAGTGCCTAGTCGAATAACCATCAGACTGAGGAGATCCTGCCGAGACTGATGAGGCAGTGGAAGCAAGTGCTCGTCGGGTACGATTTGCCTTCTTGGCTCTATCCTCCATACCTGGGCGATTCTTCTTTGGTCGGCCACGTTTTGCTTGCCGTCGAACGGCATCAGCAAAACCGCCGACGCACATTCCACGTTGTCGATGGCGGGTAAGAGCGTCTTGTCGTGCGAAGCCTGCGCCACATGGACATTTGTAAGGCTTGTTCCCTGTATGGATCTTGGCGTGGCGTTTGAGGTCGTGCTGGCGGACGAAACATTTGCCGCATCCGTTACAACGGAATTGTCTGTCGCCGAGGTGGGTTTGGACATGTGAGCGAATATTTTCTCTCCTTCCAAATGTCTTGCCGCATTCTGGGTACAAACAGGTCCATTTGTTTGTCGCTGGGTCCTGTTCGCTGATATATCGCTGGACTTCCTCTGGTGAGATACCTGTGTACTCAATGCTAGCATCAACATCGAGTTCTAGAAATGCAGATTGCTGGGACATGGACTCGGTGGCTGAGAGTGGCAGCCCAGTCATGTGACTAGAAGTACTTGTAGAAGGGAGCAGAGACGGAGCTTGCGAAAAATCCATCTCCTGATGTGGATACTCTTCGATATTCTCCAGGAACATCTGTACGGTCCTTTGGTGAGGCGAAGACGTGGGGGACGGCGAAAGTGCATCTGAGGTATAGTAAGACGAAGATTCGTAGCCCATTTCACTGTCCGGATTGTCGAAGTCGAAAGCCATGGCACTTGAGGTTGGCTGGAGATTTATGTCAGTCATGTCCCCAAAGTTGGGCGGCATTGGCGCTGAGTCGAGAGGTTCATGGCTCGGTAGTTGTGTTGGTTTCTGAGGAGTCGCAGTAGGTGTCGGGAGGATGTTGATAAAGACTTGTCCACAAGAGCCATATACGGATTGTATATGCTGATGGAGTTCTTTAAGTTGTTGTTCTGTTGGAGGTTTTGAGGGAGAAAGAGGAGGCTGCTGAGGAGACTGCTCGCGGAGTGTCCGGTGAGGCGTCCGCGGAGATGGGAGAGATGTCTGTACTGGGGATTGCATAAAGGTATCCTGAAAGCCCGGCCGGGGCTGGCTGTGCGTCTGCGCTACTTGCATAGTATGCTGTTGTGGTTGTCCTATGTTAGTAATACTTACCGTACTATCCTCCTGCTGGAAGGAATCCATGTTCATCGGGCTTGGGGTCATCCGTTCTGAGAAAGATCCAGGTTGTTGGGGCATGTTAATGGTTTCAAGGTTCAAGCCTCGAAGATCCAAGCTCATGCCCGATCGCTGTTGTCGTTTTTGTTGAATGTTAGCAGGGAGTGGTCGTACTTGGGGCGCCTCGAATGCTGCCGGTGTCGAGTTTTGTCGTCGGTGTTGGGTTCGTCGTCGTTGAATGCTCGAGGGCGCGTTTGTGGACAGCATATCGGATGCAGGTCGAGTCCGGAGTGTCGTTATCCAAGGAATGGGTATCCTGTTAGGTCCGATACTAGAGAGGGGTCAGTCAGGGTCGACAGTTTTGCACCCAGCGTAGCTGCATCTTCATGGTTTGGTTGATCAAGCCTCAAGGCTTTCGAAGGGAGGAAGATATAGGAAAATCCCAGAATTATTCATTGATCCTCTTCGCAACAAGATATATTAACATACCTCACGCAGTGCAAGCGGCGTCCGCCGGGCGGATGGTATCCTTATGGTCTCCTCAGTACAGGTACAGTCTCCCAGCAACTGCCTCAAAGTAAGTGTATCCGGCCGAAGCCTAAGCAATGTTTGTGTATGGGTGTCTAAAGGAGGATCTACTCCTCTAGGATCGGTTGAGATGAAAAGGTGCCGCAAAGGTTTGTCGCGAGGATGCAGGTATATGTGTAGTGTGAGAGTGGTAAGGATGAATGATGAAGTTCAAGTCCTGAACGGGAAGCAAATCAACAAACGCCTTTGCGCCGTTACCCGGCAACGCAGCCGCCACACACGTGATCTAAGCGCTAGCAACGCCACATCTCGGCTGCGCTTAGTCACATTTTCGCTGCCAAGGCCCACAGATAATTTCTAATCTCCAAAGTTCTGCACGTCTTCAAACCAACCCTCCTGCACGACGACTGAGGAAGACAATTCCTATTGTCTAGGTAAGTCGACGATTTTTTTTCCCAATGCTAGAATCGCTTGGAAGCAACAAGCCGACAATGCCTGGTCGCATATCCGCTCCTTCGAACCCTTCCTCTTCCCTTCTCCCCTCCTGACATCGACACACCAGGCCGCCATGCAGATCTTCGTCAAAACCCTCACGGGCAAGACTATCACCCTTGAGGTGGAGTCTTCCGACACTATTGACAATGTCAAGTCCAAGATTCAAGGTACATTCCTGTCTTCCACAATTTCCAGTAGTTTCACGCTGATAGGTCGCAGATAAGGAGGGCATTCCTCCCGACCAACAGCGCCTGATCTTCGCCGGAAAACAACTCGAAGACGGTCGTACGCTCTCTGACTACAACATCCAGAAAGAGTCGACTCTCCACCTCGTCCTCCGCCTGCGTGGCGGCGCCAAGAAGCGCAAGAAGAAGGTCTACACCACTCCCAAGAAGATCAAGCATAAGAGGAAGAAGACCAAGTTAGCTGTGCTCAAGTACTACAAGGTTGATGGCGATGGCAAGATCGAGCGTCTGAGGAGGGAGTGCCCGCAATCTGAGTGCGGTGCTGGTGTTTTCATGGCTGCTATGCACAATCGTCAATACTGTGGTCGTTGCCACTTGACCTACGTGTTCGATGAGTCTAAGTAGACGGATCAGGGGATGTCTGGATGAGGGAACAGCGATATGAAATTCATGGAAATTTGAGACAGGCTGACAAGGCCTGCCAAATGTCAACATTCTGGCCATAGGCCAATGAATCCTGTCAGCTAGCGTTCGAGCCTTTGTCCTTGTTGCGCTGTGATGTCCATGACTTAGGGTGTGATTGCGTGTCCGGCACGCTGTTCAGGTGGACTATATCTCAGTCTCGGCGATTTACACTGTCACTCATTAACACCAGGCCACCCCTACCATCACCAATCTAGTCTTTGCGTAACAATGAAAGCTGTCTAACCCTGCAAGGACCTGGATAACCATACGCGATTCGAGGCAACACCATTGATGTATTATGTTGAATGCTCTATGGGTCATGAAGACTACCACACCCCAATGTCTAGCACTTTTTCGTCATGTCTCACATGAAATTTTATTTATTCATGTCACATATCCCATGACCAAAAGTTGTGCTTTTGGCTACGCCAATGATGGTGATGTCATGCATGCTGAAATGCACATCAATAAACCGCAAACAATTCTGGAAAATCTTCTCCAAAAAATGTACTTGCATCCGATGCCCCGAAGGAAATGACTCAAAACGGCGGTACCCTACGAACAAATGCTGAATCCAACTCTACTCTAACCATTACCCTGTTGGATGACCATTTACTTACTCATCTCTCTCGGCTCAAGCAATAATTTGCCAGTCGGGCCGGCCTTCTCCATAAATCCATCTTCGCGTGAGTAAATACGCTGCCCTCGGAGCCAAGTCTCCCTAACAACGCCCTTGAGAGTTTTGTTCTCGTACGGTGAGACTTTGTTTCTGAAGAGCATGGTACTCGGCTCGACCTATGCATGCATCGTAAGCAGGGTATTCAAATCAACAAGTGGGAACGGAAGGGATAAAACCCACCACAAATTTAGCCTCATCATCGAACACGACAATATCTGCATCAAAGCCCACACTCAAATCGCCCTTGCTCTTCCCAAGTCCAACTTGTTTCGCCGTATTCTTACAACACCACCTAACAACCTCTTCAATACTAAAATCCTCATCACGCTTAGTACCCTCAGTCCAAAGAATCGGCAGCCCAAGCCCAACACTCGAAATCCCGCCCCAGGCTGAGAAGAAATCACCCTTCTCCTCCGGACCCTCTTCCTCGACATCTGAGTCTGCGCAACTCTCGCAGTCCCTGTTGTGGCCTTCTTTACAGTGGCTTTCTCTCTTAGGCGCGAAGGCTTTAGGAAGGAGTTTAATGTTAGGAGTGCAAGGCGAGTGGTCTGATACTACCGTTTTGATGACGCCGTCGGTTTGGTCTTGGAGCAGCTCTTCCCAGAGGCCGTCTTGATTGAACTGCGACCGGATTGGCGGGCAACATTTGTGTCGCGTGTCACCATCTTTGATGCTCTCGGCTGTGAGGGAAAGGTAGTGGAAACAAGTCTCTGCGGTGATCTTGATGCCTTTACTGCGGGCTTCGCGCAGAAGAGGAATCGCTTCTATGGCTGAAAGATGCACGATGTGGAGTGCGAGATCTGGGGCAAGATGAGCAAGAGAGAGTATCTCGGCAATAGCATAGGTTTCAAATGACGGTGGGCGTGAGTCCAGGAATGTTGAGTAGTAAGTCAACGGGCCGGAGGGAGCAAGAGGTGGCATGGAGTGCTGGACATCGTCGCCAACGGAGGCGGTGATTGGGGGAATCATTTCGGCGTGGAACATAAGGGTCGTTGCTGAGTCTCTTAGCTCGGTCAAGACCAGCTCGATGTCCGTGGAGGTCACAGCCGGAAACTCTTCAACCTAAATATTGTTACTATTGCATGAAGTATAAACATGAAAATTAGCATACCCCACTGTTAATTAAGAAACCCTTGAAGCCCCTGACACCTTCCTTGACAAGACCTTTAAGCTCACTAACATTACCTGGGATTACACCTCCATAGAAACCGACGTCGACCCAGCACTTGCCCTTCGCGGCATCGATTTTAGTCTTGAAATTCTCGACAGTGGTTGTAGGTGGGATGGCATTGAGAGGCATGTCAACAACGGTTGTTACACCTCCGAATGCGGCAGCACGTGTGCCAGTCCAGAAGCCTTCCCATTCTGTGCGGCCTGGCTCGTTAAGATGAACATGTGCATCAACAAGACCAGGAAGTAGGATGAGGGGTGAATAGTCAGTGTACGGAGTCCCTTCTGGGAAGTCAGTTGGCGGAAGAACTGAGTGAAAAATAGATGTGACTTTTCCCGTCGTGTTCGAGATAACAATTGTTGCCCCGGTGAGCCGTCCTGCAACGACTGCTCTTGAAGAAGATATGACGATAATAGGATGGGGAGGGTTGCTATGAGCAGCTGGAGGAGGGGTGGTTGCGTGGGGTACCATCTTCGTTGCTGGTAGCCAGACTTCAGGTGAAGCTAAACAGAAAACGTTGAACGCTTTAGCAACTTGAAAGAAAAGGGAGCATTTAAGTCTTCAGCCTAGTGGCAGGGAGTGAAGAGCCAGATCCTCGGAAGCAGTCGGCTGTTGGATATTGCCCTGGGTGAGAGTGGGAGAGGTGCAGGAGAGATAAGCAAGATAAGGTGGTGTGGTGTCACACAGTTCTATGTTCGTGTGAAAGAGAAAAGTACCACCGAGTTTTAATAGAAGTCTTTAAATATCTAAGCGGTGAATATTGAGGAAAACACAGATATAAAGTATGTCCAGGCACGGCAAGCCATCTGCGCACAAAAATCTGGGGTACAGCAGCCCTTATCTGTCTCTCGATATCCCGATTTGGTAACCCAGGAACGCTCAACGTAACGTCAGGGAGGTGTATGGTTCATCGGAAGTGACAGCATTCTTACTCGATACAGATTGGTGGTTCGAGGACTATGTGAGTTATCGAGACCTAAGCACGGCCAAAGAGTGGACCATTCCTGTTGGTTGAGAGTGAGAAGTACACCTGTTGAAGTGGTGGTCCGCTGAATTGGTGGGATGGTACGTGCGCGGCAGTAAGGCTAGAGCGATAAGAAACGCAGGGACCGATCACAGTGCAAGGCCCAGGCCGGGTCGACACAAGAGGCTAGCGCAGGTTCAACGACGTGGAGAACCGTTACCGATGCCTTGCCGAATATATGTCCTCGGTTGAGAAATATCATCCGGCCCCTTCCGAATTGATACCCTTTAAAGCACGACTAGCTTTATTGTGAGAAGTGTCGTGGCGTGTCGCAGTTTCTGTGACTCGATAGGAATAGTTTCCATCGAGTAATCCACACTGCGTATAGGTGTATCGCTGACGCCTTTCTTCTCCACCGGAACTTTCGGTGCTTGCTCCTGATTGCCTCGAACATTCCACTGGATCACGGGATGCATTATACTACCAACGCATCAGACAACACAGGCTATATTCAGAGTCGACTGCGGCGAAGTAAAATCTCAGCCTGCAACCTGACAAGAACCTATAACGATGAACTCTCAGCACTTCAAGAATGTTGCACCAGTAGCTGGCCCAGATCGCTACGCTTTATTAGAATATCTTATTCCCACTCACTTATAGATATTCCGTCAATTGCGAAATGAATTCATGCTCTATAGTAGGCCATCATTTCTTCTCGATTTAAAAACTTAATTCGCTCTCGACTTTAGAAGTCCGGTGCCGCGGAGATGGCTGATCATTGAAAGTAGTGGAAGGTCGTGGCCTTATTACGATCGAGTAATAGAATGTCATCCAACATCCGAAGCCCAAATTGCCTCTAATAGCGCAACAAATAACACAGATGGATGTCTTTATTACGCCCGGCTCTAGCCTAGAGGGCACTAGTAGTTTATTACATAAGCAATTCCTTAGTAATAGCATACCTCCTAATAGCCTATACATGTAAAATATCTATCTCTCTGTATTTTCCTAGCAAACTCTCCTATACCTTTTGTATTTAGTAAGTAGTAAGTATTCTTAAGGCTCTCTTCTCTAAGTGTTTAGTGTCCCTTTGTTAGCAAATAAAGCAGAACCTGCTAGCGTACAAGTGTTAGTATAGTGTAGGATTATTCTTAAAGTTGTAAGATCCTAGGAGTTCTGCAATTGCGTGCAGCAGCTGTGCAACAGCAGCAGTGGGCCTTATTTGTAATAGGTAACAACAGTGTAGGTTTTAAAAAAGGTTCTAGTTACTCTAGAACTAGAGTTCTAGGTTGTAGACAGAGAGAATAGGCAATAATTAATGTAGTAAGCTATAGTAGGGCAGCGTAGTTTTTAGGCTTAATGTTCTAGCTTTTAGAGTAGGGGCTAGTAGTTTAGATGCTAAGGGTTAAAGAGGGTAACATAAGTGTAAAAGAAATAGTAGCAGTAAGGTGTTTTTGCTAGAGCTAGATAACGTACTAGCAGCCACACTTACATATAACAGCTAAGAAGGTATGCGCGATGACAGTAGGTAAGACAGCAATAGGCGTGGCAGTAGTTAGTGTAGTAACAATAAGCGCAGTAACAGTAGGTAAGGTAGTAATAAGCGTGTTAGCAGACGTAACTTAGACTGCTAAGATAGGGATAAGTTAGAAGAAAAGGTAAACAGTAGTTTAGCTGTTAGTGTTATTTAAGGGCTTTAAGAAGTAGTAGTAGGGGCAGTGTTAATGTCTTAGTAGCTAAGAAAATCTAGTATTATATCTGCTAATAGACAGTTTTACTTATAAAACTTAAGCAGATCTTTGTTGCTTAGTTTTGTAGCTTTATAGAGTAACATAATCTCTATTTTATAGATTAAGTAGGTACATATATATTCTTAATTCTTATTCTTTTCTGCGTATATAAAGCTGCATGTTGCTAGCTGCGTTAGGGATGCAGCTACGCATTTCTATGTAGATGGGAACGTGGTGTGACGTGACTGAATTGTTTAGAAGGATTGCGACGCGTTGGACAATGATAGTGAATTAGTTCAGCATGGGTAAGACGGTGACGGTGAAGCGGTTCGGTGTGTATACGTGTTTGATGGCGGCGGCGAGGTAGGTCGGCTCGATGGAGGTGATGCAAGTGACGATAGAGTCTCAAATATATTCGAATTTGCTCCTGCTGCCATTTTGGGCGCTCCCCCGGTTCTCCAATTGCAGCATGTTGCAAGCTGGTCGCGCATAGGGCAAGTGCGCGAGGGACTCGGATCGGAAAAACAAAAGCCGAGCAACACAAGTAGAGCAGAAAAAGGATCGAAAAATCAATACAATCAATCATCATCCCATACATCATATCCAAACCCATCATTCATCTTAGGAAGCCTAGAAACAGTGCTTTA